TAGTAAAGAACGTAAAAGACTAAAAGATAATATCCTGTTTAGGCTTAGCCTACGCTCCCTCTTTAAGACGAAAATCAGATGCTAGCATCTGCTAACCTTTTTAGGTGAAACAGGTATTAGCACCTGTAAATAGCAGCTTAAACGGGCAGAATTTGATAATAACTAAGTAATATACTACTTAGAAGTCTTACCGCCTACCTCTACTGGCTAAATCTATTAATTTTTCCTAATTTTGGCTTAGAATGCATAAGAGCGCGATTGCAGCATAAGAAACGGCTATGCTAGCTAACCGCCTTTGCTTTCTGCCACTTTTTGATTTACTTTTTATTTGTTAGTTATGCGATTTAGGGTACTTTTTATTATGGCGTTACTGCTTTATGGACCTAGTCCGCATTAGGCTTAGTCCTACAGATTCCAACCAGAAATATATTAACATATCTCTTGACTGTATTACTAGCCCGCGCTAGCATTAGGCTAGCGCCGTCCTATATAGTCTTAGACTTACATAGGACGTTAATGGAATAAATAAATAAATAAATAACTCTACTAACTTAACTAACTCTAGGACATTCGAATTAAGCATAGTACCAATTCGCAGTCCAGATAAACTCTCTGATCTCTAGGCCATAGGCCAGGAGACCAGGAGGCCAAGATCACACAGCACTGCACTGATGTCAAGATATTATAGTACACAGATGCAGCCACATAGGAGAGTCTACGCTGTTATATCTGAGATGATTGTGGAGACTGAACCTTTGGGTATGAAGTACTAAATAGGAGGGCGGGGAACCTTGGGGCTTGTTTCGGGGAGAAGGGGAGTCTTGGATCTTGGAACTTGCTCCAGCGGAGCCGCTCTTTAGGGCAAGTCAATGCAACAGAATGTACATAGTATAGATACAGGGCCATTTTGGCCAACCGTCTGCATAGCTGCTCTAAGCGGCCGGGTCGGACGTTAAATTGAAAAGCAAAGCATGAGGAACACTAACGTTGGGAATGGAGCAAAATTGAGCTCCCTGACGCTGGCGCATCCGTTGCGATGGCGCTTGACGAACATCGTGGCCGCCATTCATGGCAGAGATAGTAAAGCGATTGCTGGCTTGAAGTACACGTACTTTCTATAAGCCGATAGCGCATATAATAGCTCCGTTGCATATTGAGAATTGCTAGTGCTAAATTTGACTCCCAGATCTACGCAGGCTTTGGCAACCCTTTTCGTATCCTCGCCTTAGAACCTATATCATCTAACCCAAAGGCAAGACCGCTCCACGAACCACCAAAAAGCACAACATAATCAATTTGATTAGGTGGCGTTAAAGTAAGATTGCGGTCCATCAATCTTAACTCAGGTCTCATGACCGCTGGAGCCGAAACCCTCAACTGCAGGACTTTCTCCTGCTTCCATATCATAACACGACATCCATCTGGTCTATCTCCTCGACGATTTGCACGTCCGATAGCGCCTGGTATTAATTTCGGCCAAGCACCAGCTTGCTCTCTTAAGAGGCGACATTTGGAGCATATGTAGCACTCTTCTAGCGTACGCTTGCTCGGGTCTAGGCATTCTAAGTGTCGCCATGCATAACAATCAGAACAGCACACTCCCTCCTTTCCCTCGCTATTGTTCCTCCTCCCACAACAAGGAATCGACACGTCAAGGTGATGGATGGCCATGTTCGGTAGTTGCGGAAGAGAGGAGTAATACCAGTTCTTAACCATGAATGAAGCCTGAGCAAATGAAACGATATCATAAGGCGCGACGGCGTTGAGAACCATTCCAAGAACTTCCGTAGGAAGAGCTATGCTCGAAACTTCTCGCGCTGCAAGATTCCTTTCCCCTTCCTTAACGTAAGGAGATGTGAGAAAATACGTCAAGATGCGGAAACCAGCTGAGCATTCCGTTGCGGAGGAGTTGGTGAGCAGTGGGAATACTATCGAACACTGTATCTTATCTGCCGAAACTTGGACGAAAGCGATGTCGCTTAGCGATATCAATATACAGTTCACTTCATTTCCTCTACCTTCTAAATGACCTACGAACTCCCTTGCTCGTGACACAACGGCCGATATGGACGATGATGTCCCGAGATCCTCGCAAAGAACGACGAGAGACCCATGAAACCAGTAGACTTCTGTAGGAGGACTGTCCCAGCCTGGAAAGGACTCAGCGCCTAGCGGTAGCTTTGCAATCTCGCATTCAGAGGATACTTCAAAGTCCCAAGCGGCAAGACGCAAGAACGCATTACACAGTCTGCGGAAAAGGGTTGATGAAGGGTATTGCCAGGCTGTACGGTCATCGATGAAGAACCGCCACTGGTATACGAAGTCCATAAACATGCGATATTGAAGTTCATTCAAGGAGCTCGGTTGTCCAATCTTAGTCTCCCAATGCTCATACTCTTTCTCTGCCTGCAGCGAACCTTGTCCGGCGGATATGTCAAGAAGTGGATTTATTCCATTCTGCAGCAAAGCCTCGATGCTTAAGTCTGAAGCCTTATCGATTGATTTAAGGCTGAGGCGCCTTATGCTTAGGGATAACCCCATATCTTCGTCCCCTTCTTCGCGGTGCCAGAACGAAACAGTCAAGTATGCTGAATCCAGGTCTAGTGTATAAACGTAATCGAGATTCTGCCGAAGCGGAAATGGAAATGGGATTGGCATCGCTTTATCTAGCTTCGTAATGCTATCTTGAAAATCCTTCACCGTTAAATACGTGGATGCATCACCAGGAGTGCTAATTCGTCCACGCTTTTGGTGAATTTGATACCACTTCCCTGAATTGAAAAGGGAGTTCAATGTAGAAAAGCAAGTGAGTTGGAAGACAACTTACCCCCTCTATGCACATTCCAGGACCCTCGAGTGACCATGGCGGCAGAGTGTAGGCGAGAATGCCAGATGTTCAAGACCCTTTCGAGAGACCGTTGAATGCAAGCGCGCGCTTAGCCCGACGTCTGACGTAAGCGGTGGTGGATCTCCGTACTAATGTCAACGTCGGTTTAAACACCACCACACCATGTGTACGCTCAGGTGCCCAGAGCAAACAAGCATAAGAACAAGAAAAGATTGTCTAACGGGAATGTGGGGAAGGAAATTTTCTAGCTCTTTAGATTTCATGTTTAGCGCTATAATGGGGCTGTTACCTCGGCGAGGTGGCAGGGGCCCACTGTATGGCTAGGCAGTCACGCTCAGCATCTCTATATAGGCTCAAAGCTGAACATAGCCGCGCGCATGGTGTGAGTTTCGATGATCTAGTGGATCGGAACATCTTCTGGGGTATACGCGCCGAACAGGGTCTTAGCTGATGTTGCAACTGCTCAGGGGTCTTACTGTAGAACGGTAAGAGGATCCCGGAGCCTGCCGCTTCCCAATGAATATATAACGTCAGTCACTGTCAGTGTCTGCTTCAATCTCTAGAGCAACTATCCAATTAGTTTCTCGATCTATTCCTCTATCAATCCCTTGAGATCAGACTTCAATTATCTTAATCACCGACCACTTCTCTACCAGTATATACAAGGCAGCTTTAAAATCAGATTTTGGTAAACAATACGCGAGTCGCCGCCGGTAGGAAAGACTAGGCTGCTTAGCATCCCTTCTGTGTTATGTTAACGAATATACAGTTCCAGTCAAGATGGCAAATCAAAACTACATCTCTATCCCGATCCTGGATGAGCTTGTTAAATTCGCCGAAAATGATTCCCTTTACGAAGATGCCGTAAAAGCAATGGGATCCGGAATCCTGAACTACTACTTCCAAGCCATTAACGGCTTCAGCGTTGCTCCTGAACAGAATCGCAATGACAATTATCCCGACTTCATCATCCTCCGAATCCAGCATCGTTGGGCAGGAGATAGAAGCCTTGTGGATCATACTCTTGCAGAAGCGAAGAAGGCAGCCGATTCTCTAGGGGCCTCTTTGGAACAGCTTACGAACGCCCTGGAGCATGCCAATACTGAACATGGTCGCTGCTAGGCCTTGCTTTTCCATGGCAGTGGAATTAGATTCTATGAGTATCACCACACCTTGCCAGAGAACCGGCGCCTAGTTCAATGGGCAGAGGCTGGAGACCCGGCTAGAACGGTATACCATGTCCGCAACAACGCGGGAGCGATCGATCGGATGCTACGCCACATGGCCCAGACTGCTGTTCCCCCTGTACGACACTAAATTTGGTCTTAAGAAGGTAAGTGTTGTTTCTGGGGGTAATAACTTGAATTGACTGCTGTTCTACAGTAGGAAGTATGCTGTATATATAGGGCTCTTCAAGCCCTATTTCTAAGCTTCGCCACAGGCTTTATAAGCTTTGCCACTTGCCACTTACAGGCTACAACAGTAAGCTCGCTTCCTCTCGCTGTCTTGCTTTGTGCTTACATAAAGGCAAGAGTGTGTCCTTAGATTTAAAGATTCCTTGTATAGCTGCAGGGTGTGTGGGATAGCTGGAGGTATAACTGATAAGTAAGGGGTCTTTTAGATAGATTTATAGAAAACATTTATCATATGTTTATTTTCATTAATAGCTTGTCCTTTCGCGGGGAAATGAAGCCTGTTTGGTGCTGAACATAGTTTTTCCACTCTATTTTTTCGGGCTGGCAACCCTCAGTTGAATCATACGGTCTGGGATTTGACTAGACTAATCGAAGAAATATTTGAGTTTCGACTTCCAGTCGGGCGCCATAGAATGAAATGGTCGAGGAGTACGACCAGCTCGGCAAGCAGATCACCAGCACCAAGGAGAGCAAGAAGGACGCTCTCAACGTCGTCTACAGGAAAGAGTGGTTCTTCTACACTTGCTCTGTTGCATCAACCGTGATGAGACTCTTTTCCATAGCTGTGATGGCTTGTATGGCTTCACTTGCAAGCATGATTGTCCATTCTACGCTCGCCGGTGAAGCGCGAGTTCCTCCTCGGGCGCCTGATTTTCTCTCATGTAATAAGTAATCGTCTGGTACTGTACGCACCGCCGCATTTAGAACGCGCTTGAATTATTAGTAAGTTTTATGTTTTATTGATATGTTTCAGCTAAAACATCCAAAGTCCTAATTGCTCTCCTTGCCGCACCCCATCCTCTTGATCGAGCTAGAAGATTCCTGCCCTCAACTAAGACCTTGATATACCCCCTTTTACTACACAAATTACCTACACCCATAATGTTTGCCTTCATGGTCAAACCTCTCTTTACAAAGAGCTGCACCAGCTCGTCATCCGCTGGACGATCTAGTTGCATCGAAGTAGGGAATAGCAATCCTGCATCATCTTCATCTCGATCTCGAGTTACCTCGGTATTCTCGCTGTTATGATTGGTATTAATTCCGGAAGTATGGACTGCGAATCGCCCATAAGCCCACAGAATGAGAGTAGCAAGAAAGACGGAGGAGGGCTCGTAGAATGCATCGACGGAGTAACGGCGAATATGCCAGAATAGCACTCCAGCATGGATTATAGCGAGTCGAGCTTTGTATTGATCCTCTGTTGCCCAACGCTTGATGTCTTTGGTGAGGCTAGATATCTCGTCCCCGTGGGAATTTGTGGGCTCGTGGGTTATGAGCCGTGCTAATTGGACGATTTTCCGAAACGGGGTGAGCAGAATGACGCGAGCCAAATGTAGGTGGAGGACAGTGGTGTGTTCCATCCCTGATGCTGCGCCGATGACACTATTGGCGTGCCAGTGGAGGATGTCAAGGCAATCACAGGCGGAATTTCGCCATTTTGAATATGCTTGTATGTCTGGAAGCCATACCGGATTTCCTCTATCTATCATCTGAACATCTTGTCGATCGGCCGTAGGATCCCAGAGCGTCAGGGGCTGTGTGAAGTAGTTCTCCACTTCCCAGGTTCGATGGAAAAGTGCGTGAATACATAAGATGCGGCTGAATTCTCCGGTTGATGATTGAACACGCTTCTCAATGTATGCTAGTTGAATTGCTGAAGAAAGTGACGGACTTGCTGGATGATGTCAGCGTGGACAACTGGCTGGAAATGGTGGCTTACGTGTCGAGCAGCTATAGAGTTGATACCAGTCAAGTGCTGATTTTGCCCCCCACAATACCTCTTGGCAAGGAATGGGGGCTCTTGCGTCCTCAAGTGACAATAATGGGCATGTTTGGAAATGAAATGCCCACATACAATCTAATAACTGTTGCAACATGTCAGTACTTTAGTACAACGTGTAATATTTCTTCCAGACATCTCGTGAGTCTCAGATCACTCATTCCCAGTGTGCACACCTGAGTGTGCACCTTAGATATCCCAAGTTGCGAGGAGTAACGAAGTAAGCAGTATATGTCATTGGACGTGGTTGAAAGTCACACAAGGTCACTCGAGAAACAAGCAAAGGAGTTGAAGACGTACCCATATACAATATCCCGTCCTGCGACAGATCTCTCCCTCGTACCAAGTTCTCCATTTATCCTCAACCGAAATCCCAGTATTATTGACTTCTTCTTCTGTTAATGATTTGGAGTTGTTCCACTCGGTATTACAGAATGAGACCAGTGCACCATGGTAGCTCTTCGCAGTGCTCGTCAAGTGCTGATCGCTTGAATACATTGTCCCAACGCTGTTCAGCACTTTTGCTTGTGTCAGGATTAAGAGGTTTGGCTTGTGGTCGCCCCCACTCTCTTCCTACATTTTGTTTTAATGAGCCTGGTCTTGCAAATTAGAAGAAGCAGTACTCACAACTGTCTGAATCGCGCGGCGAAGGAATTCATGGATGGGTGCAGAGTAGATCCTGGAATCCTCTACGTCAAGGTAATGACTCCCAACAGCAGCCAATGCTAATATTAACAGCCAGTGAGATGTCGACAGATCGAATGTTGGTGGATGTGTGAATGGTAAGATCGATTGAAAGTTATCAAAGTATAACTGGATGAAATGGTTGAACAATGGCAATGGTGGAAAGGAAGAGCTAGAGAACCCAGAGTAATGGTTCGAGGCAATGCATGTGAGGCTAAAGATTTCCGATATCTCGTCGTATATGTGGAGTGGGAGTGGGCGAAGACTTGAAGTGTTGATATCCAAGTGCAGATATTCGTCCGAATCAGGAAAACAAAAACCTGTATTCAAGTCCCTTGAATCATTACTGAGTATCAGTCCCGTGGAATATGGTGCCTTTCGAACGCGAGGTAGTCTGGCCCCTCCACCGTTTACATAATAATGACCAGCATCCTGAGTACAAAGCGATCCCGGGCTTGATACCTCTTGAGAATCCCCAGACTTTGTTAGCGCATGGTTGTTGAGATGCAGGCTCCCAAGGGATGTTTCGTGCTGGATACTGGCGGGATCTACCACGCGGCCAAAGTCAAGAGAGGTGTTCTGATTGTTTCGTCCCGGACCTGGAGATTGCATTTCATCTGGTGAGCCGAAAGTATTTCCGAGACCGACCTGGAAATCAGGAGTCCAATCATACGGAAGCCAATTCAATGATGAGTTGTTGCTTTCATACCAACGATCTGAAATACCTCGTTCACTTTGGGTTTCTATGAAGGCGTTTGTTTGAAGTTGGGCCGAATTTGGTTGGAGGCCAACCGGCCTAGCGAAGTCTCTAGGGAGTGAGCTTGGTTCTTTAAAATTGTGAACTTCCAGTCGGACATCCTGTGACATAGAAGGTCTCTGTGCTTGCGTCGCCTCAGCAGTCCTTGGATTGAAGTCTCGAAGAGGAGGGGGGTTTGCTGAGCTCAAATCATATGCAGCTGTAAAACCACGACCACCATCGTGCGCGCTTGATTGAAACCGACCCTGGCTTTGGTCCTTAGGCGAGGCAGACGTAGAATAAGTCATCGGCGAGTCTTCGTAACTAGCTGTGTCTTGTCCGACACGTACAGGCGATGAACTATGCTCATACTGACCGGGAGTTCTCGGGGTCCCTCTCCTTGACCGATTAGCATCGGGATAGCTACACTCGAGACCACGTTTCCCACATCCAGAGCACGTCGTACCGCCGGTACATTTCCTCCTCGCGAGAGCACATTGGATACAGGCTCTTGCGCCCTTTTCAAGAACACTCCTTTTTGGATCTTGGTGGACTTGCTCATGCCGTCTCAGAGCATCGCTGCATAGAACGTCAACATGTGATTTGGCAACACATATATGCCACTGCTCACATTCTGTAAAAAGCTTTTCGACAATACGTGCACTTGAGAAAGCGTTCTTTCGTATGACCTCGCGAGTGCCGGGTCAGATGTTCCACCCGGCTGAAAGTCTGGTGACATTCCGGACAGGAAACCCGTACACTCCGAGGCCCATCCTGAACGTTACTTGCATTCTGTTCTGATGAAGCTTAGTTACTTGTCTATGCTCCAGGAATTTCGGACTCACCCATTGGAACATTCTGCCATAATCAGGTTCCTCGAGGACTCGTGTCGTTGACATTGGAAAGTTGTCTTACGTTTTGGAGCACGTGGAGCTATAATGCGGGGTACAGTAGAATGTAGACTTCTTGTGGAGGTGGTTGCTTCCCCAGCCAATGAATTCTGCAATAGTCACGTGTCAAACCAATTGACTTCTAGTACTTGCTGCAGCTAGCAGTACTTGGTTCTGATAAACTAATAAGGCTAATGGGAACTCTCCGGCCGTCTGGTAATATCTGGGTAATGATACTAGGGCATGTTGAGGTGATAGGTGGTGGGTCACATATTCAAGATGCAGCAAATATTTCTCCCGTTGAAAGTTTCTATATCCTTACATCTATTTAACTTCATAAGGTTCAACGTATCTCATGTCTGTACAAAGATAACAGGACGTAGCCGTAAACCTCAGCCAACCTGCCCAGGGTATCTGATCCGTAATGTTCCACACTAAAACGTGAGTGCTTGAGGTAATGCCTAAACTCCATGCTAAATATCAGGCCTAGTTAAGCCATGCAATGACTTTAATGTTAACAAAGGAAATACTGCCTAAACTGGCAGTTGATGCACTGCATCATCAGACATGACTCATGATATGATTCAATTAATCCCTTGCAACAATGACGCCACCGAGGTATCCCATGTCATTCATCAATTCCTCCAAAGCGCTCATGTTCTCGCCATCAGGCACGGGAAACGCAGAGGCTCCTCCAAACGTAGACCTAGCGGCAGACTTGGTCAGGTTTGATGTTGTTGCCTCTTTTCGGAGAGTTTGTTCAGAAGCATACTGATCATCGGGTAAGCTGTAGCCGCTAAACCCACTGAGTAGAGTCTCGTCGATCACGGGACTGTAAGTGAACTCATTCTCGCTGCCAATATCTACAGAGAATTCATCATCGTCGCATGAGTCCGAGATGGAAGGTGTCTCACTAAAGTCGAAGTGACTATCGGCAGGCGAACTGATAGTTGTGGAAACAGTCGAGACGGAGAAATGGGATCTTGGTAGCTCTGCAGCAGAGATGGTCGCTCGCAGACGAAGAGGGGGTGGCACAAGAGTTTCTTCCGGCAGCAGTGGAAGAGGTTTAGAAGTATTCGTGGCGGTGCGTACTTGTGGGGACTGTGGACGCATCCGTGATGGTGCAGGTGACAATTGGGTGAAAATGCCTCGATTATTCAAGGAAGTACGGTTCAGCTGGCTAGCAAAGTTGTCGTCATCTTCAGCTTCTTCAACGATCTCGTCGGGGATGACGAGCGTGGTACTGTTATATGTGTTGCTTTCGTGAGTCGCCAACTGTCGGAGTGGAGAAGGTTCCCGGGAAAGAGATATCTTTGACTGCGGGGATGGATCACGCGTCTGGGGTACCGACGTGACCTTCCTCAAATCCCCCGATAGATTGATGAGAGACGTGTTGCTGGCACTGCTACTTCCCTCTACCGTATTGGTTGTTGACGTGGACGACCGGCCACGCTTATCGTTGTCTTGGAATGATGATACAGCTGGTGATCGAAGTCCGAAAAAGGCCTTTGGAGACCATGGAGACCTTTCAGGCTTGCTTGGTGGTGAGACGGAACGTGCATTCCTCTTCTTAGCGACCAAGGACGGTGATGTGTTCAAACGAGGGAGGATGGTAGGGGTCGGAGGTGGAGGTCGCGGCGCCATAAATTTATCGGCAGGGTTCATTGTTTTGATATCGCTATTCGCCATTGAGGTCATGGAAGCGCTGCGATATCGAAGGGGTTGAACCTCAACTGGGACCGAGAGAAGATTGACCGGTTGACCTGGGAGATATGGGCAAGATGTAGTTGATGGAAGTGAGGGGTCATAGTGTTCGGTGCCATCGTCGAGCTCGTACTATATGTACACGTGTGAGTTTATTTGTTCCTTCGGGTTTGTTTCGTATATAGAATAACATACGTAGTAATAATAGGTGGAGCCCATTTTCAAACCACCAGTCCGTTTAGGGCTGCCATCGCCATCTCCGTCGCAGATGATATCCGTAAATGCGTAACAGCCTCGCCATTGACCGCGCGAGCGCCTGGTATCTCGTTCCATCGGATAATGTTTCGAAAAATTGTCCCATGATCCAATTAGATGAACAGAATGTGTAGATGGTGACGTCTGGCTATAAAAATCAACAGTAAGCGTGGTGAAACAATGGTAATATTTAAATGAAAGGCCAAGCTTGTAGGGGTCATGTCGCTCTTATATTAACGACTTGGTGGCAGATTAAAATAAAACATTCTGCCGTCCCCTCCACTTTAAAGGTCGGATAAATGGGCGGTAATCAACTTGATCATAAAAAGCCATATATGTGTTGTACCCTCTAGACAACCCGGGAGAAGAAGCGGACATCATCAATGGAAGTATCCTGCGACACGGAGAGTGGAGAGGTCCCGCAATGCGTTGTGAGTACTTTCGTGGCCGAGTAACCCAGAGCTCCCAAAGTAAAGCAGCCGCGAATGGATTTTGCAAAAGTTCCAGTTGAATGAGGGCAAAGACATAGTCAACGCAAGATTCAAACGGGAAGTTTCCACGTTTACTCGGCCACTCTGCCAGATTTGATTCCCCTGTAGCGCCGTGTACTAGTTGTACGGGTAGGTATTGAAGCTTTTGAGGCTTTTGATTTGACGAGGCACTTCATCAATTGACCGCTCCAAATGCCCCTCGTGCTAGTGGAAAGGGGCTCTCAAAATCTCTCCGCGTGACGCAGAAAAGGACGTGGGAGACTACTATGTTTTTGGGGAAAGAAGAAAAAGCTGTTACGTACGTCATGAAGGTTGTCAGAGCTGTGTCCATTGTGTCGTATTATTAGTGCTCAGGACCGGCCCAAGACAAAGATTAAGTATTATGTTGAAGGTAGGTTGGAGGTAGTTGAAAAGATGCGTCGACGTTGTCTTATAAGTTGGATGAGATCAATGTCCAGTACCTCCATACCAGGCCGCTCGGAGCCGGTGGGGACCTAGTCGAGCCTTGAGGAAGTGGCTTGGTGGAATGAAACGGTAGACTGGAGTACTGATTGCTTCCTCGGATAGGTTTGAGGTTACCGCGTGTTTTGAGGTGCGACGTTGAGAAGTTCTCGTGGAATTGGAGTGTTGGTCAAGTGACCAGTAGAGATGGGGTCCTGACTTGGAAGCGCCGTGATGCTGGTCTGGACTTGTTCGCGATAGGCCTCCAGGATTGGGCGCGTACAAAGTATTTCAGGAAGGAAGTTTTTGGAACAAGGCGGTGTTTGATCGATGTGCCTTGTAAGGAACACTCTTATGCTGTGCTGGGGAGTATTTATTCCTGACGTTGAGGGCAATGGTGCTTGTTGATGTGGACCAACGAGGAGAGATGATGGAAGATGGATGGATGATCTTCCCTTTAAGGTTTCCAAACCATCCTATCATTCCAGTTACTACTGAAGCGGTCTGGTCTGCTTGGACGGCGGGTTGTGGATGCTAGTAGTAAGCCGGAAATTGCACCAAGTCAAATCGCCTCACGGCACCGGCTATGAACTTATACAGACGTGGGACGTGGTACATTTCCAGACAAGAACAATGGGATTATGGAAATGGAAATGGGGATGCGCAATGCGCTTGCCATATGCTGCTGTACAGTACCGTAGGTCCGAGTGAGTGGCGGTTGCATTCCTTTCCTCATCTTCTAGGTTCAACCTTAATAACCTCACCTCACCTCAGTCACAAACTCTCGAATCTCTAGGTACAGTCCAGTAGTGGCGCAGAGGCCAGAGCAGCTGAGCTTCAGCTCCTCAAACGACCCCAATGGCCAATGGGGGCGGAAAGGCGTCGGCAGTCAGTTTCTGCCATACTGTATAATACTATGACGTTTGGTTGTGACCCTGCAATTTGGGACCCAGGACCAAGGCGCGAATGCATGGAGCAGGACTGGCAGTGCAGGGTAGGGGAGGGCAGCAAGGATGGAACGGACTAAACCGTCGAAATGTACCAAATTCGGAGGGTTTTGTTTGATTATGCATCCGCATGCATCGATCAGTGTTGCATGTACGTACCTGAGGTATCACTACATCCGTACGGCTGTGTACCTACCTATCTCCGTAGAACTAGGACCTCCTGACCCTCATGGCTAAAAATCAAGGTTAAAGTAGGTAGATTACGAAGTACTATTTATCTACTGTGCACAGGTAATAGCTTCTCACTGGTGCATTGGACATTGCCACAGGACTATCGGTAGAGTTATCCATGTATCGCATAGATCTCAGATTCTCAGGTAGCGAATCAGCCATGCAATGCCATTGTTACATCTGAAACGGCCCGTTGATTGGCCGATGCTGCAATAAGGCAAATAACGCCACCGTCCGTGCACACACTCCATAACACACACCCACCCACCCAAAATAAATCCATCTGGTCTGGTCGCGACGCGTGAAATAGGAGAAACGCGTGTCAGACCTCATAGGATGAGGGTAGGAACAAGATGAGATGAGAAGATGTCTCGATTCAATACTCAACCATACCCCGGTGCTTTATACAACTCTTCGGTTATTCGTCTGAAACCCCCCTATTGCAACCCCCAATTACAACCCCCAACATCAGCCAATGCTCCTCATAAATACCGCAGCGCTTTTGTTCCAACCTTTGCTTTCCTTGCTAATTATACTTATAACAAACTCCTGTCAGGCTGTGTCAGCCGCAGCCCGAGTCATCATGTTTCAAGTCTTTTATTACAGCCTTACAGGTAGACCTACTGTATCGATGTCTCTTCGCCTACTGTGGAAAAAAATATCTATCAGTTCATCTCTTCTTTTCAAGCACTTAAAGTTACGACTAGGTCTAAAACATCATTATCACTCTCTCCTCGGATGTTTCTGTTCGAATGCGTTTGTAGTGAGGTGGTTGCTTTCCCTCCTAGAAAGTCGTTTCTGACGAGGCGTACAAGGGGAATACTTGGTGCCTCTCCACATACTTCTTGTGACAAGGCCTTATGTTATAGGATGCTCTTTTCTGAACCCATTCCCAGCCCTTTCACACCCTTAACTAGCTTGAAGTTACGTCGAGGTCCAGCTCGGCCAACAGAAAATGTATGTGACAAAGAGATTAATATTAGTATTAGGTATCCGGCACCTCTACTACCAGGGATGAGATGAAGCACTTCTAGGCTTGTGTTCGTACAGCACTCCTACAATCCCTCAATTCCAAGCCCGAACACCAACCCATCATAATTCAATCCACGCTAACACACATGAACATCACAGTAGAATGCCAAATCCCTGGATATCCCTCTAGTCCGTATTATACAACCACCTCTTCCATTAATGTTGTAATTTGCTCACAGTTCCACTTTCTTCGCGTCGGCCTTGAACTGCGCGGCTTTCTTGGTGCGCTCATATCTCGCTGTAGTATCCCCCCCAGTCCAGCGCGTGCCTAAGAATCGATCCCAGAACGTAAAGAAGGGTTGTGAGAAGTTCGTCTTGATGCCCCAGCTCTGATGGTGGATATCATGGTAGCCTGCATTGTTGCTTGTAATGAGCTGAAGCGGGTCCCAGGGAAGAGTGTAGCCGCAGTGGTCGTCGACTGTTTTAATTGTTGAACCAAGAAAGAACAAAATACCTTGCCTCGCTGTCAGGCCGCCGAGCTTGTAGGCTATGCTTGCGCCGAGGGTGTCGAGGAGGAATCCTTCGAAGGGGTGGTTATACAGGGCTCCGAAGGCGTAGGGCACGTAAAGTCTGTGGTGACGGGAGTGGAAAGTTGCTATATTGAGGTTAGAGACAAAAGGTGATAGAGGACGGAAATTGACATACTATAAAGCCACTTATTTATATGCATGGCACGATGAAGAAAGTACTGCCACGTATCCACAAAAAGAATAGCTACAGAAAATTGCAATACTGGTATGATAAACCAGTAGATCATCTTCGCAGCAAACATTTCCCAGCTCGTAAATGCGGGCACGGGTGCCCCGCTCACAACATCCATCTCCATGGTGAACGGGTACTTTCCTCCCGCTAGTACCCCCGCAATCATAGGATAAGAGCCCGAGAAGTTCTTTGATAGTGCCGCAGCATTCAATCCAAAAAGAGCCAGGAGCTTCGGCAGAGCCCTCTGCGCAATTCGTAGTCTTGTCGCCCAGCGTGCTACGTCGTATTGTTCCATCCCAGTAACTTCTTCCGGCTCTGTCAGTCCCAGTATCGCACCGACCACTGTCTGTATAATTTGTTGTATGATGACATCGCGTGCGACTTCATAGCGCGAGACGTGGTTCCGTTGTTGTATCTCGGCGGGGGTGTGTAAGCGGTACTGCGGCCATATATCGTAGACATCGATGTAGTGGAAGACCATGGACACGGCCCAGTATGCGACAACGGGGAGGAGCAGCGAAACGTAAAAGTCGGAAACGAAGGAGAAGAGCGGCTGGACCGGAGTGAGGGTGTATGATGGCAGAGGGGGGAGATCGGACATGGTGGACAAATTGCCGGCGAGAGGAGTAATATTGGCCATGTCGGAATGCAAGCAGCTTTCTATAATTATGTGCGCATAAATGGAGGAGAATAGAGGGAAGTAGCTGTCTAGTGAAGTGAAGGAGTACAAAGGATTGACGGTGGTGGTAGTGCACCAAGTTGTTTTTGAGGAAGACGGAGAAAGAGGCACGCCACCCGTCAGTACGGAAGTAATGAGATGGGGCTACTTTTAGACGGTACAATCTCGTTTAAATTCCTTACATCCGGCACTCCCGCGATCTCCTGAGCGGAACGGCTCACTTGTGACTTTTGGCACGATGAATCTACATAGAAGACAGGAATTGGAGTACTACTTCGAATTTTCCATTATTCAGCCGTACTTGTTGGTGGTACGTCTTTCTGTTGTCGAGGCGTTGTGCAGAAGCATTCGGTAAGAAATCGTATCGCATTGCGATAAGCATAGCATGTGAAGTCATGCATGGAATGTGGGACCGACTTGGTGTGGCTGTAGCAAAACTTTCGATTTTTTCAAATTCTTCAAAAATTCCATGTGACCTATTGGTCACGTGTATTTGCACGTGTCAGACTGGAATAAGTTCCAGACCAGATTTGGTTGTCGGAGAACTCTTCGCCTTAGGCCGCTCCTCTAACCTACTTCGGCCTAAGTCCTTCTGCCCCTCCCTTTTTTCCAACCCAAACCCACCAAGAATCAGAATCTCGACTTTCGAGTCCACACAGTCTTTGATACCCAGTCTCTTCTCTTCTCTACCCAAAAACCTCAATTTTTTTTTCGCATTAACACCGCCATCATGATCATCTACAAAGTCAGTCAAGATTGTTAATACCCAGTCCCCTGTTCCCCTCCCTCATTCCCCTCCCCTCCCCAGACAACCCCGCTGCTCAAGGCCCGACACCGATTTGTGGGGCTGAACTGAACCGTGAACGAACATGCGCTGACATCTTTGGTACTGCAGGATATCCTCTCCGGTGACGAGATCATTTCCGACTCTTACGATTTGAAGGAGGTGGATGGCACCGTCTACGAGTGTGATTGCCAAATGATCACCCTTGGCGCCGTCCAAGTCAGTACGTGCAACCCGAGCATTCAATCCTGCCACTACACTACTAATGCGCAGTACAGACACTGGAGCCAACGCCTCTGCTGAGGAAGCCGAAGAGGGTGTCGAGGATGGCGCTCAACAGGTCAATAACGTCGTCAACTCATTCCGTCTAACGCAAAGCTCCTTCGACAAGAAGTCATACCTCAGCCATCTCAAGAGTACGTTCAAATATCTACACGCCTCTTAGGTCTAGTCTAATTGGACTACAGCATACATGAAGAAGGTCAAGGAGGCTTTGAAGGCAAAGGGAGCTGATGAGGCTACCGTCACTGCCTTCGAGAAGGGTGCTGCTACGTATGCCAAGAAGATTGTTGCAAACTTCAAGGACTACGACTTCTACATTGGCGAATCCATGGATCCCGATGGAATGTAGGTTTTTTCCCGTCTCTTAATGGAGTGCTATGCTAAGATATACAGGGTCGTGCTCATGAACTACCGCGAGGACGGAACCACCCCTTTCGTCACCGTCTGGAAGCATGGTCTCACTGAGATGAAGGTTTAGACGAGCGTATCATTTGTTGCGCGTGGAATTTTTGCTCTTGATGCATTGCCAAGAGATTAGTAAAGCATTCCTTGCGAGTTTCCCTCCACCATCAGCGATATCAATCCTTCCCAAATCAGAAATCCATTCCCCCATCCTTCCATCATTATGTGAACTTTGTCCTCTTTGGTCGTTCTCTAGGAAATCGAAGAGTGCAAATGGATTAAGGCTTCAATTTGAGGCTTAGAGACAGGTTATCTCGCTTCATTAATACACTCTTCCATGTTTTTCCATGTGCACTATCGACCCATCTGACGCAAATACCCCCCGGAAACTGAAAGTGAACATAATCTCCCACGTATCATGAGTTAACCCCCCTCAAGTAAATTTCATCAATCGCGTGGTTGGATCAATCCACTTCTGGCGTGACTTCAGTGAAGTGCAGATTTGTGCCAGCAAGTCAGCGGCAAATTCTGGAACTTCTGCAATTGGATATCTGAAGCAGACGGTACATTCCTTGATGCCATGAGCCGACAAAGCGCCCTGTGTGACCAGGGTTCTCAGCGGGCTTCCGTTCGCAGCAATTCTGTAGACGGTTTTGATATCATCCGGGGTAATGGTGGTGGATCGTGGTTTAGCTACAGATTTAGGAACTTTCCGGTTTTGAGCCATGTAGGGCTCCAGAACGGCGTCCCTGAGAGGTTCATAGACCGCCTCGCAGGTAGCAGCACCTAGACCGTACTTGTCTGCATATTCTAGGAATTCAATACACCTCTTGATGGCCTCGCCGCTTGTCTCTTGAACCTGCAGACTCCCCGCAATGCCTCCGGGCATGAACTCCAGCAGGACCTCGAAATCATAGACCTTGTCTTCCGGGAGATCTAACTTCTGGCTCTGCCCCTCGATGAACTTGCCGTTGAAACAGCGATCGAAATAGTTGGAGTAGTGGCAGAGGAGCAGTTTTGGGAGCGAGTAGTGCTTCCTTTGCGCACCAACGTAGACATCAACTTTGGGGTCGGAGATTAGCCTGCGTTTGTGAGTGAGCTGTATGATTTATAACCTCTTATTCTTAGTATGTGTTTTGGACGAGAGGTGACAACTTACTGGAGGGAACCCATAGGAGATGGCCTCTTGGGCGTTGCTTGGGGCGGCACGGTGCGAACTTCGGGAGGTGTGATATCGAGGTCAATAATTTCGGACAGAGCTGCTCAAGTGGCCCCTGGTGGTCGGTGATTGGGATTGAAAGAGGAAGCTGGATGGATACGATGAGCTCAAGTCAATTTAGCTGAAGTTGACCAACTTCGAAAAGTTGCGGTGTATCTCCAAACGATTTTGCAGTTGGGCTTGAAAGGTTCTTAGATCGAAAGGAGAATGCGAAAGATAAGAAAAGGAGAATGGTGTTTGTAGTAAGAAACTATGAGGAGCCTTGCTTCATGAATTTAGTGTGCTGCAATATATATGTAGATTTTGATTATGGACGAGAAGTGGGTGGTCGTTCCAGGACGTTTCTTGTTTTGCTAGAGTCGGACGTAAAAGTCGAGTACGAGAGTCTCATCCTCGAAGCTGGCTCCAATTCCTAGGAAATTAAGCACCAGAGGAGTACTCAGAGAGGCATTAGGATAGTGCACATATACACAGCGATGCGTATATTTAACAAATGAAATTTACCACTTCAATGTGTCACAAACAGGGAAGATTGGAGTCTGTCGTCACATATGGTACGCTTGGTAACGACCACAACTGTGTCAAGGAGTAATAAACCTTCACACGAAAGAAATTGCATTGAATTGCGCTGAACTATCCTTGCAGAATGAATCCCCACCCCTCTCCGTATACCATTCATGGTGACTTGTTCATAAAAGTATGTCCCATAATACCCTGCCCCTTTCACACTTCTGAGATAGACAGCCATCCATAGAGTTCACAGACCATCTGCTCATGCCTTATAGTCAAATCACCATTCCACGAAATCCAGTCTCCATCTCACAACGACCAAAGTCTACAACAATGAATTCGACCATAGATTGAGACTCCCTGATTAATCGATCTCCATAATGTAGTAATTCTTGGCCTTGAGACTTTCGGGAGCAATATCGGACTTTAAGAGAAGCTTCTTCTGCGAAAGAACAAGGTCTGCCAGCATTTCATTTGGGAAATCTTGCACTTTACTGTTCAATACTTTAGCGAGAGCTGCATATGGTGCTTTGTGAGTAAGTTGGTCGATGAGAAGATGTCGCAGAGGGCTCCCAGCCTTGGTTTCCTTGTAAACGTAGGTAATCTCGGCGGTGCTGCCGTTATAACCAAACCAGTCTTTCTCGCAAAGACCTTGATGGAAAGAATCGGAAGTTAGCTTTGATGTTGCTTCAAATGATGTTGTCGGGGTGTTGGGGTAGCGATAGATGAGCCGAGGGATCGTCTTGAGGCTCGTGGAGATCTACTTGTAGTAGAGGCCCCCGAAACATACCGAGACAGGAAATAGATGAATACCAAGTATCTTACCTTCAATGGCGGCATTTTGGAGACCGAACGAAAGAAGCTTGTCACCAAGGATCCAGAGCGTAACTAGCAGGTGGGCTTGCGGGAGCTCGCCTCTATTGTCTCTGATGGTTTGGCGATAGAGCCAGCGGACAAAGATACCGAAGGCCTCAGGTGTAGTGTCTTCAAAAACCACTATATCGTGTCAGTCTTAAAGGCCGAAATCTTTAGTTTTGGCTCCAGGATATACCTGTTTGATTTTCATCCTCCATGAAGAGATCGTCGTCTAGTTTATCAAACGCCAAGGCAAAATATGGCGAGTAGTAGCAGATGAACTTTTTGTATACGGGGAAGTTTTCCTTGCGCTTGCCCTTCCCAACGACTACTGTAATAACTTCATTCTGTGGGCTCCTGAGGTTCGTTAGAGGGCGATGAGGCGCAGGGTATGGGAGACAAGACTGACGATAGGTCTGGAACCTCAGCTGTACCGTCCTGCTGGTATTTTGTAGGGTTCTGGCGTACTTTGAATCTTTTGGAAGGACGACCGTCCATTATAGGGGCTGAATGGCTCCTCTGTTCTGCCATTGTAGTTTGAATGAGGGTAGATCGAGAATAATGTCGATGCTGTGACGCACGCTGAAGGATGTACAGGAATCGAAAGTGAATATGGATTTACAGGACTGGTTGAGTCGAGGGTTTCTGAAATAGTCATGGAAAAGGAAGGCGGAAAGTGAGAATGAAGGTAAGCAGGTGGTGTGCAGAAATGAAGAGGAAGCCGACGTCGCCACCCAAGCGTTTGACGAGTAGCACTTGGTGGTGGTGGTGGTGAAGAGGTCCAAGCAAGTGCATGCATGTATTATCGGGAGTATTAAGCCTTGCGTTGAGAGCTGCTAGCGGCGATGCATGGAGGCGAAGCAATGTGAATTAAGAATAGGGACCGAACATGACTTAACGGGGTTAAGGCTAGGTGGTATTCACACTGCTCTGAACATTCCAGAATCGACAGAGAAGCTAAGGTTGATATGCACAACCGAAGGAGAATTGTTTCAAAAGACAAGACGTGAAAGAGAGGAAGAGTATTCAAACAATAGTAGAGAACCGCTAAATAATACAAGAATACAAAAGCCGGAACATGTTTTAAGGTCCAAAAGTCATCACCAACTTGGATCTAGCTCCCCTGCCCAGTTTATGCCAACAGCCCGGAAAATCCGCACTTCTCCCTTGACCAGCTCAGACATGTCATATGAGCCTCGTTGGACCCTTTTTACATTACCAACATTCTGTTCAACCACGTTTAACTCCCCGTTGGAACCTATTCCAACAACCACAGCTGTGTGATCAGGAGCACCCGCCCATTTCTGGCTCCCATCCTTCGCGTGGAAATGTGCCGTTAAAAACTGTATAATATCGCCTCTTGATACACCGGCTTCAAGCACGCCACCTCTTGGATCAGGATGTGGGGAGATTGCTGGCATGAACGAGTACAGTTTGTAACCGTGTACGAGAGACTGGGAGGTCATGCAGGGTTCTTGGCCGCGTGCAGAGCACTTTGCTGCGATAGCCTGAAGTCCATTATGAGCTAGGGTCCAGCACTCGCCGTCACCTACTTGTTGGCCCATATTCGATTCGCACCAGCTTGCAAGGGCTTCGGAATATCTGCCAATATTAGCCATAATCTAGTACTACCGTTGGATCCATACTTCTCTCGACAGTCGTTAAGCTCGTGCATGCTCAGTTTACGTGGAGGGGGGAAATGCTTCTGCTGGGCGTTGACTGTCAAGCCAGGATTACTAGCATCCCATGTTAGGAGTATCTTCGTCCTCGCCATCGTACTATTATCTTGTATAACAGCGTTGAACGTATGGGTTTTCCGAACGCCATTAGAGCTCCAGCCAGAACTCGATGCGTGGCTGATTTTACCATTGCGGCCGAGGCTAGGTGGAGGGAATAACGGCGGCATTTGGGCGAACCACAACGTTTTGAGGTCAAGGTCGAGTTCCCCCGTACCATGAGAGCTAGCAGACTACAAAATTAGCGAATTCTCTCCACATTGGCAGGACACATAGTAGTGAGGCTTTTGTCTGTGATTCTACGAGAGCTACTCGACTGCCGACAATATTCAATGGCAGGAGACAAGGCGAATCACCCGAAACGGATGTTCCCAACCACAGCGGCGTATACTCATAGGGGCAGGGCATTTCAAACAGAAGAAAAAGACCCAGAGTTCCATTGACTATGAGTCTAGGAGGTCTATTATTCAGCAGCAGCGTGCAAGTGACTCCACTATGATTTGACTATGCAATCATGGCTAAATTCATATTTAGGTTATACGAAAAGTTACTATTCTAGTAGATCGATATGATGATCGGCAAGTGCTAGGACATCGTAGTACTTATAAATCGAATGCAGCATTGGATGTAAACACACATGATGTACTGTGGGAGGGGTTGGAAATCCGAGTAGAGCACTGCAAGAGTCATGGCAAAGGGGTTCTTGGAAACCACCCTAAGTGGTAAGAAATATAGCTTTGCTCCAAGGCTTTCTTCTGCAACAGTTGTACTAAGGAATGGAGCTCAAAGAATGCTAAAAGATGATTCTGCAGTTCAATTGGAGTAACACTATTGATAAGGTCTACTTACTTGGGGTTTGGGTTTACTTGACAGCGGGATAGGTGGCGGCAGTGGTTCTTTGCCAGTATTCGGGCTCGTCAACTGGGCTTTCTTCGCAGGTGGAGGCGGAGGCTTCTTCTTCAACCCAGCCACCTGCGGTAAGCCATTCAAACTTGCCCTTCCCTGCGGAGAAGCAACCTCTTGCTGTGAATCCCCAACTCCGCCATAGGCCCCAACTTTATCCGAAATGCCATACTTGGTATTGAGTTTGTTTGCCGACTGCCATCCTGATTTCACCTGCTCACCGTGTCTTTCCCGAAAGTTATTTGCCGTGCTTGCTGCTGATCTGGCATCGCTCAGAGAGACAGAGGAGGGATCATTTCGAAACGAAGATGCGGTTTTCAATGCAGCCTGCTTTTGGGCGAACGAGGTACCCTCGCTGGGACTTTCGGGCTTAGGTGAAGATGGGGCACGACGGGAAAAGCGGGATTGCAGCTCATTGAGCTGCGAGGTATTGGCTTGCGGGGGATCTCTCGAGGAATTTCGCGACGAAGATGCTGCTGCCGGAGGAGGGACTGGTTCCCGTCCCTTTTGCTCTCCGATTCCGAAGCCCTGAACGGAAAGACCGGCTGCCCCTAATCTGCTCAAGGATCCCTGGTTGAGTATGCCCCTATGCGAATCTGGCTCGGATGCTGTAGTATTGTGTGTGGGAGGAGGAGATGGGGCGGGATTTGAGTTTTGTCGGGGTGGAAGTCTTGGTGGAAGACTTGGGGGCTTTGGCTTGTTGATGGGTGGATGTGGTGGACTCCGGCCATCTGCTCCATCTTTACGTCCCGGAGGAGGAGGCAGGTGAGATGTTGATAAGCCGGTAGTGTCTGCTCTGTATGGCATAGGAGGTGGTTTGGGCCTTGCTGCCTCTTCCGCCTCCCGTCGTGCTTCCTCTTCCTCTGCTTGCTGATGAGCCTGTATTTCCTCTTGTGATAACGGTGCTCCCCAGCCCCTCCTATCCGGGGTGATCTGGTTTGGAAGAGCTGCCCCTCCATGAAAGTTGACGTTTTTGGGAGGCGGCCCAAAGGCAGCAGGGTCTTTCAGACTTGATATTGGCATTGCAACATGGTCATTTGATTCCGAATCTTTGCCTTTCCCCATCCATCCATTAACGTGATTCATTCCTCTTCCTTTGAGGTCACCACCGCGCCATGATGATTCCTTCGACGTGCCATCTTTGCTACCTCCCCCTGTGATTTTATTCCTGATCCCTAGCCCCGTTATTGACATTGTTCGTGGAACGAGGTACGATAGAATGTATCTATTAAGGAGGGAAGCGTGACGTACTTTGGTACAAGGAAGGAAAGAGTGCATGTATTTACCGTGGTCGTGAACTTAGAAGAGTTTCGCTTAGAACCAGTCCAGTAACTGCTTGGGCGGGCTTGGGTCCCAACGAGGTGAGGTTATTTGGAAGGGATAAAATAAAGTAGAGAGTACCTCACTTCTCTTTGTTTAAGTAACTGTTAGGCAAGAAGAGCATATGAAGGAAGCTGTTTTCCTTCATTATTTTGCAGATCGGTAGGTACCTTATTGGTGTAAATAAATTTATAGTTCCTTATCGTCCAAAACCAGCCCCCATACGGAGTACAGTACTGTACCTACCCTACCCTACCTTATCCGTATCAGCCACTAGCGGTATCGGAGCGGAGCTTGCTTTATTTACTCTTTGGAAATTCTGGGAACTTCAAATTATAAGTTCGAGGGCTAGAGATATACATCACTCACCGCCACATTCAATTGGTGGCCCAAGTTGACACTCCTGTTCGCCCAACTTGAGCATCGACATTCTTGGGTCCTGCAATTGTCAACTTCAATCGCCAGCCGAGTCGCAGATCCATCCCATCATGTCGAGCTCTCTCCCGGGTAGTCGAGAGCTGCCAGCCTCTAAATATGATCTCAGCACATACTGGGGAAGAGTTTGGCATTCAGCAAATATTTCAGATCCTAGGTGAGGAGGACATGTTCAATTTCTTTGGTCAAAGGTGGATGCACTTCTGTTGCGGACGTCCTCCATGATTCATGCTAAGATCTGGCAGGACATTGCTAGTTAACCAGGCGGGGTTGGAACATGCAAAGACCTTGATCGCAGGATATAAGCAAGGAAAGATCGGGGAGATGAATGTGGAGTTATGGAAGGCGAAGAAGATCGTTGATTCTACATTACATCCTGGTACGTTGGGCTGCTACGCACAAGGTGGATTGGAACTCATGAATCTCCAGATACCGGCGAACCAGTCTTGCTACCATTCCGGATGTCATCCTTTGTGCTTTCGAACTTGGTTGTCACGGCAGGAATGCTTACACCCGGTCTGGGGGTATGTTTGTTTCCCCTCTCTGTACCGCAGCTCCTAACCATTTGCAGACGACTGGAACTCTCCTCTGGCAAATAACAAATCAGTCCCTAAACGTTGCAATCAACAACGCCAATGCCAACAAATCGATCCCATTATCTACCTCCAAAATTACTCAATCCTACTTCCTTGCTGTCGGTGCTTCCTGCGCCGTTGCCCTCGGTCTTAATGCACTCGTGCCTCGATTAAAACGAGTTAGTCCAGCTACAAAAACGATTCTTACAAGACTGGTACCATTTGCTGCTGTGGCGAGCGCCGGAGCCCTCAACGTGTTCTTAATGCGCGGAGAGGAGATCAGACGGGGTATCGATGTCTACCCTGTCCTCTCAGAGTCCGACAAGGCCAAGCTCGCAGATGAGGGGAAATCAGAATCGTCCGTAGCTTCTCTGGGCAAGAGCAAGAAAGCCGCTACACTTGCTGTTTCTGAAACTGCTCTGAGCCGAGTCCTGAACAGCTCTCCCATCATGGTCATCCCGCCTTTGATACTTGTCCGCCTACAAAAGCAAGAATGGCTCAAGAGAAATCCAAGACTTACTTTACCTGTTAATCTTGTCTTGATCCTTGGTACAAGTCTCTTTGCATTACCATTGGCCCTTGCAGCGTTCCCTCAGAGGCAAAGTGTGGATGCGAAAAGTTTGGAGAAAGAATTTTGGGATCAAGGTGGAGAGGGTGGCAAAGTTGTCTTTAACAGAGGTATTTGAGCAATTCAGACCCTGGTAGAAAGTTAAATCCGCGCAGAGATCCTGAAGCTTCCTGGGTTATGGACCAAATTGTCAAGCAGAATTCCTGCGCTGCACCCGGCCCAAGTTAACTTCACACCATGGCAATAGGTGCAATTACAGAGAGTACGAGGTCTTAAGCAACAACCTACATGGTTTGGGTTGTTTTGTTACATAGAAAGCAAATCTAGATGCAGCGCCTCACGGCAGCTTACACAGGTACCCTTACTTTGTCTCAAGTGTTCACCCCTGAAAGCCCTAATCACGTGTTTCGCCTGCCCTGGACGAAGCATTCCGCATGAACCAATGTGACCACTGAGACGACCTTAAGCTTTTTGGCACAAACAATGGAATAGCTTATCTATCTACTACGTGGGTTCGTTTCCCGAGGGTGTACAAGTACATGTATCAACGTGTTCGATGAGACACGTTGATGAATGATCCTTGGGATCTCGTTTGTGAAATTGCCACCTTCGGCAGAAATCAAAGGATGGGATGGGGTTATCTCCCGTGATGTGTGGTGGAAGGGAAAGGTCCGAGAATGGTTATGAGTGGAATGCCAGAGGATAATATTTGTCTACCGATTAGTTTCTATGCAAAACTCCCATACTCACGAGTTGATCAGCTTGGACTGATGATATCCGCATCTGACCGACTCGTTTTGCTGTCGGAAGACCTCGGTGAGGTATCAAATCAGATGCTGAATCGAGACGAACCAACGAGCAGGCAACTTGGCAAGGCACAAGCACGCATACCTAAGGTACCTAGGTACATACCATACCTACCACTACTGTACCTCACTCCGTAAAAGTAGCAAGGGACGCTTGTTTATTTTGTCCAGCTGAGCCGATGACAAGGTAAGACTATTCGTGAATTTCACAAAACGTGATGGGCTGGTAATATGGTACGTAGCATCAGCGAACAGGAGCATCATACCGCTTGCCCCCAGATGCGAGACAGTCAGAGAATAAATGGTGATGGTGATGGTGATGTTGATGTTATTAATGTTAACATTAAAGAGAGCCAAGCCAAGGTTGTGAATGAGGGGAAGAGGGGAGTGGATATGGCGTCGTAATTTACAGGAAGTCTCTTTTTACTCATTATATATGTGCACCCTATCCTGCCTGTGCCCATGCCATGGCAGGAGCTGTAAGAAAGAAAGAGACTGGCTCTATGCGTCCATTTACCACACACTCGGAAATAAAGGTAATAAATAATGATACAATAGAAAGGAATAAATTGATACTGTATTGATAATCCAAACCCCTCTCCCTCTGATCTGAGCCGATCATCGATCGCCTCCACCACTCAGGAGCGGCGATAGGGAAGGTCCATCCATCCTATCCTGTCCTGGTCTGGCCGTGTCAAGCGGCGAGCCCTGCGTCGTGAACTCCACTCCGCTTCTTACCTACAGTACGTGAGTGTCGCTTGCGGGAGACAGTGCAAAGCCAACTTCACTCGAAAAGTCCATCATTACACATCTTGTCAACGGCACTTCACCACTACTCTTTTGATGCCATCCTGCCCTTCAACTGTCACCGAGATACCCAAGAATCTTTCGCCACCAACAAATCCGAGCGAAATGCTTCGAGTCTGACTGTGGGCCCGCCTCAACACCCTCTTCACGCGCCCGAAGACGACACCAAGCATCACAGTATCCCTCGACAATCACAATTCACCCCATACAGCGGACAGCATCACTTCCTCAACTGCAGATTCAATGCTGCAGAGAGATTCGCGATAATTCACAGCCGTGGTGCGGAACCCAAGACCAATTTTCGGCTCGCCTTGAGCCCTGGGCTAAGACGAGTACACCTCTCGATCAATGTCGACCCCGTCAATCTTGCCTCCCCATCATCCAAACTACGGACTATCTCACCATCAAAACTACCAATCGAACGCCGGTTACAGTAGAGCAAACAATCCCCTCTTGAACGGCGGGAGCCGGTTAGGAGCGTCATATCACTTCCCGACTCCGTCGAGTAACGGCACCTCATCAAATAGCATTGGGGCACCAGATCCCCCACGGCACAACGCGGCCCCATCATCATTATCATCTACAAGACCCGAAAGCAAAACCGCCGCTATGCCCGCATCTTCGTCTGTATCCTCGAATACACAGAATTCGAAGAAGCGACAGCGCTCGAGGGAACCAGCCGACTGGCACACTTTTTACAAGAATGGTCTCCCCAAGGAGGTCATTGTGATCGATGATTCTCCCACCCCAGACCCATCCGCATCTGTCCTGTCAAATGCCCCGCAAGCTCGGGCTGTAGCGGACGAGAGTAGTCGACACCCGGCAAAGAAGAGAAAGCGCGATGACGTTGGTTCGGCCTACGATCCAATATATCAAAATGGAGCCTCTAATTCCAATAATCCGAGTCCCGATTACAAAGACTCTGCGTCCGGCTCTACTATTTCCACCGATAGAACGACATCAGCCATCCATACGACAGCAGCCACTTCATTGGGCTCACATTCCTCCAACGGGTACGAGGCTGCGGAAGCCCTGCCCGGCCAGAAGAGAAAGAGGACAGCAACAAGGCTTCAGATTGCCAACGAAGCCAAGCGGAAAGAGCTTGAGGTGAACGGGGACGCATACACGAATTACAAACCCCCACCACGCCCACCCATCAAGGCACCAGATGTGGTTGTGAAGGTCGTCGCAGATGTGAGCATTGACGCGTCTTCCCAAATAACGGACACTGACTATCAAGCAGAATTCCTACACAAAAAATAGCAAAGTCGATGATGACGATGGCCACTACATCGTAGTGGCAGACACTGATCTGACTGACAGATGTGAGTGTCAAAACCCTAGCCTTGATAATGGAGTAAAACTGACAGCCTATTCCAGATCAGGTAACAAAACTTCTTGGCCAGGGAACATTTGGCAAAGTTGTGCAAGCCAAAGACCGAAGAAGGAACAAACTCGTCGCCATCAAAATCATAAGGTCTGTTCAGAAGTACCGGGATGCTTCACGAATAGAATTACGGGTCCTCTCAACGCTGAAGGCCAACGACTCGGAGAACCGAAACCGATGTATACACCTCCGTGACTGTTTTGACTACCGAGGCCATGTATGCATTGTCATGGACTTGCTCGGGCAGAGTGTCTTTGATTTCCTCAAGGGCAACTCTTTTGTTCCATTCCCAAATAGTCAGATACAAAGTTTTGCGAGGCAACTCTTCACTAGTGTTGCTTGTAAGTCTCTCGGTATTTCAAACGCTATTTGATGCATATGCTAACAGAACTCTTAGTCTTGCACGACCTGAATCTTATCCACACTGACCTAAAACCGGAAAACATTCTGCTGTGTGAGAATGCCTACCAAGCTTTCACTTACAGTCGCCGGATACCCTCATCCTCCAGCACAGTCAATCGACAAGCGGCTCAAAGGAAGGTTCTTTTGGACACAGAGATTCGACTCATCGACTTTGGCTCCGCAACATTTCAAGATGAATACCATTCTTCTGTTGTTTCAACACGTCATTATCGAGCCCCTGAAATCATACTGGGTCTTGGATGGTCCTTCCCGTGTGATATTTGGAGTATCGGGTGTATTCTAGTGGAGTTCTTTACTGGGGACGCATTGTTCCAAACACATGACAATCTCGAGCACCTGGCGATGATGGAAGCTGTTTGCGGTAGCAGAATAGATTCGCATCTCATCCAAACCGTCAACAACATGTCGAAGCGCAGTGGAGGAAATCAGGCCTCCAAGTATGTCTCCTGTAATAAAATTTATTCTTCCTTTGGCTAACTCTTCATCAGATTCTTCAAGCGATTAAAGCTGGATTATCCACAGCCAGAGACAAGCAGAGCTTCTCGGCGTTTTGTGAAGGCTATGAAGCGATTAGAGGTAGAGCCCCACTGATTGCTTGTTAAGATGACTTTAATTAACACATGTTTAGACTATCATTCCAGAAAACAACAAATTCTGTAGGAATTTCTTAGATCTTCTAAGGAAGATCTTCGTTTACGACCCTGCTGAACGTATCACCGCGAAGCAAGCCCTCCAGCATCCTTGGTTTAAGGAAGCGGCAACTCCAGATGATGGAACAGAAGCTACCAAGATTCGTTTGCAAAGACAACAGCAGGCGGAAGAAGCTGTTGCAACCGCTACGGCGGCTGCCAATCTGAGAGTTAATGGATACCGCCATTGATAATGACATGATGCATGAAAAATGACGGCGTACAGGGATGGCGGAGTACGGAAGGAAATCTAACTTGCATTGGATCAGCGCAAATGTTGGTCTTGCATACTGGTGGTTGTAATGTGTTAAGCGTGGTGTTTGAGCAGAGAAACAGCTCTTGGAAACTTCTTCCAGGGGACAGCGACCTGGAAAACAGCGAATCACGATCAATGCAAAGCATTAAAGATCTTTACCCAATAAAGAGACTCGTCCTTTCCACAGTGATTCTTTCCATTGATGACTATCGAAATATCTACAGTCTATAATTTCCATCTTAGGCTGCCTCTTTGTCCAACTAAAGTCTATTCTTTATAATATACGTCTGGTTAGGACTGAGTGATACTGACACGTTTCTGACCTGCCCTATCCTGTCTGTCCTGTCCTGTTTAATCTCTTTAGCTGGGCTTATCGCTTATCGCACTCCTGGAGCTCTTGCCGAAGAAAAAAGTTACTGCTCAACTACACCACAGCTCCCGCCTTGCCTTCCTACACATACCCACCCCAACTACTTCATGCGTGACTCCTTACTCACATTCAAGAATCCTGCCTCACAACTGCTGAGCAAAGAATCCAGATCCCGCACCTCCACTTCTAAAGGGCGCAACACCACCGCACTGCTAAGGGGGGCAGATCAACGATTTCTGCGCCCGCCTCGATCTTTCTTATCCTCGAGTACCAAGCACAGTCAAGTCCCCACAGAAGCCGGCCAGAGCAAGAAATCGTTTCTTTCCCGATCCTTGAAAGAGTCTACATCTTTCGACCAAATCTTTCCAGGTCCCCGCCTAAGTACTAATTCAAGGTTCTTCCAGGCGCCGTACTACGTTGTCTTCAATTCTCTACACGGGAATTGCCTCGGGGGTACAGCGGACTCTCGAAAGCCGGGATTCTGGCCATTCTTTAAAAAAATGAAGGTTTGGTTGCAGATTCTGAGCACGCCAACCGCGGATACGCCTGGCACGACGTTGGTGTTACACTTTGACGAGAAGAGATACTTGATTGGAAATGTGGGGGAAGGGACTCAGAGAGCCGCTGCGCAGAGAAAAATAGGGTTTATCAAGCTTGGAGATATCTTTTTGACGGGCCCCATCAGTTGGAGTAATGCTGGGGGGATCTTGGGCATGATCCTTACTGTTGCGGATTCCTCTGCCCATTCAAGGGAACAAAGCAAAGTGGACGAAACGAAGAAGAAGAAGAACAATAACAAGCGGTCGGAACCTCCGAATAACAATGACAACGCCGACGAGGGGAAGGCCTGGCTGAACATATACGGCGGCAGGAACCTGACGCATCTCCTTGCTACCGCGAGACGATTCATATTTAGGCAGGGCATGCCACTACGCACAACCGAGTTCAGACCTAAAAAGGCAGGTCAACAAAGCAATTGGGACCCTGCGTGGCAGGATGACTTCATCAAGGTGTGGGATTTGGTTCTAGAGCCAGAAGAAGATCAGTCTCTTAGTCCGAGGAAGAGAAGCCACGAAGAATTCTCTGCTGATTCACAGGAAGTTACTCCTGAAGACAATAAAGAAAGTGCGGAAGAAAAGGAGGAGCGATGTGACCAATTGCGAAAGTCGGTGGTTTCGTCCATGTTCGACTCGAACTGGCGTTTGGATGCTCTTACTACCAGAAAGCTCTCCGAGGTCGCATTGCCAGCTGCTATTTTCGTCAGAAATGAGCAAGGTAAGATAGAAAAGTACCGCGGCCCCATGCCAGAAGGAGGAAAGGACGTCCCTGATATAGACGTCCTTGTCCGAAGTCCCTGGCCTGGAGCTCTTATCGAAGAACTCCCGCCTACAACTCCCTCGACAACCTCAGTGTGCTATATTATCAAGGGTCACCCCCAGCGGGGAAAGTTTGATGCGAAAGCCGCTATTGCTCTGGGGGTTGAGAAAGGTCCTAATTTTAGGCGTTTGACCCAAGGAGAGAGTGTGACAACTGCTAGCGGAAGTGTAGTGACTCCTGAGATGGTGTTGGGACCAACGAGAGTAGGCAGCGGATTTGCAATTGTAGAACTGCCGAGTGCTTCATATGTCAAGCCGTTGCTCATGCGTGGGGAGTGGCAGTCAACAGAAGTCATGGACGGCGTGGCAGCCGTAGTTTGGATTCTTGGGCCAGGTGTGATCAATAATCCGAAGTTGCAGGAATTCATGGCAGATCGAAGTCACTTGAAGCACATTGTTTCATCCGAGGATTGCTGTTCGAATTATCTCGCACTTGAATCGGCTGCTTCGGCTGCAATCCGATTGAACCTCATAGATCCCGAACGGTTCCCAATCCCGAACCACAGCAATTCTGTCACTCAACAGCAGAGTGGAGAGCCGAGGCCTTATGAAAAGGCAGTGCCTGGGCTAACGTTGCAGCTGGAGCCACAGGCTGAATTGCAATATGACAAGATTATACACCATCTCGATACGGAAGGTGTTGTCAAGGAGATGCCCAAAGAAGTCCTCGACCTGGCCGAAATTGCCCGCGCGGAAGTTTTGAACCCAGAGTACCTAGCAAGACTCGATGAGAATCAGAAGGACATCCCTAGCAAGGATGCTGAGATTGTGACTTTAGGAACTGGTTCAGCCCTACCTTCCAAGTATCGGAACGTCTCTGCTACTTTGATTCGAGTTCCAGGATATGGCACCTACCTTCTCGATTGTGGTGAGAATACACTTGGTCAGCTAAAGAGAGTGTACGGGGAGGGATTGCCGGAAGTTCTGCGTGATTTAAAGGCAATATGGATCAGCCATCTTCATGCTGATCACCATCTTGGGACGGCCGCTGTGATCAAAGCATGGGCTGCGGAGACCGCTCTGCACGATCTGACGAAGAATAACAAGCTTCGCGTTGTGTCTCATGGAGGTATGACAGCCTGGCTCGAGGAGTACTCAGAAGTAGAAGACTATGGCTACGGCCGAGTTGAAACCCTAATGGTTGGTCGTTCAAACTGGAAATTCTGGGATTTCAATCACCATTTCAAGCCTCAAGAAGTAAAGGAGACCGGTATCTCTTCCATTCAAGCTTGCCCGGTCGAGCATTGTCACGGCGCTGCTGCTGTGGTTATCAACTTCTCTAACGGGTTCAAACTCGCATACTCTGGAGACTGTCGACCCTCAGAGAATTTTGTGAGGATTGGTCAAGGGGCTACCCTTTTAGTTCACGAGGCTACATTCGATGATGAGCTCCAGGGAGATGCTATGGCTAAGAAACATTCTACGACAGCAGAGGCTCTCGGTGTTGGGAGGCGGATGAATGCCAGACGAATCCTGTTGACGCATTTCTCACAAAGATATCAGAAGATTCCAGTGATGGATAGCCACGGAGGGAAAGACCAAGTGGCTATCGTTGCTTTCGATTACATGCGGGTGAAGCTGGAAGACTTTGCCAAGCTTGATGCTTTCAAACCTGCGTTGATGAAACTTTATGACGAGAATCAATGAGATCAGTGCCATATGGGCAAACTGTGTGGAGGATAGAAAGAAATTCTCTGCGAAGTCATGTTTCATTTTCTCCCATTTTCACGGCATTGCACGGCGTTTATGGCAAAAACTGGGCATTAGTGCAACGGGGCGTTGTGGCGGAGGTCTCACTTTCAAAGAAGGCTGTGGTTGTGTACAGTGTTGTATTCTACTAGATGATACCGCCTAAAATCAAAATCAATCCCTCCTTAAGCCTATGACCGCAGACTGACAACGAGGCATAGCTTCACTGGAAATCGGACATTCTTGTTATCCGGGTATGTCTGCTCGTGCTCCCCGTTGTTGCGCTTTCAAATCCTTCGTCTCTATGGATCCCTGGTTGAGAGCCCCTATTTTGTTCATTGACTTTCGGACCAACTTCTCGCTGCCTCAATGAGTTACCCATCTCAGAGTGGCCCGTCAGGGCCTCGTAGGCGCGTGCACGATGATCGGAATAGCGTCTTGGATTAGTTTGGTGGACCTGTTTTCTTGAAGGGTCGGCTCTGGTCGACTGGCTGTAGACACTCTCTGAATATCCTGTGGGGGCCCTTTGACTTGGAGCGTGGGCCACAGCGCGGCCGAACGTCCCTGACGCAGGGTCGAAGGCAATCGAGTCTCTAAAAGCAGGGTGAAGGTTCTCTGCATGCTGGGAAGGTTCTATGAGGTTTGTTGTCGACATGATGCCCGCATAATAGTCAATGATGGGTCCCTCGAAGTCGTCGTCCTCGTTGATGTGCTCATCGTCATCGTCAGCATTGAGGCCGTGGAAGTCAGAAGACTCGTCCTGCTGGGGCTCAAGTCCCTGGTCAACTATGCCGTTAGCGATATTCCGGCGAAGCTGTCCTCTAGCCTGCTGCAGCTGCTTTCTGATGTCTCTAACTTCGCGGGCAAGGGCGTCAGATTCTCCGTGGATTTCAGCATCTTGCCCAGTCCACTCGATCCAGTTTTCAACGAGTGGCAGAAGTCGTGATGATGGTCCACGCTTCTTCCTGCGGCCGAATATTGACGTTCTGAGATCGGTGATCGACTGGCGATTCCCTCCAACAGCAGCCAAAATGCATGCCTCACACCCATCTGGCACACGCTCGAATCGTGGTTCGCACGAATTGACATTGAACGCGTGCAGGTAAAGTTCCGGAGACATCCAAAGGCTGTTGAGGCTCTGGATTCTTTTGAGGAACTGTGATACGTTTTCGGGGAGCAATGGATGATCTGAAAGTCTTGCCACGCGGGTCGTACATTCAGCTGTAATTTGGAGGAACATGCTTCGGATGAGTTGGGGATGCAGTGTTTTGTGGGTTTTACACAGATGTGCTTTATTTGGAGTGAGATGAAGTAATAGACGGGAAACAAGAGTTTCTGGTCTTCGAAGTCTTGGTGGGAACGCCGCAATGAGGCGGGCTTGGTCGCGTAGCCATGTCTCGTTGGCTTCGGCCTCAGGTTGCAGGGAGAGGAGTTGAGCTAGGAGTTCTAGGTCTTCCACTCTCAGGTCCTCGATGTTGCGGAATGTTCGATTTGTCATTTCCCGTGATTCTTCTACTTGCACTTTATCTATCCTAATTATTGCGTCCTGGTTGGGAGTTAGAAGATTCCAAGATAAAATCTCCATTTTATAGGAAGAAACGCTTCTTTCTGTTTGGTAGGAGCAACTGTTCTAAAGCTTCCTAAGACTAGGATGTTTTAGTGCCTTAGAAATGTGTAGTGACTATAGAATGCTCATGAAAGTTGTTCTTCCTTTGTCATGAACGTTAGATAGAAGAAGTAGACGTGTTTCAAGAAAACGCACACTTTGTTTGGAATAGATTCCCACAAAGACGTTGCACTGCCAAAGTCATTGTTTGAACTTTACCTTAGCAGGGCTAAATTTGCAATGTTAATGAGCTAGGGGTAGCAGTCAGTATATACAGGAAGTGTTATATCCACAACGCCCGAACATACTGCACAAGCCAAAGTGCGCACCCCCCCCCCCAAAAAAAAAAATGGAACAGACTTCATGATTCAATCTCGGAACCACTTGGATAGTGCCAGTAAAACGCGTGCTACTAGGTCCTTGCTGGTACTGATAACTATGCCACTTGTTGATATTCATATCTCATCGTTCTGTTTCCAGACAATATCCCAATAGTGGAGCTGGTAGAGCCCGCGATTCTCCCGCGATTCTAATTTGCTGGAGAAGTCAAACTAAGATGCTCATGTTATCTTATTGCCCAATATATGTGGTTATAACCTCTCAACAAACGGGCAAAATGTCTTGATCCCGTTAGAAACTTTCAGAGGCGATGGGCCCATATTTGTTAAGACACCCAGAAATACGCGAGCTTGCCCCTTTTCAAGAAAAGCCGATGATTCATGTGTCATTTCTAACAAAGAATCTTACTACTGAAATGAGGGCATCCAATGCAATAGCATTCCGAAAACATCTGCTACCAACAAAAGTCCTTTGTCCCATTTTGGAGGGGTCTGTGAGACGGCCACTCGAATATGCGAGGGAAGGATAAGATGAACCCAAAGGTTGATCCTGTCCGAACAATTACCATTCTGCAAATGAAAAGTACCTATAGAGCAACAAACAAACCGGCGAAATGTCTTCTTCAACCTGCCACCAGCGCTATACTTGTTTTCTAGTTTGTGGCCACTACTATACAATAACGATCCACTGCTTCGACTGTTCCCAGCCGCAGCAAGGAGCCCTCAAGAATTGCGCGAGCGTAGAAAAACCCAAATCTAAAGCTCTCGAGCCAAACAAGTGCCGCTACAAGAACAAAAAATGCCCTTCGTGCTTGGGAAACGAGAACTTTCTCAAGGTGTTTCGGCACAATATCGTCCGTTCGGATTTGGGCGTCAGGGTCCTTCCCAAGAAGATTGTAGAAAGGAGGCGAGCGCGTTGGAGACACCAAGAGACGAGTCAGCAGCAGGCGCAGGAGCAGGATGATGGCACCACCCACAACAATCAAGTTCTGGAGGGGGGTATCCAGGCAACGGAGACTGAATATCATCAAGGGACAGGGGCGGATGAAAAGAAAAATGATGATAGCTTGATCGATATGTATGGAACCGTCGACTTGTATGCTCCTACTTCTATTTCGAATACCGTAGGAAAGAAACACTGAGTACATATACTCTTGGGAAACGATGGCTTGGCTACCTAGTAATTGGCGATGAATAGGTTGCTGGTGTGTTTTAGATATATCTCAAGAAAGAGCGTATTGCAACTTGACATGCAACTCCTACGATGTTTTACGGTCTTCTGCACAAAATGACCGCCAATTATAAACCCTTGAGTTTGCCACACAAATAAAGCGGCACCTGTTCTCATCGACTTTTGATGTCCTACGCCACCTGACACATGATATATAGGTGCCACTTTTGTATCCACCGCAAGCCTTGCGCCGCAAGGACCCGTAAGTAACAGCATGGATACTCTGTGTAGCTATACCGTCCTGTCCTGAATCATGGTGTTGAACTAATACCTCGCACGTCTCTCATAATCTCCAGACCTTCTCTCTCGCACCCTGTCTCGACTTCTATATTTTTCCTCTCTAGAATCATCATCCACCAGACTATCCTCCTCTATCTCAACTTCAATCTCATCATAGCGATATTGGCGATGGGGATCTCTCTCCTTTTCCCTAAATCGTGTGCCGAGTTCCTCATCGAGCAGACTTTCCCCTCCAACCTCAAATTGTATAGAGTTAAGTTCAGGACTCCTTCTCCTAGATTTTCGCCGTCTACGTTTTCGGTGGTGTTTATAAGACGCGTTTCCTGGTGCAAATTACAAGCATTAGCTGTGGTCACTCTTAGCGGCGAAGGGGACGGTTTAATTTTTATTGAACCATGAGACTAGCAAACGACATCCATAGGGAGAATTTAGGGGTAGTGAATGGATATACGGTCAATGAGGTGTAAATCGACCGTCCAAATACCTTCGCAGCAACCTCTCAATGACAGCGTGTTCTCCAACTCGTTCGATGACGCTAGGAGATATATCCTCACCTTTATTCAACAGAAGAAGTTTCCTTTCGTATGGGCCAAGGGTCTCCTCGACTAGAATACGCTCTGATGGTGACTCTCCATCACTAGGTCCAGAGTACTCCCAGATCCAGCGAAGACCATCAGGACGACCTGCAGGCGGAGGGCCCCAAGAAGAATCATACGGGATTGGGTCATCGACATCCTGTCTGATGTATTAACATAACAGCAACTCGGAAAGCTCAGTAACCATAATGCCCGCTCATGGATCGGATGTGGCTGGGATAAAATCAAAGTAGTAGACTAACCATGTGAACTTGTCTCAAGCGCCAGAGACCATTTCCTAACAAAGCAGGGCATGTATACAATTTTTTGTCATCAAAACCGAGACCTTCAAGATCAAGACGAATTCGAACGCAGCTATGAATTCGTTCACTGCAAAGGTTTGAGAGTTAGCTTACATATTCTTGGTATCTAAACGTAGTAAATTGCGAAAAACCAAAAGAGATTATTGGCATAAAAGCATCACAGGAATGCCACAAGGAGTCGGACAATGCCTAGATAAGAAAGTAATGGAACCCCGATCGTCTTACTTTGTGTTTTTCATTGGAATGTCTGTCAGGATGCCATGCCATGGATCTGAGCGCTTGATGAGGCCGGGTGTTCGGCGCGTGCTGCCAGCGAGGCGCCAAAATCCAGTCTCGGACTCGTATAGCTTCCCCAGGCCCCAAGGTCGAACGGGCTTATGTTTATCGTAAATTGCTTTGGTGGCCCATTGTTTGGTTGCAGGACCTTCGAGCTCTGGAAGGTTCTTATAATACTCGGCGTTCTGGTGAAAGATATGTTCGATGACCTCGTCTTGAAACGCGACTCCAATTGAAGCAAGTTGATCCATCATCCTATAGATAGTCAGATTGGTGGAATCCAGCTCTCCTTTCACCCTTACCAAGCCAATGTGATATTCGCCATTTCCTGATCATCGTAGCTACCCCCCACATTTGAATGCGAACCGGGAAACCAGACCTGCCGCAAATCCGTTTTATCTGTTCTATGTCTCTCCCACACTGCAGGGCTGAAAGGTCGTCGATGCTCATCTAGCGCTAGGGCTTGAAAGGCATGTCTGATAGTTCCTAGGTTTGTGTCGTAGAATTTGTACTCCTTGGTTGAGTGCGGTAAGCCGAGCCTCGCAAGTATGGAGAGATTGGGAACTGCAGGCTTGATTAGTATTCCATCCATGCCACGCTTGGGGATATATGACGCCGAAACGTACTGCCAAGAGATCCTACTGTATCCCACACCGCTACAGCCTGTACACGAATCTTCGAGCCATCTGGGTTATAGACCCTCGTCAAGTCTCGCTGTATCAACTCAGCAGGTGGCATACAAAGCTCAGACTCGGAATTACCTCTTCGAGCATCTGCTTGTACCTCTTTGGGGCATCGTATCCGCTGGGCTTGTCTGAGAAGGGGAGATCGGGGAACATATCTTTGTGTTTCAAAGTTCTGAAATTCTGTTGGTCTTTGAAGATCGGGTAGAATTCTTCCATGCCACTTCTGGTCAAGAGGCCTAGATAACGGTCGAGTCAGTAAATCCCATTTAAGATCTCTACGAATAAGCCATATTCTAATCTAGAGATGTACAAAAGTTATTGGACCACAGGAGACGAAACACGGGAAACGATGAAAGATATTTACCAATGTTGTCGATCATTCCCGCTACACTTCGTACTGTAAAGGCTCCTCTGCTGAATCCGATTAGAACTATCTCATCTCCGGGAACGTAGTTTGCCGTAATATAGCTGTAGACTTCACGAATGTTCTTCCCAACCGAGTCAGTTAATACTTCGCTAGAGTTCTCGGGCGCTGCTTACTTCAGAGATGCCCTTGCCCAGCATGCCACCGGTCAAGGTATCAACAAGGCTCGATGAAGTCCTACGCCGGAATGGTAATATATGATTTGCGGGATGCCATCTCGACCCGTTCTTTTCAAAGCTCTAGCGATTCGAGTAACATTCGATGGTACTTGGAGAGTGCCCGTAGGCTTGTAGGGAATCAAGGTGGGTTTGTTGAACCCCGAATCACTTCATAGAATGTTAGGGCTGAGCAATGAACTTTGGCGATCTCTTCAACGGTCACATACCTGTCCATCCACGTCCCATCGCAGCAAAGGATTAAACGCTTTCTCGTGGCTGCCATAATGTTGATGCGGCCGGTGATTTATATTCGGGATGGTAATTTGGATGATGTGGCCAGAGATTCTTAGGTATTCGGGTTGGTGTAATTTGAATGGAAGCAGATAATATTACTTTTCGAGGTTCAAGCCAGGGCCAACAATAGTTCCTTCCATCGAATGTCGACCCGTGTTATCTGACACGGCCACTAGCTTACTGAAGAAAGGCAGCAAGTGCGACACGCCGCCGCTCTCTTTCCTTTTTCAGTTCAAAGGGCCCAGAGGTAGTGTTCATGTTTGTATATGTAGGTAGCATATGTGTACCATCAATTCGAGGCTACAGGCACTGCTTCCAAGCTAAGAACAAGACGCCGGTGACCTATCCGGGGGTCGCCGTGGCACTTGTCACGTTGATCGGCTCGAAAGATGGATTTGCAACAATTAGTGAGGGAATGTGTCCAATATGAAGTGAGCACAATGAGGGTGTCGTAACCTGTGATGGAGGTGTTGTCTGTCCTCGAGAACAGTTTGATTGGCGTTGGTGTAATGAGTGAGTGGTCGTGGTCGTATTTTCACAGCCTCGCCAAAAGTGCCCCTGATTTGCTAATAGAATCTGCTACTCGTACTCGGCGTCCCTGGGCACTGGCTATTGGTTACGACCCTGGTCACGCTCACTCCTTTTACAGTAGCGCCCGCTGACACATAGGGCTAGGTAATCGAAATGCCAATCCGTGATTATCCCTCCTTTTAATTATACTTTACTGCAAACTTCCATTTCAACATTTTTACTGAGCACTTAATTACAAGCGGTCCTTTAAGAAGTCCATTTCTTGAACTAGAAAATAATACGAAGCGCGAATAATATCAAGGGGTTAAGCGAGTCGAGCAGAATTCCACCATTCCAGGTCTAACTTTCAGCCCCATTTTCTGCATCTCAGCCTTCATATAGGCCTTTTTTAGTAGGACAGAGGAATCAGATATCTGCATTATATAAACTAGCGGGCCGGTTACGAATCACATTAGCAGCGACTTTTCGGCGCATGTAATAAAGCTCCATCCTCTCATTTTTGAGCATGCAACTAATGCCTACCCCCTCCCCGCATTTCAAAGAACTCGCTTTAATAAAGAAAACAAGACCACCATACAAAAAACTTGGCAACTATCACTAGTCCTATAATTCGATTCTCACCACTGATCCTTGGTTACAGTAAACTTTGTACCGAAAACCGAGATATACCAAAACATGCCCATGTACCCACTACTGCCAATCGTTCTTTGATCTGTTTCCGAAAATCCAGAAGTCCATCGAGGACCCGATCTTGTCATAGCATAAGCGTTAGAAAGGGGGAAGCATTGATAGTTAAACAAACTTGGGATATGATGGAGAAGTCTCGGGGAGGATTGAGAGTATAATTAGTATATAATTTCCGGGGAAGGACATGGACTAAGAGAAACAATCAAGAGGTGAAAATCAGTTTCATATTCGTCATCATAACCATAATACTGAGCCGTTCGCCTCATAAGTGTAACTAGTAAACCACAAACCGCTCAATGTATACACGCCAGTAACTCCTCATGCTCTCAACCGCAATACCCACCAGTGTATCCTATCACACTCATCTCGCCTTCATATCCGCACCAAAAATCCCCGCACTCCCTGTGCCCAAGCCACCAGTAATGATCATGCCCCAAGCCATTGTAGCAGATTCCCAATCCTCTTGTACATCCTCATCACCTTCCTCTAATTGATCACCCCCCGCTGGCTTGTACGTGGCATCGGCATGATTCTCAACCGCTTTCTTCGATGGCCTGCCGCGACGCCTAGGCAAGGAAACAACAGAGCTTGCGTCGTCCGTGTCCTCAACCTTCTCAGTCTTCCTTGGGCGTCCAGGACCGCGGCGTGAAAGGGTTGCTTCGACAATACTAAGAACTGTTTAGTGACATGTGGTACTCACATGTGTGATAGCTGGCTTACTTTTCAGTGGTTTCCACAATCTCTTGTTTCAAATTTGGCTCACTCGTACCCTCAACTGCCTTGGCTGTGCTTTTCATGAATACTGCACTCGAATCGAGCATCTCCCATGCATCAAGAGCACGGATTCCAGCCCAGATCCCAAGACTAAGACCGCTCATAATGACATCCCATCCTACCGCACTCACAGCCGGGTGCTCCCCAATGGCACCGAATAATCGACCTAGGGCGGTGGAGCCGCGGTCAAGTGTCGTCAATTTCTCTTCCTGGAAGGGGTGAAGAAGACTATGTCTGTAGGCATATCTCTCTGGCGTGTTTGAAACGAGGGCAATAATCGTACTCTTTAGGTGAAGCGCTGCGGCAATGACTGAAATGGTTCGGAAGAGAGTGGTGTAGGTAGATTGAGCTGAATGTGGATGCGTGTGAATCGTTCCGAAGCTATTTGGAATGATATATGGCAGCAACAGGAATGAGAAAGGTATGACTCGGGAGGCTATTGATACGGTCATAAATGAAGGCGTATTCGCCGCAAATGGTATGAGGAAGATACTCGTGAAATTTGCGACGAGTAGAACGATGTAGAGAGCTGGTCTTGGTAGGAATCCATCTGGCTTGGCAAACCTCTTGACAAAATGAGAGTACCTAGAGCAGATTCAGCATAGTGCAAACGTGGCTCAGAATGATTCCATCTTACCTCGTTGACGTAGCTGGCACAGAGTCTCTGGTCAGTTCTGAGACATTCTCGGGAAGAGGAACTGGGGTGAGCAAGACGGCAATAAAGAAGAGGTTCTGAGCGTAAGACAGATTGACAAGTTGTGCCAGAGCCAGGAAAGTCCAGAGATTTGATATATTTCGTCTCCGTCCCTCTACCGCGACATACACACTCCAAGAGACAAGGCCGAGATTGACCTGTTGGCCCCACCAGAAATGGCGATGTTTCTCTGCAACGATCTCGAGAGCATCTTGGTAGAATAGGACGTCGTTAAGCCATCTGGCGAGGTGCAATCTTCCCGGATGTTCCCCTCCACGAAGAGCACCCTTGTCCCCGAATACACTATAAAAATTCAGTGCCCACAGTGAACAGCCTAAAATCTGTAACTGACCTCTCGGGAAGCTCAATACCTCGCTGAGCAGCCCATATACGATATGAGAGCCCACTAAAAGTAGCCGCAAAGAATCCTCCTACAGCCAGGCTAATGACAGCTAAAGCCGTGAATGTATGGACATGACCTCGACGCGAGGGTTCACGATGTCTAGTTGCAGAAGAAGGTGGAAGAGCAACATATGACCGATATATTGTTCGAGCTGCGACTACTGACAGCCAACCTAATCCGAAGAGATGCGCGGCTGAAGTTGCTAACGGAAGGTAACTGTAGCAGATGATCAGCAAGTCCTACAGAATGAAACCAGATCCTAGCGACAAATACAGCAAGCTTCAAAGTAAAGCATTTATAACTTTGGATAGATAGCTACACGTGACTCTGAACTGAGGAATTTAAACCCACCTTGGTGGAGAGACAATGTCGATCGGGGCCATAGCTGCGATTTGGTGCGCTGGAATACGTGACGGCTTTGGAAGAACTCTTAACACATAAGTCGACATGAGATTCCACGTCTGTTATGTAGTTTGTTTACCCGCGATGGGTTGCAAGCTAGAGACAGACGCGCCTGTCATTAAAGTCAGAAGGTCAAGCAGTATCACGTGCACATATTCCACGCCACGCCTCAGCCTTGCGCCAATTAAGGCAGGGATGTATTTGAGCTGTTGACACATTTCTTGAGGGATCACAACATTGCGGTCAAAACTCTGGAAAATACTACTTCCTTATGAAGGTATACCTGCACTCAGAGCTAAGGCTTTCAGTCTTTCCCCTTTCGTCAGTACGGATATTCATTGCGGGTGGTCTGGACCATGTATCACCTTGCTAAAGGCCTATACTTATATGCGACAAGCAAAGAAGGTCTGCCTCTCCTCTTCTGCTCCTTTACCGGGTTAATATACTGATAAATGCGCGCAGAATATTCAGTCCTCCTTCTCGGCCTCGACAATGCCGGCAAAACTACCTTTCACGAGCAGGTCAAATCCCTCTTCCTACCTAATAATCCTGCGCCCAAACTCAGGACCGTGCCTACGGTAGGCCAGAATGTCTCTACGATTACGCTTCCGGACATGTATCTCAAGATGTGGGATGTAGGGGGCCAACACAGTCTGCGCAAGCTCTGGCAAAGCTACTACACCTCCTGCCACGCGATTGTTTTTGTCATCGATAGCACGGATATTGGAGATGGGAACCTGGAGCATGATAATTCTGGCAGGTTGGAGGAATGCAGGTTGGTGCTTGAAGATGTGCTACAGCATTCCGAGACGGAGGGCGTGCCTCTGTTGGTTCTGGCCAATAAGCAAGATAGGGAGGATTGTGTTGAGGTGGTGAGAATTAAGGAAGGGCTAGTGAAAAAGGTATTCGAAGGAGAGAAGGGCGCCTCGATCAGAGACTCCAGGGTTCTGCCTGTTAGTGCGCTGACTGGGACGGGGGTGAAGGAAGCAGTGGAATGGGTTAGGACCAGAGTGAAGTGGAATAAGGAAGGGAGACCGCCGGTTATGAGGTGACAATTGGGGATGGGATATTTTCCCGAACTTATAGATTGGAGCGTGGCGTTAGGATATCATGGTGTTTGGGATGATTCAGTATAACGTGGGATACTCCGGAATTGCAGTCAATCCCGATGAATGTCACTTGTGTAGCCATATTTCCTTACGTTACCTTTCCCACCAACCAGCACTGTAGCATACTTCCAATCAGTATCGTATCGTTCCAACGAAAAGCTCTACGAAGGAAAACAAGATCTATCGCTACGCCAAGCTACAACCAAAAAATAAAACAAACGTACTACATCTTTCCCTCCTTAATACCCAAGAACTCCTATATCATTACTCCACGTTTCATACACATATACACCACCCAACTCCACTTAACATCACCCCACACTCCCTTCTCCTCCCCCAATTCCCTTACCAAATACATGCGGAGGTACATGCATGCATGCAAACTTTCAAATTTTCAAACTTTCAAAATCAACAAACGTACCTACCATACCACCCAAAACCATCCGATCCGATCCCCTCTTCCCCTCCCCTCCCTCTACATCTCAGAAAACTTAACAAGAGGTCCGGTCAGTCCATACATACCCCCGGCTTAAAACCTCCCAGCAAGCCAACCCAATCAATCAACTTCTTTCTATTCACAAACTAGCATTCTTTTGAAAAGATAACTGAATCTCTAGATGTACTGTAGTAGCATACCTATTCTTATAGTATCGAGATACGATGAACAGAAAATCGAGGACCAGGGTTTGCAAAGACATCTCTTACTTATTAATAAAGACTGCCTGCTTGCCTGCTATGAATCGACTACATGAGGTAGGTGCACGCAACGCAACGCACGGACGGTCCAGAAAGAGGTAGATCTTATCTCCTTGCATTCGAAGCGGCGTTGTTAGTGCCACTACCGGGGGGCAATATCGTGGGATGTTGGCCGTCAAAAGCGTGGGATACATGAGTCTGCGTAGTCCTATAGCCTCTGTCATAGGCGGGAGATAGAAAGGGACCCAGGGGAGGTATCACGAGACGTCACTTGTGTGCGACAAATGGTCTGATAGATACCCACGTCTCAAATCCTTCCATTTGCTATTAAAGCATTAAATACCGCCGTACGCCTTTCTCAACGCCAGGTCTCTGTCTACCCTAATTACCCCCTCCCAAATCATTGTCTATCGCTAAATTTGATTGCAAAATACCATGATATCGTGTCTAGAAAGCTCCGAGGCTCGTAAAGGAGAACGCTAAAGCGAAACTGTATATGGGAATTTCTTTCCCAGAACAGAGTGCAGGAAGGGTATTGCTGGCAAACAAGTTTGCCCATCTCTTCGAAAACAAGCCTACTACCTCCAGATGTAGCAAGCAATCAAGCAAGCAGAAGCAGCGTCTATAAATCAGCCGTGTCGTCATTAGTTTGCAACGTATGTTCATCATCCGTGATTAAAACCATTCAGAATGTGCTCCAGTTCCAATCTCGAGGGACGCTAGCTCCCAGGCTTTCAGACATGCCTTGGCCCTTCCCAAAAACACTGCCCAGCGCGCCTTTGGCACCGTTTCCGGCGCAGACGACAGTTGGGGTGGTGGGTGTTTGCGGGTCGTCTTGAGAACTCTCGCTGTTTGAGCGGCTTGAACGTGCCATTTGCCAGCCGCGATATTCGGTCCAGCAGTGCTCGCATGAACGGTTGCGGCTACCCCTAGGATGGTAATTGGCATCCTGGTCAAGAGGAATGGTGTACGTGGAGTGTGTCTCGCAAAAGATATTTCCACAACGCCGACAGTGATGTCGCCGCCTGAAGTAGGTGAAGTATCTAGTGCAGGACGGCTCGTCGCATACGGAGGATTCGGAATCCGGCTGTAGCGACAAACAATTAGCAGATTTTCTCCAGTACGTAAGACGTATTAATTTTCGTTGTGGGGGACGACAAAGGACGTGAGCATATGCAGGGCGAAAATGCACTGGTGAGACTTTTGCTCAGCACGCGAGCCTTCAATTCTCCTAGCCAAGCGAGCGAGCTGTGGGTGAGAATGTTTTGTTGCATGGATTGCAACATATTTTCAGCACGCCATGACCAACCGGGTATTGCAACATCATATAAGATGCTCCGTGCTCCCCAGCTTTACATCTTTGCTTGTGAAATATGCGGGACATTCGCATTCGCATTCCCAACATCGGAGTAGGAAAAAACTGCTAACATACCTTCCAGTGTTCTCTCGTAGGCAGAGCCGTCACCTTTCCAAGCCCCTCGGAACTGAATTCGGCTTCAGTGATTGCGCCCAGACCGAACTTCCCGCTATCTCCCGTGGACCGTCTATTCAGCGTTCGAGCATTTTCTAATTCATCGAAGCTACCATGCATGCTCTGTGGCGGAGTGAGCGGGGAAGGCCTGGAAATCCTCTTGGGTGGATCTGTAGGCCGCAATACTGCGGGCACATAGAGAGGTGACTTGGGCGGGCGAAGCTGTCGAGTGTGGGCAGCGAGATGCGGAGGCAGGGTGGTTCGAGGAGAGGTAGGTGAGGCATTCTTGGGCGTTGCTGAGGCCGAGTTGATTGGGGAGATGGGCTGCGATTGGGAATTGTAGAGGGTATATTGGGACTGGGAGGGCGATGCGGTGAACTGTTGCACGGGCATGGCGAAGTCTGTAGCCATGGCGCGGGCTGGCTGGGGTTGATACTGGACCTTATCGTGCGAGGTAGAGGGGTGAAGTGTGTCTTGAGTTGGCTTCTCGAGAAACATCAAGTTCGAAAGGTGGGATTTGACGAGCTGAGGATTTGTGCATAAGACTCGGTGACTGTTCCTGACGCTCAAGTATTGCGATAATGCGACAGGAGGTACAATAGGTGGTCCAGCGTCAGATTGCCACCGTCGGATTTCGCGACGGGTACTGTAGGCCTATGTTTTTTTTTTTTGTACGTAGCACAGCCTTGTACGCAACAACGATTTTCTAGAAGCCGAGCTCAACGACGCCACGTCCTCTTGACGGTTGATCTGACTGAAGAACGTTGCGTGCTGGTAAATTCGAGGGTGCGGGTGCAGGTGCAGGTGCGACAGTCGGGATGAAGGTGAAGCTGGAGCCGTAGGTATGTCAACCCTCGATCAGTTATCGTGGTTCTCCCTCTGGCCTGTCTGTGGTGTACCAATAGCGCGGCGCGTAAAGGTGCAACAACAATGACGGAGGGAGCAATTGATTGATTACAGTACTGTATGGGACGAGGGTAGGATTAGATTAGATTAGGTAGGTGTTGACCAAATCAAGATGAATGATTTCCTTTTGAAGGGAGGATCCTCGTAATGGAGGGGAAAAGGGAAGTCTATAGAAATTCACTACTGAGGCTTGAGGTGTTTGACTCGAGAAGTGCACGACTAGTAAAGATCCATCTACTCTACACCAGAAATACGTACATGTAAATTACGAGTAGTACCCCAAGCTCCTCTCCCTCCTCTCCTCTCCACTCACTCCTTCTATCGGGGGGTTTTCCATCTCCGTCGCAGCTACGAGGTAGTTGATAGCACTTAAATTGCAAAAGACGGGCTATCATTGGGTCGACGGATCGGCTGGTAGACCCAAGCCAAGCCAAGTCTGGTGTTGCGGCTAGGTTCGCTTCGGTACTAGGTTCTTCCCTCCACCAGCCTGCAGCCTCGGGAAAGAAGGGTGGCTGCTACTGTTCGGAGTAGGTGGTGTTGATACTCGCAGGATATTTCACTGCACCCACCCTTCAATATGGCCAGAGCATGCGAATCAGCCGCATCTCTTCCTCATACGGAGGTAATACGTCCTTATAATTTGGACGGTCAATCAAACCGACTGTGACGTGATGTGATGTTGCGCCCAAAGACGCTAGATAGATAGAGTTAGGTTCTTCCTGTCGATCCATCGTCTGGACCCTATTTTGATGAGAAACTGCTCGTGTGTGCATGCATTGCTTACCTGACGCTAAGCGGACACGGACCACAGACTAGCCATGTTGGGTCGAGACTTAAAGTATGGCCGCACGGCCCAGTCTTATCGCCATGAAATGAGAGGCTACTGATAATCATACCCTTCCACTTATTGCGGGCACTGAACCTTGCCTCCCTCTCACTGCCTATCTATCGGACCTTATCCAGGCGGTCAAGGCCGTGCTGTGGCGGGAATGGCTGCAACACTAACCAGCCACCTCCTCAGCGTTGAAGATACCCCCCCCCCCCAAGCTAATGCCGAGCTCGGAACAATGCATTGCATTGCATTGGCTTGGGAAACTAACTACTTGGCGTCGTCGCACCACATTCCTCAGCTGTATTGAAAGATGGGAGTTCGGCTCCGTCGCTAAAAGCAGTCGAGACGACCTGGGGAATGGAATATATCCCTCGTTGTTACTGTATGATTCCTTCTCGATGATCTGGAGACTGGAGTGCAGGATTCCTGCCGGCAGTGGTGGGGTGGAAGCGCATGAGGATCTGACGTAGAACATTCGGGCCGGGTAAAAGAAGTGGGTGATTGATTGGAGACCTTTTCCGAGAAAAGGAAAGGAAAGGAAAGGAAAGAAGACGGTAAACTCTATATTCAGCCGAGAGGGACAAGAGAAGAAAAGAAAGTTGTAAGCGCGCCAGGCACAAAGCAGTGGATCTCTTCTAATGTTCAATAAATAAGTTAGTTGCAAAGGGTATACGGAGGTATCCCCCGTTTACCCGCCGATCAAAAAGATGCCGTCAGAACCGAAAGTAAATCTCCTGCTACGTTGAAGTGCAAAAGCAAGTCCAAGTTCAAGTTCAAGTTCAAGTTCAAGTACGGGAAGAAAGGGGCTGGGCTGGCCACAACTGTGAAGCCGAGACTTGCGGTTGCTTTGTAATGTCGCAAAGCAAGGCTGGCCCGGCTTACCGAACTTCTAAACTTCTACAGTAACACTCTTCAAAACATCTCCGTTTACATAGGTAGACTGAGCTATCAGATACCTACGTATCGAAGTTCAATTACCATCCGTATATATGTTCTCACAGAGTATATATCGTTTCATCTGATTCCCATGACCTTCAAAAGCAAGACCAGCGCCAGTGCCAGTGCAGCTGAAGAGGAAGAGGAAGAGGAATTGACCTGCGATGCAAAATAACCCAACACTTTCCTGGATTTCATCGCAGAAAGGTTTACATTGGGTAGAAACAAAGGAGGGGGAGAGAGAGAGAGAGAGAGAGAGCAACTGTCACAAGCATCAACCCCACCTTTTTAAGCCTCAGCCGCAACCCCGCGTTTATTGTGGGTTCCCTACCTCGTGGCTCGTGTTCGTATGTGAACACCGAGGTAATATATATGATTCACATTCAGCTTCGTTCCCAAAACCTCACTCACATAGACATCTCACTTCTGAAGCGTATACCGTCAGACTTTATATGCATGCAATGTTCTTGACATGAACGCTCTCTCCAATCTAAAATCAAGCACTTACAATTAACTCTACGCCACTTACAGTTGGGCACGCTAATCCTACGAAGCTCATTCATTATCAAGATGGCCTCCACAGCCAAACCTCTAGTGACACCATTACCAGATGGACCTCATGAGGAACCACTCACTGCAGGGCAATGGACCACCATAATGGCCATAATGGATACAATAATACCGTCAATTCATCGAGATACAACAACGAACCGTACAATATCTCAATTGGCAATTGCAGATGTGGAATACAACGCGGCGGCAGGTCATATTCAGAAGACCATAGTTGATGCACCGGATAGCAGGTCATTGGACCAGTATCTGAACGAGAAAGCTTCCGATATTCCGAGCTTCCAAGCCTTGCTGAAGCGTACACTCGCACACTATACCCCCGAGGATTCGAGAAAAGGGTTGGCTCTTGTTCTCTCGGCATTAAAGTAGGTTCGGGACAGTGCCACTTCAGAAAATATACGATTTTTGACGTTTTGAATGCCCCATTTAGAATGGGTAAGTTAAAGCACAGTACTAATGGTAAATAGCACCCGAGTAGGATCCCTGATACTCACTGGCTATGCCCTACCCATTCACAAACAACCAATCCATATTCGCCAAGACATCCTCCACCGCTGGAGTCAATCATATATTCCTAGTCTGAATACGTTCAAGAAGCTAATGTCGCAACTTGCCAAGCTTTGTTGGTTGAGGACAAGTCCTACATTCCAGAAAGTCTCCGGCTTCCCATCAGTCCCGGGGTCAGTCACCGGTCATACCATATCCTGTGAAACCTATGCTGACAATTCCAAGTCATTACGAACCTGGACCGCACTACGAGTACGAATTCATACAGTTTCCCACTGGTTCGGATCCTGAAATCGTCGAGACAGATGTTGTCATTGTGGGATCCGGATGTGGCGGTGCCGTTTGTGCAAAGAACCTGGCTGAAGCGGGTAACAGTGTCTTGGTGGTTGATAAAGCTTATTATTACCCTCCTTCGCAGCTCCCAATGACCGAGGAGAATGCAGGTATTCACATGTTTGACAATGGGGGAGCAGTCGTCACAGATGACAATTCATTGACTGTAATTGCCGGTAGCTCGTGGGGAGGTGGAGGAACGATTAACTGGTCGGCAAGCTTGCAGACGCAAGGCTATGTACGCAAAGAATGGGCTCGGGATAGAGGGCTTACCTTTTTCGAAACGGCCGAGTTCCAATCTTGTCTTGATAGAGTCTGTCATCGGATGGGCGTATCGGCGGATTATATCAGACATAACCATGGAAATAAGGTTCTTTTGGAAGGCTCCCAGAAGCTTGGCTATCATGCCAAAGCAGTCCCTCAAAATACAGGCGGTACAGAGCATTATTGTGGGCACTGCGGCGTTGGTTGTGGCGCGGCCCAGAAGCAAGGCCCTGTTGTCTCCTTTTTGCCGGATGCCGCAAAAGCAGGGGCTAAGTTTATGGAAGGTTTCCAGGTCGACAAAGTTTTGTTTGAAGATTCGAACAAAACCAAAGCTATTGGGGTTGAGGGCCAATGGGTTTCACGGAATAGCAGGGGCAACGTAGATGGTCCACTTTCGGAGAGAATAGTGCGCAAGGTAATCATCAGAGCTAAGAAGGTTGTCGTTTCTTGTGGGACTTTGTGGAGTCCCATAGTACTGATGAATAGTGGCCTAAAGGTGAGCAATGACCTTAAGTCCTATAGTGTTTTGCGGCCTTTATAAAAGCCTTACGGTGGACACAAAACGCGGCACTGATTTATAAAGTGCCAGGTAGCGTAGGACATTCAAGTTGATGGGAATAAGTAGCGCTAACAGCAACAGAACTGGCAGATCGGACGGAACTTGTACCTCCATCCAGTAAATTTTTTTGCGGCTGTCTTCAAGGAGGATGTGAGGCCTTGGGAAGGTATGTCGAACCAGCCAGCACATCGACACACACTAACCGCCATCTAGGTGGGATTCTCACCTCAGTCTGCACCAGCTTCGAAGATCTAGACGGACACGGACACGGCACAAAAATCGAAACAACCATCATGCTCCCCTCCCTGTTTATGACTATGATGAACTGGACAAATGGCCTCGAATACAAGTTGAATGCCCTCAAATTCAGACACATGAACGGCTTCATCTCCATAGCCCGCGACCGCGACACCGGTCGCATCTATCCCGACCCCATCAGCGGCAAACCCAGAATCGCATACACGCCCAGCGTTTACGACCGCGCGCATATCATAGAAGGCCTCGTTGCCGGTGCCAAAATCTGCTATGTCGAGGGTGCTACGGAGATCCATCCTTTCATTGAAGGAGTCAAACCTTTTATCCGTGATCCAGATCAGGAAACATCAGCAAGTACGGCAGGGAATGAGCCGGACCTGGGGGTCTCGGATCCACGGTTCCGCGCATGGTTGGAAGAACTTAAGCGTATTGGCAATAAGCCTCCTGCTGGATCTTTCCCTTCTGCCCATCAGATGGGTAGCAATCGTATGTCTGCCACTGCGAAAGACGGGGTTGTGGATGTGAAAGGCAGGGTTTGGGGTACGGAGAATCTGTATGTGAGCGATGCCAGTGTGTTTCCTAGCGCAAGTGGTGTCAATCCCATGGTTACGAACATGGCAATCAGTGATTGGATTTCGAATAACATTGCTAAAGAGATGAGGGGTGTCGGATCTACGGTGGAAGCGAGGTTGTGAGGTTGTGGGCGTTTGAGTTTGTACTGTTGGGAGGTTGCATTGTAGGGCAGGACTTTTAATTGAGATTATGAGGGGAAGTAGCATATAATACGATGATCATGCACAGATTTATGAATATGCAAGCTTATTGAAACAATTTTCTTGGATAAATAGGGCGTCAGATGACTGATAATGGACTCCAGCTCTTGGAAACGTTCTTATTCTAGTATATAAACTCTTTTTAGGCGTTTTAATCTTTAAACAAGACATAAATTATTATATCCAGGGATCTATTCAGCCAATCAAGACATTTCTTTAGGCCTCTTATAAGCCTTGGGATGCAGATTTAGTGATAACACCCTATAGATGGCGATATCACTTCTTCTTGAACTTTATTAACTTCTACAGAATCACTTATACGCTGATATGAACTACAAGTTATTGATAGCTATAGTTCTAACTGCTCCCTAAGGAACATGATTTAAATACCTACCTAGGTAGGGCTAGGAGATAGCGACAGCGACTTTCAAAGACGCCAGTCCTACCTAATTGGTCATTAGAAGCCCTCAACACCACGATCTAAAAGAGTGTATTATGAATTGCATAATACTAAGCGAGACCAATAAACAAATCGACGCCCTAATTCGATGCCCGGGCGCCGATATATAGACCGCCCTAAAAGGTGTCTAGATTTGTATGTATATACCGCAATAAGCGCATGCCACTTGGAGACAATCATGTCATACGTTAAACCCACAGCTAAATACAAAACCAGACCAAGATGCAGATTCAACTTCCCTTTCCAGATGCCCTAAAAGAGACCAAAAATATCTAGGAAAGTGACGGGGAATAGCGAAGGCTCTAAGATATAGGAAGCATAGAAAATTATACAATTACACCGCTGCTTTCTATCTCAACGCGAAATTAAACGATGAATCAATAATAGTAAGTGTAATAACGATGAATCAATAATAGTAAGTGTAATACAATTGTAATTATTGCATTACTGTTAAATTACCACGTTTCTTGTAGGAGTAGAAGGTGGTTGCGTCGCGGAAAAACCTTAAACTCAGAGCTGAGGATATACTTTCTTGGTGGAGAGTCTGGTCTCAGTCATAAACACCTTTATGGGTTCGGTATTAGTCATTTGAAGTAAGTAGAATGAAGGCAGATGTATGGACAAAATTGCCATTCACCATATTATAACGATATGCAAAAGTAATCATATTGTTAGGACTTGTTTCAACTGTTAGGGTACCTCGCCCGCCTCATTTTTTATTCTTCCAAGCTCAACACCAGCATCAAATTTCTATTTTCTCCTCAGCAGCTTTTTGAGTGTAATTAGCTTGCTACTACTGAGCTTTCTTCTGCTCATAAACATTATAAGTGTGAAGATATAAGCCATGAAAAATACCCGTGCTTCCATAAATAAGGAGCAAAGTTATAGGAGGCTGGGGATACATCTTTTGTCCCCACTAGATCGCTAGTACCATCACGTTATCACAACTTCAATGAGACCGTTTAATAGTCTGAGAAGCTACTCAAGAAAACTCCTTCTGAGATCCCAGATATTGCCCTTCTCCAATGCATCAAGCCAAGACTTGAGCTTTTTCGTACACCAGCCACTATCGCAATTTTGAACCGCCTCTTCAAAATCAGCTTTAACGGCGCCTTTCTCCGATTCTTCATTCCATCTCGGCGCGAGGATTCCCATTTCCTTCTGGAAAACTTCGCGCAGTATAGTTAGTTCGTACTCCAGTAAGTGTTCCCAATAGAGGCTGTTCACTCCTTCGTTGTCAAGCACCTTCTTCGTAGGCCCAATAGTGTCGTCAACGGTGTCTTCGTCATCGTTGTCGGGAAGGTATTGATTATTTCTCGGCTCCTCTATTCTGTCTCTCCCCCGAAGAAAAGTGGGCAACCCACAAGCTTTCCATAATGGCAACGCCGAGACGCACTCCCAATCAATAACGCCGGTAATTCTTCCGTCGCTATCAACAAGGATATTCTGCATGGAAAGGTCGTCGTGGCAGAGCATAGATAGCTCTATAGAGCAAGTTTCGGAAGAAAATGTAGATGGGAGTAGCTGAAGTAGTTTTGTGGCAATTGTCTTAGCATCTTCGGCATCTTCAATGTCGTCTTCATCATCTGAGGTTTTTAGGATTATTTCTTGGTCCATCAGAATCAAGGTAAGACGAGCACGAATCCAGTCTTCGGAATCGGTGAAAGAGCCTCTAGGAACATCTTGTGTGATATGATGACCCCAAAAAAAGATCATTGAGACTAATTGACCTAGAACAGGCAAAACCGGTATTTGCTGGTTTTCTTCCTGTGCTGGTTTTGTATCAGCAAGCACCGGGATGTAAGGTGAATCATTTGACGTGAGCTGGGCTCCTGGTTTGAGAAATATGTTTCCAATGACAGGGAACTTGTAACGGCTAAGTTGGGCTTCGTACTTGGCCACCTCCTTGACCAAATCTCGTTTAGCATCTTTAGAGAGTTTCCTCCATCTCGTTCGTAAGGTTACGCCAGGTAGCATCTCCATTAAAATCCATTCAAAGCCAAGTTCATTCTCCCTTGAGTCGTCAAAGGCAAATATCCGGGGCACTGGAATGTCTGTGTTTTGGCCAACGAAAAGGATAGTTGCGACTTCACTATTAGTTTTGTTGGAAGGATCGACCGGTAATGTGACACGCATAAGGGAGCAACCAGCCTCAGTTTCGATTTTATAAAGCTTGTTGAAAGCCCCCTGTGCGTAAAAAGTGACGGGGCAGTAAGTATTCTGCTCGATATTGAGGTGTTTGCGCGCTAATAATTCGACCTTTGCGATGTTTGGCTCTGTCGTCCAACGAGGCTCCAGGCCAAAAGTCTCAGCCACCCATTCTAAGCCGTCTTGTTTGGCCATTTGGAGGAAGGCGATCCAATAGTAGAAGGATGTCGAGCTTGAATGTGTGAATGCAGTTTCGATAGTGACTGCGATGGTGATGGGTTATGGTGATTATGATACATCCGTGAAAGAAAAGGAATGGTGGCTTGGCCTTGGCTCAGCTGCCGGACGGGCATACTCATACGGAGTAGTGGCGGTAGAAAGCGGCAGAATCCCACTTAGCGCCAGCCTCGCATCGAGGTCACCAACACGTTTGGTTTCTCGACTTGTTATCATTTATATATAAGAGATAGAGCTCTTCACCTTAGATAGGGTATACTCCTTTCTATACTCACTCTCCGAGCCCAGAACCCATCATTTCCCCGAAGTATTATTACCAAATCCTAGCGGGCAATAGCTATTCTGTCTAGCTCCTATACACGTACTATCAAAATGGGCAAAAATACCAAGAGAACCAAAGAATTTATCGAGAGCATTCCAGATTCGAAATTGGACGGCCTTCCTAGCACTGGAGGAACTCTCTACAATGATACAGACTTTCGTTTGGATATGCAAGGCGTATCTCTCTCTCTATATCCGTTCATTTGCCGAAACTAATCCATCGTTGCAGATGACGAGCAAGGATCCCAAGTGTCACAATCTTCAGGTTCAGACGCTCAAAAAGGCAGCACCACAAACAGTTGCTACTTTTCTCGTGAAGAAGGATGATCCTCCAACTACTGCTGATATCAGGTCTGGCTTGATCCAGAGTATTTCTATTTAGCGATAGGAAAGTTAAAAGTATGTATACTTCTTGATCATCATGAGAACAGCACTGAAGGATTTATCGAAATTTACTGACAAGTATTGACGAGTGACAGAAACAGACCCTATGATTTTTGTTGTAGCAATAGGAATGAGGAGCATAGATATGATATTGTATAGGATTCTTATATAGCGATGGATTGCAAATAACATCCTGTCCTTAGCATCCTTGACTTGCGACTTGTGTTCAAGAAAAAATGCTATAATATTCTCAGCCAAACCATACCTTACATATATACTTTATCGTGACGGTCTGGCTCAAGCGAGCCCCCCCACCCCCTGCGAAAAGTACCACTTCCGGCAGTATATTCAGTATTCGATATAAGTCCGTAAGAGGGTGATAAAGGGCACTTCATGAGAACAACGAAAGCCTATGCATGCAATGAAATGATAATTTAGCCAGAAAATGAGGCACGCAATCTTAAAATCCTCTTTTAAATACGTATGCCTAAGTGTGAACTTGCTGCTATTATATGGACAGTGTTCAGCCCTCCAGGCTCAATTGCTAGTATAAAAATACTTAAAAAGGGAGGCAACCATCATCTAAGCGTCAATATTAGCCACAAATATCAGCCTATAGCAACTCCTTAAGAAGACTGAAAAGGCCGATTAAATGTGGAATGAAGTAGGAAGAAGGTGACATTGCAATTTTATTCTAGTATCTGCTGGATACCTTACCTGAAATTGCTTCAAGTATGATTCAAGTCTAAAGTATCTCGCAGGAACAAGAACAGCACCCCTCCTGCAATACACTTACCGACAAGTCCCCGACTTAATAGGTGAATGTATATATCCAATTATGTAGAAGTACGGCAACAATTCATTAAAGTCAATGGCTTAGCTTTTTAGTCTGCAAATCGCATTAGATTACTTTCGCTTCAAAATCCATGGTTCCGGGTTTCTTAAGGCCGCTACTTTCAGGTTGCGCCTGGAGTTTCCTTCTCGATAAAACCCGTCCGAGGGTTTAGTAACAGGTCCCCACTTTCACCTGTAAGTTTTGCTATTTTGAATGTCTGATTTTTATTTCTTTTTCCTTCAGAAGGTTGAGAAAAATGGCTGTATTGTGGGAAGTTCGTTGAAGGAAGAAATAAAAGTGACTCCGAAGTTTTGCTGCTTGCTTGTGTAACCTGTGCCTCAATCCAGCAACAGCAACATCAACAAACAAGATCAGCACATTAATATCTTCACAGCAACAGTTCAGATGCTTTGGTATGGCATGGACGAAGCTTTGAGCCGCTAGAAAATGATTACATGCCCAGCATTTCATTTTCCTTGATATTACCACCATCGAATAGTCTGGTCATCGACGTACCTTATGCAATGGCTATAGAATATGTCTGCATCTGGTACATATATATATTGGAGCTCTCTCAAGCATGTTTTCCATTCAAATGTTTTCGATGTTCACCTCGCCATCACTCACATGCGCACCAAATATCCGTCGTGTATTACGAACATTCTAATTCTTCAGGTACAAAATGACCACCGCTTTAACCCCGGGCGAGAACTTTGAGGTCCGCCAAGCCTCTGCGACAGAAGACTGGCAGCCCGATCTCTCCAAATCCATTCCCCTCGATAAAGCCTGCCAAGCACTCGTTGATGGCTGGGCAATGGTTATTCAATAAATTAAGAACGAGAGCTACCAAGTCGTCCGTAGCGATGATGAATAGCAAGGAGGTTGCAGTGTTTGAGGTAGACAAGAATGCAGGAAAGGAGCATGTTCGGAAATATGGAAATGGTGAAGGAGTGTCACCGGAGAAGAATTTGTAGACAACTGAAAAGTCAATCAATGGTAAGTATGATTACACTAGAAACACTTTTTATTCCTTGATCCTCCAGCAAGCTAGCGAGCCTGCCTGATATCAATTTTTAAACTCCTCCGATACCGTTCAGACGCAGATACAGGTCCTACCAACTCCAAACCCCCAGAACCAAAATTCCAAATCCAACTCCCCTTAATCCTTCAAAACTAACCGCCGGCCCCCCGACCCCCCAAATCACACTCAAATCTCTCATACACAGGGTCCCTATTCACATCCCATTCCCAAGTACTCGGAAAAGTCCTCGTGGAATCAGAGCTTGGCGTTGCCGTTGGTAGTTGCCTTGGCGGTGGTGTCTTGAGCAGGCTTCTCGTCAGAGGCGATGGAGGTGACCATGGTAGAAACTCCGGATATTGGGAGCGACTTCTTGCGTTGGATATCTTGGCCGAGAGATACGCCGTGAATCGTAGTCATGACCTGGGCTTGAAGATTCGCAGATGGACCGAATGGGTAGTGGAATGGCATGATTGTTTAAGTTGTGATGAAGTGTCGATGGGATGATTGATGAGTTGATGATTGAGTACCAGAGATGACTTCCTTGAAGATCTGAAGATTTGTGTGATGTGTGAGCGATGAAAGAAGAAAGGATATTATTTCGAAAGAACATACCCCCTTTTGTAGTGGAAAACTCCCAGTCGAGATCAAAATGGCAAGCGAGAGGCTAAGTGAGCAAATACACTATGAGAACTAGAATGTGAGGTTTTCTTCATATTTCGATATGGACTCACTTGCACACTAGCGTAATTACCACTTCAAGAATAGCATGGAAGCTTGAGCGATGGGGATGGATAGTTTTGGAAGCAGATTTTGGTAGGGTTTGGTGTGACAATGTATGACGTGCCGAGATGAATGACCCTATTAATAGCTTTATCTAAGAATATTGGAATAATGGTAGTTCTGTGGGACACAATTAGGGTCTTGGTAGAGAGTTGGAGTGTTTTATATGTCTCTAATTATTTTGTCTAATAATCGAAGAGAAACAGCTATTCCTGCAGACGCGTGGTATCGACATAAAAAATTCCGCCCACTATTCAACCTCCATCAAACACTAAGCTCAGAGAAACACTGCGTCAAAAACTCAACAAAGGTAACGAGGAAAAAACATCCCTCCTCCCTAGCCTATAGATGTATGGCGGACAGGAAACCTCGAAACCTCCAAATGCAGCCAGCGGGGAGCGAATGCACCATCATCTGTCGAGGCGTCATTCTCCAGTGAGATGATGTGCAAGCTGAGAAAAGCCATGTGAGGCGGTAGATGAGTGCTTCAATAGCTGGCGTCGAACCTAATCCTCCCCTCCCCACGAGAATGCCTTCTTGAATGCTAGAACACGGGCTAGAAGAGCAGTCGTGGGCAAAAGGCATCGTGGTAATGTGCGAGTAATATCATATGACGTCCGAAGGGTGCGATTCCGGGTTGGATTGTGCTCGTATCGCCGAGGAGACAAGTAAATCCAAAATGGCTGCTTCTGATCTAGAAGAGGGCTACAGATACAGATGTCGAGGATCCCAATTGTGCGGGACTGGATAGACGTTTTGGTCGTGTAAGCCGGATCTTGTCCTTCCAATTAACAAGTCCTGCAAAAACACCAAAAAAGCCCAAAGAGCAAGGGCGCCGGGGGTATTGAAAACGTTTTCGTTTAAAGTGAGGAGTGCCCGGACGATGAACAGGTGCAAGAAGATACTAATGCAAGATAGCCCAAGATTGCTGAGTACCATTTTGCATATGAATATAAATGTGCCGAAATTCGATTTTTAGGAAGCCGTTTGCGAAAGAGAAATAAATATCGGTGTGGTGGGTACATAATCCTTTTCTTCTGCGGCTAGAACTACCAACGATGGAGAAACTTGGTTACACTAGAAGCATAAGAGACTAAGATTGGTACTTGAACAGATAGACTAACCCATTGTGCTCTTTAGCCTCTACTGAAGCTAGAAAATCGAAACAAGTGACCGGGTCCTTGGACTGTTTTATCTTGAGCTAAACCAAGTGAGTTCCAACAACTCTAGCAGTGACAAGATATTGAGGTTACTCGAAAAAAACGACGAACAATATAGAATAACATAGAGCTAAAATAAATACACTCGGCGGCAATATAAGAGGTTCAGAAAGCCAACGTCTCTTAGTAAATCCGTAGGGAATACAGCTACTTGAGATCCACCGACCATAATGGTCTTTTATAAATAAAAAATACAACATAGGGGAAGAAAAACCGCGGAAGATTGGGATGGAAATATTTCTGCTCTTGAACGGATAGGTGGATGCATTAAATAAAGGTGGTCAAAAGGCTAATGATTAGCGGACATGGACACTTGCGTAATTGAAGGATGCTGGAAATATCGACCATCCATTGAAGCTAATTACAGATGCCTCCGAAATACAGAACCAGTACGCCGCTAGTGACGAAATTCGAAGGCGCTGCGGTTTAGAACTCGATGAGTCTGATTGGTGATCCCTACCGATCATACTTGAGTATATGTGTAGGCATAGAGTGGCGAACGAGGTGGGGGTTATCTTGAACGCACAAAAAGGCCATGGGCGCAGGATTTTCATTGAAAGTAATGGCTTGACATGAGATTGGTAGTCGAAGCGATTGAACACCAGTAGTTTCTTCGGCGACAGGCCTCCCCAAGAACAACACCCAAAGGGCATGCCGTAGAATAATAGCTGCATGTATGAAGATTGGGAATCTGGAGCAGATATCACATCGGATGCTGTGAGTCTGGATCCGATCTGAATACACGGAGCTTAATCGTTGCCCACCTAGTCGACTAGAATTTTAGCCTCTAGCTCGGAGAAATTCTGAAAGAAGGATTCGAATAATCTGATTCCATGTTCGACATCATATACGCCAGCACATTCTCGAATGCTGTGCATAGAAAGCTGTGGATTTCCCAGATCTAACGTTCTTGTACCTAGAGCTGCGGACAGCATGGGGCCGATTGTGCTGCCGCATGAAGAATCGTTGCGCACGACAAATAACTGAAGTGGTACGCCGTTCGAAGTCGTAGAGTCCTCACTCGGCTTCGCTCTGCGGGCAACTTCCTGGAGAAGGACAATCCCCGGAGAGTTTGTTGCATAGCGCTGATTCGCATTGATCTTGATTACGGTCCCTTTATTCATCTCTGGTCGATGGTCTGGTTCATATTTTTGGGTGTAATTTGGGTTCACCGAGTGTGCCATATCAGCGGAAATGAGGAATGAGGTTGCGAGGCTTTGCTCGTAAGCAGTAGCAACGTCAATATCTGCTTCTCTGGAAATCTTTTCGTAAGACGCATCCGAACCTGAGTCGTGGTGCGCTGGAAGTACCGCTAGTCTTCGAAGTACTGCTGGAAGTAAATTAGAAGCGGCACCATGCGCTGATGTACTACCAATTTCTTCATGATCAAAGCACGTAATGAGACGGATAGATGATTCGCCTTCAAGGGCTGTCGGAGAGGAGAGGGACTCGATGAGACCTTCGACAGCACAGTATGTCATCCCTAGATTGTCTAGTCGAGCAGAGAATATCAATTCGTTGTTCATTCCTCCGATGCAGGATTTTTGGGTGTCATATAGCACCGCCTCGAAATCGACAACATCTTCAACATCAACTCCTGCATGTTCCGCGATAAGTTCAACAACATATGGGTGATGACGATCTGAAAGGGCCTCGAGGGGCCGGAATTCCTGCTCGCTATCTGATGTCTTTTCATCAACAGCCTCTTTCGCGCCCGTTCTGTTGAGTTCAGCCGCCACGAGGCCTGCAATTGGGAACAGCTCAGTCTCCTTGTTAGGGTCGAAGACGGAAGACCGATCGAGATGGATGGCTAGCGTAGGGATCCGAAGAATGGGCCTGTCCACTTTCACAAGCTTCTGGACGTAATTACCCTTGCCATCCTTAACCATAGCTCTTCCTGCAATGCTCAGATCTCGATCAAACCATGTATGCCAAATCCCCCCACCATATGTCTCTACTCCGACTTGTATGAACCCAGCCCCGGTCTTCTTGCTCACAGGCTTAATGCGGAGGCAAGGAGAATCTGTGTGCGCTCCAATCATGGCAATTGGATTGCCAGACTTCCAGTTTTTGCCAATGCCAAATGCAACTATTGATGATCCGTTTCGTGTGAGGTAGTATTTGCCGCCGGGCTTAAGAGTGGAAGACCAGCTATCCCGCTCCTTGATCTCTTCGAACCCAGCTTGAAGGAGGCGCTGGATAGCGGAATGAACAGCATGGTAAGCTGGAAGAATGTTAGATCAAGGTTCCTAGGATAGTCAAACCAAGATATACGCACGGGTAGGGGAGGCATTAAGGAAATCGATGAAGTCGTGTGCCTTGGCAACAGATGCGGAGACCTTGGAGGACATTGTGGTTGTGGAAGTGATTGAATAAGATCTTCGGAGTACACTTGGAACAGCGGAACAGCTGAGGCAGAAGATTCGAGAGGAGCTTCTTGACATTTAAACTCAGACAGAGTTGTGTTTGTGTTAATGAAGTCGTCGGGCGTCAAAGCAATAAGTACCGCCCCGCACTAGTCCAAATCTGACGTTTGAAGATCCGATATCAACACTAAATACTATCCCGTGCAATTGGCACATATGATAATATAATGCCCTATCGCAAGCTAGGAATGAAAGACTTCCCGCACAAGGAACGTTTTTGGGTATTTACATATAATCACCACTGGCCGAGTGATTAGGGACATTTGAGTGAAAATTAGTAATTCTTTTAAAGAGTTATACAGTAGCAGCTTGCACGCCATCCAACAGAGAGGTAAAGGTAATAATGGTTGATTCTTCAAGAAGTTCTTCTTCAACACTACCTGCCACACCTGCTTTGTGCCTCCGAAATCCTTATAATACTGCCTCAATGTTCACACATGCCCCTAGTCATAAATCACCGACCAATGCTCCTGTCGCACCTAATTCGTTATGCCTCATCCCTCATCCCTAGCACCTTTTCATCCAATACAGTGTCCGCCAAATGCACCACCATGCCGAGTCTATAACCAAACCCTTTTTCCATCCAAGAACCCATTTATGCAACACCAGAAGTATGCCCCACAGAAATATACAAACGAGAGCAAGAATAGTAGTACAGCGCCGTCTTTCTTTTCCTGCAAGCGTGCCAGCTGCTCAAGCCACCAAAAATCCATCTACAACCCAAACAAAAGAAATACGTAGTATCGTGATGATTCATGAAATACAGATGCTCTATCATCTGTTGTAGAATATCTACTCGCACCTTTCGCGAATGTGAAATTCTTATATTTCCAAGACCTTAAACTTGAGGGAATAGCATGTACCCGGCCTTCTTTTTCCCACCCGGCGTAGATCCCGCAAGAGTTAACGTCGATGCTCTTGCTCTGCCCTTTTCTCGCGCCGAGTGACTGACCACCGGAGCCGAACTTTTCCTTCCATGAACTTGCCCATGGGTCTTCCCTTGCTTAGTTGTATCGATGAAAGATTCTGCAACTGGGCTGAGAGTAGAGTTTTCGTCAACAAGTTCTGACCGAGCTGCTAGAGGGATCTGGGGTGAAAATTGGCCGATACTCTCTGCAACGCGTGCTTCTGGAGCAAGAGATTTATAGCGGCGATGCGGCGTAGGAACGAAGTCTGAAACTTGTACCACTAAATCCTCACCTTGGTTTGGTGCTGCGGTATCATTACCAAGATCTCCGGTATCTGGCTTTTTTTCAAGCCTCCATACTGCAGAGGGGACGAGATCCGGGAGCGACGATGCAGATCCTATACTGCGGTGGGTTTCGTTAATTGAGGTCTGACTCAAGAACATCGCCGAATCTTTGCTGTTTCTTGAATTGGTCGCTGAAAGGCGAGTGCTAGAAGAGCTGCGGGCTGAACCACGAGAGAAGTTTGACGAGCGGTACGAGACAATACTGGACGATGTCTCATCCGATGGTGGTATATAATGACAGTAGGGCTCCTGCTGCCCAAAGACTGCCGCCGATGTAGAGTGATTGGTACCATATTGGTCACCGTACAAGCTATCCTGCTCCATTTGTGAACGAAAATCGGTAGGGATCAAAAGTGACGGCGACAAATTGAAACCATGAGACTCCTTGAAAGAGGATGCATAAGACGATCGGATAGGATTTGGCTGTAGGAAGGCCGCAGGGGAACGCAGGTCGGAAGAGACTGCTGATATATTTGACATGGGGGACAGTTCAGGTACCTCGTAGGCAGATGGTACGATGAGGCTCGGGCGGAAGCGTCCATGGTAGGTGGGACGATTATCATCTTCGAGGTGTAGATCCATCTGCGGTTGAGGGGTGAGGGATGGAGCATCCACTGTGACATTCTGCTCCTCAACCCATTGGTAATCACAATCCGCTTCTATCTCATTCTCGTAGCAATAGTCAATGTCTTTTTCCCAGTCTTGGTCGAAACGGAAGCCAGGTGACAAAGGAGATCTTCGTAGAGCAGAGGCGCGACTAGAGAGCCCGGGAAGCAGGACCGTGGACGCTCGAATATCTTGTACTTGTTCATAAGTATTGGACTGAAGCGATGGAACTGATCGGGACGCTCTCAATTCTGAACTGGCTCTTGACGCTTTCATAGTTTCTTCCTCTTCCTCTTTCACGTCGGTAAGCTCCATTGCACACTTTCCCGCCAAAGGTGCTGTCAGAGGCCAGGCATCATCTCCAGGGGGAGTCAAGGCATGTAATGTTTCATGATTTGGTACATGCTCTTGTTGCTCAAATATGAGTGGGTGATCAAAGGGTGCAGGTCTTTGAAATGCTCCGGCAGTTCGTGGACGCTCAATACTTGTATTATATACAGGGTCAAATGTATCAAAAAGAACTGAAGCCGTCCGAGATGAGGTTCTCGGAGGCAGCGCTATTGGGCAGGTAGGCGATAAAGGTGAACGTGGTGGGCGGGGGGGAGCTACTCTCAAGTTGTCATGAGACTTTGCAAGAGGAACTGGACGCTGAGGGGGGCTCAAAGACTTGCGAAGTACAGCTCGTTGCCGTCGACCCTGGGGAGAAGTGTTGGGGGTTTTCTCAAGAGGGGTGCTGAGAGCTTCAGAGGAAAAATTGTTGAAGTGTAGGTCCTGGACTTTGATCTCTTTCAGTTCCCCGTGCGCGGGGGTTTGAGATGCGCGAATAGCAGAGAACTCCGAAACTAGTTCCATACGGCTGGATCGTGCTAAATCAGGTAAATGGTCTTGGCGAGTATGGGTAACATGTTGGAAGTTGAATGGCTCAGAGATAGATGGCCACCTTCGTCCTTCTTGGGTGCGCGGAGGGGAATTATGCAGCGCGCCGTGACGGGAACCGTGTCCTGTCCCATGGTAATGCTCCGCAGCGGACTCTTCTTCGGAGATTCCTTCTGGAAAAATAAAAGGCGACGCCAAGTTTCCCAAAGAGTTATCCCGTCTCGACTTCCTTCCACTCCTTGAGAATAGAGAGCCAAGCTTTTGGAGGCTCTCAGGTCTTTCGCGTGGCGATGGCATACCGCTGGTATTTGACCTTACAGATGATTTTCGAGACAAATTCTCGGTCGAGGCGTAGGCAGACTCGCGTGAGCGGAAGGACGACGCCCCAGAAGATAATGTATTGGTCCTCGAATTGTTCCCAAAAATCGAACTCCTTTTCATCTGTTCGGTATAGGCACGTATACGTTCGGGCGAAGGCGGGCCATCGATAGCTGGCTCGAGGGAGTCTGCAGAGGAACCAACTGAAGAATCATTCTTTGTATGACTTTTGGTGGTATTAACAGAATACATGGTAGGAGCGGCGGCCGCCCTCCCAGAACTGTTCAAACTGAACATCTTGAAATTGCAAGTCCCGAACTTGAGTATAAAGTTGAAGACGAGTACAGCAGTGGGGGAGGGTTTGGCCAACTATAAACGCGGCGCAACAGGGTAGCCAGACTTGGGTATACTATAACACCCCTGGGAAACCATGGATGAATTGTCCCAAGCGAGTTCACAAATAGAAAGGGTTATTTATTGTAGTGTTGAACGCAGCAGGCACGAGAACTGAATTTGTATTGACACTGAAAATCGGCTGTCGGGACAGTATGGCTTCGGTCAATCGCTTCTTCGAATTTCCTTTCGAGGGCGTTTGGTGGCTAGAAAGTCAAATTAGTTTGTGCCAATTGTGCTCAAGAGACGTGTAGTAAAGTTATTTTCTCCGTGATATTAATATATAGGCCAAGGTTCACTCGCGTCGCGTGTCCCAATTGGGACCTCCTTCCTACTGCGCATACTCTACTATAGGTAGGAATCTAAGAAGCTCTTGATAAAGGTTACGTACTCTGGAAGTTCGAAGCTGTTGACTTCAATATATTGTGCATGAAGTACCTTCTGGTTGGCTTTCACCCAAGTACTGGTGAATATCTTGGGTGAGTTTCTAGTGTTGGTTGGTGATAAGGCTGGGTTGGCTTGAGCTATTTCCTTGTTGGAAGCTGCAGTGAAGACGATGCATATAGCGTAATAAGCCTTCGTTCATGCAACGACAGAAGTAGGAACTGAGACCCGTATTCGCCTCGCTGGCCGCCACAAAATATATAGGAGCAAAGATGGCAGCAGGCACTGCTCGCTCCCTTGGTGGAGGGTTTGGGAGAGGAGGAGAGGAGGAGAGAAGGTTCGTCGGTGATGAATAATGAATTGAAGATATTTACAGGAGAGGCATGGGCTTGGTGATAAAGACGCAGACGACTCTTTTTTGAGTGGAGGTGGAAGGGAAAGGACCCAATCCGATAATTAGACCCCAGCACCGACCAGCATGGGCTCCGAATGCTTGGGGGGTTAATCGACCTCCAGGGGGCCCTGTTGATAAACGATATGCCTTCCCCTTCAGATGTTCCTTCAGCGTACCTCGTGCATAATTTACCATACCATGTAGGGAGCTAGGGTACTCCGTGATACTGTAATAATTACAAAGAAAGGCCAAATGGCCTCGAGATTGCCTCTTCTTGATTGGCCAATTCGCAGTAATCCCGCAAGAGAGGCGCGTTGATTCGCTCAACAGACCCCCTGTTTCTCGTGGAAGCTAACGATGCTGGCCTTACTGTATGTGTATGTAAATAAGATGCGTACGGAGTAGGTAGATATGTAGATCGCCGTTGACTTGGACGCGCCGCAACGACATCCCATGTCCAGATCCCTCCCGACGAGGATACACAGTGCAGTGTGCAGTGTGCACACACGGTACGGTGCCTACCCTACCATTGTCAGTACAACTCAACTCAAGCACATGCCCGGAACGTGTGAACAATGGCGGGTTGAGCATAGAACAGGGGTTTGCCGGGGAAGAGGTGCACGTAGCCGTCCGTCCACGAAAACCAACAGCTCTGGAATCTGGATAGAGGCTGAATCCCAACCCGTTTTGACCGAGCTGTTGTACGTCTATTGAACACAGCATGTACCGGTACATCTCTTCTCTAACCTGTAGCATCGGTTCTTCCGTACCTAGGTACCTCTTCATCGGACGATTGCACTTACGTAGATGGAGCGCTGGTGAAGTATTTCCGTCTAAAAAGGCCTAATTCTGCACCAAAGAGCGAAGTGGAAAGGTGCGGAAGAGGCGCAGAACTCGCGTAGAATTAAGTAGCTTGGCATAAGGAGCACTAGTAGTCATGACTTTACAGATATTAATAGTTCTATTTGCTTGTTTAAGCCTACGTTTGAATAATATATGAAAAGTTGTCTCCTTGGACTAAACAGACCGAAAGTGTAGAATTACGACGACCCAGCCACTTGGGCCTGGTTTTCGCCGGTACTCCTGCCGTAGCCGCGATGGATTTCTGGGGTAGGGGTCTCACTCAACGCGGCCTACGGACAACGGTTAAACCTTGGGAACCAGGTACATCCTGTCCTCTCGCCATAATGGTGGAACGTCCGTTCCCAAGATTCGCTCCCAAGGCTGAAAAGACGATTGCAGTACAGTACGCTGCGGTGGTGGCAGAGAGGGAGGAGCTGCCTCACTATCTCACACCGTCTTATAGTACGATCTCTGTACAGTACCTGCCGACCTACCTTGTCCAGTAATACTGTGGAAAAACTTAGTTCCTATTGGCAGCTATCTTGTTGGTACAATGTAATATCTTAGGCTCATGCAGAAGTCAAAAGGCACGACACATTTTTTCCTTCCCAAAATCTCACCTCAAAAGGGGAAATTGATGCTGTGAATGGAGCTCGATAGTGGAGTTGAGGTGCGAGTCCTCGCCGTCCTCCCCTGGCCCACTTTAGATGCATTACGACTCTACGAAAAGGCCATGAAAGATCTAGCTCATGCAATGCCAGGGGCGTGCTTCCTTTCACCCATTATTCAGGGTATGCGTACAGTCCGTACATGTAAGTGAAGATCGTGGAGGAGTATTCATATGCAGAGGCCTTTATGCCCGTTCTCCAGGAGGCGGAAATACCAGCCAGTACCAAAAACAAATCACGAACTTGACGCGAGACTTCTCGGCTTCTTGCGCGCCTTGGGCCCTTTCATTGGATGTTGGCACGGGACGGGGATGTTTGTTGTTTCTGCGGTCCGCTCCGAACAGGATCAACTTGCAGGTGAACCTGTCAGTCCCAAGCCAGAGTTATAGGATGGGATGGTCTTTTGCTGGGAATAAGGGCTCACAAGTACACCGCCTATACGTAAAAGGTATATATTCTGTTATGGCTTGATATCAATACTATCGGTACAGTATCAACACGACCTTTGTGCTTGACTCCTGGTGCAAGTGAAGGCTGACGGCAATAGCTTCCTTCCATCTGACACTCTCGCTGTTTTCAATTGCCGGAAGAGGTGAAGAGATTGCCAGGCTAGAGTACAGTACTCCGTACCGTAAAAGAGGAACCTCGTCGTCGCTTCCCCACTTGAGACTTGTGGTGTGGAGTGGACTACTCATAACGAGCAATACAGACCCTGAAATGGCCGGATGCAGACTTACTTTTGAGCACTTTAATAATAATAACGCGTTCCCAGCCTCGCATCGCATACCTCCGTACTCCGTAGCTTGTAAGCGATGGATGGTGGATACTGACCCCTGAAATCGACCTTTATGCCTTGTCCCGAATAACGGGAAGAGATGCTGCTCTCCATCCCTTATTGTTATTTACCGTTCGTCCACCTTTACATTTTTGAACTCAAAAGAAGAATATTAGATTGCCTGCAATGACATCGCCAAGATCGCCAACTGGCTGGGTACACACTGGTGCGCACAGTCGTTACTTCTCGCACGGATGTGATTTTCTTCTGAATGATTCTATGCATATCTTATTTTGACTTTCTATACAGTAGATGCCGATATACTTTTTCGTACTCGCAGAAGTCTCGAAGAGTCTCAAGGGTCGTACGAGTCAAGACTCAATAGAAGTCGAATTGCCGCAACGCTTCTCCCCCTGGTCCTGTGACCAAACTCATCCCATGAAAACAACACCAAGTCCCCGCATATAAGATGCTAAGACATCTCCACCCTCACCAACAGAGTATTTCTTAGATCCTATTTCTTCTCCTCATTACTTTTGAAGCTTTCGGTACTTCTTATCGATTATTCTCTACGTAAATTCTTACAGCACACTACTGTACTGTTGTCCTTCCCTCTTATCACAAGTTCGCAAACCCCACAACGAAGTACCGTTCGTTCTAATAATCAACCCCGTTTGTACCTACATACAGTACCTTACTTCCTTCGAGAGTCCTGACGGAGTCGGATCCAACTGCATCGTCACCTTTCCCCACCTCCTCAAAACAGCCAACGAAAAGTCCCTAAAAGAGCCATTTTGTGATAGATCACCCGGTCTCTTCCCCTTTAGGTCTTGCACAGACACAAGGCGAGATCTGCAACTATTCAGAAGAGGAGATCTCTTTAGTCCGTAAGCCCCATGCTTCAGAAAGTCTAAACCATGCCCACGGCCCATTGGTCAGAATGCCAACGCGACAAGTCTAACGTCCCTCTTGGGTTTCGCGCTACTACTCACTCGTACTACTTTTTCCCACGAAGCGTGCCCAAAAACTTACCTACTGCACACTGCAGCACAAAGCCTCGTAAGTTTTTCAATAATGGGCCTGCCTGCGACTCTGCGTGCGTGCCTACCCGCCTGTCTGCGAATAGTGCAAAGCCCGCTTTGAAACTCCTGGTGGAAAAGTGCAGTGTTGCCAAGTAGCTACTCCGTAGGGATTAGCACGCCGGAAATTGAAGGATCGGTCTAAACAAGACCACAAAGTGAGGCCATTCACAAACCTAAATAATGGTCTTATTTTCTTATCTGCCACTTTGGGAAAGTCGAGTTTGTCTCAAGTTCTCATGTTCATCAATCAACATCCAACTTTAGATGCTGGTACCGAGCAGAGAAAATGTTTCGTCTCTACCTAGCTCACTTTCTTCTCGCCTGATGAAATTCTACCCGAGAAGAACCCGAAATCCGGACCGGGCCCGGGAGTTACAAATAGCAGACATAGGATCCCATTATTACTACCTCGCATCATAAGAAGCTAAAATAGAAAATGGTACCTGCATATGATAGCTGTCAAATATATAACAAGCTAAACACAGACGATCCTTTTCTGCCCCCACGCTGCAAGCTAGATCCTTAAAAGCCACTTCCGTCCCGCATAGGTACATACATATCAGCAGCGTCTTGGTCTGAAAGAAGTCAAGATGTGTAGCGAATACTTGACCCTTCACCGCGCGCGTAGAGTGATGTGTTCTTTGGATATAAATGTCGTCGATCCAAATATCACATCCTCTGCATCACCGAGATTGACGTGATAAAATAGGTAAATCAGCTATTGATACGCCGTACAGTACTCGATGCATGAATTTGAGATGTCTATTTCTGGAACCAAACACTTCAGATTCAACATGATATAAAAATTAGAACATTTTATCAGTGGATTCTTGATAAAACCCCCAAAGTTAGGCCTAGAACCGGAGTGAATCTGCAACTTAATGTATCGTTAATCCTCCTTTTAGAACAAAAAGAGATATGGCTAGATCAGAAAAGGGGATCCAGGTGTAACTTTTTATTACAAGACTATTTTAATACAAATCATTCACTATCGCCATTCGCGGTAGCAGGGGAATCTTCTTTCGGAGGAGGAGCTTCGTCCTCAGCTTCATCCTCCTCGTCCGAGTCGATTACTCGTCGATTCTTCCGGACAGGCGCAGGTGCAGCTTCCTCATCAACATCCATAGCATCTTCGCCTTCAGCGACATCGTCCTGCATCTCCCTAGCGGCTTCTGCAGCACCGTCGTCGTCGTCACTGTCCACGACGATCTCGCTACTCTTGTACTTGCTTGGCTTCTCTGGAGGAGTCTTCTTTTGAAGCTTTCTCTTCTTCTTGGGCTTCTCCTCCTCACTCCCTCTATCTTCATCATCAGAGATGCCATCTTCGTTCTTCTTTCTTCGCTTGCCTCCGGCACCACGCTTCTTGGATTTGGACTTCTTGGACACCTTGTCCCCAGTCTCACTATCCGTGGTCATCTCAGCTTGCTCCCTTTGCTTCTCCTCTTCAGCTCTAGCCTCCGCAAGCTCACGATCTCTCTCTATGATCTTCTGTCGCTCTTCAGCAATCTTCTTCTTCCTCTCATGCTCGGCATCTTCTGCAGCTTTTTTGATCTCTTCTCGCTTCCTGAGCTCTTCCTCTCGTTTCTGCTTGGCCAGCTGCAGCTTCTCGGCATTTTTCTCTTCATACTCCCTCTGGGCCTGAATTGAACGCTCTAATTGCCGACGCATTGTATTTCGAGCCATGTTCGCACGTTGCTCGATGTCATGCTTAGGATAGGGTGTCTGGGGGTGTTGAGCAATGGCTTCTAGAGACTCTATGGCTTCCTCAAGACCCGCAGCGGCAGCTTGTACCTCGGTGAGTGTACGCTGAACTTCGGGCATATTGTAGACAGTGGTAGCTAGCTGGATCTGTACGAAAGCGACGTTAAATTTGAAGTGAACTTGCTCGGGTGCAATTTGGAGGGCCTGTAAAAGATTAGCTGATGCATCAAGATGTAATAAATGTGCGACAAACCTTCTGAGAGTAGTCAAGAGCACTCTTGAATGCCGATAAACTCTTCTCTGTCTTTCCCTTGGCCAACCATGTCCGCCCCAAGCAAGCCAAGATCTGAGCATCGTGAGACCGGTCCTTTGACAACGCCGCCTCATAGTGCTCAATGGCTTTGCTAAACTGCCGCAACTCGGCGAATATGTGCCCTAGATTGACGAATACACTTGGATCTTTAACTGTGTCCCGAACTTTGACGAATATCGACAGAGCGGTCTTGAAGTCCTTCTTGTCCTCAACAAGAGCAATAGCAATGCCTTGAGCTGCGTATGCGTTCTTTGGGTCAAGCTGTAAAGCTTTATCAAAGAATTCAACCGCCTTGACATACATGGCACTGCGCTTCTGTTTTTCTTGATCGGTCTCTCGATGCATCTCACGAGCCGTCATGAGATACAAATTTCCCATTCCAATCAAAGCATATCGGTCATGCTTCTCATAGTTTTGAAGAGTGTGTTTGTAATGGCGTAACTCTGGATCTTCCGCAATATTGCCGCGGCCCCTTCGAGAATGGATTCGTCCCAGATACCAACCGTACAAGGCGCGTACTTCGAGATCAGCAGATGAATCTTGGTAAAGCTTGGAAATGGCCTTGGGTCCGTCTTCTGTTGGATTCTGGCGTAAGGCAATATAAGCCTGTCTCGTTCTTGCATCTGTGTAGTCGTTGTGGCGGTCGAGAAGCCCATTATATACCGTGCTGGCTTCGTCGAGTAAGCCACTGGCCTCATAAGTTCGCCCAAGATTATAGCTGATGGTAGTGACAAGCGCGTCACCGTCAGAGTCATCCTGCTTGTCTTTGATCTTGACGCAGGCATTCAAGGCAACCTGGAACATTTCTCGGGCCAGGTCATACTTCTCAGCTTGGTAGTAGAAACACCCCATGTTATTTAACAGTTGGGGTGGAAGGCTTGTTCGAATAGATGTTTTGAAAGCAGCTTCCTCCTCAGGATCTTCTGGTTTCTGATCATCGGGAATTTGATCAAACTCAAGTTGCTCCACTTGTTGGAGACATTGCAGGCTCTTTTCGGGCTGGTCGGTCTCGTAGAGTCGTGCAAGATTGAGCAACACGGAAACATCTGGAATGAGGTTCTTCTTAGGATCCTTCCAGGCCGTCCGAACATTTTCAAGATAACCGACAGCCTTCTTGAATTCTGTCGACTTATCCTCCTTGACGCCACTCTGCTGAGTTGTAAACACCTCTTCGGCGTAGAGAGTACCTAAGAGAATCATAGCTTCGACATTCTTAGACTGCTGAATGATTTTCTCAAGTCTCAACTTTGCTTCTCCAAAATCACTCTTTAGGACTGCAAGTTGCGCTGCACCAAACTTGGCAGGTAGAAAACCACGCTCAGCACCACCTCTGGCTTCGTCCGCTCGGCGATAATAATCAGTTGCTCGCTCGTAGTCGTCTTTGTAGTGCTCTTTTCGAGCTAACAAGTACCAACCATCACTGGCAATTGCATTTACGTCTGTATACTGAATTGCCTTATGCGCCAGAGTATCCACATTTGTCAAGGACTTTCGGGACAAAAAGTAGCCAGCAAATGTCGCACATGTTAACGGAAGGTCCTTGTCAGCCTTGAAAGCTTTTTGTGTGTATTCCGTCATTGCCTTTTTGTAGAGTCGAATGAATTCGGGCCCATTTGTGGGAACATGTGAACTCGCATCGAGATAAAAAAGACCAAGAAGGATGTTTGCAATCTTTGAGTCAGGGTTGATCTCCAAAGCTCGTTCCCAGGCTGTTTTCGCATCTTCCTTAAACCCCAGCTGCCAGAAACAACAACCGATTCCTATCCGTGGATCTGGATCAATCAGGTCAGGCATCTTATGCAAAGCCTCCTGATAACCCTCCAAGGCGTCTGCATATTTCCCCAGAGAGTACTGCGCTCTAGATTTGCCCAACACCGCCATCATGTTTCTGCCCGCAGAGACTCGAATCGCATCTTCGAAGGACTTCAAAGAGGCTCGTAAAATGTCTCCTTTCTCTGGATCAATTGCGCCAGGATTCGCAGATTTCGAAGGCGGTTGGAGGGAGGCCTTCAATAGTTGAAGAACTCCACGAGCGAGGTACAAAGGGGGGAATGCTGGGTTTATTCGGAGCGCCTCGTTCAGTGTCGAAGTCGAGATTTGCAGGTAGTACTCTTTCGTTTTTGCTTCCGAGACCAGAGCGCCTTCTGGAGCAACTCGAGGTGCTTCTCTGCTTTTCCACAGATACATCCAGCAAAGACAAGTCAACATACTAAGCCTCTCTTTTGGACCACCTTTCATTGCCTGTCCTCCCTTGATGAGCATTTCGATAGCATGGTCGACCTTCTTCTGCTTCGCATACGCAAGGGAGACTGTCATCCAATATGTCCGCGCCGCGCCCTCATTCTCCAGCAGTGTACATAATTCGGTAGGATCGTCCAAAAGATCCTCAAGATCAACCTCTACAGCTTCGTCGTCACCTTCGCCTTGAACTGGAATGTCGATGGCGGAAGGTATGTCGGAGAAGCGCATGCTGACCATTTGATGACCTGGGGAGACACCTGCACCGTATCCATTTGTTCCCCCGTTGGCATTTCCATTGCTAATAGCAGCCATTTTGAAGTGAAGTCGAATCTCGAATGGTGAATGGAGAAAAGGGAGTGGCAGAGACGAGGTTCATATGCGGGTGTAGAAGACGTGAACAGCGCGCGGAATCGCAAAAGCTTTCAGGCGAGCTTGGAAGCCAGTCAGAACCTGCTGAACATCTGGTCATACGGTGAGTACCTGAAAGATATGTAAAGAGTAGTTAGGAAGTTGCCCGAGGTTCTGGGCGAGTAGAGGTTACAAGTTTTTGAATTGCTTGAACTTGTTCAAGTTGACAGGACTCGCGCGCGAACAATTTTACGCTAACGAAGCTAGGATCAATTCGTCCGACACAACACCAACACTAATAAGTAAATAATACTCTTAAAGGATTTCTCTTCTACTCAGACGTCGAACCACAACATAGGAGGACCGTCAAAATCAAATGAAGCAATACTATCGTCTTCAAATAATCTTTTAACACTATGACGATCTAACCTGCTGGTTATAAGACATTTCTTTCCCATGTCACTTCTCCATATCTTGCGACAGGGGCAAGGGGGTGGAGCCCTACGTATATATAGGTGTAGGTTCAACAGATGATTTTTACATAGTCTCATAAATTGTAATCGTATAGTCACAAACACGCGTAAACTCCATGCCAGTATCAACCAGGTCTCCCTAATCATGTCTTTTCTGAATGACGAAATTGACTCTAGAATTATATCACCTACTTCGTAATCAAAGGCAAGGCTTGCTTAGCCTTTGAAGTCGCAAGATCCGCAGCTTTCTGGAGTTGTTCGGACCTCAGCTTTCGCAGGTAACGGAAGAAAACGATGAAAAGTAGCTCCATACTATTTCAAGTTAGCATATACGAGTGAAACGAACGAAACAATGCATACCGTTCTTTTGTCATCATCAGAAGCCCTTGAACGAGCAGTCCCTTTGAAATCTGTGGTCCAATACCTTTGAAAAGGCCCAGTAGACCCTCATGCTGGACAATAAACCGCATCACTTCGATGAAGCTTTTGAATGGCTTCCCTGCACGGGATGGAGGAGGTCTTGATTGTAGGCCCACCTTGGCAACAATGAGTGGTTGAGTTGCAATTGTAGCCAAAGATTTTGACATCGCTCCAAGCACTACATATAACATTAGTGGCTTGCAATGAGAAATTGAACGAAAGACGTACAGAATGCTTCCCACGGTCTAAGATTCAACTTTCCGGGAAAGATAACTTCTCTTAGCCTTTGATACGCGCCGTATGTTATAGCAGGATTGACAACCAAGACCAAGCTAGCCTTGAGGCCTCTCCAGAGCCCAGTCCACCCATCTTCACTGTTGATCACTTCCTTGGCTGTGTCTACCATTCCTTTCTTATCGCTCTTTCCTTGCGTTTGCTGACGAGTAGTGACCACGGCGACTGGAATGGTGAAAAGCTGGGCCACAGCTCCTGAAACAGCACCCAGTGATAACTCTACAGCCGTACCGGGGGGCGTTGGTAATGTCTGGGACTTGATATAAAGCGACCGAACAACAGAATACCAGTAAAAGTATGCGAAATTCGTTGAAGCAACACCAATCAAGGCACCATTGATGCCAGAATAAAGACCAGATATTCCGTCATCGTCAACAATTTTGGTAATTGCGTCCCAGGTCGAGGTGTAGTGGGGTGGTAGATCAGCATCAACCGGATCTGTTACTTTTTGCTTGACTTGTACCTGAAGCCGGGTCTTGACTCTGAAATAGCAACAGCCGTATCAGCAGAAGTTCTCGGGGAAGTGTTTAGTGAGAGAATGCGCCCGGTAAGGGCTACGTCCCGGAGAAGAGGATGGGCTCACATGTCTAAAGGATACACCAAAGCATTGGCAATGACTGCCCCAGTGGCCCCAGCAACTGCTCCACCCCAGGGGGGAAGCAAAGCATCTTTTGTTTGTGCCGCCATTACGGTGATTGTTGAAGTAAGATGGTCGACAACAGCCTGAGAGGAATCGGCGTTTGTGAGCTTGATATCGACAGCGAGAGAAGCCGAGGCTAAAGAACCCACGGCTGCGAGGAAGTGAAACTTGAGATAGAGCTAGAGTGAGAAGGAAGCCTGCAAAAATCTGGGCAGTTTTCAAAGAAGAAAGAATTGGTTGAAAAATGAATCTTCGACTACCTAGGTATGCAATGCAATTTTAAGTAACAAAATTATATAAACAATCATATCGCATCCGAGGGACCTACTCCGTACTGTAAGTCTGGGTGAAGAGCGGACCGAACGACCGAGGTTCCAAAAAAGCTGGGGAAGCCGCTGATTATCCGTAGAGAAGGCTAGTCTTCTTTGTGTCCCGCTCCGCCTCCACCCCGCCCCACCTAATGTTCCAGTTTCATCCACTGGTCCAGGTTTAATATCTACATACGACCGAATCTGATGCCTTACTGTATTTTGTATTTACGTTGCCGGGAGATTTCTCTCTCTCTATCTATGTCGACCTAAAGAGACAGTCCTCAGCATGGAAGCTGATGCTCAGGTACATTCCACTGTTTCCGGCCCAAGTCAAGCCTTTGTACTCACGAGTCAATAGGCGGCCGAATTCAAGGTCGACAAGTCGCTCACTAAAGAGGAGGCCTTAAAGAATGCTATTCATGCTGCAGAGCTGTACATGAAAATCACCAAACTGGCCAGTAGTGATACGGAACGGACAAGATTCCGTGGCAAGTTCAAACAGCTCCTTTCAAAAGCAGAAGATATCAAACAAGCAGCACAATGGACTCCTTCTGTAAGCAAGGACGTCCTCTTGAAAGCACCTCTGTCCAGGAGACAAATTTCTAGACGAGAGGAAGTTATACTTCTCGAGGGTTCCAAGTTACATGGCTTCAAATTTCCACCTTGGACAAATGATCCGGACAATTCGCTCTTTGATAACCCTGATGAGACATCATTTTATACGTATATTTTCCTCATAACCGTTCTAAGATCATTTCTAATATCTCATAGTGAATCGGCAGACTTGAAGTTATCGGATGCCCAAAAGGCGATCTTTGCGGGATGGAAAAGACCCCATGAAAGTCTTGGCATCCTCACTAATGAGGACATCACTATTTCTATCGATGAGATGGATTTGGTCCAAGACATTACCACAGACTGTTCCGTTGTAGCCAGTCTCTGTGCTGGTACTGCACGCTTTAGAAAGGGTCGTGGACAGGTAAGTCAGCTCAATTGGGGATTGTAATAATGCTAAATCATCTCAAGCTGCTTCCCACAATGATGTACCCCTTTGATCAGCAAAATTCGAGGCCTCGAGTATCGAAGAACGGAAAATATATCTTTCGTCTTCACTTCAATGGCTGCTTCAGGAAAGTCACAATAGATGATAGACTCCCGGCATCCAATACCTCACGGAGTCTTCACGTAATCGACCGTAATAATCCAAAATTGCTCTGGCCAGCTTTGATAGAAAAGGCATACTTGAAGGTGCGAGGTGGATATGACTTTCCAGGCTCGAATTCTGGTACAGATCTATGGGTCATGACAGGGTGGATCCCAGAGCAAGTGTTTCTTCAGAGGTAGGCTCCAAAACTATCACCTTTGTCACCCAGCATACTGACGATTGTCATAGCGATGAATTGCAACCTGAACTGCTCTGGCAGCGGATCCTCAACTCCTTTGGATACGGCGATGTTATGATCACATTGGGCACTGGCACACTGAGTCGTAAGGAAGAGAAGGAGCTTGGCTTAGCTGGCGAACATGATTATGCAGTCCTTGACATGAAGGAAGTTGGTTCGCAACATTTACTCTTGGTCAAAAACCCCTGGTGCGATGGGATGGTATGGAAAGGAAGAGTATTAGTTGCGGAAGAAGAACTATCAACTCAAACCTGGACACAGGACCTTAGAGAAGCACTTCCAAACAATAACACAACGAAGCCTGGCACTTTTTGGATGAATCTGGAGGCCGTTGTACAGCATTTTGAATCTCTATACCTGAACTGGAACCCCGGGCTCTTCAAACATCGCCAGGATCACCACTTCTCCTGGATGATTCCCACAATGAAGATTCCGGACTCCTTTATTCACAACCCACAATATGCTCTCCATTCGACGAAAGCAGAGACGGTATGGGTACTGTTAAGCCGACACTTCGCCACCTCAGAGCACGACATAGCACAGAACAAATCCAGCACTCTTTCAGATACTTCTAATGCTCTAGGCTTCATAAGCCTGTACGTCTTCTCCCCCGCTGCTGGCCAGCGAGTATATCTCAGCGACAATGCTGTCCACCGTGGCGCCTTCGTCGACTCCCCGCAAACACTCGCCCGCCTAGAAGTCTCCCCTTCGGAAACCTACACCATCGTGCCCGCTCAACACGGACTTCCACTTCCCAAGTACTCGTTCACACTTTCCTTTTTCTCCCGCAGTCCCCTAACCGTCGCTCCCGCCCTGGATAGCCTCCCTCACTTCACCACACACACCGGCTCCTGGACGCGCCACACAGCCGGCGGCAATGCATCCGCTCCATCCTACCCCCTAAATCCTCAATTCTCCATCGCAGTCCCATCTCCCACGCCAATAACCCTCATCCTCGAGAGTGGCGACCCAGAACTTGCCGTACACGTCAAGCTCGTGTACTCGTCCGGCCAGCGCGTCACAAGCATAAAGGGAAAAGACATGGTGATGTCCTCCGGCGACTACCGACGCGGCTGTGCACTCGCTTCCGACCCCTCCGAGTCCGTCGTCCCCACTGGCAAATACACAATAGTCTGCTCCACTTTCTCAGCCGGCCAGACGGCCTCCTTCACACTCCGTGTTGGTTCGGCCGTCCCGTGCACCGTGCTCCCCATCCCAGCTGAGACAGCAGGAAGACTCTCGACGCGCTTGCCAGTATTAGTGTTCCGCAACGGAGTGGATAGGACGTTGGCACCGCTGACTGTCAGCAGGCTCACGAAGCTGATGGTGGTCGTGAGGTCGGGGGCTACGAGTCGGCCGCTTCTGAAAATTAGTATCGAGAGGGGACAGGGGCCCAATAAGAAGATCTTGGATGAAAGTTGCGGTGGTGATTTTAGTGATGCGCCAATGGGAATTCGGAGTGCGGATTTGGATTTGAGTCCGGGTGTGAGTGCACCAGGTGGATTGTGGATTGTAATTGAAAGGCTTGGGGGCAGGAATGAGATTGATGAAGTTGAGGTTGAGGTTTTGAGTGATAGTGCTATTAGCGTTGGTTTGTGGGGGGTTGAGGTGAAGTGAAGTCTTGACAATGCCGTACTCTGTATGCATTATTAGGGAGTCAAGAAACTATGATTCATAGTATTTAGAAGCTACCTGGCTATTTGCTCAAAGGTATTCATAAGATGGATCCGCCTTTTCATATCCTCTTTATCACATCCATCCATCAATCATACCTCGCCTCACCGCATATGAAGGTGATAACGACAGTATCATGCCAATCAAGATATGCACCCCTCTCGAACTTAAATGCGAGACAAGATCTCTCTCCCTGCAAGCTAGCGAAGCCGCTCAAACAGCTTCTGGTATAACCACCGAACCAAATCTACGCCCCGGCGCCAAATGCCCCAAACTCCAGATACGATTGTTCATAGACTCGTCTCATGAATTGCACAACCTACAGGCGCGCGAGCATAAATTAAATAAACACCATCCTTGATAAACACCAGACCAAGCCAGCCAACTCTAACGCCGTAGCAAACACCTAACATCCATCAAATTTGATATCTTTGACCTGACATATCATATGATATGTATCTTAAGAGTATGTAGCTCTACTTCTCCATGTCATCGCTACTGGGTGCCGATTTTGCGAAATGTAGGAATCGCGATTTAGGCTTGGGCCCAAGTAGCTCGGAGAATGGTCATGAAGTAGTTCCTCCTCTCCGTCGTCGGCCTCGGCTTGGTCCTTCCGGTCTCTGGGAGAGCACGTCTCTCAACTGCGCATCGTCTTTATCTTTATCTACATGGTGGACCCTAACATGTCTAACTTTTGTTAGAATTATGCTCAGATCTAAAGCTCAAACTGGCTTTCTTCCAGCAAAGAGGTGTGGAGGAGGGTCTGTATTTCAATAGCTACGCACCTTTGGAGGTTGTCGGGTCTGGGGTATTTGTGTTCCCTGTCAGGACAAAAGGGACACACATAGCCGGGAGAATCGTGGACCAGACCATGCCTGATCATCTCATTCTTTCTTTTAAAGCCCTTGCCACCTTCACTCCTTGGGCAACCTTTCACACTGCAATAGTGTGGTCTATTCGATGAATGGACATTCGCATGCGAATTTAACAGATACTATTTTATCATTAGTCTAAGCTTCCTTCAGATGACACAATCAATGTATAGCCCACCTGTGTCTGAAATGGTTGCGCCATACAACCCGGATAAGTGCATTGAAACCCACCGATTTGCGGATTCGTTATGCCATCAATACTCATCCTATCAATTGTAGGCGTGGCACCCGAAGGATCAGTACTAGGAGTTTCGTTGGTACTACTACTATATTCGCCAGTGCTCGAGTACTGATGGCCATCTGTCTGAGATTGCCTTCGATGAAGCCCTGAACCATGCCCAAATGTAGTATAAAAGCCGCTACGACCTGGTGATGGAAGTTCCCTCCGATATTCATTAGGTGATTTTGGAGGTGAGCCGTGGCCTGGAACAGTAGCGAATTGTGGAGGTCGGCCTGGGCCTGGGGGGGACTGCGCGAAGGGGGAATTGCTTGTCTGAAGAGGTTCTGGAATATGACTGATATCTCCAAGTTGATCCGTTATTGACGGAAGAGTTATTGGGCCTCCATTCCCATTTGAGACCGAATGCGGCGAGTTGTGGCGAATTGGTGGGAGTTCTCCAGGAGCTTTAATCTCAAGCTTGACATTTGGGTCTGGTGAAGGATGCAGCCGAGCCCCACCCATCAATGTAGCTGTTATTGAAGGTATCGTCGGCTTAACATCTTCCATAATATCTCTTTCTGCACTTCTCGTATCCGAAATTGGCTCGGCGCACTTCGTCGCAGGGATCGCTTGGGTGGGTGTTGGTGGGGAGCTGCCCTTCAATACGTTCATAGCTCTTGCTGCCACGGAGGAGAGATCGTACTGCTCTACTCCAATTCTTTCTACCGGTTCATCTCCTACTTCTTCTTCATCTCTCACATCCTTCTCCATGTTTCCCTTCTCGTCGTCCTTTTCTATGGTGATCTCGACACCGCCCATTGTGATATCCTCCTCTTCCCCCGAGGCTAAAGGCTCATACCCAGCTTTGCGCGCCGTGTCAGAATGCCGAAAACTACCCATGTAATCAATCAATACAGCATCGCTTAGACTGGGACGAACTTTCGGTTTGTAGGAGCTCTTGCGATCGGGACTGCCGGGGGAGCTGGAATCGGGACTGACGGGAGGTAATGGAACGGCCAGTGGAGGAGTCGACGATGGCCTGAAGTTAATTTTCATGGGTTCGAGTTGTCCTGGGCTGGTGGGAAATCCAGCATCGTCTGGGTAGTAGTCGTCGTTGGGAGCTGGTGGAACTTGGACGTGTTGGTTCTCGACAGTAGTCATAATTATGTCCAAATCGCCATCGGAAGCACAAGAGTACAGGAAGATTGCACAAGACAAGGACGGAGGCAGGGCAGAGCAAGGCAAGGCGGATAATCACATCAGCATAGCATATCAGCCAGAGTAACCATGCGACCCCGTAGAACTGGCTGCCATGTACATATACCGACTGTAGAGACGCAGTGCAGTGGTAGAAAAGAAAGCGTGAGCGTGGATCCTGTCCTGTGAGCCTCCAGGTGGCGCCGCTTGTGCTGGGCGTGGACGTGGGTAGCTGGACGAACGGTGCGGTACTGTGCGGCCAGGTCTGGTTCTTAAGGCGGGGGACAAGACAAGTCAGACAGGGACAGGACAGGGGAGCAGGGAGGGGAGAGGAGAATAGTGGGCGCACGTTGGTTGATAGGTGGGCGAGCAGAGCCGTCAAAGGGTAGTAACTTTAAGGAAGGAGGCTATGTTAAAGTATCGCACCAGGATGGTCAAGGCACAGTCAGTCGAATCGTATGGGTGGGGGTGCGATGCGCCCACGGAAATATAATAGATTGATAATATATATAGACAGAGAAAATCGAAGCAAGATGAATTGGCGGTATAGGTGAGATATGCGGCGGAGATGTTTTGCGAGGGAACAGAGAGTAGAGAATAGAGAATCAGAAGGAAGGATTAGTAGTGGTGGTGTTGATGGGTTGATGGGGTAGGTATGGTAGGAAAGAGCGAGGAAGGATACCACCGACCTATTTCATCTAACGAACGCCTTCTATGGACTGATTATTCGTTTGTTCCACGTTGACAACGCAGGCAGTAGTAGCCCAGTATTATTTCTATTCCTATACTGTTTTCTGCAGACGGCTGAGAGCAGCGACGGCGCAACCATGCATAGCAAAGCAAAGCAAAGCAAAGCAAAGCAAAGCACTGCACTGCATTGCACCGTACTGCACAGAGTTCTGACTGCTACTCGAATACTGGCTGGCTGGCCTCCGCTACCTTCCGCTGAACCTCAACTCGAGTTACTCAACTCAATTTGGAACGTATTAGAGCACCAATAGGTAGTAGCACAGCAGACAGCACAGTAGCACACACCTGCCGACTGGCCGTCAAGTGGTTGACCTTCCGAGCCCGCCAATGTCTGCACCAGCCTCACTAGACAGGGGTGGTTTGGTTGATTCCATTCCCTACCTTACCTTACCTTACCTTACCTTACCCCAAGGGACCTTAACTTACAGAGTACGGTATTAACATGGTCATGGCATCTCGTCGTTACTCTTCCAACCTCTCCTTCTACAACATATATATCTATAAACGCATACCATGATGTTTTCATCCGTTTACAAGTGCAAGAAGCAGATGAACCACGCCATATCGCAATTTCAGCCTCAATACCTGCGTAAGGGCCAGAACGGAACGGCTATGCATGTTTCAACGACGACTCGAGTTACGAGTAATTCCAACGCACAGAGCAGTACAGAAGTACGTATTCAACATCCGATGTCCGGTCAGCGAGAGCGAGTCTATTTCTCTACATCCTAATTCCAGCATCAATCCTATCCGCATATAGTTAGTTACCAATTTGATCTGCGACTTACCTCATGCGGTGCAATCCATGCCATGGCTGCCGTGGTGGTAATATTTTGGGATCACTTACAGCTTTCGCCGCAATCCTCGGCATCTTCTTTGCCTCCATATCTACCTCGCGAGCTACAACTCCCGATTCGGACAGTCTCTTCTCCGTGGTGCCGTTGTCGTTGTTGTCGTCTCTATGCTCCCGTTTTCCGTTATGTTATATTTTCTCAAAGTATCCATGATTCATCAAGCACTGCAAATGCAAAGTGTACACTACTACCGGTATATTCCTACTATGGGCACGCAGAATCAGGTCGAAATATGCAGCACTGATCAGCCGTTACCGTAACCTGCCCGCATCCAGTAGAATGCGAGCCTCAGCATCCTATCCCAACAACGCCGGCATGAGTGAGCCGCACCATTCGCAAGTTCTTTCGGACATCCAGAACACCCACAGCGAATCCCACACAACCTTTGAGAAACCATCGAGCTGCCTTCGTATCGTCTGACCTAGCCCCCAGCCCTCTCAACCATTCCTATTACAGCATGCATGCCGCGTCCTCTTTTCGCTACTAACCCTGACCGTACTGTCCAGTCTACGTACCCTTTTTCTTAAATACCGAAAAATAAAAGTCCATCAGTCGCTGAATCCTTGTACGGAGGAGCGAATTTGCCGAACAGTGGACCTCAGTCAGTTTAGCTCTGCACAGATTATTAAGATCGCGGGGAGAGTTTACAAGCCACCCACCAAGCCACATCTACTATACGTTCCAGCTCGTCTCACGTGAGTTTGAATGGTAACATTTTGGGCTTGCTGGCGTGGGAAAACTTGCGAGCTGTCGGAAATGAAGTGATGGATGACATCGTTCTAATTAATAATAGAGCCAATCCTAAAAGGTGTCTAGGCAGCAGCCTCTGAACTTTGAATTTTTAGAGCCAAAGTATTGGTTCGTCGGCCGAGCATCAGGAGCTTAGAGGCTGAATGAGAAAAGCCACGACAGGGGCTGCAAATAACTCCCGCCGGATGATGAGTGAGATTATGTTTCTCAGCGTGAGAATGGGAAGTCATCCAAAAATGAGATGTGAATCTCGGATGCACCTATATACCTATGCAATGCTAGAGCAAAACTCCTTACGCCAATCCAATCCAATCTGATGCCCGATGCCCGATGCCCGATGCCTTCCTCGTGTACTCCTCTCTCTCCTTCACTTCTCAAGCATCCCTACACATGCTCAATAGGTTCTTCTGGTAACAACTCCTCCACTTCTCGCACCATACAGCTCTCGAGGGGTGGCCTGACAATACCATTAAAGAGGAAGGTCCCATAAACCAAGAGCGCGAACCCAAGGACCTGAAGCCACTTGAAGGATTCCCACCCGAGGAATAACGAGATAATCCAAATGAACAGTGTCCTGCAGGTGTCGATGGTTGATCTGGAGGTGGCAGAAACACTCCTCGTCACCGAAAGGCCGAAGAAATTGAAGCCACTGAGAGAAGCAAAGGTTAGCTGATGAGGTAACAAAGTGGAAGAGAGGAGAGGACTCACCCAATACTGATCATGATCAAAATACTGGAAATCCCAATTTCCTTGAAGTGGGTCATCTCATAGAACCCTTCCCTCATATCAAAATACCCATACTGCCCTTTGGTGGTCCTGCCAATCGCCAAATGCAGCACGGCCATACCAAAGATAGTGACCAAGAATCCAAAGAGGCCTTCCCAACCCACAACTTTCAGGGGCTCCAGAGCATAATTCTCCAAAATATACTCTTCCACCACAAACTGACTCGCTGTAAATATCTGGGCTCCTGCAATGAGGAACACGCCAATCATAGTCCTCACTGCCTCGGGCGTCCTTGCCTTTTTCTCAACAGCAGAAGCAGCAGCTCTAATCAGAAGCATAACCGTTTCAGCGGTCGCCTTCTCCTTTTCCTTGTAGATGGCACCTGCTAGACCAACAATAGCCACCCCTAATACAACAGTAACCAGCGCAAACCACTGAAACAGATGTAGTTTCCTCCTCAGGAAGATAACGCTGAACACCCCCACAAAGAGCACCAAGGCCCCTCTGGTCATCTGGTAGATGCTGGGAACCACAAACAAAAGGCCAACATTCATGAGAGTCGTCCCGCAAATATCACAAATGGCCGGCAACGACAGCATCAACACCTTCCACCCCACCAGCGGAATTCGGCTCTCGTCTGCCGGCTTCACCATTACTTTCACCGCAGGGTTTATCAGCGTGGTATTAGAGCGAATAGAATCTGCGTCATTCTCGTGAGAACCATTCTCCTCCTGAGCAACGGACTCGTAGCCTTCTTCCTCTGCCACGGCTTTGGGGTAATATTTTGAGTAGAGATTGATGGCGCCGACGAACAGCCAGGACCCCATCTCACCGATAAACATCTGGCATGTTTGCAGGACGGGCTGCTCGAAGGTCTTGCGCTTCTTCGGGTCTAGATCGTAGCAGTGGCGGACGCAGATGTTATCCTAGATATCTCATCGTCAGTGGATGCTTGGGAGCTCCCGCGGTCTGCGGGAAGAGGGGATAGAGGATAGGGATACGGGAAACGAACTTGGTATTTTGTTAGGAGGGTGTTGCAGACGCCGGTGACCAGCATCATGGCCACCAGGAACGGGATCAAGGCTTTGCCTGCCATGTTGACCGTCTACTCTTTATCGCTCTCCTCGTCACTGATAAGAGTCCGGGTGTACGCAGCTAGCTCATGAGCTTTATGTTCGTTTCTGACGATAGAAGTTATTGTAACAAGCAAGCAGAAGTAGCGAAATCAAGATTGGGTCGTGGTAATGAGATCTTCGCAGTAGGTAGCGTTGAAGCCTTTATGATCGTCGTGGTGCTCAGGTGCTCTTTGTTCTGACACAAGACACTGAGTCGAGCGAGGTACAGCAACAGCACAGCTCAGCAACAGCACCCATGCTCGCTAACCGAGCCGAGTCAAATGTATCGAGCAGATCGGCCCCCAAATCTAGCAAGTGATAGAGGCTCTCTGGTGTCACAGGTCTCCACAATCTAGAATGAACGTACGCTTTTCATAAGGCTGAGGCTCTTGTGTATTGTTGTTTTGCCAAGAAACAGGCTTGGGATGTCGCTTTCTATCGTCTTGTGCACCGAGGATCGGAGCTGAAAGCCTGATATGGTAACATGAGTGTTCAACCCAGACATGGTTCTAACATAATGTTTTTTTTTTTGATAAGTTCATTACTTTATTCATGATCCTTTCTCTAGATCAAGAGATACATTCAAACTACATATTCTAAATCTAACCAACCAACTCCTGCGCTACCTAGCAAGTTGCCCAACGCCCTCCTTCATAGCACTCTGCACAACCATTACGCTTTCATCTTTGTTATGCTTCCTCTGGAAGTGCCCTTCTTTCTCTATCTTGACCTTGTGCTCCTTCGGTTTCTCGTCATTAATATTGTTGTAATGCTGGATACCCAATTCCCTATCCCTTTTCAATCTCTCTTGGTCCTCCTCTGAAACAGGAACTCCTTCAATAGCCTTCACATGCTTCCCCTCAATGAAACTCATAATTCCACCCATGGCAGCTACAATACAAGCCAATGCCACAAAAAGACCAGTACTCCACGATGGACGTTTGTGTCTGTTCAGTCCCCACATGAAACCTGAAAGAACGGCTTGGAGGAATGTGTTCATAACCATGGTCCAAATCACGAAATCAAGCTTCCACATTTTTGTTGGGGGAGCGCGAACGCCTGTCAAAGGAGCATCCGAGACCTTGATAATGGGAAAAGGCAGACTGTTTTCGGGAAAATTGGGAGCTTCAGTCACCACATTCGCTGGGCCCAGTTCCACAGGTAAGGTCTCCGAGCCAGCTAGTCTAAACCACCCCCGGTTAATACCCGCGAGTCTTCGAAGACCAACCTCCTTCTTCTGGAGACGATATTGCAACAAGTAGTAGAGATCGCGGAATCTCCATGGAATAGTGCCAAAACCAGTAACACAGAAGAGGGAGTTCAAGATCTGGGAATCGATTTCAATCCAGATGCGCCGAGGAGAGTTGATATTGTTACATGTCGGCTTGCACATAGCTGGAGATGCATTGCAGAGTAACAAAAACAGCATCCCACCCCATGCAACAACGTTGAGTCCATACACTGTGACTAGGAATCCGATGGGCGTGAGGAAGAATCCCCAGAATGCCTTCAATCCAATCATAGTGGACTTCTGCCAAGTATGCTTCGGTGGGAACTGATATCCGTTGTCGAAAGAGGTCGTTTTTAACTTAGCAGACGTCGACTTGGGGGAGATATCTGTGTCGCTGCTGCTGCGCTGATCCACCCCCTTCTTCGCTTGTGAAATCTCCATCTCTGCAACTTTCGCTTTCTCTAACATTTCTTCCGAGGTATCCAGAGGTTCGTCGGGTGCCATTATGCCGTGAGTCTGCGCCTCCAATTCATCCACTACCTCTGGGACGGTCTGAAAACCAGCTGATGGTTCTCTAGGTCTGTTGAGAATCCCCGAACTCTTGTGCCTTAAGATATCAGGCCTCGTTACACTCGCGCGCCGTTCCTTCTCTCGAACCTGTCCTTCGCCAGACCAACCGTCACTACCGTAGCTACCTCTCCTAATATCAGATACCGATGGCAACGACGAAGCAATGGTCCCGGTGGCGATCATAAACCCAGTAGGTGGATTGGACTCTTGAAATGACTTCGAGGCGCTTCGCAGGCGTTCTGAAAGAGATGAAGTGCTCGACTGGCCTCTGCTTCGATTCCCGCTTTCTTCGGTATCGGTATTCGTCTGACGAGGAGCTGAGGTAGTGCTGTTGGGAGATGGTGGTCTACTGACTGCCGGAAATGGCTCAGGGGAGTCATTTTGTATGGATGCGCCGGTTTGTATGGAAGCGCCGGTGGCCGGCGCCGTCGATGAAGATGCCATGAGGTGAGGTCGCCCACTGCGAATTGCTGCGGATTGCTGCGGATTGGGAGTGGGGATCGCGTGGTTGTGGCAACGATGACCAGGCTTTCGAGACTCGCCCAGAAGTTTCGAGTCGCATGTGACGGGGAGGGGCAATATTGATGGCAAGAGCGAGTTGGAACAAAGCAAATGCTTTGGATACGATAATTTGGACGAAAGAATAAGAATAAGGATATAAGCAATAAGGATATAAGAACTGTAGACTTGATGAGACTTGAAGTCAACACTCTGCTAGGTAACTATTATTCTGGGGATTTGAGAAAGTGGATTATCAGCTCTTATCTCCCGTCTACTTCCCCAGAGATCCAGACCCGGCTCGCCCGGACCCTAATTTTTCAATCTAGCGAGTCTAGGTACATACCCAGGCTGCCAGGTACGAAGTAGTATCGATAGGGTATCAATTAAACCTCAATGAGCCATGTCGAGGAATTAGAGTTTTGCTCTCCAATATTATGATAATAGTAGGTGATTTAAATCTGAACTTACAACTCTCATTCCCGCTGTCGAACAATCCGTCTCTATTAAGCAATCTTGTCTGTACCGGTATTATGTTGCAGTCAGCGACTACAGTACCTAGGTAGGCGACTTAGTTCCGCAGTGTCTATCAACAAGCTTCAAACTTTAATTTTTATTCTTGATTCTTCAGAACTTCACAACACCAACGCTTTTGAACCTTTCCAACACATAAACCATGACACCCTCAGCTACTGATATCGATCTCCCCCCTTTGTCTGCCCTCCAAGACAACATCAATGATTCCAAAATCACCATAGAGCAGTCCCCTCACCCCGCCTACCTCCACCACCTAGCAACCCAAATCCTCCACGACCTACAACATCAACACGACTGGACCTTCCTCACCATCCACAAGCGCTCGACGCTCACAGCCAACCCTCTTCCGCGCCCCATAATCTCAGGTCTTCCTCCACGAAGGGCCTACATCCACCCCGACGAGCAAATTGAGATTCTAAAAGCAGAACATGAATCAGGGGTTTCTATTAAGCACGAGCCGGAGCGAGAATGGGTGCTCCCTAGCCAGATCCAAGAGACATGGAGTTTAGCCAAATTTACAGCAGTGTTTGATGCGCTGGATACGGTGCCGCCGGGTGATAGTGGAAAGGAAGATGAGGGGGAAAGAAGTGTGGGATGGAAGTGGCAGGGGAAGAATCGACAGAAGAGGCTGCTTCTCGGGACAGTGCATGATGATAGTACCGTGGTCTACTATATTATGCATGATGGGATTGTGAAGCCGAGACAGAATTGAAGGGAGGGACATGTAAGCCTGAAGACTTGTTGAATACACTGAGGGTAACATGGCAATGAGGGGCTAGCATTCGTCAAACTCTGGCCTGGCTATATCCCCAAGTATCTCGATATAAGGAACCTCGAGGTTCCACCGTTATATTCGAAAGCCCGCTTGAAGAAAGCTGTGCAATTGGGGACCTACTTTATTGATATGCTCAACCCAGTATAAGCAATAGTTATGCTAAGCTACCTCGCTTACTCCTATGATCCTCATTTTCCCCGGACCATGGATACCACGGGCATCAGAGTGAGCATGGTCGATGCTAAGACTAGTGGAGCCAATTTGTCCCATCAGGAGTATTGGGATCTTCGCGCTGTCCTACAAGAAACAGTTGGAAGTGTAGATAATAAGATCTACCATTGAAACTCTGTTGAACCCATATCAGTATACTTATCACATATATAATGTGATCTACCCATGCAAAAGGCTCCCGTCAAATTCGAAACGTGGGGCCAGTCCGGTTACTTGTTCCTCTCTTCCCCAAGTTCCCTTCCAGACTTCTAGAACTGTACTGTACTGCTGCATGTGCTTCGGGAAATCGGAACCCGGCAAGTCAAGTCAAGTGTGTCTCGCTGTCAATCAATCAAGGGGTGCAAGTCTGCCGATGGCTGTTCGCCAGGCTGTTCCAGTGAACTCCTAAACATGTTTTCATTGCACGAGGCCCTTCACTTTTCGTCTTGAAATATCGGAAAGTTATCACATATCCATATCTTACTATTATAGTGCCTGCACAGAACGAAACCCATGTCTTCTCTCATCACATATCAAGAATCTCAAGTACAATTTGTTATAAGTAATAGAATTCACTCCAGATTCTTAAACTCTTTTATGTTAGTCCTTCCTTGCGCAGTATTTATCCTTTCGATTATTCTTCCTTTTTTACATCAGATGTCTTTTCCTCAAGGACACACCTAAGCTCATTGTACGATCTCTTGCGAACTTGCAGTTGTTCTCACAGCAGCAGTCATATAAAGCTCCCCTGCGTGGTCGACTTTGGGCTCAAGACGCCTGATAACTTATATGATGCCGCCAGAAGCACTTCTTACAAAATGTAGCCCTCATACTTGCAACCCTTGTTAAGTCGATGGTGATCAAGAAATACAGGTATATATCAAAAACCAAAAGGATTCACGATGTAATATCCGTTACGTGTTCTGATCTGTAATATCACCCCTGCTACCGGCAACACATGAAATCATCTCACTTATAGCCCTACTGTCGATAATAACAGTCATCAGATAACTCGACAAGAATGTGATCATTTCAGTATATAATGCAGACCAATTCTCAAGCCGCATAGAATTTCCAGGGGAGGAAAGTAGATGCTGTGCGCCAGCAATAACATATTGAATGATCTGGGCTTCATGATCAGATTCCAATGTCCCACTCTGTTTGGCACATTGATTTGATTCAATGTTCCAATCTGTTTGGCACATTGATTTGATTCAATGTTCCACTCTGTTTGGCACATTGATTCCAATGTCCCACTCTGTCTGGCACATTGTAAAGAGGCGTCGCACTTCTTTTGGCGGCGGTCACGTGGCTATTACAATAATTCGCTAAGACCAACCAAATCCGCTAGCTCGCACAGTTCAAATTTCCATTCCGCGATCTCGACGATTGAACGTCACAGTCAACGTCTCCAAAACCACCGACAATCCACATCTCACAGTCGGCGCAATGGCGAGTGAGTAACCTCAATCGTATGCGGCGGCTTGGCTAGCATGGCTGTCCTGCCTGTCCTGCCTGTCCTGCCTGTCCTACCTGTCACTTGATACCCTCAGTACTGACCCGCGACGCAAATAGAGTCCAAGAATTCCAGTCAACATAATCAAAGCAAAAAAGCTCATCGCAACGGGCAAGCCTTTCCCTATCCCTCTCGTACAAGGGCTGACATGTGGTGCTCTCAGTATCAAGAAGCCAAAGACCTCAAGATACCCATCTCTGAAAGGCACCGACCCCAAATTCCGAAGAAACCACAGACATGCGCTGCACGGAACAATGAAGGCCTTGGTACGTCTACATAATCCCAGCTCCTAGTGAACGGCTGTGCTGATGGATCTGGTTTCCACAGAAGGAGTTGAAGGAGGGCAAGCGGGACACTGCATGAGCATCTCGATGAAGTTTCCTTGTCTTGGGATTTGGTTGCGGTAGCTGCATTGGCAAGGTTGCACAAGCGGTTTGGGGCAATCGACATTCGCAACGAAGGCGCTCAGGGACGATAGTTCAGGTCAGAAAATCATCACGAGCAATACGAACCAAGTCCAGCAGTCTCCGAATTCCCTTCCCCTCCCATATCCCGATCGAAAACATACATACCTTGTGAGTGATGTGATGATGATGAACAAACGAAAGGCATTTGTGTGTACAGCTTTACGAGCCATTTCTATGCTCATTAGCTGAAGGATTTATCTTTATCGTGCCAAGATCAAAACCACCCTTTCATTACCAAACACCACCCTCTATACTCTATGAGGCGTAGGTGCATGAAGATTTGGGTTACAAATTATGTGATGCTATTGTGGTTGGAATTGCGCAGTTGTCGCAGTAGAGGTTTTGCTATGAGTCGCAAGTACTGGGCTTTAAGTCCTATATTCTTTCTTTTGGAATTGCAGACACATCCATACCGCATTAACGCCAATGACTCGTGCGGCTATTATGTCTTACCTAGGCAGGAAGAAAGACAACTACTACTTGGGTCGAACAAGTAAAATTGTCATCGGCCTTGATATGGAAAATTGACACCATTGGAGGTAATTTGGAATCCAAACTGCGACTAAAGGCGATTGAATGGGACATGACGACCCTGTCTGTCCCATCGATACCTATGCCATACAGTAGCCGAGTACTCGATATGCGTGGGAAGTTGAGAAGAACTATCACTCTTAAAAAGCACGTAAATCATTAACGAAATATGAACTCTGTGCTTTGTCTCAGGCTTCTTTGTCATTTAAGAGATATAGTAGAAGTAGAGATACAATGCACGATTTTATCCAGCTAGAATCGACAGAATGAGACTATTTTGCAAATCTATGGACATGGACCCAACCGGAGCTATAATAGGCTACCCACGAGCCACTCCCCTCTCTTCTAAATATCAACGCTATTCAGCTTCCAGCATTTACGACTTTTGACCAACTCTCATTCCAGACGCTGGTCGCAGCTTTGTAATTCTTGTGCTGCTGTGAGTCCGCCCTGCGCTTTGGTATCTTTCTTTGCGCATTTGCTTCTTTGTCTTCCCGATACTGTAGTTCCGGCCAGCTGCTATTGACAAGCAAACCTAGTTAAAAGATCAAAATTCAAACTAATGCGGCTGATACTGTAGGCAGGCAATACTTCACAGACCTTCCTGTCAGCAGGTTTGCAGGAGGCTTTCTTACTCTCGCTGCCACCCTGCCCACTATTGTAACCCCAACTCTACCACAATAATAGGATTCGCGGCTCCTTGACCATCGTTGACCGAAGACCCGAAGACGACTCTGCAATTCACTGTTCCGGCAGTTCTATATTTGGTGCACCGTCTTTTCTATAATCCATTCTCAAACATACAGGCATTGATTGCATACCTGGAATCGCATCAGTGCGAAACACTACATCCTCCCCACGGGCGCGCCACCCTGCCCCTAATAAATCCTCGATCATCTTCCCTGGGTTGTGGTTGGAGCATTGACCTTTTGGACTTCGTTTCAGATTTCTCAGATCCCGAGACTACTGTACTCGTATAGACAGACGACCGATTTTCCCTCAACATCAGCATCTCCAGCGTCGTCAAGGTCACCGCTACGATGCTCAATATGTCTGCCATCGGTAATCGAAACAGTACGCCTGTCGAGTCGAACAACGCTTCCTCTCTTCGTCCTCCTTCCTCTCGTGCTGTGGGCTCTGGACACCACCTTCGAGCATCCGCAGATATGGCAGCATTCTCAGGCTCTCCTTCCCAGAATCGAATACGCCCTTCGTCCGATTTTTATGGAACTCAACAAGGTCAAGCACAAGGTGGGCAAGAGAACGATGCGTCCGAAAAAATTGCACAGCAGTGGATAGCTGATATCGACCAATACGAGACAACTTTGGAAGAGATGGCGGCTGCTACTCTGGACCAAGACTTCAAAGATGAACTGAGTGCCATCGAGCAATGGTTTAGAGTACTAAGTGAGGCCGAGCGTACGGCTGCTTTGTATGCTCTTCTACAACAGACGACGCAAGTGCAAATCAGATTTTTCATCCAGGTTCTACAACAAATGGGCAAGAGTCATCCTATGTCTGGTGTACTATCTCCTGCCAATTTTGACAAAGGTAAGCATGGCTATAGTCACTTTATTTGATATTCGGCCCAAACTAACATATGTCTTAAACAATCTAGACCCAATGTCCAATCGTCTTAGTGATGCCATGAACAAACTGAGTGTCGATGGCTCGAGAAATTCCCTGACACGGCCTCCCACGACACCAGGGACAAAGAGACATTCTGGACTCGACCCGTCTACAATCAATGCTATGTTTCCGGATGCCGCTGCAGCAATAGCCACAGAGAAAGCAAAGTTCACCCAACAGACCGGGAACCCCCCATCGTCCAACCGAAATAGTGCAGCTTATGACAATCGAAACTCCCTCGCAGCGCCCATTATCTCTGGCCCTGCCGATACCGCAGATAATAATGGTCAACCGCCGCCTTCACCATGGGGTACTCGTAGCAATGACCAAAATGCGAGACCAAAATCTTCATCAGGACAGGCACCTATGGGCCAATTCATGCAGCCGCCTCCATCCGCTGGTCTTCGATCCCCTGTAAATCAGATTCCTGGCTCCTCCAACGTGCAAAGTACTACAATTATTGCTCCGGATAACCAAGGGTCTGGTCTACCACCCCTATCACCTTACAATGCAGGCAGCGGAAATTGGGCCTCGATGGTGAACACACCAATGGTCCCATCTTTCAACACCGGAAATAGTACGACGCAGGCTGACATGGTTGCAAATGCCACCACTATGAAGCTTGCGGCTCTTGCAACGGTGAACAATCGTTTTGCTTTGGATGATGTCCGTAAGTATCGCCGAGCTAGATCAAATGATGGTCAAGGATCGACTGGGCAGCTTTCTCCTGGGCTCCAAAACAACATGCCCGGAGCAAGCGTTGTCATGATCAACGAGCATGGCCAGGTACTGAGTAGAGAACAAGTGCTCGCACTTCAAGCTCAACAACAACAAAACTCAGCATTTGCTGGCCGGAGATCCCGACCAAGCTCTCCCGGTCTTCCCATGCAGGGCGGCGGGTTTAGTCAGTTAGGTTTTGCGTCCCCCCAGAACAATGGGTTCCTCGCAGCTGAATATGGGTCATCCCCACTCATGAACAACAACGGAATGGGCACGCTCAATCTGGGCCAATTTGGTCTCAGCGGGCACGAGGGTTACATCTCTGACCACAGCGATATGGTTAGAGGTCGATCACCACGTGGTAGGAGAGGCAGCTCGAAGCCTCCAGAGGATCCGACTGACCCTAGCCTCCTCCAAGACATCCCCAGCTGGCTGAGAAGTCTGAGGCTTCATAAATATACAGACAATCTCAAGGATATGAACTGGACGGAGCTCGTTGAGCTAGACGAAAAAGCATTGGAGGATAGAGGTGTCAATGCTCTAGGTGCGAGGAGAAAGATGTTGAAAGTATTTGACCAAGTTAAAGGTAAGCAAACATCTATATAATGCTCTGTTCAAAAAACTAAAGATCACACAGAAGCCAAGGCGGAAGGCAAACTCGCGTAATGTTTCAATTAACCCCAAAATGAGAGAAGATGTTCGCTACGACATAAGGAGTCCCAGTCATTGCAAGGAGCAGAGATGTATATCAAAGCTGGTTCTGGATGTGGATGGTTGGGCTATGCAAGCCACTTGTGCTTCTTGTGAACATATGATAGGGAAATAAACGACTTTAGGCGCTCTTTGTTTAGCAGCTGTTGCGGAAGATTGGAAATGTCAAAATGTTTGATTATATGATATTCATCTACCATGCTATGTTTGATGACCATGCCGTTGATTGTTGTGACTTGCCGCTAATTTCTAAGTTCTGGATACACCAGAATATATAAAAAAGAGAACCAAAGCTACACTCTTCTTCCCTGAATATTAGGAGCGCTCTAGGTTCTCAACTTATGTCAAGAAACCAGGCCAGGTAGGTGAGATTAGGTGCATGGCATGGCCTAGCCCAGCCTATCGGGTGGTTCGCTAAAAAGAAAATCCGGCGAGGCTGTAATTTCGCGCCGGGCCTCGTCTACTGCATCAAGTTTGCACAACCACGGTCCAATGTCAACTTGTGAAAAGCCATGCCAGTCGCTTTCAGATCTGACATGAATCGCTCGATCCATTTATGTAGTAGATAAGTCGCCCCAAGAATGCAAGAAGAGGACAGCACCCCACCGCCGCAAGCCCGAGGGAGGGGAAGGGGAAGACCGAGGGGTAGAGGAAGGGGAAGGCCAAGGGGAAGTGGGAGAGGAAGTCTGGGTGCACCTGTTCAATCTCATCAATCTCAGCAAATTTCACCGCGCCCTGTATATAATCCAGCTGAAGCGCAACCTCTAGATCCGGCACTCACTCCGTCATATGACCCCGCCTGGTACAGTAGTACTCAGCAGCATGGAGAGCTGGGGCAAGAGGCAGGCTTAGGCTCAGGTTCGGCTGGGCAACTACCAAAAGTCGAACAAACGAGTGATTGGCATCGCAGATACTCTTCCGCAACAGATTCCAGTCAGACTGGATCGAAAAGCCCGCCAAATTCTGACACTCAGTCTTTCGTAGACCGTTTGTCCGAATCCAGAGTATACCAAAACCCTATGATTTCATCTGCAGCGGCCCGCATAGAACCCGTTGTACAAGATCGCCCAGGCCTTCCGAATCTCTCGAGATCTCCAAGTCCGAGCTCGCCAATACTTTCGGGACGGAATAAAAAAAGAGGACCATATTTTGTGGAAACAGAGAGAAGGGACAGCGAGTAAGATATACCAGAGGCCCCGTTTTTGTACTTGGATTGTACCTAACTATGTTGGCAGCGGGTATATTTCTGATGCCGATTCTGAATATGCAGAGTTCAGAGCTCAAATGGCAAATTTGGATGACCAAATAGAAGAGCTGAGAAATCCTGATATCGACACAAACGACTCGCATCTCGATCTTGATGGCGAAGCAGTTGAGGGCCTTTTCTCCCAAACTCGTCCGGGGCGGCGACGTATTGGTCAAAATGGTCCTAGATTCTCTGGCCGAGGGACGTTTCGGGGGCCTCGAAGGGCAGCACCACCAACAGGTGATGTCAAGATGCGACTGAGTACTGCGTCGCAGATGTTCCTTCGGGAAGAATATCATGAAGCTAAGAAGCTAGCCTTTGAGATCATTGCCATCAATGCAGAAACCCTTGAGGCGTGGACCCTACTGGCGACCATATGGAAGGAACTTGGCAGGATCGACTATGCAATTAGATGTTTAATGTTTGCGGCTCATATGCGCCCCAAACATCTGGATATGTGGTTCAACTTTGCAGAGTTTGCACTTGAAGAAACTGGGGATAAGCGATCGGACTATTTATTTCATGCCCAGTTTGCCTATGCTAAGGCTATACGTGCTGATCCCACCAGCCTGAAAGCACATATAGGGAAAGCACGATGTTACGCCGAGCGGGACATGCTGCCCAATGCACTCAAAGAGTTTATTGCAGTCCTCGATCTCAAACCACATGACATGGAGATACTAGAAGAGGTGGCCATGTTATGTATTGACATGGATAATGTTGACCCTGCGCAAGAACTCTACAGAAAAAGCATAGCACATTTAAGAGAATCACCACGCACCACTGGTTCATCATTCAGTTGGACAGATGCTGATATTTACCTCGAGCTCTATGGGTATGCTCGACAGTATGACGAGGCCATTAAAGAACTCAAATCCCTGGCGCGATGGCTCCTGGGCCGTGAAGAGGAAACTTTTTGGGACAACGTAACTGCTGATGATCGCGAATGGGATGCCAGTAGCACCAGAAGACTTGCGATTGACGCTTTTGAACGTGACAAATATCCCAATTCTTCATATGGACCTGGGTTGCCTATTGAACTGCGAATCAAACTTGGATTATATCGTCTGCATCTTTATAGTCCTGAATACAAGGTAAAAGCGCCCTTCCCACTTATTATCACCTTGATTTTGCTCACCCATGTATAGCGTCACTTCGAATTTCTCGATCCCGAAAACAAGACTGGAGAAAACAGAGTGGCAAACAACCCTTCTCTGTGTAGAAAGGTTGCAGATACTTTTGTTGAATTTGGTCTTCACGGTAGTGCTTTAAGATTTTACAAGCCCTTGAAAGAGATTGCCGAGGAGAGTACTGCATCCCTGCATATACAAATGGGGAAATGTTTCTTAAAGGAGAAGTTCGAGGAAGAAGCAGAGGAAAGCTTCAAGGAGGCTATACGGCTCGATGACTCTGATACTGAAGCTCGAGAGCTTCTGGCAAGTATATATGATGCAAGGGGCGAGGAGAAGTCAGCTTTTGACCTGGTCAGTCAAGTTTGTGAACGTAAACGACTACAAGAACCGGAGCCGGATCTCCCTGCACCCCGGAGGAAGCAGAAGAGGAAGAAAACCCGAACTGAAGGCCCCTCAAAAGACGATTCTCGTATTTCAGATCAGCCTCGCAATAAGCTTGCCAGCACATCAACGAGCATGAGTCAGCAGATTCTGGACGCCCAATACAATACCTTTAAGACCAAGCTCGAAGGCATGAGAAATGGTGACGCTGAGGCAACAGAAATGTGGATTGCTGCTGCCGAAAATCTAACGCACGAATTCAGAAATGTCACCACATTCTATTCTTCGTTTGATAGAATATCCAAGTTTAAAGGGTATGGAGCGGACGAAAGAATGGGTGTACATACTTTAAATACAGATCTCTCATTAATGGCTGATCGGTTGTCTCAAAGTTGGTCCATCGTCCCATTCCTAATTCCATATTGACTTTCACAGGTCTTGGCGCAGAGCTTTCAGACTATGCTATAGCTCCAAAGAATTTACCAGATGACCATAGAGGTCTCTCTTTTAGTACTTGGCTAGACATCTTCATGGAATATGCAATATGTTTGGCCAAAAGAGGTGAACAACAAAAGTCTTACGAGATCGTGGAGGCTGCCAGCGAGGCAATCATCTTCTGCTACTCTCGGGAGTATAAATTTCAAATACATCTGTGTTGGTGTTGTAAGTGAGGATTCTTTCGATAAAGTTTGCTCTCTAACCATATCTTAGTGTGTGCGTTAATCTCAAACGACGATCAAACACTCCTTGCTATATCTCGATTCTTCATGAAAGATTATCAATTCACCACGGACGCCTATAGAGTATTTGCTGCTTTCGCCCGAATGAACAATGCTCCTGTTTCATGGTATAATTCAGGTCCTACACAGAAGTTCGTTCTCCGTCAAATCAAAGTTATGGATTATGCCCTGGTCAACGAAGAATCGCGGAAACAGAACTTTGTCGAAAAGGCAGCGTATTCCGCTATGGATGAAAATGGAAAGTTGGTAATCAACGAAGACCTAGACGTTTCCCTCCTCATGCTCTACGGTTATATTCTCTCGACGAATAACAATTTCCAGTTTGCTCTGAGTACGTACCTGAATTCATTCCTATGGTGCATAGAAAAACTACTGATGTTTTACTTATAGATTATTTCCTGCGAGCCTTTGCGCTTGATCCACACAATCCAATTATAAATCTTACTCTAGGACTTGCCTACCTTCATGATTCTCTCAAGCGGCAGATTGAGAATAGGCAGCATTCCATTCTTCAGGGACTGACGTTCATCTTTCGCTATTACGATGCTCGTAGCGAGTCGCAACACATTGAGGAAAGACTAGAGGCACATTACAACGTGGCTAGAGCATATCACATGCTGGGTCTTGTGCACCTTGCATTGCCTTACTATTGGAAGGTCCTAAACGAAGGGAGCGAGGACATCAAGGAGGGTTTGTTTATGGATGCGGCCTACAATATGCAAACCATCTACATGATGTCTGGAAACGCAGAGATGGCCCAAAGTATCACGAGAGAATTCCTCGTCATATGAGACGTTGCCTAATGTTTCTCGAAAGGCGTGGGATTTGAGTATGCTGATTAGGGCTAGAATTCCACGAGCTAAAGTGGGATGACCCATCTCATTGGCCCAATGCGGGACGGCAGCCTACCCTGCTGAATAATGTTAATACGGTAGTAAGTTCACAACGTTGTTCCTCGACACGAGTACCTAACATAAATAAGAAACGCCTCTAACAGCTGATCAAGCCAACTCAACTCAAAATGACAAATGAAATTATTCCATCCGCTCTCAGTCTCAATCGAGGCGATACGATCGCATTCGTCTCTCCCTCAGAGCGCTTGAACGAGATCTACCCCTCCGCAGTCACGCGTGCAAAATCATATTTCGAAGCTCTTGGCTTCAAAGTGAAGACCTTCGATACCAAATTACTTTCCACTGACTTCCGAAGAAAGACGCTACAGCGCTGCGAAGAACTGCACGCTGCCTTCGCGGACCCAGAAGTGAAATGCGTTCTCTGCACATCTGGAGGGACCACTTGTAACGAGCTTGTACGTTTCCTGGATTACGATCTCATTAGAAAGCACCCCAAGATTTTCTGTGGCTACTCGGACATTACTCTCTTGCATTACGCTCTGTACACGCAGTGTGGGCTTAGGACTTTCTATGGCCCTACTGCTGTTATCGAATTTGGGGAACCCCCTTCCCCGCATTCCTTCACCGCAGATCACTTCCTAAAAGTGCTTACCGGGGAAGGAGTGGGTGCCGTCCCAAGAAGTTTGGAATGGACGCAAGAGCCAATTGACTTTTTTATCTCAGGAGACAGTAGTACGAAGGAAAGAGCGTTGCAGACTACTCCTCCATGGCGCTGGCTCCGTGGTGGGCAGGCCAGCGCGCCGATTATTGGAGGCTGTCTTTCTGTGATGATGAGGGTGAAAGGCACCAAGTTCTGGCCTAGTCATAAAGGGAAAATTCTGTTGCTGGAAAATTCAATGGGTGAGGATGACATTACTCCCATTCCGATTTATAGAACAGCCAGCTTCATGGCTGATTTGGGGAATGTGGGTATGTGGGATGATATTGTGGGATTGGTAAGCTTATTCTCCTCTAAAACTTATGTTTTGCTCTTATAGAAGCCGAGGAGCCTGGGAAATGTCTCGGGAGTCCATATGCAAGCTCCCGAGATAGATCTCAAGCACTGGGGGTTTTCTCCAAACAGTCGGATTTTTACCATGCTAATTCGTTTGTACCAGGTAATTGGAAGACCATTTGGACATGACGACAGAATGAGGGAGGCGTTTGGGAAGATGGTGTTGGAGCAGTGTAATGGGACTGACTTTCCGATTTTGTTCGACGTTGATGTGGGGCATACGAGTCCGATGCTTACGATTCCGTTGAATGGGATGGTTAAGCTAGATTCGGACGCCGATGATTTTTCAATCTTGGAGAAGGGTGTAGTAAACTGAGTGGGGTTAAATGTCAGGTTAAGTCATATCTCCCTATTATAGGAGCAACAATTCAAGGGTCTAGCATTGATTCGGTTCCAAGGGAGAAAAAAGCTCTTTCTCTATTAGCCAAAGGATCCTCTATACCCTTTCTCAAACTTATCTTAAACATTACTCTGACCCTTATGTCGCATTCCCTCGTAAGCTTCACCACATACAAGCCGCATCTCATTCACTGGCAAATTATTTATTTTTCTCAAATCCATCTACTGTACAAATAGGACGTCCTTCGTAGGCTCGTCGACATTACTAACTAATAGATCGATCCATCGTTCACCAGAGGCTTTCTAACAGTGTTCACAGCACCCCCATAGAGGGATGTCGTAGTGTTGGGCTATATGCGAGACACAGTGGTACGTCTGACTACTCTAGAGAAAAAGCCCATTGGGTCCAAGGTAAGTTGTGTTTACAGGAATTAAATGTCTTAGGGGAAGTGGGGCGGGCATTCAAGCTACTTCTGCCTTTGAGCTATTTCGCTCGATCTTTGAGGAACTACAAAACAACAGCTTGGTTTCTAAGCCTCGGTGGCCTCCGTCAAATGGAGCCTTGAATTAGTTATTTGGGTCTCATGGGTAGTGGGGTAAGTCTAAGAATCGGGAGCAAATGACATCCTAGTGATAGGATTTTCACTCAAGACAACCATATGGACTGTTTTTGGGCCATAAAACGTCTGTATGGAATTTACTGTACGAGCCTACAATATTTGTTAATTCAACGATCACCGACTCTGCATCAGTGAAAGCACAGAACAAAGCTCACACTTCTCCTGGCCGGAAAATGTACCACCCATTATGAATCCCCTCCCCCCCGCTTCTCCAAACAATCAAACCTTTGCTACCACTTCGCTATCGATGACATCGCTAGTCTCCCTCCTAAGCTCAACATAATCATACGCAAATTCACCGAGTTGCGCATCATCCATGCCAAGAGCCTCTTCCTCCTCTGTAGCTCGAAGACTCAGGCCGGGGATGAGGTTCATCACGAAGAGAATGAGGCAGGTACCGAAGAAAGAGTACACGAAGCCGGACACACAGTCCGCGAGCTGGTACGCAAGTTGGATCCAGTGGCGGTTGAGCCAGCCTCCTGGGATCTCGGTAAAGCCGTCGAGATGCGCTATGTAATCGCTGTTTCCATTATGTTAGGTTTGTATAGCCGCAGATACGGGGAAAGAAGGAGGGACGTACGCAGCGAAGAATGAAGTCAAGAGATTGCCCACGATTCCTCCTACACCGTGTTCACCGAAGATATCGAGAGCATCATCGACACGGATCAGGTACTTCAATTTTGTTGCGTAATTGCAAGCACCGGCGCCAACGACACCAAAGATTACTGCGGCCCATGCAGGTACAAATCCGGACGCTGGTGTAATGGCAACGAGGCCCGAAACGGCACCGGAGCAGAAACCGACTGTTGACCACTTTTTGTCCAGGCGGTAATCGAGGAGAACCCACTGTAAGTTCTCGGGGTCAGCATTGCCTTGGAAGAAGTATTTGGGATTTCAGGAGGATTCTAATGCCTCATAGCTTTTGAGACATTGTAGAAGCTCCTGAAATTGACCGGATGAGGATATAGCCTGCTCGGTTGGGGGTTTGCATACAGTCACACCTCCAACTGAAGCTGCCAAGTGAGTCACAACACAAGCCATCACTGCTCGCATGTTGGCAGCAAGTGCTGAACCACCGTTGAAGCCGAACCATCCAACCCACAGGAAGACCGTACCGAGAACTATGTGAGTTACATTGTGGGGTCGGTATGGGAGCCCGTTCGTGTCGCTATATCCCGATCTCTTGCCAAGCATGACCGAATATGCCAGGGCAGCAGCTCCTAGATATGGAAGTCAGCATGAAACCTTTTGATACTGAGAAATGTTTGAAATAACCAGATGAAATGTGGACTGGTGTTCCACCAGCAAAGTCCAAGCCACCCATTTTGAAGGTCCACCCATTTGGGTTCCAAGTCCAGTATGCAATGGGGTCATATATTAATGTAGACCAGACGAACATGAACACAATACAAGGAGCTAGCCTAGCGCGATCCACGGCCGCTCCTAATGCAAGTGCTGGACTGTATTCATATCAGTTGTCCATTTCCATCACTTCGAGCTATTGGGAGACAAACGTGATGGCTGCGAACATCCCCTGGTAAATAGCGAAGAGCAAGTCCGGAATCTTCGGGCTCCCAACACTAGGCTGCGCCAGCACATTTCTGAAGCCGAAGTTTGCAAGATCACCAATATAACTGCTGCCCGTATGGGAGAAAGTCAAGGAGTAACCCCAGAAGAACCACTGGAAGGACACCACACAGATCGACAAGCAAGACAGCCAAATGAGCGAGAGTGCCGACTTTCGGCGTGCGAGTCCGGAGTAGAAGAATCCAACACCGGGAATCATGAGGAGCACGAGGGCTGAAGACGTGAGCATCCATGCAATATCTCCAGACTGAGATTGTCAGATAGATTCCGAAAGTTCTGCGCATAGGAGGAGTTATACCTCGTAGTAGAGATTGCAATTCTCAGTCAGAGAATCACAGCCCGTTGCTGTAGTCCCATTGTATGGGATAGCATAAATGGACGACATCTCGACGTGCTTCCAGATGATATCCTCTATTCGTTTGGTACCTTGGCCGGGAATCTGGTATCAAACCAAAAAAGCACAGGACAACGACCAGTTGATATAAGAGGGCAGCTAGCAGGTCACGGTGTCCCCGAGACAAGAGAAATAAAAAAAGAGCAAGGACTGATAAGGGTATGGGGGCAATTATCTGACAGAGACCCAAATATAGGCTAACAGCTGCAAGATACAGCCTCGCCATCAAGATCTCCAAGATGCACAGCCCAGCATCCATATAATTGGATCTACCAGCCGCTGGGCATAAACTAGAGTAGGCCAGCGGGGTTTGATGCATGGCTTGTGGGATCTAAAGTAACCAGAACGGATACAATATCTCTTGGAGTCTTGGTATTTGAAATGCCACAGGACTTCTGTGACTGATGACTGAACATGGACGCGTTTGAACGGGTCGATTCCCATATTTGCAAAGTTGTTTGGGGGAAAAAGGGCGTGTGTGAAGCCTTTGACTGGTCGAAGTTCAAAATATTCGCCTGTTTCTTCCCCATACATACAGATATTATGCCGCTTGCAGGACCTTGCGGGAAGAAGAATAAAATTATTATGCACACGAGGACAGACAGATAATGGAAACAGATAAGGATCAGAGGTAATGGTGGTAAATTCTTCGATAACGTCCTCGAAAGATAAGAGATGGAGTCGTGTCGTTGGTGCCAAGATCCTGTGGCTGGGAAATGCAGGCCATGCAAATAATACTTAGACTTCAAGTTCTTTATGATCATTTCCCCTTTCTTTCTTTTTCTTTTCCCAAGCCTCAAGGGTCTGTTCTTAAAACGCGCCCATTATGACAAACTTCTCTAATCAGATCCGCGGGAATAGCCTGAACCCTATATTACCAGCACGGTAGCCTTGCTGCAAACGAGGCTGTAAGTAAGTTTCCTACAAACGCCTCTCTTTCATCGGTGTATCTTCCTGCGGCTTGGGTTGCGGTTTCCTTCTGTCATCATATCTTAATCTCTTTGTACTGTATCGTGTGCGGTACTGTACTCTCGGATGGCTGCTTCCTCCCACTGTAGCATACAGCTGGAGGATAGCTGAGGTGGGTTTATACAAAGTCACACGGAATGCGTAGGAGAGCAGCTGGTCACTTCTGAATTTGCTGTGGGACAGCATGGAGCTTGGAGACTTCAACCCTATGGTACTTTACGGCTGTCTCTACAAAAAGATTATCAGATATTAACCCTTAGGCCTTTTGTTGTGCTTCCCTATGCTGGACACAAAAACGACACTCACTCTCATCAACTTCTAATAATGTCCTACGCTACCTAGCACATTATAAATTGTGCCGCTTTTTTTTCTGTCCACCAGGATGCTTCCTTTTATAGAGACGGCCGTAAAATATTACAGGACTTAATTGACTGTTTTACCCCTGATCAGAGGTGACGAAGATGCAGCTCTGCACCAAGTTGTGCTGTTCAAGTCACAGCCTCAATTGGACCAAGCAAGGAGCTATACGAGAAAAGAATATCCGCACATCATACACTAGGAATCCAGCTGTTTCAAAGTCTTCATTCGAAATCTTCTACGCTTAAATTATCAATTATGTACGTACTTCTCTTCCAATAATATACAATAATCCATCTAGATCACCAACTAGCTCTCCTTCGCACCTCTCAAAAAAGGCTCCAACACATACGCCCTCCTCTCTTCCAACACCCTCTTCTCTTTATCTTTCAAGCTCCCGCGGCCGACCTCGGCCCTAAACACCATTTTCCAAATATCCACCCAAGCCTTCTCAACCTCTTTCCTCCTCCCAATAGCCGGGTCCTCGGGCACCACAGGCCCTTTCCCTTTCCAGCTCAGACTCCTCCTTACAGTGTCAATACTCTTTCTCATCCCGCTCTCCTGGCCCGCGTTGCCCAGACCTGATTTCGGCAGCGGTGCCAACTCGCCGGCTACGCGGCATAACATGGACGTTAAAAATACAAATGATATGTTATGGTTTGGAGAAGTAGACAAAGTGTCTAGTACCCACATTTTGATCTCTTCGGGGTCAGAGAGCTGTTTGGCCCCCCGTGACTGAATTTCCGACTCGAGTGTTGCCCAGAGCGGGGAAGGCACAATGCCATCTGTTAGACTTGATACAAAAGCGGCGAGGACTTCGGACATGATTTCCAGCCGTTCTATAGCGGAAATTTCCGGCGGAAAAGCTTCATTGAGATTCTGGTCTGTATCTAGAGCTTCCAGCACGTATTCCTTCCGCTCTTCTCGCGCTTTTTCGTCTTGGAGTATCCAGGAATCGGCATCAAATGGCCAGCCTGGTGATTCTCTAGGAATTGTTGAGTTTGAAAGCATATTGGAGTCGGCGATTACGCGTTCTGTGAGGCCTTCAACTGCTTCAGTGAGTTTGAAGAGCTCGCGAGGAGCTGACCAACAAACTTCTTGTCCTCTGTTGATAGGGCCTCCGATTTGGCCCCTGGGACGAGGAAGGAGAGCGCGGACGCCGCCTTGCGGAATACGGATGAGTTCGTCGATCGAGCGTCCGAAGCAGGATTGCTTCCAATTGGCACGGACGGGAATGAAGTGATCTCTGCCTTCTGTAACTCGTAGTACGAGGATGTCTTCTAGTTGTGCGGTGCCTTCATTTAATCCTCTGACTTGGGTGATGTCGTCGACAAAGACTTCGAGGGTCGCATTTACAGCGTCACCCGGTTCTAGAGTGACTTCCCTCTTCAGAGCTTGCGCAACTCGCTCGTCTTCGTCGGTTTCAGAACCTACAAATTGGACAGATAGCCATGGAGGAGCTATCCAATCCCCCTCTCCCTGTACACTCGGTCTATCCACGAATGCGAATGTTGCTGGTACTTGGCTGGTATTGGCGATCGTTAGACTTCGAGTCTTTTTCCGTAAATATGCCACGCCTCCAAAATCCACGCCCTGAACGGCACTAGTCGGAGGTGGTGCAGAGTCATCGGGTTGTGAAACAACTTCTGACTCTTGAGGGAGATCAACAACGATGGTAATTCCTGGCCTTCCTTCATTCTCCGCTCTGTCTAGCTCCCGAGCAACTTCTTGCTGTATCTTGGACTTCAGTTCTGGAATAACTGCATCATACTCCAGGAGGAAGACCGCATCCAATGGCTTGTGGTCCGAAGAGAGCACTCTTTGATGTGAAGTATACGTACCCAGCCGTATCCTATCCACGTACCCCTCCTTTGCAATTACCTCTACCGGCGGGTGCTCCATTTCTGCCTCTTCATTTTCATCATAGTCAGTATTCGCTAGAGATTCCTCCACCCCATCTTCGTCAGGATTGTAATCAAATAAAACGTCTTCGTCGTCTCCAGCATGATCAATACCCCTAGATTTCATCTCTTCGTCCTTTATCCTGGCCAGCTCTTCTTCTTGCGATTTCCCATCAAACTCAAGCTTGTCCCGCCGTGTCCTGAATAAGATTCGATCGCACCAGCTGGGTGCCCTCTTCTTTTCGCTGGAATCGAACATTCCCATACTCCCAACATCGTATTTGTACGTAGGTAGAAATGTAATCGGACCTTCACGCCACCCGTCGTGGAAAGCTTTCTTCCTTCTCATGACATGCTTCAACTGATCGTGAGGTAATAAAGAATCCAGGGTAGCTTGCAGAGAAGCAGGGTCCTGGCTCGGATGTTGAACGAAATCGTCTGGATCTGGTAAAGAGATTGATGAATCGTCCGTCTGCTCAAAATTACTGCTCGTTCGATGCTCTGATTCCTCTGATTCATCATCGCTGTCAATGCTTCTTATAACAATAGGCCCATCAGCGTTTGCCAATTCTCCCTCGATCTTATTCCTCGATTTCAGCCCAATATCATACTCCCCCTTCGTGTGTAGCATAAGCAGCCTCCTTATATCATCACCAGGTAACCCATCCAGCCTAAAATTCAAATCCCCAAACCAAAACGCAAAATCTTCTTGTCCAATTCCCTCGTGCGCATCATCCAGAACACCCCCCCAACTTATAGGATCAAATTGCGTCCTTTGCAATATTTGCTGCACATCCCAGATTCTCCTTTCTAGATGCGCAGGATCGCTCCCGGACGCCAGATGCGAGTTCACAAACACCATTCTCGTCGTCTCGCCCAGCACAATCCTTGTAGTAACCGCGCCCTTATTTCCAAGATACCCCATAATGCCCGTCCCAACACTGACAGTACTAGTCGCCGAAATCGTGGGCGCAAGAGCAGAAGAAGCGAAGATCAGGAGCAACAGGCCAGAGAGCTGCTGCTCAGCCACAAGTTCATAACCTCTAGGTAAAGCGCTGCTCAGCGCACGCCGCCATTTCGCAGTCGGCCCCGGATCTGTGTATACCCTCCCAACGTATTCCCTTGCACTGGTAAGATCCACGACCTCCTGTAGACCCAGCACATACAGCCCAATCTCCTCCCCATCAGTCACAGCAGCACCTGTGTCACCCCTCGGCACCGTACTCTCCTTCTTATTCCTCCTTGCCTCCTGCGCACCTACACTCTCAATCTCAGTATCGGAGATCGTGACGCCAGAGAGATGCTCATCCACGCCCCTCCCTTGCACGAACCACGCGCCGAGATCGAGCTCTGTGCCTGGACATGCGGCCACGTTCCAGGAGCCGATCTTGACTTTCAGTTTCTGCGGGCATGTGTACTCGGAACGGCGCGCGTGCACGGCTTTGGAGAGGGATTGTGGGGTGGAGGTTTGTGATTCGGGGGGCGGCGGCGAGTCGGTGGAGTTACGGGGGCTGGATGCCATTTTTTGAATTCGCCGCTTGATGATCGGCTGTGGGAGAGTAAATAAGGGCTAATATGAAGTCACGGAGGACTTGGGGAGGTTTAGTCCATGGGCTCAGCCTGGCATGTTGAGATGTAGCTTTGGGGGAATGATGACGTAATATGAGGAATAGTGAGTGATATCAAGGAAGGCGCTGAGTTATGAGGATAGTGAGTGATATCAAGGAAGGTGCTGAGTTATGTGGAATGATAGAATATGGGTTAGGGTATTGGTAATGTGAAGTAAGGAGAGATAAGGTTGAAGCAAGCAGGGTGTGGAGATTGAGCTTTGTTTATCAAGAAGCTTTTTGAAGTCGAGTCAAACCTGGTGGGGGGGACTTGAGACGGTGGGATGAACCCCTGTCGAACTATGGAGCGAAAGCTCACCGAAGCCAAGGGGATCGTGATAACTTCATTTCACTTCACCGAGACATTGTATTTGGATAAGCGTGGCTTATTATCTCTCATGGGCTAATAGAGTACAAGTATGTCTGTCTGTCAATGGAGCATAAGGAGCCAAGGCTCTGCAAGTGTCAGTGTCAGCAGACCCTTAAAGCCCAAGGTAAGACATAATATGGGAATTAGCATCAGCATCACTCGGGCCTCACTCATACAATAATTGTACAAGAATCATTGAATTATATGACTCTGCGCTTGTCCTGTATCTGACCTGTAGCTGCATTTGATAGAACGCCCCGACTTTTGCAATCAGCTCCCAGCTCGACCCTATAGTAACACGGGCCTGTTCCGTCAGCAAGCAAAACCAATCCCTATTGTATAATACAAAGTCCAATGTGTGTTTGCCCGTAAATCTCTAGATTTTATTCTTACTTTCGATCCCTGTGAGACAAGTCCAGAAATGTGCTTTTGCGCCCTGACCCTGACCCTGAACACCTTTGAAAATCAAAAAGTCCCACCTCCACATAAGGAATGAGCATTAGCCCATATCAACATCCCCATCAGCCATGGCAAGTCTTTGTTTCGCCGTTTTAGCCTTCTTCCCGCCGGACTTTCGAGGCTTCTTTCCCTTCGGGCCTAAAGCTTCTCCTGGGACCGGGGTTGCGGCTCCAGATGGTCTATTACTTCCATCGTCAAAGTGCCCCTCGCCTAAGACATAATTAGTTTTTTAATCCTTTCAAACGAGTATCCAGGCAGGAAGAAGCTTACCTTCATGATACAAGTCCTCCAAGCTCCCACTGGCCTCGATCTTTCGCTTCTTGCCCTTTGCCTTTTTGCCAGTCGGTTGTTCTTTCGCCTCCTGGGCAGCTATTTCAGCTTCCTTACGTTCGATCTCGGCAGCTTCTTCGTCATCCACAAGCCACATGGCAATATCCTTGGTACGATTCTCCTTGCTCCTGGTGTTGAAATCAACACCACCTCCACTGCCACCAGTCATGACAACCTTTTGCACTTCTTCTTTCTGCAGAGCACGATTCCTGATACGTTCTTCGATTGTACCACGGGTGATCATACGGTACACAGTGACTTGTTTGGTCTGTCCCAGACGATGGGCTCTGTCCATAGCCTGAGAATCGATAGTCGGATTCCAATCGGAGTCGTAGAAGATGACAGTGTCTGCACTTGTCAAGTTGATTCCCAGGCCACCCGCTCTAGTACTGAGCAAGAAAATAAAGATTTCAGGTCTGGTCTGGAAGTCGTGGACTGTATCTCTTCTGTCTTCAAGCTTGGTAGAACCATCAAGACGAAGAAACTTATAATTCCGGTACGTAAGATACTCTTCCATCAAGTCGATCATACGTGTCATTTGGAAATATAGCAGCACCCGATGGCCACCTTCCTTGAGCTTGAATAACAGCTCGTCAAGCTTGGCGAGCTTGCCAGAATCAGTGACAAAGCGACGCATTGAAGGAACGCTGATGTTTGTGAAGCGCTGTTTCTCTGATGTTGGTGCCGGGAGCATCTTGGTAGGTGGGTAGAATGAAGAAGGAACCTTGGATGTAATTAAGGCCTTCTCCTCCACGGGCGACGGACCATAGAGGGCTCTTCGGATGGGCACATTGAACATGATGTTTTCCTTCTCAATGATTGCTCCACGACTAGCGCAGAAGACATCGATAGGCGGGGCGGATGCTTTTGGGCGACCGCATTGTTCCATCCTACTAAGACCAGAATCGGCCCAAACATCCTTGGCCACGTTAAAGAGCTTGTTGAGATATCCTTCGTTGGTGACTTCTGCAAGCGGCTTACGATCCTGACGATCGACAACTCGAAGCATGGCTTGAGCTGGAGTGAAAGTCTTTTCTTCCTCTTCGTCATACACAATGCTCAATGCACCAAGGCGGCGAGGTTTCTGGGCAAGATCCACAGCGCGACCAAAGACATCCTTGCGAGAAGCCGTTGAGAGCTCGTTAATGGAAGTATCGGAAAATCTCAGCCATGAGAATGCTTCGTTGTCCTTTGTGTTTTCAAATATGTTTTCTGGCTTCCAGATATTCATCAGCTGATCCAAATACTTGCCCCTGAAACCAGCTTTCTCATTGTCTCGTCCAGCTTGACTGAGTCTGCCACCTTCACGCCAGATCAACTTCGGGAGTTCATACTCGATTAGGTTGCGGGTTGAATAGGCAACATTGATGCTCGGACCCTCACGCATAAATGACGCCGTCTCAGCATAATGGCCAAATGAGAAAGGTGAACTTGTCTCTGCTCGTTCGAAGAGATCGGGGTGGTTGCAAACCTTTCGGAATTGCATCACCAAGTTCATCAGAGTCCCAGTATCATTGTCATCACCCAGTGTTGCTTTCTCAATGAGATCCATGATACTGATTTGGTTGCGGAGATTGCGGTAGTAAGCGCGTTGGCGATATGTGAGATCGCAGAATATATCGAGCTCAATCTTGTCACCCAACTCTTTCTGGACATGCTTCTTAACACGACGAAGCATGAAAGGCTGCAAGATTTGATGCAACCGCTTGAGCTGACCCTCGTTGAGTTTAGTGTTACTCTGAGCGTGGCTTTCGATGTCCTTGGAGAACCACTCGCTGAATTCGTCATGAGAATCGAACAGGGAAGGCATGATGAAATGCAACAAGGCCCACAGCTCCTGCATGTTGTTCTGGATAGGAGTACCAGTAAGTAGCAAACGATTGCGGCAGTGAAATCCGAGAAGACTTTTCCATCTTGAGCTCTGCGAGCTCTTTATAGCCTGGGCCTCGTCTAGAATCATGTACTGCCATTTCATCTTCTGGAAGTAGGCAACATCCGAGACGACGAGCTGATAAGATGTAATTAGAACGTGGAATGGCGCATCTTGGGTGTAGGTGATATGCTTCCGATCCCAAAACTTTCGAAGAACCTTTCGGTCTGCAGCTGTACCCCAATAAGGCAAGACCTTCAAAGTTGGCACGAACTTGGTAATTTCCTGCTGCCAATTGTGGAGCGTCGAAGCCGGCGCAACAACGAGGAAGGGTCCCCAAATCCCGTGCTTCTCGGCAAGGTATGCCATGACCGAAATAGACTGAACAGTCTTGCCGAGACCCATCTCATCGGCCAAGATACCATTGATACCGTGTTCGTAGAGATTGACCAGCCAGTTGAGACCCTTGAGTTGGTACTCTTTAAGCTGAGCTTGGAGCATCTTTGGTTGCTCGAGATCAACGTCGTCAATTCCCGCAGGATTTTGGAAGTTCATTTCGCCTTCCTCGTCCATTGCCGGCGCACCGTCTTGTTGGTTGAACGCCCGGGCTTTGTTCTGAGCTTCCTGGACGGCATTCTGAGCATTAGCCATAGCGGCCGCTTTGAGAACCGATTCATCATCAGCATCGAAGTCCAGATCCTCGAAGTTAGTGACCTTTGCAGGAGCAGTGCTGTGCTCCGAGACGTCAATCATCGAAGCACCTGAATCTTCTGTAGCTTTTGCTTCTGAAACAGCTTCGTCGGGATGATCGGTCGATCTCTCAACCTCGCGAGTCTTGACCTTCTTGCCGATGAAATGTGAGTAAAGCTCGGTTTGAGAGATCAAGAAGTTGAGTTTCCTCTTCTGTCTATTAGCTTCTCGATCAGCTTCGGCCTTCTTGGCATTCTCAATCTCTGCCTTCTCTGCCGCTCTCCGCAAGTCCCGTTCTTCTCGCTCATTCCGCTTCCAGAAAGTCATCATCTCACGCATAACACGCTTCGCTCTGGCCTGAAGATCCTTCGTACCCTTGTTCGTTTTGAGTTGCCATCGTTTGGCTTCTTTCGAGGCGAGAATGGCAGTCTTTTTAAGATTGGAAGTTTTGGTCGCGTAAGATTCCCCGGCGAGCTTATAGACTCTGCTAATATCCTTTCGAGCGAGATCACGCCAGATTTGATCATATATCTGATTGTAACCCTTGGAGACATACGGCTCGAAGGTTGCGGGGGACTCCTCTCGAGCTTCTTTAGTCTCTTTAGACAACTTGAGTCTAATTTTCGGAGCCTCTTCCTTAATAGGGGGTGGTGGGGGAGGGTCTTCTCCAGCATCGATGGCAGCTTGAGCAGCTTCTGCCGAATCTTTCTCCGCCTGTTTCTGCTCTTTCGACTTTCGTAACCGAGCACCACCACGCTTGCTTTTCTGCTTCGGTGCTGGATCCGGGTCGACTGCCGTGAAAGTAGACATCATACCACCAGAAAGATTCGGCTCCAGAGGTGATACAGCTTTGATCTCTGGACCCTTATCTCCTCGTGCGAGAATGAGCTTCGTCTGTTGAGCCTTCTTTTCTGCCCTCTGCGCCTCTTTGAGGAGTTTCTGCTTCTCGGTTTCGTCGTTGGCTTCTTGTGCTTTGGCCAGGAGCGCGTCTTTCTGCTCAATGTTCATAGCAACAGTCTTTTCGCGGCGACGCTTTCTCTGCATGTCCTTCTTCCGTTCCTTCTCGGCCTGGACCTCTTTTTCTTGCACAGCAGTAACAGCATCGTCAGCGTAGATATCTCTGTACCGCTGTTCCCCCATATCCGCATGTCTACCCAGCATGGTGGCCATCTTCTCGGTGTAATGCGTACGGCGTCGTTTCGTCTTGACTACTTCTAAAGATTCGGCTTTTAGCAAGCGTTTGGTGCATAAAGCCTTGTAGACCTTCTTGTCCTCTTCAAAATCGGGCATGTCGGTATGAATTTGTTCAGCGTCTAGCTTCGCCATCTGAGCCTGTACTTCTTTTTCTTGTTCTTTAGACAATTGCTTAGGCTTTGGAGGGCTCTTCTTGGACTCCCCGTTAGCCTTGCGCTTCGCAGGTACTCGTGATAATGTTGGGGCTGGCGTCGGTGCGAGAGATGAGTGTGAAGAGCTATCCCTTGACATTGTGGCGGCGACTGGGGGTGGAGGAAGCGAATTTTTCGAGGCTTTCCGGGGTTTCGCAACAACTGGAGTCGGTTTTGGTTTCGGGGGAGGATCTGCGCTCGAGAGAATACTAGAAAATGCCATCGGGTCTGCTGGTCTGCTGGGTGTCTGATGGACGTATTAATTACTGACAATATTTGAATTTGAAGGCAAGTTGGCAACGTACGGTTACGGGAGGTAGGGGGTCTGCTTTGACTTGAGCTTCATTTTTGACTGTTGCTCCCAAAGAAACGCCATTATGTCGCACGACTGGCGAAGCCATCGGTGCCAGTCTTGGTGACTGCGATATTGTGCGAGCTTGAGGGTGAGAGTGTGAGATGGGTGATCGCGGTGGAAAGTTGGAGGTAATGGGTGAAGTGAAGGCACCGTTTTGATGGCTGGGGTATTTCGGTGGCTCGACAGAAGTTGTTGGATACGGGTAAGGTTCTCGACTCTGATGATGTGTTAGCAATTTAGCAATTGAATAGAACGAACGGGGCACCGATTAGCTCTGCCGATTATCGCCTTACCTGTGGTGTCTGGGTCTGCCCTTCACTCCATCCCGTACTTTCTGTCGCCTTTCTCTCGCTCGAGTCGGAGGTTGGATCGTAATAATTGCTGACCGGTTTGTCGCGTGGCGGCGGCTGATAATCACTGTGATATGATAAAGGGGCTGCCAAAGTCATCGGCGAAGTTGGATGACCAGGAATGTGAGGGGATGTCATAGACAGCGGAGCAGCAGTTGGAGTCGGAGGATGGTAGGGAGTGTTGAATTGGGACCTCGATGGAGTTCCATTCGTGGGTGAATATGGGGCGCGAAAGTCTGATTGCGTAGGAGAAATGTTGTAGGGTCGAGTGTTTGAGCTACTCGCGCGTCGTAGCCCCCCGTCATCCTCCTCTTGAGGTCGTTGATACATTCCCACCTTGCACTCACTCACAGGACGACTAATTGCCCGGAATCACCGCTCCATAGAAGGTGCAATGGGGGGATTTGCCGGACAGAGAGTGGAGGAGCCCAGGCGAACTCTGGCTTACTATGACAACGGCCAGCTAATATAATCTGGCGTGGTGTTGTAAAGAATGATTGTCTGGATGATGGATCGTGGGGCGGCCGAGTGGAAATGGAATGGAATGGAATGGGGGATCGGGATGATGGGAGGGAGCGAGGGACGGAAGATTGTTTTATTGTCGTATGGGGCGGAGAGGGCTGTTCTGGCCTTAAGGTTATGCTGGGCTGGGTTGGAGATATTTTCCCCTCTGGCTGTTCGCGACTAAACCTAGCGACGATGTGGTGGATGGAGGAGCTAGGATCTAGGATCTATGGATGCAGCAATGCAGTATAATATTGCGATGGGTGGGAAGGGAAGGGAAGGGAAGGGAGGGAAGGGGAAGAGTGAAGAAGGGGATGATACTAATTAACGCGCTGGTAATGTAATCATAGGGAGAGTTGAGTGGGAGAAGCCCCAACCCAGCAGCAGCAGCCTTGTTGCCGAAGCCCCGTCGAGCCCATTTCTTTGAAGCTGTGATGATGCACGCGACGGCTTCTAATTATTGGCATAGAAGACTGCCCCTGCATATGGCGCCGCTGATGAAGCATATCCTGTACATGGCCATGGGATTTTTTTCTATTCGTTTTCTATTCATCTCCTCTACGTAGGTTAAGCCCTTCCTCCGGGTGGGTATCCTGGCGTCTGCCGTTCTTGTGGTGTGGCCGGACTTTGTTCTTCGCAGTCGAATCTCGAAGGAGTGTTGGGGTTTGACTTGCTTGTCTTGTCTTGTTCATCGCCCTTTCCACTTTCGGACAAGCGCGACTCTTCCAGATCCGGTACAGTCTCGTCTCATCGACTCTGAACTTTTAACTCGGTCGTTTTGAGCATGCTCATCTATCAAACAAAAAGAAAGTGCCCAAGATAGCTTCGGAAGACTACAATAAAGTGATACATCTTCCCTCCCAGTACAGGGTCCCGTAAATTGAACGTTACTGCCTTCATACCATACCTGCCTCCTACCTACCTGCCATACTAACTCACGCATTTACATGGCCTCAACCTTCGCCTGGATAGTGAAAGAAAATAAGATGCCTACTACGTTTGATATTCATTTGCTTGCACAAAAATGAAGATTTTTAGCCTTCTTCACTCTTTTAGATGAAGTGTTTTTGTCCGCAGTAAGGTTAGCTCCACCGTACTTTAGGTACCTATAGCCTCCTAGATCTAACCTACAACTTTGTCTTTCTAACTGCATCTTCGTCACATTACGTGCTTCTTTCCTTTCCACCTCTAGCTAGCATCCAAGCCCCTTGAATGGGTGCGATAGTTCTTAGCTAGGGTCACTCACTCGCCGGACCGGAGTCTCCGCCGGGATGGATCAACATGTTGATCACTAGCGCATCCGTCAGCTCGGTTGAGAGCTCGGTCGAGAGCAGAGCGCTAGGCTAGCTAAGTAGCTGTGTCTGCCAAATAAGAAAATACTCTCCTCACTTCACTCATCTTCTACTATGCCTGATGTTACAATTGTAGGCATAAATCCAACTGATTTTTGGTGCACATTGAACATGCGACACTCGCCGCTTGCTTGCACGCGACACTCGCTTCCCCTGATGGTGAGCGAAACGAGCAAAGGAACGGAACTGGCTATTACAGCAAGCTATTCTTTCCAAACATCCTAGGTACCCTTTCCACGTCTCTATTTTCAAAGCTGGCTCTTGCTGATACCGTAAACAGCATACTCACACGCATACCAAACAGACCCGAGTTTTCCACGAGCATGTCCTACCGAGTGAGAGTGGAAGCAACTTGAACGATATGGACTATGAAAATTTAGAAAGGAGAATCAATACATGACGGTCAACAAGGCAAACAAGACCTCTCCCAAGTTCAAATCAGCTCAGGGTCCGCATCAATTCTACATTGCACATTATAGGCAGTGCTGAACGAATGTGGCCATATATAATTCATGCTAGGAAAGATGCCTCTGTATTCTTGGCAAGCACTATGAGCTCTCTTTATTACCCGATAGTAAAGCATAAGAATTGAAAATGCGTTCCACGCCTTGTTGCTTCCAATAACCTTTCGTAGAATTATCCTCTGCAACTGCATCATTTTTAGCGGCAGAGGCGCCCAACTGCGACTAAGCATCCAGCGTGTTCATCGGGAAATGGCCATTCCTTCCAAAACCATCCGTCTGTTCAACGGGCGCGGTTTTGCTCGTCTCAACAATGCCCCGCGACACACTACCAGAATCTTTATAGTATTTACTTGCCACCTGCCTCGTGTGTTGCCTCCAGGCAATATAAAATGCACGGATGGCGGGAACATTGTAGGCCCAGATCATAACATGGAGTTCGATCTGAGCATAGGTCGACGTGCTGAAGTCTGCTAGGTTGCCTGTTTCAACCGCAGACGCATGTCCAAGCCAGATCGCCTTTACTCGCAAGGCGGAAAAGATTACGGCACTTTAGAGAAGTTAGATCCCATTCATATTCACAAGACTTGCAACTGCGGGGGGCGCCTTACATAGAGCTCGAGAATACAATTGCAAGCCCAAGAATACGAGCTCGCAATGGTAGTCGCAGAGTGAAAAGTGTCGGGACTGGCATAATCCTACCACCACCAAAGTGTTAATCAAAAACGCTAGTGTTTTGAAGAATGCCTGTATAACATCAAGCTAGATCGGGTTGGGGAAACAACTTACCAAAGCATACAGTCCGTGCAGATATTGGCAATGCCCACGCCGAACACGAATTTCGCTCGATAGGGTACACAGGTATAATGTGTCCATGTGTTCCAGTAATCCACGGGGCTGCATTTGAAGATCTGGAAAAAGAAGCCGGCGGTGTTCGAAGCTACAACGAGAAACATTACGAAGTAGACGACCTTCCTCTGCCAGGACTGGGGGTGCGTCATCTCGCTATAGAAAAGGAGTAGGGAGAATTTGATCAACGCAATCGCGAGATGGTATACAACAACCTCTATTTCGGCATGCTGGATATGGGTGATTAGGATACACTTTTTCATCTATCAGAAGGGTATGGAAATCTGTACTTACGACCTGGGTTAAAGTCAGAGCATCGAAAGTCATTCTCCAGATTGAGCCGGTCCCCTGATGCACTATAGAATATTAAGTTTTTGCTAATAACAGTAAGAGCTTGTGTGAGTTACTTAAAAGCACCACATCTGTATGAGTCAGCCAAGTGTTACCAGAAAATGAAGCAATTGGCCAGTCTTACTATTTCCAAAGTCACCGGTGATGATAGTAGAGATGGCAAGCGCTGCAACAATGCAGTAGTCAACATGCCTCACACCTCCAGCATTCCATCTCCAGCGTGACCATAATCTCAGTCCTGTTGTGATGTACGATATGGCAATGAAGATGATGATAACGGCCAGGATTCCCCCGGGAACATGCCAATCAGTTGCTACTTTGACCTCGCGAGAACTCCAAAGGACGCTTTGCATAAATGTTTCATTGCCGCCAAAGATCGTAAAGAGGTCTTCGACTTTATACGTAGGCGCACCCAGGAAATCCGCTATAGCATGTTTATCCGCAGTACCATTCGTACTTTCGTAAAGTTGCGCAAGTCGAATGAGTGTTTCGTTTATGCGAGCCGCTTTGATGGTGGAATTACCAATGGACGGTATATCCAGTGAGATCGTTTCCAAGTTGGCTAAAGGGTCCGGCCCATATAGAACGCCAATCAGACTGTCGGGAAGAGAGTAATTTAGTGCCATGCCAGCGAAGGGCGGTGTCAATTCTCCTGGATATCTGCATGGAAGTATAGACTAGCTATAGTTCAATGGTCCAGAAACTGGCGTTGAAGTCCATGAGAGGGACATGGTGATAATATACTATTTGCTATCTACAGGTATATACAGTTCGTGGGGGTGGTTCACGCTCTCATAACTGGGGTCTTCGGAGGTATCACCTTTCTTGAAGATGCATGTATATCGGTGCTTTCTGCTACTTCTATATTGCGCCAAGCCTGGGGCGCCATGCTGCCTTTACGACGTTACTTCAAAACGAGTGGCGCGTTTCTTTAGCACTTCATCGGTTGAAACGCTATAAAATTGATATAAATCACTTGTAAACATTATAGCTAAACCATCCACCTTTCCCAGGATCCTTTTTTTTAATAGGGAATTTGATTCTCACAATGATTTTTACCAATTGTGTTTGTGTATTGATTTGGCCACAGTACTCTTTACGTGAAAGCTAGTCTAGTAGGCGTTCTTAGGGTTGTCTTCAGCCAGGTTTCTGCGGCTAGCGTTAGATAATTGAGGAGAGTTTCAGAGTGAGTAAGAAACCGAGGTTCTACAGTAGAGCGGCGTAGAAAGCAAGACTTGGCAACATGAGCCTCCGCGTATTCGTTGTTATTATCTTTCTTATCTTTGCTCAGGGAGGGGCCATCACGCGGGTGTTAATACGTATTTATACTATAGTCCGAGCACACAGGTACAGGTTCCACGTTTTCACAAGGCCCAAGCGTCCCGTAAAACTACCCACTCTTAACCGCTTTACTAGGGGTTTAAACTTGAAAAAGACAAGATTCGCGATGGGCAAGAATGGACTGGTTCAATTAGCTCAGACAACGGCAAAAATAGGGTAGTCAGGGGAGCATTTAGGCAGATGATGCCTTAATTCGCATGTATTTACTCCCTTTAACTTCAATCTTGCCGACCTACTTTATCCTTTCTACTAGCCCTTACTGAATAGCTATCACCTCCTGCATAACTTTCCCCCTCCTTCATTACTCTATTCTTTCTCTTTTTATATTACATTTCCTTCTAATAGCCCCATCTCAACAGTCAAACACTAGCATAGCCAACGCCACGAAGCTTACATGGGTCCCGTGGGGTAGATCTTGAATTGTGTTCGAACTTCGCGGCTAAAAGAGAAGATCAACATGCAAAACACATCTAGCACCCCGTCCCCGTCCCACACAAAACAAATCGCATGCCTAACACAACTGCCTATTTCGTCTTCAACGTGCAAAACACATTTTGGTCTGGAGATCAGTAGATCTAGAGCCCTATCCGAAAATGAAGAAATACTCCGTCGGTGTATAAGTACCTGCCTATTTCGTCCTCAATATGCACGACATATTCTTGAAGCTTAAGTGACAGACACCTGCCTATTTGGTCTCTATCTGTACTGTGACTCTATGAGTTGTAGTCGGCATATAAAGGTCTTGGCATGTTGATATACGCGCGGCTTTGCGCTATGGTTTTCCTAGAAGCAGCTCTCTGATTGGTTAGCTGTTAGAACTCCGCATCAATGTACGTAGGATTTCTCTTCGTCCAGGCGAATAGGGACCTTCCATAGCCCATAGGATATACTAATATTTGAGGTGACATTCTAGAGCCTCTTCTCGGATTATATGGTGCAATGCTCGCTACATGTGATCCTCATAATAAACTATAAAACTTCTATTTGATGTGTCTTGGTATCTGACTAGATGAAGTGCTGCTATCTCTTATATATTTGAAGTGCATGTAATACTTTGAAAGCGTTTGAAATCGGTTTCTCTTTAGGGAAAGAGGTCTATAATTTGGAGACGAAAACGAAAACGGCTGAAAAATAACCCCAACTTGAAACATAATATAAAGTGAACTGATCTGCTGCTCTAATACAAGCTGGCCTTCCAAACCTGCAACGCATCGGATAATTAGAAGTTGGCTTATAACCATAGAACCATTGCACATGCCTAACCTATACTTTATGATTTGCCAGATCAAAGCCAGGCCCATAGCCGCAGGACCATCTCGCGTACAGGATACAACAGGATAGGTATGTAGTACTCTGTACCTAGGTACAACCTTAATATGTCTTTAATAAGCAGACTGTAACGACATGGAAGACTGACTGCCGGCCCTAAAATTACGCGGAGCCAATTAGATGTGACTCGTCAAGTGGACTGTCAATTTTTGTTGCACGTCGACAAAATGCAGAGCATATATCACGCACGAGCTTGTCTTGTCTATATATATCTCACACGGGCCCATGCTACGCAGATAATATGAGATATGTATATATGATTCGCAACCCGAGAGAGAAGCGCGTGCGATAGCATGAAGCGAGAGAGGATATCATTCCAACTTTGAAACAGAGATTGATGGAAGGTGTAAGGTTTGTTGGTCTTGCTATAAAGAAATAGGTTCTTGTGGATGGAGAGGTTGGAGGTGAGACTAGCTATGGATGATGGAAAGGATGGATGGAATTAAGGATAGCGGTGATAAACGACTTGGTACGAGAAGAAGAATAGGGATTGGGGAAGGACTAGTGAAAATAACAAATATAATCATCCGAGCAAGCATATTTCTGGAAAGCATGTGTTCCGCGATTCATTCATGAATCTAGCTAGTTCAGTCATAGAGCTAAGCTAAGCTCAGAGTTACGAGTAAGCTAGATTTATGACTCGATGAGTAAACCAGCTCACTCGTAAATGCGCTAAGATTCATGATGCACAATTGAGTGGTAAATGAGAAAAAACTGGATATTGAGTTTCCGAAGGGGACGAAGGGGTATAGTGGCATGAATCGGGAGGATAATCCGGGTGCTGAGGAGAGGGAGCCGGCTAGTGCCGACTTTGTTGCTTCTGAGAGCTTAGGTGTTATTTTTAGCCCTATGCACAACCAAATATGAAGTTTAGGTATGGGTTTTGGACGTGGTAGTCCATTATTTTGGAGTGTTTCTTTGCGGGTAATGTTTTGGATACATCTCTTAATAATTGAATGCCAAATGTCCAAGTTGAAAGAGCATCATTTGAGAAAGAACTCCATAACGTCGTATTTTCCGGCTCTAGCTTCATCAGCGGCATGTCCATCCATGACAGCTGTGGTTCCATTGACGTAACATTCGCCGATGAATTCGTAGTTTCCATCTTGTCATCATTGATGCGCTGGTCATCTAAAGTAGAGAAAGGGTGTCGAGATTTCTGAGCAACTCAAGATGGCAGTGTAGAACATACAGGTACCCAAGAACGGCAGAATATATCAAGACTCCCGACTAATTTAATGGTATGGCCGATTAGGTCTTTGCATATGTCTCGGAGATCTTGGCCATAACCGATCTTCTTTTGGTCAGCCATTAGTCTTGTATCTCTTGCCAATACCTACAAGGCGTAGATAGTGTCCTTTGAATCCGTGACCTGGGACAGTGCGACGCTCGAGATCAGCATCTCCATAGTACATAGTCGCTAAATGGCTCTGCCATCAGATGCTTTCCGGATAATTTGACTCAAGGTGGTATTCATCGTATAAGCTGGAATCCCACGGATATTTCCAAGTTGTTCCTTCAAGTAAATATTATCTTGAACGTCTTTGAGTTGGTTTCCTTGCGCTCGAGATGGCTTAAAGAGAAGGCAAATGTCATCAGACTTGTCCCCTGTGATCACCCCAAGCATATGATAGAGATTCAAAGGGTAGGTTATGACGCAACGTCGTCGGTATGATATTGACTTAATATTGACTTCAATTCAAGAGGATGAATGCCCTGGAGGACTATAAATTTAATATGTACCAGAATGAGCAAGGAGTAGTTGGTAATTGAAGGACACTTCGTCGAAAACCGGCATGTTTGTAGGCTGAAGTTGACTTGTGATATGAATTGGAATGTAATGAGAACTCAGAATGTGGTCGTGAGGTGAACTGTCGGCTGAGGCTGTGTATAAACGTTGCCTTTTTGTCTACCACTACCACTAAAACAGCCTTACATTACAACAGCCAATGACATACTAGGTTAGGCTCCTAGCTAGCAATATACATCTACAAGAAATGAACCGCCATCTACTCACTTAGTATCATGTTTGAGACTCTATCATATCATCTATCCAGACCTCGACCTTCTCGGCAATGCTTTCGCTATGCCCTGGAACAATCAGGATCATAGTCCTACAAGTTTTGGAAGACTTACTGATGCAAAAACCATGATCTACTCCGTTCTCGTCAATTAGCATGATGGGTTTCGATGACTCGTTTCCTGGCCCTGCCTGTCCCCTTGCAGCGATCAGAGCATCGCGGGTATGGTTCGCAACCCAGTGGTCCTGTAATTTGTCAGCAATTATGGCTGGGATCCAGTGAGCATAGACGGACATTATCGCCGAAGTAGAATATGAGTTTGGGTCTCTCATCTTTCACTTCAGCGACTTCTTGCTCGATCCCCCAGATATCCTCATCCCACCGATCCTCTGTGATGTTGTCCATCTCTTCCTTTGCCAATTGCCTTGATCACATTTAGCCATTGCACTTCCAGTAAAGATAGATACTTACAGAGCCTGCCAAATACCCATTTTGCTCTTCAAAAATCTTGTGGTAACTTCTGCAGCTTCAGGTGGCATTCTCGCCACCAGACCAACGAGCCATTTCAGAACTCCTTCTGGAGCCAACCATACCAGACCTTTTGCAGCAATACTTGCTCTTCTTGGGAAGTCTGGAATCCGAAACAAGGTACTGATCTTGACCCCACTAGGACTTTGAGCAATATGAGTGACTGTCGGGAACAGTAGAATTCCAGATTTTATTTTCAAAGGCGATGAGCTCTTTTTGAGGCGTTGGATGATCTCAAGAAGGATGTAAGAGCCGACTGAGTGGCCTATTAGGAAAATGCTGTCGAATTGCTCACCCTTGTGTGGGCCCGACTCGATCCGCAACCCTTCAAGAGTTTTCTGAGATCTCTGAATCTGATATTCAAGGCCGTAGGGTGATTCTAGCATAGGTTCAGAACAGGTGTCATCCTCAAAGCCAGCTAGAGATTGGCCGTAGACGTGAAATGTGTTAGACTTTGGAGGAAAATGAAGGGAATCAGAAAGTCGGTTGTGCAAAGTCTTGAGAAATGTGTCGTAATACCCGATGAGACCTGGATTTCCAGTGATCATGTAAACAAGGTGGTAAGAGGCGGATTCATCGTTAGATTTGGGACAAAGTGATATTTGAGAGCTGGAAGCAGTGTCCCACTTAGGGGGCATCGTAGCAAAGTCAGCGGAAAGTGAGAGAATTTGAAAGGAACGCTCCGAGATCCTCAGGTCACTCTAACTCCAGAATGTTCCTGCCCGACCGCTTGCCGCCTGTGTCTCCTGGGAAATGAATATGTATGTTCAAGAGAATTGCGAAAGTTGCTGAGAAAGAAGGAAAGTTGATGAAAGCTTAAAGCTTGGTTGGTATAATTGACACTCCGGTGACCAGGTTCGGCAAATGCGCTGCTCTCAAGAGAAATAAAGGGATTGGCAAGGCTGTCAAACTCTAATATAAGGAAACTACTGCATCTAATATGGCAACTGTCAACCTAGTATTCACCAATCTATATTGTAGATATAACAACGCTATTCGTTTTAAAAGAACTATACAGTTAGTTAATAATTAACTAAGGTATCTAAAGATAGGTATCAACCAAGGTAAGTCCTGCAAAACCGGCCTGTTTCCGCTGTAAAGAATACCGTGTTGCAGCTGTGATTCAGGTCAACACATGATTATTGACTTGAAGGAATCATAATGTGCTTTTCTACTCTGCCATATATCTTCACTCAAGAGTTGTTGAAGTACTTGAAAGTCTAGGAAAGGTCACGTGGATATATTGCTGATTGGAGTCGCTTAGTTAGCGTGGATGACTAAGATATGGCTATGGCCAGTGTGCCAGTGGGACCAGCCAGTTCCGGGAAGAACATGCTCGTCAGCCCAGCTCTGCAAAACCACAACTTTGAATCTCAACCTCGTTCGCGACGCAACGAAAAAGGCCCCCCTTTTAGCCTCGTCTACAGACTTCCACAACCACGTTTGGCATTATCAGCTGCCGCAACTCTCCGCCTGCGCCATTGATACACGCCCAGGCAGACTACAAGCAAAATCTTGCCCTATCCCATCCTTCAGTCATTCCATCTCCCATCAACATCTCCAAAGTCCTTCCACGGGACGCGCCAAGCTTGTGCATCTTCATCAGAAACAACGCGATCCCCCCTCCCACTGCGCAACAAGCTCGGTCTTGAACCCTTCCCGACACCCTCAATCGCCGCTGTTGCCTGCGCCCCTATATTCTCTGCACCACCGGCTTCCTTTTACACGTCGGACCTCATGCGCAAGGCTGCTTCCTGATATGCGCTGAACGCCATCTCAATAGAGACATAAAGGGATATCGCACTGAACAAACATTGCGCCTCCTAGCATGGCTTCAGTTCAAACTGCTCCGGCGGTCCAGCAGACTGGTCAGTCAGGGAACGCGACGCAAGCACAGCCGCAGAGTGTCAAGGATGTATTGCTTGTAAGTCTCTCCCATAGCGTGTTACTCTCTTGTCAATATCACGTCCGTTCCCGGATTATTATTGACGGCTAGTAGAGGTACAAACAGATGAAGGAGTCAGGCGTGTCGGAACAGGACCCCGAATTTCAAAAGGCCCACCAGATGCTCCTCACCCTTAAACAACAGCAGACCTTTCAACAACAGAGGGCCGCCGCCTATGCTCAGAAGCAAATTTTGAACCAACAACAACAACAAAATGCCACGACCGCCCCTTCGAATGGTGCGAACGGTACACGTACCGCTCCGGGGTCGAATAATACCACACCAATCAATAAGCAAACTCCAGCCGCGACATCACTTGGCCCTTCTGCTATATCTGCTACGGTAGCTTCAGGTACGCCTAAAGGTGGAGTGCAGCGATCAGCTCCAGCTGGAAGTGGATACTTCTCGACAGAGCAGCTGGGCATTTTGAAAAATCAAATATACGCCTTCAAGTGCCTTTCCAAGAATATTGGTGTTCCTCAAGCAACTCAGCAGCAGCTTTTCGCCTCTCTACAAAGGAAATCTTCTCCAGCTGTCGACCAAGGGTTTTCAACGTCTGCATCAAGTGTTGACAAGCCGACGCCTAACGGTTCTGATCCATCTGCTAATGAGAAAGATGTTGCTGTACCAAAGCATCATGAATATACCAAATTCAAATCCCCTTATGATCACCTCTCGGATACGATTAGCTATTCCGCACACAAGACGCGTCATTTGCGTCCGATGATACCCAGCATCATGCCATCTGGCGTTGACGTGGAGAAGCTCCGACAAGAGCGCGAAATGATCATTTACAATCGTATGAGCGCAAGATTGGCAGAGTTAAAATCCCTTCCAGCAAATATGGCCCACCTCGATGTCCGGCGCGATGATCTCACCCCGGAAGATACCTTGAAACGGAAGGCTTTAATTGAGATGAAGATGCTCGGTTTGGCCGAGAAACAGCGAAATATGCGTCTAAGAGTTGGCCGCCAGATTATCCAATATGATAATCTTGCCATGACTGCCAATCGCAGCCAATATCGAAGAATGAAGAAGCAGTCGCTTCGTGAGGCTCGTATCACCGAAAAACTGGAGAAGCAACAACGTGATGCTCGCGAGAGCCGGGAGAAGAAGAAACACTCGGATTATCTCCATACTGTTATTACGCATGCTCGGGAGGTCAACACAGCTGCTGCAAATCAAAGACAGAAGATGCAGAAGCTTGGCCGTATGATGCAAGCTCAGCACCAGAATATCGAGAAAGAAGAGCAGAAGAGAATCGAGCGTACCGCCAAGCAACGTCTGCAAGCCTTGAAATCGAACGATGAAGAGGCCTACCTGAAACTTCTAGACCAGGCTAAGGATACTCGTATCACGCATCTTCTTAGACAAACGGACGGTTTCTTGTCACAGCTCGCTGCCTCCGTCAAAGCTCAACAACGAAAAGCCGCCGAGCATTACGGCAATAATGCTGGTGATTTCCAAGACGAATCGGAAGATGATGAGGAGGAGGAAGAGCAAGACACCCGGAAGATCGACTACTATGCTGTTGCGCATCGCATCAAAGAAGAGGTCAATGCACAACCTAATATGTTAGTTGGTGGTACATTGAAGGAATATCAATTGAAAGGTCTTCAATGGATGATATCGTTGTACAACAATAACCTCAATGGAATTCTTGCCGATGAGATGGGTCTCGGGAAAACCATTCAAACGATCAGTTTGCTTACCTATCTCATTGAGAAGAAGAAGCAAAATGGACCATTCTTGGTCATTGTACCCTTGAGTACGCTGACTAACTGGAATCTGGAATTCGAAAAATGGGCGCCGTCGATTTCTCGCGTTGTATACAAAGGCCCTCCTACAGCTCGTAAGCAACAACAGCAGCAGCTTCGGTATGGTAACTTCCAGGTTCTTCTGACAACCTACGAATACATCATCAAGGACAGACCTGTTCTCAGCAAGATCAAATGGGTGCACATGATTATTGATGAAGGTCATCGAATGAAGAATTCGTCTTCTAAACTCAGTGCCACCTTGACTCAGTACTATGTCACACGTTACCGTCTAATTCTTACCGGTACCCCACTGCAAAACAATCTCCCGGAACTTTGGGCGCTACTTAACTTCGTTCTCCCAACGATCTTCAAATCCGTCAAATCTTTTGACGAATGGTTCAACACACCTTTTGCAAACACTGGTGGCCAAGATAAGATGGAGCTCACTGAAGAAGAACAAATTCTCGTTATCCGCCGTCTTCACAAGGTCTTACGACCATTTTTGCTCCGTCGTCTCAAGAAGGATGTTGAGAAGGATTTGCCTGACAAAACGGAGAAGGTCATCAAGTGCAAGTTCTCTGCCTTGCAATCTCGTCTGTACAAGCAGATGGTCACGCACAACAAACTGGTTGTCAGTGATGGCAAAGGTGGAAAGACTGGCGCTCGTGGTCTCAGCAACATGATCATGCAATTGCGAAAGCTGTGCAACCATCCCTTTGTTTTTGATGAGGTGGAGAATCAAATGAACCCTTTAAACACCAGCAACGATTTATTGTGGCGAACTTCTGGAAAATTTGAACTCCTCGACCGTATCTTACCTAAATACCAGCAGACTGGTCACAGGGTTTTGATGTTCTTCCAGATGACAGCAATCATGGATATTATGGAGGACTTCCTACGTTATAGAGGAATTCAGTTCTTACGATTAGACGGTACAACAAAGTCTGATGACCGGTCCGAGCTCCTTCGCGAGTTCAATGCGCCAAATTCGCCATATTTCATGTTCTTACTTTCTACTCGTGCTGGTGGTCTCGGTCTGAACTTACAAACTGCCGATACTGTCATCATTTACGATTCAGATTGGAATCCTCATCAAGATTTGCAAGCTCAAGATCGTGCACATCGTATCGGACAGAAGAATGAAGTTCGAATTTTGCGCTTGATAAGCTCAAACTCAGTTGAGGAGAAGATCTTGGAGCGTGCTAAATACAAGCTTGATATGGATGGTAAGGTTATTCAGGCCGGTCGATTTGATAACAAATCCTCAGAGACGGATCGTGACGCCATGCTCCGTGTGATGTTGGAAACCGCTGAAGCTGCGGAGACTCTGGAGCAGGAAGAAATGGACGACCTGGAACTCAACGAGATCTTAGCACGCGGGCCTGACGAGCAAGGAATTTTTGATAGGATGGATGCTGAGAGAAATAAGGACCTCACGTACGGCTCCCTTCCTGGAAGCAAGCATGTGCCGCGTCTCATGACTGAGAGCGAGCTACCTGAGATTTACATGTCCGATGGAAACCCTATCTCCGATGAGCCGGAAGAAGTCCAGGGTCGTGGTGCTCGGGAGCGAACTCGCGTGAAGTACGACGATGGCCTCACGGAAGAACAGTGGCTCAACGCTGTTGACGATGATGAAGATAGCCCCGAAGCAGCAGCAGCTCGGAAGCAGGCGCGAAAAGACCGCCGTGAGCAGAACAGGCTCAAGCGAGCAGGCCAGATCCCTGGTTCCATTGAAAGCTCACCAGCCGGGAGTCGAAGCGGCACCGAAGAGCCGGAGGTGGAAGTGGAGGTAGAGCCAACACCGAAGAAAGGACGAGGTCGCAAGATGGGAAAAGTTGACAAGCGTAAGGCTGAGGAGCCCGATGACGAACCACCAGCCAAACGAAAGCGCCCTGCACCGGGTCGAGGCAAAGGTGCATCATCAAACGGTGATGCAAAGCACCGGGGCATGCTCCAGAGCAGTCTCAAGAATGTCTACGAGGCTTTAATGAAGCTGGAATCCGATTCTGCGTCTGATGACGATGAGGACGATGATGAAGGTGGGCGTCTTATAATTGGGCCTTTTGTTGCATTACCTTCCAAGAAAGACTACCCCGACTATTATCAGTTCATCAAAGTTCCGATCTCGATGAAAATGATCGAGAAGAAGATCAAGAAAGAAGAGTATTCAAGTCTTAGTGACCTAAGGAGAGATATTCAGCTACTTTGCACTAACGCGAAGACGTACAACGACGATGGCAGCATGATATATACTGATGCTGTCGCAATTGAAGTAAGTTCACTTACATGTCTAATGCAGAGGTATATACTAACAGATTCCAGAATGCTTGTGAATCTCGCATCCGTGACGAACTGAATGACCGTCCCGAGCTTGGTGATCTTGACGACTCTTCTTCCCGCAATGGCGGTTCTACGGCTCCTACGACCAGCGCTGGCACTCCTATGCCGCCTTCGACTTCGAGTGGGAAGTTGAAGCTGACCTTCAACAATTCCCAAATTGCCAATGGTGGCAGCAGCGGTATACAGAGCGACGATGATGACTGAAGGCCTTTTGATTAAACTTTGTTACTTTTACTTTTATTGATTGGTTTGCTATGGAGTATGAAGGATGGTTTCCATATCCTCTGGGTTTTGCTGGCGTGGTTCTGTGCCTTGCGGCGTTTTATACATGGTGGTGGATATTTCGAGGGGAAGAAAATGGATCTTTCGCTGTAACGTAGCTTTGCTGACTTGCAGGATGGAATTTGTGTTGCTTTAGATTGTACCTTTAATAGAAGGCAATGAAAGATGTAAGATGTGAAGTCTAGTTTTGTGAATTGACTTTCATTTCATTATACAGATCTGCAAAGAACTACCTAGGTAAAGTAAGATATACGCCCCACTAGTCAGTCCCTTTTCGACGTTACTCAACTCTATCAATTTCACCTAGCGTCCTTTTTAACGCCGATTGTCTTTACTGACCCCGTACCTCCAGCAAAGAGGCTAAATTTGGGCTGCCAATTATCTCGTCCCAAAAATCCAAAATATATATCACCATCCTCTTCAAAACCTGTGTTGACATAGCAGTAACGCAGTAACGGCTTTACCTCCCCACGCCGAGCTCAATTGACAATCCTCGTCAAACATGCCACCCTCAAACGGCAACCCGGAACCAGACGAGAGGACATCGCTCCTGAGCAAAGACGTTCCGGAAACAATTGAGCCCTCGCTTGGCGATGCTATCACCCCGGGGATGGATGTCAATAGCAGTAGCTCGTGCTCAAAGGGGGATGATCGAGACGAGGAAAGGGGGGAGGTCGAAGATGGGGGTGAGGGAAATCATAAAGTCGCTCAGAAGATGTACCTTTTGTTTCCGGCTGTCTCTATTGGCGTAAGAACTCCAATTCCTCGTGTAATAATGTGCCAGACACAAAATTTGGCACTCATAATCTTCGGCTTTGAATGTTAGGCCCCGCCTAACACATTGTAAATCGATGTCGCTTTTTATGTATATCGCAAGCGCGGTATTGTGGAAATGTTGCGAATGAGAATTAGTGCTGATAAGAGTACTATCTATAGATCTTGTTGAGCGCAGCAGATCAGACACTCGTCGTAAGCAGCTACGCTCGCATGGGGAGTGATTTGAACGCCTTGAACAATACCAGTTGGATTGCTACTGCGTAGGTATCTCATGCCCCCTACTTGATCGGAACAAAGATGCTAATGGAGTCACAGATATTTTCTTACACTTACTGGATTCCAGCCGCTATATGGTAAACTCAGTGACATTTTTGGACGCAAGCCAGCGCTCCTTTTTGCGTATATTGTCTTTGGTACAGGCTGTTTATTATGTGGTCTGGCAAGGAATTTAGGGGAACTTGTTGCAGCAAGGGCCTTTGCAGGTGAGCTGAATCAGCTGATTCTTAGAGGACAGTCATGGCTAATACGGTCGCAGGAATTGGTGGTGGTGGAGTGACTACCGTTGTCAGTATACTATTTAGCGATATTGTACCCCTCAGAGAACGAGGCTCTTGGCAAGGATACATGAACATTGTCTACGCCGTCGGAGCTTCGGGCGGTGCCCCTCTAGGTGGTTTCCTTGCAGATTCCATTGGCTGGCGCTGGGCTTTCCTAGGCCAATTCCCCATGTGCTTCGTCGCAACAATAGCCGTCTACTTCGTCCTCGATCTTCCCAGAACAGACCACTCACACTGGCTCGAGAAGATTAAACGTGTCGATTTCCTCGGCGCTTTTAGTCTCGTGTTCGCAGTCTTCTCCCTGCTCATCGGTCTCGATCGTGGCAGCAACGTCTCTTGGTCTGATACTGTCGCCATAGTCTGTTCTTGCGTCTCTATCCCGCTGTTTGCGATTTTCATCTTCATCGAAATGAAGGTGGCATCTCATCCCTTCGCACCTGGGCATATCATTTTCGAACGCTCCCTGTTGCCCGCATACCTCTGCAATTTCTTCGGGATCGGTGCACATATGGGCATGATCTTTTACATTCCGTTGTATTTCCAGGCTGTTGAAGGTATGTCCGCTACATCAGCCGGTCTACGTCTGGTCCCAGCTATGATATGTTCAGTCAGCGGCTCTCTATTCGCTGGGTTCTATATGCAGAAGACTGGTCACTATTTCTGGCTCACTGTATGCTCTTTTGCGATATCCATTGCTGGGTCCGTGGTAGTGTTTCTTTGCTCGGGGATTTTGTTTACTTCTGGCTGGGCTATGGTCGCAGGGATGGGGATCACTGCTTTCGGGGCCGGGTCAGTTGTCGTTGCCACTCTGATCAGTGTTCTGGCGAACGCGGATCCAAAAGATCAGGCCATTGCAACTGCCTGCTCATATCTCTTCCGCTCCCTGGGCAGCGTCACAGGCGTCAGCTTGGCTGCTACAGTGGTGCAGCAGAGCCTCCGGACACGTCTGAGAGCTAGCTTGAAAAGTGGGAAGGAGGCAGATGAGATTGTTGACCATGTGAGGCAGAATCTAGACTACATTAAGAAGCTAGAGCCACAGATTCGGGTCCTGGTGAGAAAGTGTTATCAAAAGGCTACAAATTCTGCATTTGGAATTTCGATTGCTTTCATCATCTGCGCTTTGGTATCTTCGCTATATATCAGGGAGAAGAAGTTGAGTAGATAGAATGAGACAAGCGCCAATTAAATGAGGTTATCTAGCAACCTTTGACTGCCACCCCGTAAACATTGCGCGTGAGGATTATGAGGCGCTGAAAAGGCATGGCATGGTAACATAATCATGTCATGGTATCATCTCAACCTCAGTATGGCCGAATGGAGTTAGGTTGCACGTATTACACACGACTGTATATAAGTGACTATTCCCTCAGAAACTTTTTTCTCTTTGCGCTTGTCCTATTTATCAGAATACAAAACCTTGATCTGTATTCGTCCCTTACTAAACCATCTATCAAGATTTGCTTCATTACGTGTCGTCTAGGATACAGTGAAGCTTGTTTGCACCCTCCCGTACACCGTCTTTATACATATACCCCTCCAACGCCATGCTTTATATGTTTCACAGATATAAAAAAGAGATAGTCTAGATACTCCTACCGGCAGAAAAGTGATATCTCAACTTAGTTCTAACGATGCGTGCTCTCGTTACACTGGCATCGACACTCAGGGACCGGACACTCGACATGGCGGCTGAACCAAGCAACCGAATGATCCATATGCATGACATGCTTGCATTTGAGACAGAAAGTTGGAAAGTTAGCCATACGGCTAATGGCAGGATCATTCGACAACTCAGGGCGATCGGAGCGAGGAACCCCCACAACCTCCATGCACACAGCGCACCGAGAGAGATGGGAACCACATTTTGGACAACAGAGACCAGCGTTGTAGCCTGAAGCCGTGAGGGGGTTGCGAGTATCGACAGTGGTGCTTGATGGGCCAGACATCGATGATGGTGCCGCAGTGGAATTTGACAAGTCGTGTGCAGACTGAGCGTCACAGTTCAAGCACCGAATAGTGACTTGTCGAGGTGGTGCTGTGATGACAGACTTGCCATTGCGGAGACGACTCTTAGCTGTAGATTGCTGCTCAAATTTGACTCGCAGGATAAACTTCTTGTTTCGTTGCAGTAGGTTTTGATAGTTCTTACGCCACGCTCCGCAGCGAACATCGCTGATATATCGAGGATAGCAGAACGACATGATGAGAATTGGGGTCTGGTAGTCCATGAACTTCTCAATGTACTTTGCTAGGATGTCGACCATGTTTTCTGTGATGCCCGCCAAAACGATGCCCTCGATATCTCCTGTGCTGACTGCTTGCTCCATTTGTTTTGTGAGCCAATCTGTCAACTTGGCATCATCAAATTTTCGAAGCACAACTCCAGTTCGACTACGGAGTGGTAGAGAAGCTTCGTCTGCGACAGATGACCAATCTCCGGTAGTGATGAAGCCGTATATGGCCCGGAGATATGGATCATGGGCCATTTGAGGGTGACTATCGAGAGCATTGGTCCATTCTGTTGCACCAAGATCCAATGCGGTGTTGCTCTTGAGTTTGATGTCAAGCGCCATTGCTACAAAAAGAAGCTCCGTGCCGCCGATCTTGAGAATATCAACAGCGCGAGTTGCAAGTCCCTCAAAGAGGGCCAAGGCAGCAGCCCTAGTGTACTTCTCTTGCTTGACCAGATCATTCAAATCCTCCTCAATTTCAGTAGCTGATCTAAGCACGCCACACATTGAGAGGCACAGCTGTCGGTGATGCGGCTTTTCTGTGCTTGGACCTTCAAAGTCTCGGCGTCCAGCTTGTTTGTTAATACCAGCAATGATTCGTTCCCATTGAGAATCATCGGGAATAATTGAACCAGAGACGAGACGAGACTTTGCCTTTTCACCTATAGAGAATTAGTCTCTTTATCACCACTGCAGACATATAATCTCACCAAGTGAGTTCATCCACACAGTATAAACACCCATATAGCTCAAGTCAAAGGACCCTGAGACCATTCCATCGTCTTTCGTGGAGTTTTCAGCGTCTAGTGATGGTGTCAGAGAACTGATATTTACGGGTCTAGGAAGCTTACCTGCGATCCATTCCCAGACCTCTTGCAGGCATTGATCGCCTGCAGTGATCTCCCAATTCTTCTTGCAATCAAACAAGTAACCACCAAGGGCACGGCGAAGCATGGTAGTATCGATTAACTCGCCCTTAGTTTTTGTTTCTGGAGAAGTACCAGAGGTATAATAGTGGGATCGGTCACGGAACTTTGTGCTGGAGTGAGATCTCCTACTGCCACCTGTCTCTGACAATTCAAGATTACCAGGGCTGTCCTTGTCAGTCTTAGAATCAATGCTGACTTTTGAGAACTTATCGCCCAAATCCTTCGACGATTGAGGCATTGCCGAATCTGCTGGCGCCAATAGATCGATCACAGGATTGTCTTTTGAATGTACTGCTTTCTTGATCGTAGTCGTTAACTTCCGAATTGCTTCTGCCGAGCTGAATTCGTCAGGTCCAAAAACAGGAGCGTTGGCTTTCGCTGCAGCTGCAAATAAGGGGCCGATAGTCGCTTCCTGTTCAATTGGATCCTTAAAATTTAGGAGTGCCGTCGAGGGTAGACCATCTATATCATGATGAGTAAAGGTCAACTTCAGAAAGCTAGAACCATGCAAAGCTTACCGCGGCGAGTACCCCAAGGTAATAGTTGCGACAGGTGGCCCGCAGTGGCGGAAGGTAACTGCAGTATTTCGAATTTCCCATTTGCCCTCAACGCTATAACGCGAGGGTCAAGATCTGAAGTACCAACATTCACCCAATCGAAAGAGATAATACGGTCTTCGGGTCTTTGTTTGTGATCGGGGTCAAAATAGGGATGTTCCAAGCTAAAAGACTTCCCGACTTCCAGTAGTTTGGGGCTCCCGCGGATATCATCTACAGATCCTGGCTCTATGTATTCCTTGTTTGTTTTGATGACTTGGAGCTGACCAGCTGACGACAGGACGCCTAGGGTCCCACGGTGCTCTCTACAATATCTCAGCTGTTTAATATGGACGGTCCTCTCAACCTCAATAGCGCGATCCAGTTTCAAAGTCGCACCCCATGGTATTTCTTCCTGATCAAAGGATTCCAGATACATAGGAGAGGCTGAAGAACGTCCAGAGACACGGCGGTCCCAAACTACCAGTCCAGGCTGGTCTAGAGATGATGAAGCGAAGTAGTTGCAATCATCATAGTCGATTGCAAGATTGTTGTTGCACCTCGTCGGGAAATTGATTACAGCCGAGTTTGGATCTAAATCTGTCAATATTTGAGTCCAACCAATAAAAGTATCGACTACGAACCTCTAAGATCATGGATGCGAACGCTCTGATTCTTGATACCAATGACTAGGGTTTGTGGCGAATCCTCAAAAAACCTGACGCTCGTGACAGCCACACTACCTTCCAGCTTCTTCATGGGTTCGGCTTCCTTATTCTCCTTCCCTACGCCCCAGCCCGGTTTCTTGACGTCCCAGTCAGCCAGTCTTTCGTTTACGTCCCATACTTTGAGACAAGAATCATTCCGGATTCTATCCAGGCCGATTGCAAGAAGACCAGTGGTGTTGAAGGCCACGGACTGACAGGACCTTTTGAGCGTCAGGGGCAGGGTAAAATGATCATTTGAGTCATCGTCAACCCGTAGCAGGTTGACCTCTCCGTGAGATGTCCCCAAAGCCACGAGTCCTCGGATTGCTGGTGACCAATCATATGTGTTCAGAGCGGGGAAGTCGTTGTGTTTGGAAAGCCTTTCGTAATCGAAGCTTCCTGCTTGGGCATTTCTTTTGGCTCCGTATAGCTGAATGATCCTATGATTCAGGTTCAGGACCATAAACTCGTCCCGTGAAGCATTTGGCGACCATCTTATGATACCCTCGTTTCGCTCCATTGTGCCACTATTTTAATGAACAGGTAGTCTAGATCTGACATCTCAGCCAAATAGCCTAGTTGCGATCCTTGTTAGCCATTTGTAGATATTGGGTTTGATAGGAAATACCCCATGTAAGATATAGGAGCACGCTCCGCTCTTGCCCAAGCCAAGCCAAATCGCGTCCCGGTTGAAAGGCGGCTGGCTGCGGCCGCTGGGGGCTGTTTTTTTCTTCTCCGCAGAAAAAGTAACAACCAAGTCTTGACTACAACCAACCACTGGCAAGAAAGGGAAAGATTCGCATTGATATTAAAATCGACATCGACATTATGGCTGGGAAGAGGAAATTCGACGACTCCGATGCTCGTGAAGCCGTTCACGAGTCTCGACAAATCCAAGTCTACGGCAGCGATCCAAAACCCACCCCCGCAAAGAAGCCCCGCCGACAGGAGCCAAAGGAGTACAAGAAACAGATGCACGCGTCAAGCGTCAATGATATCAAGAAGCGCATACGTAATGTCACAAGAAGGATGGAGCGTGTGGAGGACCTCCCAGCAAACGTGCGGGCAGAGGATGAACGTGCTCTCGCTGCGTACCAGCAAGAACTAGCTGCAGCGGAGGCGGAGAAATTAAGGCAGAAGATGATTAAGAAATATCATATGGTCCGGTTCTTTGGTATGCTACATTGTTCCTATCTTGAAAATAATGTGTTCTAACCCGGCTATCACAGAGCGCCAAAAGGCTACCAGGCAACTCAAGAGGCTCCGGAAGCTTTTGCTAGCAACCGAATCGATAGAGGAAGTCGAGACATTGAAGGCCCAGATGCATATTGCCGAGGTCGATCTTAATTACACACAATATTCCCCTCTCTGCGAAACATATATTAGTCTCTACCCTCCGCAGAAGAACTCGTCAGAAGACTCAGCAGATGCGCCTAAAGCAGACGATTCGCAACCGAAACCACCCATGTGGTCAGAGGTGGAGAAGTGCATGGGAGAGGGAACTCTCAACAAACTTAGGAACAGGGTTGGGGCTGTTCCTGCTATAAAATCGAAGCCATCGCAGCAGATGAAACCTGGAAAGTCAAAATCACAGCCTGCCCCTCTACCAGATACATCGGGACTGAATAGGAGGCAGAGGAGGAGCCAACAACGGGTTCAAGAGGGGGACAAAAAGGGCAAGAACAAATCCATGGGCTTTGAGAAGAATGCTATTTTTGGGGCGTCTCAAACCGTAGGGAGAAAGGAAGTTCCGGAAAATGACGATGACAGTGATGGCGGGTTCTTCGAAGCATAGCATTTGTATGTTACAGGTCTCTGGTTGGGGAGGCATGTCTGTGGTGCTGTTTGCTGGCGTTGGTCGATCATGATACCCTTTGCAAAGCAAGCTTGTGCCAAAAATTGGCGACGTCCTCACCTCTGTAATAGGCAGAAATAAAATACATGGTCGTGTTAGGTGAAATATACCAGATGTTGAAGAAGAATTGGAATAGATGGGGAGATTGAGCATTGAAGTCTTCAAAATGACCCCTCCATTACCATGGCTTTTCAAAACATTTGGATCAGACTCAGCGACTTTCCCAAGAACAAGTGAAAAGATAGACTGACAGTTGCTACCCGACCTGTTTCAATGTCCAATTCTACCAAAAAAATTTGGTCTCTCCCAACCAGGCCAGGTCAATTCAGAACCTGTGATTGGTTCATGGTCACATGAATCCCTGCACTTTCCTGCATATCCCCGAACACTTGGCAAACATAGACAATTGTGACTATTTACCTCTCTTCTCTTCCTCCCATCTCTCTTTGTAGAAGGTTATTGTCAGGTCGGCATTTCTTTGCACCTTATCCAACAAAGAGGACTACTATAGGCAGTCTAAAGCACCACGGTGCTAGTGCCAAAATGGACCCCAAAATCGTCGGGCCCTTTCCGTCCGCCAATATACCCGAGAGACTGCATTTTCAGTCTATGGAAGAGTTCGACCGGGAATGTGAGGAACGAGAAGCTACCGAGAAAGTGAAGATGCAGTCACAAAAGAAAGTAAAGGGACCGCCTCCGGCCAAAAAGCAAAAGAAGATCGTGGACGTCAACGCCCTAGCAGCGGAGGCCGCGGCGCTGGAAGAAATGGGTGATATGAACTGGATCGGGAAACTTAACGGTCAGCTCTAAGTCCAGAACCCCCAGCTTAAGCTTTCCTTTCACTTGCTTACTTACAAATGCCCAGAATATCGAAGCGTCAACCCCGTGAAAACACCCGTAACCGGGCCCCCTTACAAGGAAACCCCTTTACCCCAGGACCCCATGCGGCACACGTGCATTGCTACCATCCCGGAAAGTATCCAGAAATTCGGCGAAGGCTTCTCTTTTTCCAACAAGAAGAACGCCAAGAAATATGCGTCCAAGTTAGCCGTCGACTGGCTCATCACGCACAACTACATGCCCGCCGACGGCACGGTGAAGTTCCCCAAAGTGCAACAGCTACCACCCCTCCCGCCAAAACCCAACACCTCAGTACCATTACCATTACCATTACCATTACCATCATCATTACCATCACCATCATTTACAACTTCCGTTTCACCAGACGCACCAGCGGCGGCGACGAAAACAAGCTCTTGGGCAAGTCAGGTGCCAGAGCTGTGCACCAGGCTGGGATATGACACACCGACGTACGAAATCACCAAAACATCGGAGACGGAAGCGTTTTACAGTGGTCATGCGCATTTTGGAGGTGATCCGAGGATTGTGGGGAAGTTTGGGCCGGTGCAGAATGTATTTGGGCAGAAAAGGGCCAAGGAGGAGATTGCGAAGGAGTTGGTTTCCTTTTTGAAAGATATTGAGAGGCAGAGACTGGAGCAGCATGAGTCGGAGGAGAAGAAGAGGAAGAGAAGCTCTGATAGCTCGCAACAGGAACAGCCTGCTGAAGAAGTTGGGAAGATTGATGGTTGAAAGTCACGCGTGTAGATTAGTTTCATTGTGGCTAGTTACGATTTATGAAGATCTGGGAGGGCATGAAAAAAGTGATGGAGAACAAGACTCCGTTAGTTTAGACAGAATTTGGTACTCTGGGTACTGTTATGGACTACGATGCACAAGGCTCTCTGGCGTTATGCTAATGGGTACATTTGTTGGGGAAATCATAAGCATATGGAGTTTTGGTAAAAGTCGAATGCCAGCAAGAATATGCTATCCAACTCTACTGTCTCACCTGCCTCGTCTCATCCATGCTTGAACTCCCAACGCCCATGATCCGCAGCCCACCTCCCGACCCCAATTTGAGTTTGTTTCGCCTCATTTCTTCCCCTGCTGGCGATTACCTCGGCCAGCTCCACTAGCAGCACCCTTTCCCTGAGGTGGTCTCGTTTTCCTCGCACTCTCTGGCAACTCAGCAACCTTCTCCCCATCCTCCCACAAAGTACCGACATCTAACTTCCTTCCCACCACTTTCTTGAAGTATTTAGTGCTCAGAACCCCTTTCTCATCTCCCTCTGTCAATACTACTCCATTATCACTGATCCACCACAAAACACCCCCATCCTTCAAACTTTCCTGAATATCCACATAGATCAGTACCTCGGCATCCTTTCTCATCCCACTAATGACACCCTGCTTATCTTCCGGTAGTCCAGTACTCATATGAATATGATTCCGGCTCATTTTCTTCAGACCACCACTCTCAATAATAGCTTGGTAAAAAGCGAAATACGTTCCATGTACTACTATCTCCGGGACGTTGCCAGCTTCTAGAGTGATGGGTACGAGCAGAGCTGCGGATTCGATGGCGATGCTATGGCCTTGATTGGCGCGGATGACCCAGTCTGATGGGTCTTCCGATTTGGGATCTGGTGTGGATTCCAGGGCAGGATTGGGCTTCATTGAGAAACGTTGCTTTTCGTTGTCTGAGACAACATCTTGAATATCGGCGAACGTGATTTTGAGAGATGCTAGGCGGGGCCATTTCATCTAGTAAGGACTCAGTAAATGATGCTTGAAGTGTTGGCGTATGACTTCTAGAGATCACGGGACTAGTATAGATTATACTCCTGGCGGCAGGTTGCTTTTCAGAGCTGAAAAGAAAAGGCCGACTCACAACTTGGTCTAGCCTCCCAAAGCCCTCGTTGTCTAGCTTCAGACCAGCATCTGCTGCTGCATGTCTCAAAAGCTTCGACAGAGCTTTAGAAATCTGCATCTCTTTGTTTTGAGGACCCCCATATGATTTCCCCCCTCGTCCCCCCTTTCCTCTGCCTCGTCCTCCGTGAAACTTCTCTTCAAAGGCTAGCTCTTCGGGAGGATCACCTATATCTTCTTCCAATTTGCGATTAGCCATGTCCAGAGATGTGTTAAGGCTGGCGTTTTGCGAGTAGTATTTAGGGCAGTATTCCGTGTTTGGAAAACACCTGGGTTTTGACAAACTCAATAATTTTGGAAGAGTAAAAGCCCTCTTTAACATATTTCATGGACAAAAGAAGAAGGCAGCAGGTGCAAACCTAAGGGAGAAGAGCTCGCTTAATTATCATTAGCCTTGTGTCACGAGAATATATCCGCCTAAAAACAGTCATGCCGGGCTTCTTGAACCTAGAAGCAATTACCCCTGGCTTCTGATTCATGGGCAACAGTTGGGGCAGAGTTTCTTCTACGACCTACGCCTCTATTTTGTGAAATCATACCTACTAATTTGACATCGTGAGCGCACAGCAGGCTGGTTCAAGCATCCACTGCCATCCACCATTTTGTTCACGAGCAGCTCTTAAAGGACACCATCATCAGGAGTTGCAAGACCTATCATTCGCAATGCAAACCCGGAGTCGCTTCACCGGACAATCAGCGATATTCCTGAGGAGATTCCCCTTAAGCTGGCTACATGCTTCGAGATCTCTTCAAATCGCTACCTCGACTGCAAAGCCTCATCAAATTTGAAAGTCTATATCCTGTGGACCTTCGCGTTCTTTACAGAAGTCACCCTACCAAATGTATACAGCTTCTTGCAAACCGGTCTATTCATTGAGACCCCTAGATCACCAGCAAGGTAGTCTTAATATACATCAATTCCAGCCTATGCAAATTCTACCAAATGCCACCCACAAAAACCAATAGGAAACATCACTTGCTAATCAAAGCCTCTCTATCGGGACCAGTTCCAATATAACTGACTTTCACCTACAAAAAGTTAATATCATTTTATTAGAACTGGAGCTAGATCGTCAATCTTGGCTCAATTCCAGGAGGGCACTTACACCAATGAATTCTTCTATGTATTCACTAAAGATGAAACAAATTAGCAATGTTAAATCTCATCAAGACACACGATATGCCGTGGAAATAAAGCATTGCGCGTTTTCGGTATATGCAAAAGCACGGTGCTAGAAGGATTCAGCTTACATATACGCCCTCGCTTCTTTCGGTAAATCGTAATATGTCTTAGCTCCAACAGTAGACTTCTGCCAGCCCTTTAATGTCTCATACTTGATCTTGACATTTCCGAGAAGTTCTAGGTCGGCTGGGAAAGAGGCGAGTTCTTCGCCAGTCTCGGGATGGATATACTTTCTTAGGTTAGTTTTGAGGCACGACGGGGTGGGATAAAGATGAAGATGAAGTGGTGTAGAAAGGTAGGAATTTAAGAGAACTTACGGCGGTCGCAACCTTGAGAGTGGGGAAATCATCTAGGACATCAAGCCTAGAGGGAAGCGAGTTAGCGTTCATTGTCCGTAAGAGTTTCAAAATTATCAAATGACAAGCTCTTACTTGGTGATGTTTAGTTTTGTGTAGTGGTTCGCTGCGTGGGAATATCTATCAAAGTCAGTACAATTCTTGATATCATATTAGGCATCTGATGGGGGAATCCCCCAGATGTATCCACATGATGGGTGGTATACTTACTTCACCACAACCAGATCTAACCATCCACAGCGTCGCGGTCTACCTGTAGTGACGCCAAACTCTCTCCCAATCTTCTGGAGCTTGGTACCGACTTCTTCGGTATCTTCTGTTGGAAAAGGGCCTCCACCGACTCTGTACAACCAGTTATTACGGCCAATTCTCACACAAATGCAGAGTCAAGAGCGAGAGAAGGCTTCAAAAGATCGACTTCTATGCGGATGCCAGCTGATAAATAGGTAGGGGCTGAAGGGCAAAAACAGACGTACCTGGTGGTGTATGCTTTGACAACCCCAATGATATCCAATGGCAAATGCGGTGAAATTGCGAGTCCGGTGAAAATACCAGCGATTCCAGTGTTTGAAGATGTCACGTACCTGTCCAACGAGTCAGTCTGGTATAACGCCACAAATGGGAGAAAGGGGTATTTTGAAAGCGCAGCTTTCAGATAATCCATGTATTACGGCCCGGGGTGGATAAAACGTACGGGTAAGTTCCGTGGTCAAGACTGCAGAGAATCAGCATGGTAATCACTCAATAAGATGTAAATGTGGGAGAGGAAAAGTTATTCAGGAGACCCAACACAGCAGGAATATGAAGGGGGGATGGCGGGGGGGGAACAAAAAGTGGTTAGTTACTCTAGCATTAGTGCGTTTGCTCCTAAGCAATTAATCAGTATGCCAATCCTCTAAGATAAATAGGCAATCGGGTAAGAATATGCACACCTTCAATGAGTAGAGGTTGTTTTGCCTTTTGTGCAGATTGGATGAGTGGTATAGCATCAATTACGAAAGGGCGAAGGTCTTCTCGGTATCCCTACAAGAGGGTATTAATTATGGCCGGGATCTACCAGCGACAGGTATGACTGACCTTGAATCTCGTGATTTCCTCCTCCACATCGTACTTCAAAAGGTCTCCCCATCGTTTGTGGGCCGCTCGTGCCAATTCTCGAATCTTGGCTTCGAACAGCGGCTCGTTGAAAACTTCGTGGACTCGAATGCCAGAACGCGATGCCTCTGCAAACTATATATTAGCACTATAAGCAGGACAGCCTGAGCGGTTTTACGAACTGGTAGAGTACGCTGGACCTATCCCCATCCTTGTCGTTCCTATCGACTTTTTACCCAGTTCGACTTCTTCCAATCCGTCGACCAACTGATGAAGGTCGAGAACTATGTGGCAACGATCCTATACCAGAATAAATACAGCCCACAGTCAGATACGGATAGAATAGCATACTGCGATGAATATCCGCTCTCTAACATTCTGTAGTCCTTTGGATTCGAGATCTGAAAGTTCCTTGTAGAATGCCTTTATGTTTACCACAACCCCAGGCCCAATCAAATTCATACACTCTGGGTTGATGAGACCAGAGGGAAGCAAGTGGAAGTCGTAGGTCGTCGAGCCGATTTTGATTGTATGTCTATATCGTTCTTGTCAGAGAAGGAAAGGAGAGGAACGAGTTCGCATGATTCTAACCCGGCATTATTTCCTGGAGTGAGACGAGTTAGTACGGATTCCGCTGTGAAAGTAGAAGGAAGAGCATCTCGACACCCAACGCGAAACAATATATAGGACGACTAACCTCCTTGAGCTCTCGCACAGAGTCTTATGTCCTTTTGGCAGAGGATGTCCTAATAACGACTCAGTCAGAAACAATTGGGAGTGAATTATAGATAGTAGGTTCTTCGGAGGATATTCCCAACTCTCCCAACTCCTACATCTAACTGTCGAGGGGCCAACTACTTACCACCAGCTTGCCTTTCCCTTCATCACCCCTATAAAGCGCTTAGTATTAGCTCCGAACTATTTCTTGGGAAGAGCTGCAGAGCTGAACTCTTAGGCTCAACCAGCCCCCCAGATCAGCACCAAACCCAGAGTCAATTATCGAACGTACCACTGCGCGCCCAAGACCACGGTTGCCATGTTTAGATATGTGCTGAAGAATGCAGATCCTTACGTGCCAATTGAAGAGTAGAGGAGAGATACGGGTGTCTTGGTTGTACTCCAATGTCTTTTGCTTTTATTGTATTGTTGCAAGAAGTCTGAAATGACTCCGGTCCCGGTGATGGTGGGATGCAATGCGATGGTGGGGTTGGTTTTAGCGCGGGGAAATTTTTGACGATAAATCCTTCTCCTTAAGGTAATCGTCCATTTAGCGTTTCACGTATGCCTTTCTATTTATATACCCACTTAGTCTCTCAACATTCCCACGTCTCCATTTAGAGAGAGTATCTAGGTACCTAATTAAGTAGGAAATTGTTACATCATCATATCACGTGGCATGCACGTGGTTTAGCTTTGCGCAGGATCGTACCGTATATAGCTCATCTACGCGTGTCATCTAACTTTAGACCTTAACGCATTCAGTACTTTCGTCTCGGACGTCAAGCTTTTCCATACTGGCGACTTGCAGGATGGACATTGGCTTTGGAGTCTGACAATGTTAGTTGGGTAGTTTTGTGCAGGTTCTCTCCTTTGTGCACTTCTCGTTTCGAATCATTAAAGAGAACTTGTTGTCTCTTTTCACTTTCAGCGTATGGCTCACGTTCTGCATTTTCAAAAACGCTTTGGAATTGCGTCTGTATTCCCGACAGATGAGATTTGAATTTTGGAAGTCAATTAAATCAGTTACTTTTAGCTGAGTTATGAAGTTTGCAAGGACATAAGTGATAATGCAGTGTGCCTGATTCCGGGTGCGCGCCACCTTCAGCACGTTTCCTATTGTATTCATGCCGCTTTTTTTCATTCCTGCGCTCCGCCCGGCGCTTCTCCCGAAGATTCTGGATGCGCTCTCGATCCCTCACATAGCGTTCTGTCTCTTTCATATCCCGCTGCTTCGCGGAATTTGCACGTGAAAGATTATGTCTCGAGGCGTCTTTCGACACGCTGTACCGAGAGCTGTCAATGGATTCCAAGGTCTGGGATTCATCGAGTATGGGACCGGAAGGTCCATGCTTTCTGGTCACTTTCCCAGGAAGGACCGCAAAATCCCTGGCAGTGCTGAGGATATCCTCCCCCAAGATCACATCAACATTCAATCCTTCCAGAACATAAAAATCCGCTACAATTGAAAAACCTGCTCCACGCCACAGGCCAGCTGCCGAAGGCAGGACATCGCCAAAGAAGACAGGAACAGACACCAACCCCTGAATATCCTGCACAGAACTATCCGCAAAACGTATTTGGCCGTCATCCTCGGCCGTGATATTCTCAATGTTGAAACCCGATTTAGTAGCGAAGTTCAACGACATTACGTTTACCATAGCCCCAACATCGGGAATCGCAGTTATCTCATTTCCGTCCAGCCTGCACTTCAAAGTTTCTTTTCCTCCGTTAAGATACGGGACAACAGGAACGTCCCGGGTGTATAGACGCCGCTCGCACCAATTTCTCTCCATCTCCATTCCATGGAAGAAGGCGCGGCCTAGCACAACCTGATACACAAAATTCTCCACTACAACGAAGTGTTCCACTCTCTCCGCGGCTCCTCTGGATTCACAACTGATGGCGGCTACTCCAATTGGTTGTATCTGTCTTTCAAAAGTAGGAAGTGGGATTGGGCAGTAAATCTCACGGAAGCTTATAGTTGCCCCTATTTCCTTGGCGTAACGAGCATCGATGATGTTTAGATCGGTGCCAGGGTCGGCGCGAGCTGGCGTGTGCCGTCCATTGAGAATTATAGACATGTCTTTCCTCGGGGGTACAACGTATGATGCGACAGGGAGGCCGGCCCTAGCCGTAGGGTTTATGGGGAAAGGGCGGGGTGTGTGTGGTGAGGAGGGGGCTAAGGGGCTGCTAGGTGTGTTCTGCCAATCCATTGCTCCTTGATCCCTTTCGTCTCTTTCTGGGGAAGTCAGGTTAATCGTGCTTGTTTCTGAGTGGTGATCTCCCCGCAAATACTGGGTGTCTTTGTCGCTAGCCCCAAATTGAGACTCAGGCAAGTAGTGCTTAAACTCTCTCAAATGCTGAGGGGTACTGCTGAGATACGTAGAACCTCGTCCATTCTCCCTTTCCTTTCCTTTGCCCTTATTTTGTTGAGGAGGACTGTTTACAAGCCAACAGGAATCTGCAGAATCTTTGATAGATTCTAGAATCTCACCTGCTCGCATAGTGCTATCGGCGGCGAGTACGTTCGGTGGAGGGGTGCTTGTATGAGTTGTGGTAAAGTTTGGTCTATACTGGTTGCTAGCAGAAGCTTGATACTCGAGAGAACCTCCACAATCGTAGGCGTTGGCATCGCTTGTCGGCAAGCGAATCGTGTGGGTGCCATCTAATGCAAATCAGCCATGCAGAATTTGACTTTACGTGGGCACTGTACCAAGCGAGTATCTTTCAGACTCTTTCTCGAACGGTGCCTGGGTCTCCCCTCTATTTGCCACAGGACGCGGATTTGAAGAGAGACCATGGGAACAGACCCTCGAAACGTGTGGAGTGGAAGTCTTGTGTAACTGGGTATCCCCAACTCGTGGAGCAGCGCAATGGAAAGAAAAACATTGCCCACCCGCTATTGTCTTGTCCGAAAAGGCAACACTATCTTGTGAAAGTTAGCTCTACATATGCAACCTGAGCTGGAACTCTCTACCTGAGAAAGTCTCGGGATACGTATTGAAAACAGCAGAGTGTGCACTTTCATCAGAACCAAGATCATCAGGTAGACCTAGGGGACTGACGAGGTATGGACCCGGTTGATGAAAAGGACCACAATGGCAAGATCTTGAAGCACCAAAGAGAGCCTCACAATCGTTTGGTTGGTGTGAACCGTAAGAGCTCGTCGAGGTGTGCTTGAGGTGCTCGACGTCTAAGGTGAGTCAGCTAACTATGCTTTCAAACACTACAAAAGCATAGTACCTCGATCGTGACTTATAGCAGACATAGCTGACGAGACTTTGGTGCGGGCTTCAAGCTCTGCTTCTAGACCGATGACTTGGCCGCAATGTGCTTCGTATGCATTCCTCGACACATGCCAATCATTACTGACAGAAGAATCCGGTGTATAGGAACGGTCTGGGGTAGTATAAGCCCTTGGCGAATAGGTTTTGGTACTGTCAGAATCCATAGCTGTAGCACGTCAGAGATCATTCCTTGTGAGACTTCGAGCAAGCCTCGTATGTACTTTACCTAGCATATAAGTTTGCCTCTCAGTATCCCACAACTCGCTATCAGTTTGAAGATCCTCGATCATTGCCTGCTTTTCATTAGCATCGCAGTTCAATAACATTTTTTTTTACCTAATTATAACTTACTCCCGTCAAGTTCCTATAAGCCTTGATGTAATACCCCTGATGAATCTGTCTCGTCTCAGGGTCCTAAGAGCGTTAGAGAGGCGAGTTTCTCTCCCATCACCTTCCTTCGCAAAAACAAAAAGCGGGTTAGAACTACACTACTCACCTCATAAACCCCCCTCCTAACTGTAGCGTCACCCCCTAAATACCTCACAAGGTCCTCCTCAACCACCTCCCACCTGATCCCCTCTCCGGAAACAAAATATTCATTCGTGCGTTTGCATGTAAGCTCGCCATCGGTCCTCATTTTCTCACTCCTTAATTACGTCCCGTAAAAATCAATATAGTATCATACAACCAAGTAAGTAGTAAGTTTTAGACCGTGACGACCGTGCACAAGCACAAGCACAAGCACAGGCGCAAAACTCCAAGGATCCCTCTATCGTGAGAATCTAAGCATTCCTTATACAAAAAGCATAAGTGAGGCCACACCGCTCGCTCATAATGCATTCGCTCACTCGCAGCGAGGCTGTCTGTCCAGGGATCTGGCACCAATGAAATGCGCCACCTGCAGCCTCATCCGGTAGTAATGTATATGGTTTGAACGCAATAGGATATCGGTGATCTTGCATATATAGTGCTTGGAGTGGGCGCTGCGGGCATGGCTTGAAATGAGGCTGATATTTAATACATTCGTAGTTGTCAGCTGGAAGAGGCGTGGGGAGAGGTGGAGGAGGAATGACTACATACATATCTTGGCTATTGGACCTGCATTTTTTCCCCACTTACAATAAAACCAATCCACAACATTTAGCTCAGTTGACTGCCGTTCAGTTGGGATGAGGCAAACGCACAGGAAAGAAAATGAGGCGACCAGACAATGCAAGTTTGCATAGGAAGGGCATACCAGATGCAGATGAAGGGCATACCAGATGCAGATGAAATGAGAACCAACCCATGAGATGAATCATGGATTGCTGGGTCGAAAGAAGAGACATCACATCGTTCTTGGACTTGTTGTAACAGACCACCGAAATTGTTATACATTCCTGAATCGGATTCACTCTAAAGAAGCCGCCCGGATCTCTCTAGAAGCACCAATACCACCCCTCGCCCCAAAATATACTACAAGGACAACACCCAAGCTCCCGTCCATTGGTCCATCAAACGATTGAACCGAAATTATACGCAGCGAAGCAAATTAGGCCACCAGACAAGAAAATTGAGCTCTGCTCTTCGAATACGCCTGATTGCTTCCTTATAAATCCATATATTCATTTCGTGCCTTCGTATGTACCGAGGTCTCCCTTCTTGGGGTATTTCGAAAAGTGCTCCTTTTCGATGTAAGTATCAAGACACAGCTGCCACCAAATGCTGATTAAAAAGAATACGCGCATGCCTATTTCCCCATTTGAAGTCTTCCATCCCTTTGATATACTAGCTCCGAACTCCAGAAAATGTCTTGTTGTTACAAAGGGGATGAATCTGTAGATCATGTTTCATTGATATCCGCCGTTCTGCCCTGCAGATGATTCCATACCACTGGGTTGCCGTGTTCTCCTCGTAAGACTGCCGGTTCTTCCTAGACCGAAGCCTTGGCCGATGGATGATTTCCTCTGCACACGCTCTTCCTTCAATCGGCCCACCGCATTCTGATTATCCCTCTCAGGCGTTGACCGGTCAGTACGGTCCAAGTACCGCCTGCCACCGAGATTTGTGGGGGGCGGTATTGGTGCCGGTGCTGCCACCGCATTAGGAAGACTTGACGTCGCATAATGCCTCCTGACAGGTAGCGCAGATTGGACAGAAAGCCTGTCTGGCAAGGGCTCCTGGGAGGCATATTCTCTTGGAGATCCCCTCATTCTGCCAACTTCGGTGGTTGCCCTCGAAGGTGCCCGGAATCGCGTTTCGTCTTCATCTTCTAGTTCCTCAGTTGTTCCACGTCGGTTGCGAAGCAGCAAAGAGGTTCGACGCCCACCCATTGACGACTGTGTAGGAGTGCCGGCATCGGACGGGGCGTATCGAGGACTGGGTAATGAGCTCGTGGCAAGGAGGCTACTTCTCCGCTGTTCAAGCCGACTGAGAGCTCTCGGACTGGACTTGACTCGAAGGAGATCCGTGCTCAATGCTTGGTGTTGAATATTGTCCTCTTCCACACTATCTAGTACCTCCAGTTCGCGATTGCTTGGCCTATTAGCGGTCAAAATAGTCGCTGGCGGAACATTATCCGTTTTCCCATCAGACAGGGCCAAACACAATTCGGTCAGACTGCGGCACAAGCTGTCTGCTTTGCGGCGCACTTGCCGGTCCGAGAGTCCTGATCCTCCGACTGTTGATTGTGAGCTTGAACTGGGTCCAGGTTGACCTGATGACCCCATCATTGAAGCGATTGCAAGGGCATCTGAAGTGGTGGCCTCTAACGCCTTGTATACCTCAGAAGTAAGGAGTGGCTTAGACTTGGCCAACGCGGCGTGTAGAAGAGGATGAACTTCATGTGGTTGTACTTCTCCACCGGTGGCCTCTGTTGGTGATATACTATGGCCGCGGGCTCGTTTTGGAGAACTCGACATTGTGGTTACAGTCGTCGTAGCAGTATGTGGTCGATCAGTCGAAGCTCGAGAAATTGCAGCACCGGAGGTAGCGGGGAGTTTTCCAGTCAGTTCGAGTCGATGTATCCGGGACTTGAGATCTTCCAACTCGTCCCAAACAGTCGATGGTGCTGTTGTTGACACGGTTGACTCGGTGCCTTCTACTCCGCGAGGTGTCTCCGGCACCTCATGCATGTCCGTTGATCGTGACACAAGAGGTGACGAGTTGTAGGTTCGGGGAGCCGAATATGACAGATTTGACTGCCTGTACGACGCGCGTGGTGGTAATACAGAAGCGGGGTCTGGTATGGAACCTCTTCTGCCATGTGATGTAGATTCCGGAGATATTTCTCGGCTTCCAAATGTTCTACTGGTAGGCGTAGTAGGGTTAGAACGAGGATTGACTCCGTATAACCGACTTCGATTGAGTTCATCGAGAGCTGTTGGGGCTCGTTCTCTCTCCGATGGACGGTAAGTAAGTGCCTGTCCAACATTTCCATGTTCTTCCATTGTGCGTGATGCATTAGAGCTCTCTTGGTCGGATCCACGTCGACGAGAAGTTGAGGATTGGAATGAGAGATTCGAGGGAGGAAGGGATGGACGTTGGCCGATTCGGGACTAGAGGTACAATGTTAATAAGTATATAGACACCTTTTGGACTTCGATGCTTATAGTATGTATGAAACTTGAAGAAGGAAAGCAGGGTGGGGGATGGGGGAATTTATGAAACAAAGTATCGCATGTCTTACCATTCTGCTATCCGTGCGGCTCAGGGAGTCCCCAGCACGCGCCAACTCCTCTTCTCTCGCAGCCCGTAGGAATAAATCGCTATCGTCGCTATTGTGCTCATCTTGTTCCATCTGATTGGACGGTCTTTTCGAACGGGTGTATCCGTCCAAACCAATAACTGTGCCTGTGGTTATACGGCGCGAGTCCATCTCTGCGCTTTTGCGCGAAGAGGGCTTGAAGCCGCGAATAGGTTTGATCAAAGGTCGCGATCCACTGTTATCATTCCCAGACCTCGCAGAGAGCGGTTCTGCTGGGTTGGGAGACGGTAACCCGTCGCCAGAAGTTGGAGAAACGAGGGATTGTTGCTGTTGCGATGCAACCCAGTCTGTGGTCGATGTTGTATCTATTTTGTAGGAGCCCTGGGTGATCATCGCCGGGGGAGGTCCAGACCAGAATTCTTCTAGTAGCCCATTCCGTGAATGTGATGCAGGTATCCTCCTGTCTGGCTTCGTGGACGTGGGCTGGCCCTTCGGTTGCACAGGAGCAGAAGAGATGGGTATAGATTCGCGGTCGACGTTGGAAAGAGGGAGAGGGTGCGTGAGCCGGCGTGGTGGGTTTCTAGGAACAGCGATGGTGCTTGTGGAGTAGGTGCGATTGCGGTAGGCGACGTTGTTGTTCCTTGCTGTATTATGTGTTGTCGTGCTATTATTATTGGCACTACTACGAGTATTGCTGAGGTCCTGGTGCTGCTGTTGTTTCGCGTGGACTAAGGAATCAGGTTGACCGTGCATCACTGACCCCCGCGGTAGCCGACTAGCAGTATCGCGCCTCAGATCATTGATATCATAGGTAGGATGTGGATGTTCCATGTTACTCCGTACTGGGAGTAAACAAACGCAACAACACGGAAGAGCTGGGAGAAGTGAAGGATGGAAGGAAGGAGGGAGGGAGGGAGGGAACCAGGCAGGTCTGTTAATACAAATTGGTGAGGAATGTTCAAAAACTATAACTTTCCATCCCATCCTACTCTGGTCTTGGTCCTGGTCTTGGTAGGCATATGCAGCCCCATCACACACTCGGCTCACTACTTCAGGAGATTCCTCCCAAGCTTCATGTACTTACTATAGGCACGCGAGATATATCTACAAATGGCCCAAATCGTCTGATATGTTTTCATGTCCCGCAGGAAAGATACCAGCCACGTTATTCCCACGAGGAGTTGCGTGAGGCGCGGTATTCCCAAAAGGTCTTCTCCACCCCTGAAATATACCAACCTTCTGTATCTCTCACCCATAAACCATCTGATGGCACCGGCGAGGTCCAGGGCTTCGATGTTCTACCGCCGCTGGACCTGCAGTAGTTGCTTTGGTTCATGCAGTCCAGCATCTATTTAGTAGGGGGGGTTGGGAGACTTTGGCAGAAGCTTATGTCTAGTAACAACAGCTTTTACGGCCTTTTCTTGGTCTTCTTTAATTTACCTCTGCAATTAGCCAGAAAGATAACCGCCGGTCTTTTGACTCGACCGGTTTGAAGCAATGAGAATCTGTTTCAGATGTTCGGCCACAATTTATTCACGGCCATACATCCAAAATTGTCAAAGAGTTTTTCTAGGGCAGGGCAAGGGCAAGGTCTCCCGCTAATTTACTTCTATTGCCCAGGGGTATTTACCCCACCACGCCTGCAGCTTCGTGGCGTGTACCCGCCCCCATCCACCAATGATAGACCAGGTTGAAGTCTTCAAATTATTTGATGCCGCAGTATACCACTGTACGACATCTGGGGAGAAGGCGGAGGTTGAACAACGTACATACGTATTGCGTACTTCTATAAATGTCCCAGATGTCCAGGGACATTAATAAAGACTTTGAGAACTTGAACATTCTGCTTCATTCTGCTTCATGTTGATTTCACTTGTGTCCTGGAACATATTTCTCTAGTGCTCTTCTTGTAGCCAGTGGCCTAGTCATCCTTGAGACACCACCAACACCAAGTATGAATGAGGCTGAAGGGATGTATAAGTTTACTCTCTTATGCTCACGGAGGGCTAGGATCTATTAGAAACCTAGTGGGGGAGTAGTAGGTATTATGAGACGTTCCCAAGTGATCTTTCTGATGGATTATTTTTCTCCATCTCTCACTGTCTATTCGCCTGTGGTTGAAGGCCTGTATTGATTACTGAATGGCGAAATATAAAACCATTGATGGAGTCTCTAGTAACTGGACAGTCACTGGTTAGTGTTTCTACTGCCAAACTATAGTTGGTGTAGTAAGGCTATATCTCTCATTCTTGAGGCTACCGTACCAGGGACTTATTGGTTGTTTTTTCCAGCGAGGGGATACCGCGTTCTCAGTGGTTGAGTCATCAAGAGTCCGAAGGTTTGGGATCGAAAAACAAATTGGATGTCGCAACGATGCAGATGGCGATAGATCCGAGAAGATATGAGATGTGTGATGAGAAAACACCCCAGCTTGTTCGCGGGGTATGGAAATCTTCAAAGTGAAATTACTTACTTGAGCTGGGATGATGTATTGGAGCATTCGTGCTATTCGAGGCACGCGAGAAAGGAACGTGCTGAAGAAAGTTCTTGCATGGCTCCAGAGACAAATAATTACCACCAAAACATGGTACGCGATAGGGAGGGGAGGATCAATACGATTAATATAGAAAACCGTCGGGCCATCTGGTGGCCCACTACGCCCTCTCCTCCGAATGATCCCCGCGGATTCTAATGATAGAAACAATAGTAGGACAGAAACGGACGCGGTGCATTTTCTCGAATCGGTACCTAGCTGTTGCCGGCTCCTACGGTAGTCCCGATGGATGGATGGCTCTCCGGAAGAGAGCGAAGGAAGGGACTTCGTAGTGAACCCGACGAAGTGGATTCCGTAGGAAGAAGGCATCATGATTAACAGACAGGTCAGAGCATGGAAAGGGCAGGTGAAATATGCACAGAGTCTGCGTGCATCAGGAGCCATGTTCACGTCGGGCCAAAGCGGTTTGGTGAAGCATGAGATGATGAGAGTCAGAAGAACTCGAGACACACGACATTAAAATCGTGCAAGAAAGAGCAGATCTACGAAGTACAGCAGCAAAGCACAGATGAAAGGAGGGAGTTGCGTTATTTTGCCTACTGTAGCAGTGTAGGAGTAGGAACTGCTGGGAACAGCGTCAAAACGGACTGAAATAAAGCTACTTCGGTATCTATCATAGTACTGTCGTGAAGGGTATTTACATTATTTTGAAATAGCATCCCGCGTCAGATTCAGATTCAGGTTAAGGCAGACTAATTTCCGAAGATAGAAGCAATATTCCGGAGAGCTATTCCAAGAAGGGGTTCGCCTTCACTTCCCCCCACTATCGAATTCGAATTTCCGTCCAAGCTAATGTTTCAGCAAGAAGAGGGAGGAGAAGAACGAGGGACAAGGGTAGAGTGGACTGGCCAATCCATTAAGAGTGGAGAACCCGAGGCTGGGGCAGTGTAGTGTGCACAGTACCTACTGCCTGGTAGAGTACCGTACGTACTCGTATGTACCTTCGTAAATGTACACAGAAGAGTGAAGTGAGTGAGGCTTCTCACTCGTAGTCCATCCTTTCTCTCTCTCTAAATAAACACCAGCTTTTCTTTTGCCTTCTGTTCCTGCTGGCTGTCCTTCCATCCATCTACCCATCCACCCTCCCACCTACACCGCCGTCTGTTGAAGAGCCATGGATCTATAATCGAGTTACCATTGCCGTACGGCACCTCCACTGGCCTTTGCTGGCATCGTCACTTTTGCGAACGTCCTCCGCTCGCGGTCGTAAACAAGCGCCTTTGTCCCTCGAGAAATCCTTCGGCGGATTATTGGCTTCAAACAAGACGAAACCCCAGGATTATTTGCAAAGACCGGCGCCTTGCAAACTCTTCAGTCTCTATTACGATACTCTTACAGTAGTACCCTTTTTACTGTCCAGCATTTCAGTTCAATTCAAACGCGGTGATACTTCAGAGGGCGCCAGCAACAAACAGGACACTCCTTGGCCCTTCCTTCGTGCGTGCATAGGAGGCAGAGCGACCGAAACAAAAAGCATCATCCCATCGTCACCGCATTCATTAATGACCGATAATTATACCAAGTCCCTTTCATGGCTTCATCTTCATAGCAAGTTCTTTATACATCTGCAACGAACAATCCGAATCGCGACCCGGACCGCAACCGCAATCTCAACCACACACCCTTCTGCCACTTACACCACTTACACCAATCAAATCAATCCCTTCCACAGCAAGAGCTTTGAGTGGTTTCCCGGAATAACCGTAGACAGATATTCTGGCAGCTGATTCGATTGCCACAACACGACCAACCCAACCCATCAAACGTCCTGTGGCCGGCCGCTCTTGTTCTGTTCTGGCCTTTGGCTGTAAGTCAATCCCTCTTTTCCCTTGACGGCTATTCGCCGCTAGTTGGCGCCCACCACCCTTGCAGAGGCTATTTTTGGATCGTGCATAAACTCGCCTTGTCCTCACTGGCTCGACGGGCTGCATGCAAGCTGACACTCACTACTCGTTCACTTCACTCTTTAGTTAGAGTAGAGCCACCCCCTGCTGTCCTGCCCCCCTGCCCTGTCTCTCGCCAACACCATCGAGGCATCTTCGTTCGTTCGTCCGTTTCTTCTTTGACCCTAACTTTCCAAATAGTGTCTTTCTTATTATACTCGGTGTGCTTGCTGCGTGCTCTGCTGAGCTCTGCGACTGTGAGCACCAACATCAACACTTCAGCCAGGCGTTGCGCAACACTCTGCACCAGAGCGCTCCAGTGGCCCTGCCGCATCTCGAACTCCGACGGCGCACTACGGGCAAACCTCGCCTCCACAGCCCTACTCCACCCACCCATTAAGCTGTATTTGATCTGATCGAGGCTGTTGGCTCTTGGCTGTTGCGGGCTTTCGTGTGGCACTCAAACGATACCGTCTCCGATTACAGGCTTGCGGCATCACCCCCTATTTGGTAGTGCGAAATATCGAGGCGCGTTCATCCGCTGGTACATTTGACGGCGCTAAGCCTGAGGGTCTGCCATCAAATCAGCCTGCTCCGAAGCGCCGCATAGACCGCTGGTAAATCTTCTCCATTTCGCATTTGTTTCCCCCATACTACATTCTGCGTCTGCCAAAGAACTTGCAAGGAACCTGTCAGTGTCAGGATACATGATGTTTGCGCTTGTTCAACCCTCCCTCTAAGCAGACACAATGGATCCAAACCCCCTCTTCTACCTCTCTTCTCTTTATGACTACGCCCCAAATCATGGCACCTCTTCTAGACCTTCAGCATGCTAACAATCGAACCTTGAAAAGATCATTCACTGCTGTCACCATTTCATCACCCCCTTCTCCAGAACGAACGGCAGTATCGAGTGCAGCCGAAACACAAGGGAGGAAGTTGAGGCAGTCTCGGGGGGTGAGAGGAACAGGGCTTCAATATTCTGTGAAGATGCCATCAGCCGCGAGTACTAGGATGTATGAGAACCACATACCGTCATTCATGTCTGTGTACGACATGGAGACGGTGGTAGAAAGTCCCGAATTATCTCCAGCCCCGAAGCTGTCAGGAGCGAAGTTCGAGCCACAACAAGAAACAAGGTCACAACAATTGAGCACAAACGAAACGCAACAAACAGATTCAGACTTGGAATCACAAATACATTCACACCAACACCGAGAGAGTACTTCTACTCAGACCTCGGATTCTACAGACTCCTCACCCACGACAACGATATCGACGGTTGATTCGTCCTCACTATCAGATCCTTCTCCTTCGTCTTCTCCAGAATCCCCTATCACCTTAATACCATTATCTTCATTTTCCGGATCGACCTTCGGCTTGGACGCCTTCCAACGCCTCAAGATGGCCGACACCCCCAATCAATTACCACTTAACAATATCCGACCTATGACATCGCCCTCGCCGCGAAAATCCAAAAATCCAAAGGCTCTCGCCCTCAATCTTAATTCTAACAGTGGTGCATTTCAAATCCAAGCATCTGAACCATCTTCGCCCTCATTTATCAAACCCCCGACCAATCCTCCCAGGAAAAAGCCGAGCTTACTGAGTCTGAATACTGGAGCCACCAACAGCGTACCAATTTTGGTGGAACCAATAGCATCTCCTAGATTGCCCACTATGTTACAAAGAAGAAGTTTAAAGCATTCTGTCTCATCTCCCCAAATTATATCAACCCCTGGATATGGTCCTGCTGGAGGCATGACACTGGGTGGAGGGAAGCCTTTCGGACCACCGCGGTTCAAGGAATCAAATATTCCAACCAACACGTTCACGATCAGTGAAGATGTAGATCTAGAAGCCCCTGCCAGTGTTCAAATGGCTACGAGGGTACCTGGGGTTACAGTTGGAGGTGACAGTTTTGATCGACCACATTCTGGGGAAGACGCGAAATCGCCTTCGTATCCAGAAGGCCCGATCTTGATGCATGAACCTAGTGTTCACCTTTACCTAGAACCGAAACTAGAAGAGGCTATGAAGTTTGACGTAATTCTCAATGTTGCTCGAGAAGTCAAAAATCCCTTCAAGGCGCTAGAAAAAGAAAAGGAAAAGGAAAATATGCGTTCAAAAAGTCCCTTCCATGGAGGTTCATCTTCAGATATAGCTATGAGTCCGGTGGAACCAGATACGGCCGCAACGATGATGTCTTTCAGAACCGCTTTCGAAGTGCAACCCCCAAATTCTACGGAATCATCGCCAACTACCCCGAAACCTTTAGTGGAAACTAAAATCCCTGAGTATATTCACGTGCCTTGGGATCACAACACGGATGTGAAGGACGAGCTGTGGGATCTATGCCAACTCATCGAGTCAAAAACAAAGGAAGGGAAGCGAGTGTTAGTACATTGCCAGCAAGGAGCTAGTCGATCAGCAACTCTTATAATCGCCTACGGAATGTACATGAACCAAGACCTAGGAGCGACGGAGGCATATGCACTAGCACAGGCGAAGTCACGCTGGGTGAATCCAAACATGTCGCTCCTGTTCTCGTTAAATGATTTCAAGAAGGTCATCGAGAGCAAGAAGGTTGAGAAGGAGACGGCAGCTCCGCAGAAACCCCAAATCAAGCACCGGCCGACAGTTTCAGCAGATGCTATTCACGTACCCTCAACCCCAACACGTGCTCGTGGGAATTCTGACCCTAGCGTTGCAGCCAGGGATGATGCCGTGGCCAAGTTTGAAGAGAGGAAAGAGCCTACCACAGAACCCCAGGCATCACGGTTCGCTGATTTCGATTTCGGGTTCAGTGACATGTCCAGCAAGATGGAGATTGCCCCGCCAAAAAGGCAGGAAGAAAACGATTGGGAAGCACTCTTGTCACCTCGAGTAGAAGAAATGACAGCCAATCCCTTGCAGGATTTCTCGCGAAGTTTCAGCTCCAAAGAAGACTCGGAAACGCCACCAACACCCGGCCTCTTCTCCCCCCGCGTCTTCGAATTCCCTCGGTCGTCTTTCTTCCCTTCCCCTGGCCAACGCATGTCCCTAGCCGTGGACGAAGACCCGCGGAGTCCTCCAACAAAGGGAGAAGCTCCCATCACGCGATCAATCGATGATGTCCTTTGATATAACGAATGATAAGATCTGTTTGAATCTTAAGAGTAGCTATCACATTTAGCGGCAAATGAAAGCGAAGGCGTTTCTGTTTGACATGACATGAAGAAATAATACGCTGTCATGAATGGAGGGAAGATGGCGTTGCATTGGTGGCGTTCTGATCGGCTGGTCCTTCGGAACGATATATATGTTCCGATTGGGAACCGCTGATGTGTAAAATGTAATGATATATTTGGACATTTATGGAAGGATGGAAGGATGGCAGGTTGGGTGGGGAATGAAGAGGCTGTGGCTTCGAATACAACGACATACCCCAGGTGTTTTTAGTCTGTCTGCATGTGAAATGATGTGAATTGCGATGAGTGAATAAACGATATTGGAGGATATTACGGAGCACATTAAGTAATTGGCTCTTTCATTGGTCGTCCGTTGGTGAAACAAAGTTTCAATAATATCTTCTTCCGAATACTTGACCTGAAAAAAGATGTTGCAAATAATAAGGGGTCACAAGGAGGCCCTAGCGTCAAATTCCTGCACATGCTATGTCGAATATAATAAATATCACAAAGAGCTGGTATATAGCAACATACGGTATTCAAGATTTATGAATGTATACATACATACATACAAACATACATATGTACATACATACAAATTACAAATTTGAATACAAACGAATAAGCTGCTCTTCAGAATCAAAGTGAGCAAACGCCTTGTCCAAATTAAATAGATGACACAGAAGCCAACGCAGACGAAAATCAGTTTTATGTATTGTAGAAAGAAATAAAGGAACGTTTGGAATTCACATATATGCCTGCTCTCTACAATATCAAATATCGAATATCAATACCAGACTAAATTCCATTCGAATGCAACCCTGTATATATCTAGCATAACAAGTCAGGTTAGGTAAGTAGGTATGGTATGGTATGGTATCCCAGTAAACGCCTTTAGAAATGCACAAGATGTTTTGCCTGCCTGCCTCTTTCTCTCTTTCACACATGACATATAGTTAGTTCACGCTTCCTATTTCTTTTCTTTTCATTTTATGAAATTTCATAGTTCCTTCTTTCTCCCCTTGGCCTTAGCAGCATCCTTAGCAGCCTTCTCCCGCCTCGTAATAAGCGCCTCGGCACCAATGCCTCCAAACACAAGCCCAACGCCCATCCACTGTCGCCCGCCGAGGGTGTGGCCGAACCAGACGACGGAAAGGATCATGGTGAGCATCTTGCGGGTTACGGTTATGGTTACTAGGAGGAGGGAGGAGAATGTTGAGAGGGTGTAGACTGTTTTGCTGGTTAGTTTTTTCTTCTTTTCTCTTTCTTTCTCCCCTGTGTAAAGATGTGAAAAGGGTGGGGTAAGGAGCAAAATAAGGGGAAGTAAAAGGGAACAACATACAGATGAAAACTTGGCCAACAGCTCCACAAACTGCAAACCCAACGACATCCCACCATACCCCTGGATGTCTCCCCATAAACGCTAGAGCAGCGGCAAACTCCCCTCCCCCACCACTCGTGATATCCATACCCAGATACTCACCAATACCCGTATGCACCAGATACGGACTCAGCGCTAGATACGAGAACGTAAGGAGTGTGCTGATGATATTATTGGCGCACATCATCTGCGGGCCTTTGTAGGGCTGGAAAGCCGTAAATATATAGTCTTGCGTTGTGTTTGTCAGGCCGTCGAGCAGCAGGTTTACCCCTAGTAAGAGCAAGCCCCATGTACCGTTCCTATCCGGGTTTATAGACGCCTTGGACGGTTTCTTCGAGTGCGAACCTGCATGTAGAGTAAACACCGCTACGCCGGCAGTCACAGCGCACACAACGAGGTATTTGTATAGCGGGTATCGTTTCTGGAAGAGCGTGATGTGGAGGAACATGACGGGGAGCAGCTTGCATGATTTCGCGAGGATGAAGGTTATGTAGTCGATGTGCGCGAGGGATGCGTAGCCGAATGGGGAGGCGAGGGAACTGGTCAATGCTACGATGCAGAGCGGGAATAGGATGCGGCTACTGGGGAAGATGGGTGCTGGGGACGCGCCGGGCTTGGTGTCGAGGCGCAGGTAGATGTATCCAGTGAGTGCTGCAAAGATGGATTGTACGGTGTTGAGGAAGACGGGGAACTTGAAGACTTCGGGCTTGGAGGCATCGCCGTAGGGAGTCGTTGTCAGCCGTTCTTGGAGGAGGGCCCAGGTAAGACTTATGCATATGTTAGTTGGTGAGCGCCGAGTCGAGGGCGTGTTGACTTACAAAGAGCCATATATACCTCCTACAGCTACCAAAAACTGCAATGCGCCAGCTTCCTTCGTGTCCGGCACAATGGGCTTTAGAACTTCTCCATGGGCGAATCCATTTGTAGAATTCTCCTTCACAACCTCTGTGTCCAATTTCCTGGCACTTCGACTCGGCGTCCCATTTCCAACTCCCTGGACATATTCAGAAGATGGGTCTCTGCGCAACGGCGTAGCTTGTTTCGACCTAGCCATTATGATTTAGAGACGCGCAATTGCAATGAATGAATGACTGAAAATTGAAAAGTCGCGAGACAGATGCGCAACAAGCAAAAGAAAGTTAGTTAGTTGAGTTTGAAAGAGTGACGTGTAAAATGTAAGAGTTTATTATTATGCCACCTTGCCTTTTACCTTACTGCTGAATAGGATCCTTATCGGGACGATAACGAGCGGTAGCGGCAGTACTCGTCGAGTTTCGGGATGAACCTTAATACCCCCCTCTCTTACCGGAGTATGTATAGAGCAATTCAACTTCAAAACACACAATTCCCTTTCCACTCTTCGCAAGCCCCCAGCTTCTCATCCTGCCCCATATTCCACAACTGCAGATACCCCAACACAACTCCAACCATGTCCGGCGCAAACTCCCCCGAAATCCTCGCAGCATACGAAGCCGTCCGCTCAGACAAGGACCCAACGAACTACCTCATAATAAGTTACGCCTCAGCAGTAGGCGACAAACTCACGTACGTACCTTCCCCCCCCCCCTCACAAGTTCAACCCCATTCAATACCTCCCCCAATCTCAAACCCAATCCCAAGCCCAAGCCCAACCCCCTCTACTTCCAACCCCCCACTAACACCCTCCTCCCCACCCAGCCTCACCAGCACCGGCACAGGCGGCCTCAGCGAACTATCCTCCGCCCTCGACCCGGCACAAGCGCAATACGCATACGCGCGCATCGAGTACGCCAACGACACGGAAAGCAAGCGCGTGAAATTCATCCTTGTGATATGGATCGGCGAGGGCACAAAGGTCATGCGCAAGGCCCGGGTGAGTATTGAGAGCGGCGAGGTCAAGCGCGTGCTGGGTCATCATAGTATACAGGTTGATGCGAGGGATAAGGGGGATTTGGATGAGGGGGATATTGTCGTGAGGTTGAGGAAGGCGGGCGGCGCGGATTATAATGGGGGGGAGAGGGTAGGTGGGGAAGCAGGGGTTGGTAGATGTTTAGAGGTACAGTATGAGTATGGAGGGGGTTTGGGAGGCTTGTTGAGCGCATTCGCGGTACTGATACTAGACTTTTGATGTGTCTGCTAAGTAGATCAATGGCAGGCTTGTTGCTTTTTTAGAATGGCATAGAATTTATAAAATTCTATATTTCGTGGGAGATTCTTGTCAAGAAAGAGTCTCCTAATGTGCTAAACATTTCAGTATTCACTTTATCTTGCAGTCCCAACGAAAGTGATAAAACCCTTATACTGCTTGTGGGACACTGGAAGGAAACCTAGCTTACAGTCTGAAGCATCACTCAGTTCACATGAACAGGACCATGATATTGATTCATGCTCATATTGCCTAGCCTACCACTAAATCTACATACATCTCCGAAGATCGTAGCTTGTGCGAAGTTAAGGGAAGCGAGCTGAGTATGGCTATTGAGTTGTAGTATTGAGGGAGTGAGTGCGAACGAGTCGATCATCTGATGAATTGTGTTGGATGGTGTCGTCACTGAGGGGAAAGGAGAGAGCATTGGTGGTGAGTTGTGACTTTATAGGTATCAGGTCATAGCCGCATGAATAACGAGATTAGGGCGATTCTCGTACGTTCGAGGGGTGGACGTCGGGTTGGCAGAGAATTCAAGACAGTGTGACGGTGTCCTGAGTTATTGAGTGTCAATTCGAAATCGTCTGTATCCAGTATCAAGGGGGAATGACGCTTGCTTTAAGCAGCATAAGGTGCCAGGCAAGCGCTGATGACCGTAAATTCGTAAAGTCTGTGTCGTAAAGAAAGTGAAAATCGTTAAGAAAGAAGCCATGAGTTGCTTTTGGTGAAAGAAAATATCAGTCAATTAAAGAAGAGATCAGCTTCCCAGATCCATCGCATCAATATCAGCAGCCTTGCGGCAAGTCAGATCTGGAAGAACCTGGAAAATGGTTGCCAGCATGAAAGGAAATATGATGAGGTCAATGGAATTCAGTCCTAGTCCTGAGGCGTCCCTTGGCTTCGGCGCATCTTCTCTGCCTCCAAGTTCTCGTAGAGAAGGTAAAGGGCCGTCTCATTGGCCTTGGCGGTACCCATGATTGTGAACATACGCTCTCCGGTTTCGTCGTGGGGTGATTTCGCAATGCTAATGCGGGCACCAGAAGTCTTGCGAATCTCACTGATTTTGCTGCCTGCTCTACCAATGATACATCCAACCATGTCCGAGGGAATGCTGATGTTCTGAGTTTGAAGCTCCTCTCCATTCTCATCGTGGGTTGGAGGACCACGTTGAGCAGCGTCGGAATCCGAGCGACGGTTATTGTAAGATCGGGGTGCACCCTCGCTGAAATCGGCTCCGTTTCCAGTGCGCATAACACGTGGGTTGTTGTATTCGCCGCGTTCGGCGCGTCCGCCGCCATTACCGCCCATGGCACCCTGTCCCATTCCACCTGCAGCGCCTGGCTGAGTACGAACAACGGGGTTGTAGAGGACTGTGCCAGTTCCGCGTTGCCAGTCATCAACCAAGCACTTACAAATCTCCCAGATTGCCTTCTGGATGCCTTCTGGGCTGCCTTGGACTTCAACAATACGCTCAGTGGATTGGGGGAGCATTTCCTTTTGTGCGACCATGCGAACCCCGGAAACGTCCTGAATATGCTTAATCTTGAGTCCTTGTCGGCCAATGATCGTGCCCATCTGGTTATGGGAGATCAACAACTTGATGGCTGCAATTGATTAGTTTGCATTTCATTTGAGATTTTCAGATTCTTGCTTACGATGTGTGCCATTGTTTGATACAACTCCACCCATGCCCATCTGTGGTGCACCTTCAAGTAAAGCCTTTGCGACAATAGCATAAGCCTTGGAGATCGCATCACATCCGCCGGCAATTGTCAGAACCCGGTCATGTACACCTTGTACAACCTTGCTCACACCCGCCTTGCATCCAGTTTCGTCTCTCAAATCAGCGACGTTCTTTCCGCCCTTGCCAATGATAACACCGGCTTCCTTTGATGACACAATAGCACGCAGAGTGAGCTGCGATTCAGCATACTCTTCGTCGGTCTTGGGGAGAGGTTCACCATCGGGTCCGAGGCGGGCCTCTTCACCACCAATGTTCATGGAATTGATGCTCTCAGCAAGCTCTTCGCCATTTGAAGCGTTATCTTGAGGAGTAGACATCTTGGAGATTTCTGGGAGGATTTTTCGGGGGAAATATTCTCAGGTAGTATGATGCGGAGTAGAGACCAATTGGAGGGTCACTTGGAAGGAGAGACACTGTTGTGAAGTATGATCAGTCACTTTGTTCCGCGAGACTAGCATGCCGATAACGAAAAGATGCGCGAGCAAATTCGGAAAGGAAATTTTCGCAGGGAAGGAAAAAAGAGAAGTAAGAGGTTCTAAATCTCAATAGCCAGTAAATTGATTGCCACATACCTGGATGTATTTCTGGTAGATGGAAAGGACGTGGCGAGAATGTTGCGGTTGAGTAGTGGGGTTGGGGTTGGGGTTGGAATCGGATGTCGGAGGGGAAGAAAAGGACGCGACGTCTGGCTATATGACAAAGTCGCGACGGTGAGGAGTAGAGGAGTAGAGGAGGAGGGGAGGAAGGAAGGAGGCGATATTAGGATATCGTCAACGGAGAAGAGGAGGAGGAGGAGGAGGAGGAGGAGGAGGAGAAGAAGAAGAAGAAGAAGAAGAGGAGGAGATCTTGTTCGGCAGGTCGCGTTGATTGTGAGAAGGGGAGAAGATGCAGGAGCAGGGGCGTGAAAGAGATCGGGGGAGGTTGGAGAAAGAGCTTTTTCGAAGGTGCGGTGCTTGTCTCTGTCCGCATCTGCTCTGGGCTTGGCTGGGACCCCGCGATACTAGCGACATGGTCTGTAGGCGGGTTGCAGCTGCCAATTCGCTGACCTAGCGAGTCTTTCTTTCACTCCACTTTCTCCACTCCGCCTCTCACTGGTCTCACTTCTTGCTGGACCCTTCACTGGACTCCTTACTGGCTTCCTTTCACACATGTTACTCCGTACTACTGGATACATGGTAGATGTTCACTCATGCCAAGTCCGGCTTCAACGGCAGCACTGAACCGATGCGAACGAGGGGTAATGGCCGTTTTCCATTGAGCCCATGGGAACATCCGAGACGATGGAACCAGGAGCATCCTAGAGACCTACCCCACTATCTATGCAAGCAAGCCATTGAGAACAGTTGGGACATCACCTTCACATGGGCAATAGATAGATAGCAAGCAAGACGACCCATAATAATGCTGTCAGTTTACATGGACCACGACCACTACGAGTGGTATTCATCTTGTTTGTGTAGGTAGTTTTACACCGCACATTTCGTCTGATTGAAACCCCTTCAAATGAAGGCTGGTGCTTTCGCTTGCGGGGGGTACGACACGGGGTTTCTGCCGCCTTTGCAGTAGCCGCACGCTCTTGCATATCTCAAAGTGGTCAGGCTCATGCGCAATCGCTCGATGAGAAGTCGGCTATAATTCAACGGCATAAGGCCACACCAATGGCATCTACCGTCCTTCCGTATCATCAATCCTACATCCGGGCAAGAGTCATATATTTTAGGTAGCTCTGAGAAGAGGATGGGGTGACTAGAAACCAGTCGGCCCATTCAGCCTCGCTTTTCAGAGCATCATTTAACCTTGCCACTGCCTATACTGCCCATATTATAGCCCTCTTCCGCGTCGGCTAATGAAGGCAATCTTGAGCCAGAACCATTAGACGCCGCGCTGTCTTCACCAAAGAGAAATGCTGCCTTTTCTCGGCTGGGACCTGAGGTTGGTTTCCTGCCAGGTTTGGAAAATGATGATGATTTAGGAGGCGGTGATCTGGCCGGGGAACGGGAAGGAGAATCCGATTCTAGCATCCAACTGAATGACCTAATCATAGAATTAGCTAGGCCATATGTTTGGTGAACCAAAGAGTGTTATTGCGTCTGGCAGGAGTTTTACATTGACCCGTGGATGAATAAGATTCCAAAACCTGAAACACTTACGATTGTGCTATAGTTGAACGTGTCGGTACTGGCGCTTTCGGTCTTGCCAGTAATCCTTCAACTGTCTCATTCGTAGGCTTCGTTATCGGAGCATCTGGAATGAGACCAGTACTTGATGCAGAGCTTGGTTGACTTTCCGGGTCCTTGGGAGTACTCTGCGCAAGACTTGATGATTCTAACAATTTAGATGACGCCATCAACTGTTTGGGAGCTCGTTCTGGTATTAGAGCTGATATTGAAGTTGATGTAGCAGGAACCATTGGAGGTGCAATATTTAGAGGTGGAGGCGAAGGTAAATTAGCAGGCGAACTTACTGGGCCAAGTTGTGGAGAATCGGGCGTGAGAGGCATTGTTGAATCTTCCAAGTAGATTCTGACGAAATCCACCTTGGCGATTGCCATGTCCATGGCCTGAACATATTTGTCCTTGTCGCCATCCTTGGATAATGATACATCTCGCAGATCGATCATCGCTTTATCAAGCATGCGGGCTAGCTGTTGATTACGGATATTCATAGCCGAAATAGTTGCTCTGGATTGCGTCGGCACTGACCTCCCCTCATCAAGTGACCATCTGGGTCCTTCTGAAGTTTGGCCTCTTGTAGAGTTGCTCCTTGATGCTTGCAGACCTTGCATGTTCTTCCTTACCTCTCCCACAGCATCTCGGACGCTTGATTGATACCAAGCCGTTCCCCACGGTCAATGACACCTCTAGCAGCGCCTTGGAATAAGCCTTCGACTCCTCCTTGATGCTGCAAGAAGCTGGCTGGAGATGTAAGCGGCGATCTTGCCCTAGACAATTTATGTTTCGGGCTAAGTCCCTGACCAAGAGGTGTTGGTGGCCGAAAGTCTGATGATTGCAAATGTGGAGCTTGGGCGCCATATTTGCTGATAATTTTGGCACCCCCAGCGGCACTGAAATTGTCACGTAGGTAAATCGCATCATCTACAAAAGACTGAGGGCCATACGGAGGTTCGGGCGCAGGATACTTGAGCAAAAGCATAAGCGCCACCGAATAATTGGCTTCTATCACTGGGCAAATAATCAGTTGGCAATCCTAGCGTTACTGAACGGTACTTACATTGCCATCGTATCCTCAGAAGCATAGCGACACAAACCATATCCATAAGGTCCAAGTCTGGATCTTCTGCAAAGAGGGTATCCCACAAAGCTAGTAAGTCCTCAAATGGGAATTCTCGCCCGAACAGGAGTCTAATCCAACGTCTGGGACGACTGTTAGTTTTTATCTGGGTCTGTAGAAGTATAATCTTACATCAAAAATATCTGCGGGAGAACTTCGATGTCTGTAAGATGCTTGGCAAGTTCTGGGTCCAGCCTTGCCAAATAAACTTCATGTATCTGTTTGCTTCTTTCCACAATCGGCGAAGCTCCTTGTTGTGGGGTTCCAGTCGCTGTAGAGGAGGTACCGGATCTCTTATCCGGTTCCCCCAGCTCATAGAATGATTTCGCTGACCTCATGATCAGAGAAAGAATCGTGAAAGAATCATGTTCGATATAGGACCGGTCCAAGATCTCTTTCATGATTAAATCCGATTCAGATCCTGCGGACTTCTGAGAATCATACTCAATAGCATCCTCTTCCACAGCCCATAGAATTGGAGCTAAAACCTCATGCATGCCTTGTCGATACCCAACATCTTGATTAATTTTGCAAAAGACGAATAATATGTCTAGTAGCATCCGTTGTGTTTCAGGTCGACGGAAATACTCTTCCTCTGGCATACATCGCTGGACGTCTTGGTAGATTTCTGCGCGAATCTCTTCATCCTGTCGCATAGTATTCCAAGGGGACTGCAAATGTCAGTGACCGCATCATTTTATAGAATCATCCTAAGTGGGCTGACAACTTTGAAACACCTACATTCTTATCGTCATCTAAGGGATCCAACACAGAGCCAACTTCGTTGGGGTTTTCTATGTATCTCAACAAGTGCTCTCGGAGAGAAGTGTATGCACTTCTAGAGTCAACTAAGACTCTCGACCATCCCGTGACTTCTGTGCTTTGGAAGAGTAAAAAGGTCTAAGAAGTCGAGTCAGTCCGGGTCTTTCTTTAGAACCGCGATACTTGCCTTCCAACAAACGGAGCGAAGACCAGAAATACAAGGGTTGTCATCTCCATTCAGCCTCACGGACTTCTTGAGCTCGTTGAGGCTCGTAGCGTGCCTTGTTGTAACGTCCCATCGTTTTCTGGTATGAAGTTAGTAGAGGCGCCTAATTATTATCGTAGACTTTTCACCTTGATTCTTCCAACGACCGCATTACTACCGTCGTCTAAGCCGTAACCTGACCGTAACCTGAGCTAGAGAGCCTCGTAATATCCTTGACGTTGCGCCTTCGTCCAAACCTCCTTCTGCCTTGTTTGATGCACGGGCTTAGTGCGTCTCGGCACGAGCTAGCCAATAGGATTTAAGCTCAGCCTTCTCTACGAAGCAAACAACATCGATACTGGAAGGGAGGAAGGAAGCTATTCACAACGTGAGGATCCACGTTCCTGCAAACTCACATCCGGCACAGAGAAAGAGCGAAGGACCTGTAGGCGGCAATTGCTGGACTTATACTTTCCAGCAAGGCATTTTGAGGCTGAATCAAACGACCTCATAAGGTATTCATCTCGCTCAATTTCGAGACCCCTGGGAGAAAAGGAATTGCATTTTCAGCGATGCACCCCAACCATAGAGTGCACTTCCATGAGTGTCAACTCTACGATTTATACGGTGTTACCCGCGTATAACCTTCCATCATGTCGTCCGACCTCCTAGCCGAGTTTGACAGCTTCTACAACCCTTCTTCGAAGCCGAACGCTCCGGCGAACTCAACCCCTGCGTCTCACGATCTTTCATTCTTAAGCCATACGAATCTACAGAGTCAGAATGGACAGCAATCGCAGAGTCAATCTGCCCAGCCGAGCGGCGATATATGGGGAGGAATGACCAGTTTTCAGTCCAATGCGAACTCAACACAAGCAAACGCGGCGCGGGATGATATTTGGGGGTCTTTTGAGGCTGCTATCGAACCAGTCAAGCCATATACACAGAGTTTTGCTCCTTCAGCATCAAATTATGGAGCGTTTACCACCGCAAATAAAGGCCAGCAAAACCCTGGGATCGTCCGGAGACCGACGCTGGACTTATTTTCGAATAATGACCATCACGACTCATTCAATAGTATACCAGGACCAAAGGCCCAGCCACAACCTCCCATGCAAGCGGCTCCTCCCATATTTTCTCCCGGAGACGTTCTCTTTGATGCTACCGAGGAGTTGGAGGACGAGGATGATTTTGGTGATTTCGAGACTGTCACTTCTCCGGAGCCTCCACCACCGAAACCTCAAGTGCCAGTACAAACTCAGCCACCTCAGCCATCTCAGTCCCTAGATCTTATGTTTGGTGCAACGACATTGGAACCGAAGCCAACCAAAAGACCCAACAATCTATTACCAAGTAATCTAAATTCTGGCGGCTTGCCGTATCCCCAAGCACCAAAGTCACCTTCCTTCCAGGAAAGGAATCCATTTGGTAGCTTAGGGTTATCTATGAATCCTGTAACAGCAGTGAAGAAGGAAGAGAAACCTAAAACAGCTTCCCCAATAACAGCATGGCCATCATTCGCGCCTCCAGCACCAGAGATATACCGAGACTCGCCCGTCCTAGACAATCAACCAGACGATGACTGGGGCGATTTCGCCGACCTCCCTCCTGAGACCCCAGCTAAACCAACTGCAAAACCAGCTTCAGGAATCGAAGCAGATGCATGGGCCTGGGACGCCGCGGACCAAGTTACTCCTCCAGAAATACCCACAACTACAAGCACAGCCCCTCCACCACCATCTAACATTCCACCCCCCTCAGTCCTTCTAACCCTCTTCCCACCCCTCTTCGACCTCCCCCGCACCACGCTCTTCACCACCCTCTCAACCCAACCCTTCCCCCTCAAAAACCGCATCCTCTCCGACCCCTCCACCCTCACCTTCCTGCGCGCCTACCTCCTCCTCGCAACCGTAGCAGCCCACATAATAGCCGGGCGAAAACAGCGCTGGAAGCGCGACACCCTGCTCTCGCAAGCCATGAAAATCGGACCCTCCGGCGGGAAAGGAGGCATGAAGCTAGCAGGCGTCGATAAGGCGGAAGTCGTGCGCGAGGAGCGCGAAGCTGCGGATGTGGTGCGCATGTGGCGGGAGCAGATTGGGCGGTTGAGATCTGCAGTTGCGGTGGCAAATTCCAGTATGAGGGACGGGGGACCTCATTTGGATATCCCCGAGATCAGTGAGAATATGGCTGTGAGGGTGCAGGAACGGGGGATGACGGCGCCGAAGCAGTGTGTTGTGTGTGGGCTGAAGCGCGAGGAGAGGGTTGCGAAGGTTGATGTGGGCGTGGAGGATAGCTTTGGGGAGTGGTGGGTTGAGCATTGGGGCCACAGGGCGTGTAGGAATTTCTGGCTGGAGCATGAGGCGAAATTGAGGCATCGATGACTTGTGTCCCGCTCTTTTAACTCCGTGATGAGAAGATTTGTATACGTCTGTCCGCCTCCCGAGATGTTTGCATCTCATGGCGAAAGGGGTAGCACGAAGAAGAGCGAGACGCCCAAGGAAGGGTCAAAAGACTCCTGTTTCAGATAGAAGCACCCTCGAACCACGTGGGTCTAGGTACCGCCTTTAAGTTTCCATACCAACCAGACACAAGCAACGAAGAGTTATTACTTTGCAAGTACCTAGGTACTGGTATAGGAAACGTGGAAACGGTAAGGTCGGCCTTGTGGTTTCCGAATGAGAGATCGATGGATGAAGGTCGTACAAAGGAAGATAAGTCGAATATATCAAGTGGTTGATTCGCGTACTGTTTCTGCAATTGTGCTATGCTCGCCTTGTATGGGAACCTCTGGGTCCAATAGCTATGAACAAATGCCTTGTCAATTTTAGTGTTTATATTCTCCTCCAACGAATCTTTGAATGCAATGTATGTTCTTCAGGTTAATACTAGAATGCTGTGGCTAATATCGTACAATTCATGGTGTTCCCGCAGAGCAACTGTATCCGTATTTCCATTCCTCGATTCATATCATAGTGTAGCAACATGCCAAAATCGTGTCCACGTCTATGCATGCAAATCTTGAAGCCATCCATCATCGTTTCTGAAGCATATTTCACTCCTGTAGTATCCTCTCCCACAATCACTTCCTAGCAGCCTTTCCCTTTCCTTTTCCCTTGGATTTGGAGTTGATATCATGTCCCGCAAGCATCTTGTACTTGACTTCTGGCACATCAAGATCGTGGCTGCCGACCATTAGCAATAGTCTCTTGGGATTTGCGAGAAATAGGGGTCTTATACTCATCATAAGCGCCGATCAGATTCTCCGAGATTATCTCGTCCATCTCGTCCGGCTGGTCAACGAATTAGTTTGAGCTTTTCCTAAATTGCCTTGAGAGTTGAGAGCAGAGAGCCAAGCTCTTTAGGCGTGCTCAGAACTCGCGTTGCATAGATCAAGTTTGACATACCCATAAAATATCCATGTCACTATCATCAATATCGGGGTCGTAGAAGGTAGTCAATGTACAATCAGCTTCTCTCAGCTTGACAAACATAACATTCTTATGTTTCATGGCCTGCCCGCCCTCGAAATTAGCCATGTTCATTTATAGGTAGGAATTCCTCACATCTGGTCTCTCCATCGCGAGTGTAAGGGTCTTGAGAGAACGAAAATCCATCAGGACGTGACCGTTGCAGAAAGGCTTGAAGTTCCACACATCTTGCGACATTCCCAGGAAGCAGATCTTCGAGAGCTCACTCTCTGGCACGTCACGGATCAGACCAGAAAGAGTGAAACCTTTGTCAAAGTTGATTTGGCCGAAATAAATGATATCTCTGTTGAAATCGACATAAATGCGTGGACTTTGGATATGGCTTCTCATTCCAAGCTCGTAGTGGAGTACAGCCACAGCACGCGACTCCTACCTTCTAGTCAGTGGTGCTTATTTTTGAAATAGGAGAGGCCCTCAAGGTCTCCGAATGCTCGAAACATTAGAAAGGGATCGATCTCGCTTACATGGCATGTGTGGAGCATCGCTGGCACCGGTGTTGACGAGTCGAAGGTCGTGCCGAGGAGATGGGAAGAGTATTGTGACGGAACATGCTTCACCTTGACCTGAATGACACGGGCTACAAGTTTTACAATCAGCAAGAACCTATATGCACCTCGAAAATTCCAAGAAATTGAAAGTAGCATGCAATCAAGATGGGGATGTGCTTACGGCCAGGAATTGCGTGTTTCCAGATCTTTGTTCGCAATTCTGGCGGAAGCTTTCCAAACAAGTGAAAGGCCGTTGGCTTATTGAAGGATAAGCCAGCCATCTTCTTTGCCCCTCCGAAGCGTGAGAGCATTCTTGGTCGCGTGACAAAAGGAATTGTTGGTGGTGATCTAGGACGGGTGGAGGCTTCACCTACAAGGAACCATGAGTTAGCTTTACTTCAAGGATTCCCAGGAGCCGTCAGAGAGTATTGGAGAGTCTTTGAGATGTCTCTATCATCCTACCTGATTCTCCCCTTTCTGTCTTTTCCGTAATGATCCGGGTGTCGCTACGAAGCAGTCTCTTGCTCTCGACATTGGTTACGCCGCTAGTTGTTGGTTCGTTACCACCGGCATTTGTAGATGAGGTCTCTGGAATGTCTCGAGCGCTGGCGACTTCCTCGGACTTATTTCCCTATCATCCAGAGTCAAGAGTGCTTCACAAGGGAGATGTGCATTTCATACCTTAGCTGCGCTGCCTCCACGGGACTTTAGACCAGCCATCGGGACATGCGGTTGCTTCTAATGACAGAAGTCGTGTTTGTATACTTCTGTGTTAAGTTTGGAAGATGTGAGGGTGGAGTATTTTGAAGTAGCTTGAGTTGAGTTGGGATGGACGAGGAGGAAGGAGCGACGCAAGTATACCCGAGCCGCCTCTTTTGATGTCAATTCACTTCAATCGTGGGTCATGATTAACCTAATGTAGAAGAATCTAGTAAGTAGGTATGTAGGCAAACAATTGTTTCTATTTTTCTTATTGCTTGTTGTCAGACAAAGAGCGGCTCTCTGACTATTGGCGCTTTCTCTTTGCAGCAGTTAGGAAAGGGGCACAATAGTTTGCTCAAGCTGGGAAACAGAAACAAGGAGATGAATGTATTATTGTCGAGAGCATTCCAGTATTCCACTAGACAAGCTGGTCATTTTTAATTGCTTCTGCCCCTATCTCGGCTTACAACTCGAAGGTACTATAGGGAAGCTCCTTCCTTCTATTGATAGTTAAATATTTATTGTCCAAAAGTCATGTTTGAGAAAGCCCCAGCTCTCCATCATCATCAACATTATCATTGATTCCCACCTCCAATGCTATTTTCACGATGACTGAGTCCTGCATAAAGTTCAGTGTGGATGATAGTCGGTTTCCACAGAGTAAACCCCGTAAACACACTGTTTCCGACCCTGGCCGCATAGAGAACAGTCCTTTCAAGACCATGGAGACGACCACTGTGTCAACCGTTGTGACGACCGCTGCGACGATCCAGAATAGTGTACAACAGGAGCCAGAGAAGGGTGCAGCCTCTCCAAACAGTTCACTTGCGACTCATGAGTCTGGTCCGGAACCAGCATCAACACCAGATTCGATAGTTACCAATCCTTACGATGGACTCACACCATTTCAAAATTTGCAGTTGCGGCCTCACCCAAACCTAACGAGCAACGCTCAAGAGAATGCACCTCCGGTTCTCCACCTTCCAGACCAGCTCAACCCCTACGTCGATCCACGCCTTCTCCCGATTAACACTTATAGGGATCATCAAGGGTAGATTCTCTTGCCGTTCTTCAAGCGCGTCTCCTGACAGAAAACACAGCTACTTCACATGGAATCCGAGTTACGTACCGGAACCAACTTTGAAGTGAGAGCCAGGTAGTCCTATGGATATTGACCTAAGAGAACCATTCCAATTATCAAGGTGGAAGCTGACATTTTGCAGCCCTAGAGCGGAGACATTCCAGCCACGATGCTACAGTCCAGACTCGACAGCGCGCAACGCTGCTGCGCTTGCCTGGACGGTTGAGGGGGCCCGCCGAGCACGTATAACACCCAACGGGTGTCACGATCTTCAATACTTGTGATTGACCTTATGGTCCGGGAATGAGAGATAGGCGGGAATCAAGGGCAACCAGGCACTCATTTCATAGCGAAAGCTACCCTTCCACAATCCTGAGAATCTTTGGGCTAATATAGGGCTTACAGATCACGAATAAGGCACACGCCACAAAGCGGACTGGGTCACGTATCGGCAAATTCAAGTTGAAGCGATGGAAAATGTGTAGAAGGGTAGGTGAAGGTCTCAGAACCGCTAAGAGATTATTACTGATCAAGTGTAGAGGAACTGGCGCGAAAGAAGGTCGCCGAGTCCAGGTGGTGGAGGTGCAGATTCAGATGCTGGTGCTTTTGGAACATGAAATTAGACGGCGTGCGGTAGTCAGACTGTTAGTCTAGCATATTTAGGAAAGTAAACATGCGTTACCACTGAAATTGACAATCTCAAGAATTCCCAACTAAGCATAACCTTTGATGTCTAGCACTGGCTAGGGACCATCTATATTGGAAGTCTAGCACACGAACACTAATAGCAGTACTATAAAGGGCAATGAGGCTGGCAAGTAAGTTAAGCGAACCCCTTTTGTGATAGCATATGTATTTCTGCATACTGCATTCGCATCTATGAGGGCAATGCTACAGCAATCTACGTCCCCTCAAGTAAGGAGTGATGTTTCCTAAAACCGTGCCCCTATCTAACCGTGCCACATGCCCTTCCTACTCCATAACCTAAACCGATGCCGATGCATGAATTATCAGATAGAACTCCCGAAACATAAGATGACAGAAACTCGCAGCGAAATCAAAGCGTACGTAATCGTCCATCACATAATCGCACAACCATTGCTCCGCGCCCTTCTTCGGCGCCCAATACCACCCATCCCTATACCCCCTTCCTCCTCATCAGCATGCAACATCTGCGCCTCCCTGGCTCTTCGCCTGCGTCGTCTGAGACCCGCACCACCAGCACCAGCCTCCTCGTTCGCCATCATATACTCCGTCCACTTCCTTTCCAGCCTCCCCGCAGCAGGCAAATCTCCCTTCAGAACACGCGTCATGTGCTCATTAACTGTCATTTGCCAGCCATAAAAGCACTTCATGCCAATAATCTCTGTCGGGTATGTGACATCCTTCTGCGTAGCCGTCGGCTTCCTGACCTCGGAATTGCGAGACAGCACTTCGCGGATGCCTGTCCAGGTCACGTTCTGGCAGTCGAAGACCACCATGCGGAGCCCGACGCGGGGACGGGATCGCGCGCAGGTTGTGCGGGAGGAGCGCGTGCGGATCATGGATGCTGCTTCGGTCAATACGAGATCCGAGATCTTGGTGTTGTCCATGTCGATGTTGCGCAGGTTACTGCAGGCGCGGATAACGGGGATCATTCCCGTGTCCCCAAGGTTCTCGCAGTAACTGATGGATAGGTGCTCGAGGATGGGCGCACAGGGGGCTTTGGCTAGGTGCTCGAATAGGAGAGTGTTGCTTAGCTCCGAGAGCTCTTCGAGGTCGAGATGTGTGAGGCGGGGGGTGGTGGCTAGGAGGTCGATGAGAGCGTTGTCAGTTAGAGAAATACAGCCGCTCAGTTGGAGACCTTCGAGATCTGGAACCATGTTTGCGAGAGTCTTGACGCCGCTGCTGGTGAGGCTAGTGCAGCGACTGAGATCGAGGTGGCGGAATCGGCGAAGTGGGACCATGGGAAGTTCAGTGAGTATGTCCATCTCTGGATCTTGGCCTATCAGCATGGTCTGAAGAGCTTCATCTGTGAGGTCGGTACAGCCGCTGAGAACTAGTTTCTGTAGCCTGTTGCTCTCAAAGATATCTTGAGCTAGTTCTAAACTGTTGAATCCCCTGACTTCACCTGCGCGAAGATCCACCAATTTTGGGCACCCTTTAATGACTGTCCTGATTCCCTTAGCATCCATATGAGTACACCATGAAATATTAAACATTTCCAACGATGGACAAGACTGGGCTATAATTTTACAAGTTCCGTTGGTGACCGCCGTGAGTCCAGTGAGGTTTAGATTCGTCAATCTCTCATTGCTTTTGAGAAGACTGTGCAGCGTCGACCTTTGGAAGTTCCGGCACCCTTCCAGAGTTGCATTGATGAGATTCTTGCATGCCTTCACCACCATCTCTGCCCGCTTATAATGTTCGACTTGGACGCAACCTCGCAGATTTAGATCCTTCACAAACGGGCCAGCCGCAACAATGATTTTGGCCAATGATCCCGCTGGAATGTCCTTATAGAACTCGGAGGCATCGAAACTTGTCCAGAGTTGCCCATCAAAGCAAACCCTGTGAAACGTTTTGCTCACAACAGAAGCCCGTACCAATTCTTTAGGTTCGAGATACGAGAAGATGGATAATTTAATCTCATGAGGCATTTCTTCCCAAAAATTAAAATTCGTCCGAGGTGCTCGTTTCACCTTTACTACCGGCATAGAAAAATAGTCTTCTAGAATCTCTGGCATGGATGACTGTGGTTGAAAAGGTATAAGTCCTCCCCTAGAGTGAGGTCTCATGTCTGAGGGCAAGGCGCTTGTCGGGGTTGAATTTCCTGGCGTCACAGAACCTTGTTCCTTTCTCCGAATAGCAATTCGACTAAAAGAGCCATCGAAAGAAGGCGTATCGACTCCAGGTGTATTGGGTACGGAAGTGGGAACGGTGGAGTACCCATCTCTAGATGATTGCGAGGAGTACGAGTTGTCATAGTTTCGTGGAGAGCTTGCGGAAGCTAAACTTACGCAGGACAGTGTGTTCCTGCTACCGTATGGATTGCTTGAAGCCTTTGGCCGACCTAATTGTGCTAGAGATGGGGAAGAGGATATTCGTTGGAGGCTCTGCAAAAGCTTCGCTCGGCCTCTCAGCTTCGGAGATGGCTCAATCGCAATGGCTTCTGAGTGTTCGACGGGTATTGCCGCAGGTCCTTCTGCCTGCAGAATCATGTCGGGCAAAGGGCTTTCCATGGCTGACAACTGAGCGCGAAATGGTGTCTGCACTTGTTTATTGTGATTGCGAATGCTGATGTGATGCGTGGACGCACCAGGCTTTTAATGTGTACTGGAGGCGGGGTCAAGCCAGGGTTGCTTTTGGCGCGAAATCCTATTGATCCTGACCGATGCAAGGCAGGGGCTTCGTTGAAAAGAGGGGTGAGTGAGGTCGGTAATGAGATAATGCCTCAAAGCCAGGAGGTGAAGTATCGCCTTTGGTCAAAGAATGGAATTATATTCGAGAGGGAGAAGGGGAGATGGAGAATGTTGGTGGTTCGATGCTTGCTCTTGCTCCTCGGCTTTCGAGTCGGAATTTATTGACAATAAATGTACCGCTCTTATCACCACTCAACATTAGCTTCGCGTCCTGACACCTGGTAAATATATATGTGAATATATACAACCATAGATCATAATGCAGACGGAAAATTAGAAGGGCAAATACCTTAATGATCACTTGCCACCGCAGGCCAGGCAGGGTTCAGAGTGGGAGAGAGAAATGGAGGTTTTAAACATGTCTTGTATTCCAGTCCAGGTTGTTTCGTTATCTCTTATCGATAAGACGGATTGCCTTGACTTGAGTGATAAAGGGGCTCACGAGGCCACAACTTCTTATCACACGGCAACTGCTGATGGATTCTTTCAAGACAAGACTGGCGAGACTGGTAGAAAATGAAGAAAAAGGTTGTCGGGAATTTAATCGGCTTGGCTTGTTTATCCATCCAGCATTGTTTCCGCCTTCTACGCTCCGTAGTATGCAGGGCCCCTTCTGCACCCACCAACGCTATTTCACTCTAAGAGGCTCGACGGCTCGAGACACGAGAGCACCCATCTCCATCTTCTCCTCTTGTGCTGCCGCTTTGTACCATCCCATCTTCCATCATATAGATATGTGTTAACCCGAACAAGTAAGGCATCTTCATTTATCCAATAATGCTTTGGACCCATCCGAGTCGATCACTGTGGGCCAAATGCTTGACGCTGAAATAGCGGGGTGTCCGATGAACAGTGGGGTCCGAACCCAAGGCCCAGGGCGAGGTACCTATCTAGGCTAGGTATATACCATGCCGTAGAGTACAGTCTCGGCCATAGATGTCCTACAACGCGACGCTATGCTCAGCTCGCGTAGCTGAGCCAGACAAAGAAACGTACAGTAAGGGTCCAACGAGAAGATATCTCAAAAAGCAGCGTTGTAAACGGCGCTATATCGGTCTTCTACAACCTTGCCTTGCCTTGCGAGTGAGTGCCTGAGCTGATCATCCGGCGGGAGTAGCCCACACCATGATATGGTCTCCTACAACGATAAGGGACCCTTGGTGCTTCAGAAACATTGTGTTAGGTGTAGTGGATCATGTGTCAGGGCGATGGTGAACAGTCATCAAGATATTGCACAATTCTTTGAAGTATTATCAGTACAAATGCATGCTCTCTGCGTAAGAAGCGGCATACTCCAAATTAGTACATTTAGCCGGCCGACAATGTAAAAATAGGGTTACCCCACCATACGGTAGTAGATACCAGAGATCTTCCGAGTTCAACCCCAAAGTGCCTTCCTATGTACTCGTGTACTGCTTAATTCGATTCTAAGCATCTTGGCTTATCCTGTTCCCTCTCTTCTACAAGATTTACTATTCTGATGTTTTGAGGATGAAGCCCGAATTAGGATCAGTGCAATCGCAGTGGCTAGAAAGAGAAGCTATAAGAAAGCGGTGTACTTGACCTACAGACTATAGTAGAGACGCTCTTAATCTTCAGCTTCAGCGTATCTTTCATGTGAACTTGGCTGGCTTGCCTTTGGTCACAAGCTTCGCAAACACATGATTTGCTGAAAGAGAGGTCATACAGATGTCTTTAATTCCACTCCCGGATGAAAGCCGAATCATTCGCCAGCCATGTAATTCAAAGAGGTGTGAGACACAAGGTATAGAAGAGGCGTACAGTAGGGCTGGAGACCAACCACCTTCTAGGTATCACAAGATGCCCGATATGAAGAGCATGTACTCACACAGCAAAGCACTGTGTCTTGTCGTAGACTAGCCACCATGAATCCTTGATTATGGTGGACATGAAAAGAACGATGGAAAGTACAAAATATGTAATGACTCGTGATAGACTCGCAAGATCGGTCTCGATGCCCAAACAAACGCGGGGCGGGCGGGTACTCCGGTATCAAAACGCGTGCCACTCCCGCAGCCTTGAGATGTAAATGTTCAGTGCTGACCAAAATGTGCATCGGAATAATATATTCCAGAACGAAAAACAAAAGGTTCGAAATCGAGAAACCACAACACGATTGTTATTGTTGCTTAATTGATTCTAACTTGGGAAGAGTACGGGAATGGATGTTGTTTACCTGATTTGCAAGTACTGTACTTGTCTCATGATTTCCGGACTCCTAAAGAAGCCCGCCCGCACTTGGGGTTTCGGCGGGGTTGAAATTATTATATAATATTTCCCAGCTTACCCAAGCACTAAGTGAACGAATGAATCAAGATCATTATATCTCTGCTTTCACGTACAACTTTTATCTTCCATAAGCACACACTATTATCATCTCAAAGACGCGGGCATGTATTCCCCGTAAACTCCAGTTGTGTGGCGTATCACAAATCCCCGAGAGATCCTACACCCTTCAGCCCCACTACCAACCAAGCAATACTGTATTACACCACACCACACCCCAGAGTCCGAGATTTCTTGCGACAACCTTTCGGATACCGAGCAACGCGTACCATTGAAGGAAACGCGGACGACGAGATTGATACATATAGATTATTTCGAGATCTACCCTCCATTAAGTTGTAGCCTTGCAGCAGAAGCCGGATCTTTTCGTCCTCCCCGCACCACTCAAAGCCTCGATCTCCCCAGAGATTTCCCAGTCCAAACGAGTCATCTGCCAACGTACCACGAACATCGAGTATTGAGGACAGAGGACCCGACGTGTCCAAGTATGCTGGAGTCAGATGGCCCACCCCATCAAAATGGTAAGCAATTTGTCTTCCTTTTGACCTCTGCAAACATCCTCACTGGACCTCGTACCGAGACGAGCAAGCGTGATGTCAGGTCAGACAGACACGCCATCTGGTGAACCAAGACACCCTCCCACTACTTCGTGATGATGATAGATATGCGTAGTGGCTGATCCGGATTCTATACAGGCGACGACATATATGAAAACACGACCAGAGGCCGGAAAACCGAAGCGCCCGGCGAGCTTCTTATTCCCAAAAATCGAAGCACAGGCAACCTGCTTGCGTATGGCCACAAAGGAACAGAGAAGGCTCGAATACGCTTCTCATTCGATGCAGGACCGTCAGCTGCAGAATATGATAACATCTCGAGGTTAGTTATAGTTGTCTCGACTTTATAATACAAGAGACATGGCCTTCTTGTCCCTCATGGCCCAAAATGGATTGCATATGGCAACTCGCAGATAGCTGATTGTGTTCTTCTCTCAGATCTCCTATCATGACAGAGCACGAGCATGGCCTCGGAGCATCAGGGCTTAGGCGTATTCGACAACAACCCCCCTCCCGAGTACCAACTATTCCTTCTTCTGAGGTCTCTTCTCGGAACCATTCAGTCGGCCCCCGATCAAGTTCCATGACCTCGTCCTTCCCCAACTCACGCTCGGGATCTCTGGCACCAGGATCATCTTCGCCTACTCTTAACTTCACCGAAGACTTAAGTCGATTTCCTTCCGAATCTCTGCATTCATTCTCCTTCGCCCATCAGTCCGAAGAAGCCATTCATAATCGCCAAAATGTATTGAAGAGGTCTGTGGAGTTCATGTCCCAGAAGATGGGGTGGGTGAATACAAACGCTGGCATAGCAAGCGCTCAAGCGCGGGTCAGCGGAGACCACGATATGCAAAACATGTTGGATCTGTTGGCAAGGGCAAAACTTGTAGGGGCAAACAACATTTCGGGTTCTGGCCAAGCAGCTTTTGCAGGCCCACTAACTGGACCTGCAACAGCCGAAGACGCTGCAAACATTTTTGATACTAGTTTTTTCTCTCGTTCAGATAGTCCCAATATGTTTGAAAGTCCTCATTCATCGCCGAATACCCTGCGAAAGCCTGTTCTTGCGGTCCAAACCGTCCCTGAAGACACAGTACAGTTAGACGAGCCAAAGAATGAGATGGAGACTTTTTCTGAGCCAAATTCCGAGCCTTCGTCTAGAACCCAAACCAGCGGAAGCCGGACAACCGCAAAGACTTCACCTCCAGTCACTCGGCGGCAAAGTCTCAAAAGAACATATACAGACACAGCACCTTTGACTTTAAAGAACAAACTCATGGACGCTTTAGCACAACCATTCATAGCTAATGATGTTTTCCACGAACCAATTCTGTCCCCTTCAAGTCCTCCGTCTTCTTTTGGGATGTCTGGCCCTCATCCTCTTGGCCCCGCTGTACATGGTCATTCAAGTCGATGGGCTCCCGCAGCGCAGGCCATATTTACCACAGACAGTACTGCACCGTATACGGTGCTAGCAGCGAATGATCTCGCTTGTCTCGTCTTTGGTGTTACAAAGGCAGAAGTGCGGAAAATGGGCATATTGGAAGTAGTACAAGAGGAGAGGAGATCTTGGCTGGAGGAAAAGTTGCGCTCACCCGGAACTGTTTCTGGACTGCCGTCGGGGAAACAAACTCCCCGTTTACCTGACGAAAGTCAGAGCCAGCATACAAGCCCAACCTCAACAACCTCTTTCCTCCTTGGGCGAACTGGAGTCACGGCTAGTCTTCTCAACAGGCCAAACTCTCGACAGGCCCCCAAAACGCCTCGTAGGGCGCAAACTGACGATGGCGCAGGCTCTAGTATCGTCGCAAGGACGAAGGCTGTCAAGGGAGGTCTATATCATCCTAGCAATAAGTCCCGGGGCGTCTTACTCTGTGGCGATGTAGTACCTATTCAGAAGAGAAATGGAGCAACCGGTTCGGCAAGCCTATGGGTCAAGGAGAAAAGAGGAGGTTTGATTTGGGTCCTCGAGGAGATTCATGAAGATGTGTCTGTCCTGAGTCTTGATGATGATGCCCAAGTTACAAAGATTACTGGCGCCACTGGCCCAATCTGGGGTGAAAATATCACTCGAGTTGGAATGGACATCGGAAAGCTCTTACCAAGAATACCCCGACAAGGAATCGACTCCAGAACGGGTGAGATTGATTACGCAGAAGTCGCAAAACGCAGATATTTTACAGCTCGTAACTCGGGGCGCGTGAATATTCCTTGTGCGGTTGATAGGGTCCCAGGTGGTACCGATCTGCGTGTCTCTAGCTTCCCACACATCGCAGGCATCATGGTCCTTTCAGCAAAAAGTTTAGAGATTACAAGCTCCAATTCTGTCTTCTCCGCCGCATTATTTGGGCAAGAAAAGCCCGACGGGCGCCCAATTACCGACCTCATTCCTGACTTCGACCGGATCTTGAAAATTCTAACCGATGAGGATGGCGTGCGTTTAGTTGATGGCATTGTTGTACCCGAGCATAGTTTTCGCCGTGCCCGAGCATTCTTAGCTGTACGAGATGGAAAGGCAGATGCCGCATCATACTTTCTACGACCTGATGGCCTCCCTGCTAAGCATAGAGACGGTTCAGAAATCAAGATCGATGCGCAGCTGAGGGTCGTGAAGTCGGATTCCAACAAGCCTGGTTTCGACGAGAATGTAATCGAGGAAAGAATCGATGAAGAGGAGGATCATAGTGGATCGAAATCAGAATCATCAGCGGAACTTGTTTACGCTCTATGGATTACTTACTCACGCCATATTCACGCCAACAGAGAGAACCTTGGCGCCGCTTCACCACTGCTTTCGGGTTGGCAGACTCCTTTACATCAGCCTTCTCCCGGACAGACCGAAATTGCTACTCCCATGGAGATGGACTCAGATGAGCCGAAGAATGAACCGTCTCATGCTTCTCTACTTACTGCTCATCTCAAGGCTGCCGCCATAAAAACTGCCGCCAAGATCACTGGGCGCGAGCCCCCAGCCCCCAAGGAAGTGAAAGAAAAGGACATCGTACCAAAAGTTGTCGAGCCAGTTGAGAAAAAGACAATCGATGACTTTGTCATTCTCGAAGAAATGGGTCAAGGTGCTTATGGGCAGGTGAAACTTGCAAGATACAAGAAGAACGGCAATCGTAAGATGGTTATTAAGTATGTTACGAAGCGACGCATCCTCGTAGATACATGGACTCGGGATCGGAAGCTAGGAACTGTTCCCCTGGAGATACACGTTCTTGACTACCTGCGTCGGGACGGACTTAAGCATCCAAACATTGTCGAAATGAATGATTTCTTCGAAGATGATGTTAATTACTACATCGAAATGATACCGCATGGATTACCTGGGATGGATCTCTTTGATTATATCGAACTTAGAGTCAACATGGAGGAGAACGAGTGCCGCAGCATATTTGTCCAGGTTGCAAAGGCGATCCACCATCTGCACACGAAAGCCCTTGTGGTCCACCGCGATATTAAAGACGAGAATGTAGTTTTAGATGGGGAAGGAAATATCAAATTGATTGATTTCGGGAGCGCTGCGTATATCAAGAACGGGCCCTTCGACGTCTTTGTTGGTACAATCGGTAAGTGGCTCTTTATACAATGCATCAAAATCGAGCTAACTTTTGGCAGATTATGCAGCCCCTGAGGTCCTAGCTGGCAAGCCATATCGGGGTAAAGAGCAAGATGTCTGGGCTCTGGGGATATTACTTTACACCATCATCTACAAGGAGAACCCATTCTACAGCATTGACGAAATCATGGACCGCGATCTCCGAATCCCATACATCATGAGCGAGGACAGCATTGACTTGATCCGCAAAATGCTAGATCGCGATGTGTCTTCCAGAATCACGATCGAGAAAGTGATAGAGCACCCTTGGTTTTCAACCGACGAAGATGATTGAAGGATATTGAGGAGCGAAACATTCGAGCTTCTCATGAAGAGACGCAATACACCCACGCACCAAATATAGGTACATATACGCACGAGTCCGTGAGGCAGAAAGCCTAAGAGATGAAACCCGCGAAAGAGATAGATATCATGAGTACAGGATAGGAGGTTTTTGGATGATACCCGGAGGAAAGAGAGAGGAAGAGACTGCGTGGGATGGATCCAGGATTATACCACTAAAGTTGAGCGCTGATACCAGATTTTTATCGTGTATATGAATGATGTTTTAGATGGAATTACAGGGCGCCTGGCGTACGGTCATTTTGGGATACAGATCCGAACTTTCTAGAAAGGAGCCCCCGGAAGTGGGCGTGCTCCATCCAGTATTATTATTATCAATAAATACACTAGTATTGGAAGCAAAGTTTGTGTTAGATCAAGCTGAACACTATGTCGAAACAGAGGTCTCCCCTAATGTGCAAAATCTCAGCAGGAAGAAATAGTGAACCATGTATTCATCAAGCTCAAATTCTCTCATTGTCTAGCCAAACGAGTGGACTTGTAACTTAATATAGTTTACTTTATGGCTATCTAATTTATTATCTATAATATATAATAGATTATAACGATTTAAAGTGTCTTATATATTTAATTAAAGATCTAAAATTCCAAGTTTAAAATCCTAAAATCGCTGATGTTGTCGGAGTGTAGTTTTCGCTTACTGTACGTACAGTACCATTTAGCAGACCAGACCCCTGGCTCGTTTCCCAGAATGATGCAAAATTCCGAGGGAAGCCCTGGAAACTGCCCAGAAGCAATTGCATTAATGTACCTCGCCCCGCAGTGCTGTGTACATACAGTAAGCTCGTAAGGTAACTCCGCCACCACAACTTATCCGGATTTTCTTGATTGCAAGAGTATATTTAGATGCCTTACCTCCTGTTGACCTTTTGTTATTATACCTAGAACTCGGTTTGTTTGATACCGTCCGGTCAGTTACACCGTTACACCAACCACCCTCCTTGCCAGATTCAAACTAACATTATACTTTAGTCAACTCCTCAGCCTTGCCGAGTATGGCATCTTCAGAGTCGCCAGTAACATGGCATGTTTTATTCTGGCTTCTTACTAGCCTAGCAATCAACTCAATGGCCCAACCCCCCACAAAACTATATGGGTCCTCACGTCGCTACCGGCTTTATCTGTCCAGCTCCCCCATAATCTGCGCAGCTGACGCAGTGTCCTTTATTGTTTGCATTGCCAGCACGATGTTGTACCTGAGGACCAGCCCGAAGAAAGCCAGCCAACTAGTCAATCTACTTAAGTCAGACGGTTTGTCGACGGAGAAGCCAGCTGAGGACCCACAGAATCATACCTGGCCCCGGTGGCTCTTCTTCATTATGGGAACGCTCCCAGCAGCTATAAAACTTGGCTCCTTCACTGGGGTTCCGTGGACACAGGCATTTTGGAATGATGTTCGTAGCATCTTTCACAACAATAGAATTGTTTACTTTGCTTTCTCGGTCTGCTGGGGACACCGCGTCTGTCCCTGCGATTCTGGGATTCAGCGCATTCGAGTGGGAAGAGGCTCATCATGAAAACCTCCGCCTCAAGACCAGCCTATTGGCCCGCAAGATGGCAGCCTTTAACGTTACGCTCTTCGTTTTTGCTCTTATCGCCCACATGATTCTGATAGTTTGGACCATTCAGACACTCTGGCTCGCTGGGCTGCAACCAATATATATTTCGTCCTCCGCGAGTCATATGGCCGACTGGATACAATTATGCATCTATGGTTTAATTTCGCTACTAACTGCTATACTATTGGTGCTTAGATGTTCAGGTCATGATTACAACATTATCATACACCGGATCCTCAAAACCTCGTTATTATGGATGCCGAAATTTGTGTTATTCTTCTGCCTTGTCCCAAAGTGGGGAAAAGGTCCCCCACCATCACGTTTTAACAGCTGGGCGGATGTTATAAGTATATGGAGCTATATGGGAGTTTTCTTTTTATGTGTATTTCCGGGGAATGAGTTCGGTTTGTAGACGTTGGCCAGATGTTGGTGAGGCGCTGTTGATTACTCGGGAGCCTCGAATTGGAGAAGAACTTGAGCAGCCAGCTCAGTCCGGATCTGAAGCCGCTCATTCCTCAGTCGAAGAGACGCTAATAGAGGAAGATGCGTGGATATCATTTTGTTTCTTTCTTATCAATCTAGTTGTATGCCTTTTATGGTATGCATTCATGTATGATTCTACAGGTATGGTTAACCCTTCTTGGACAGACGTCTTCGGGTAAGCTCGATATAAAAGGGCACTTGGGAGCCAGGCATACAAGAAAAGACTCTACTGAAGACGTTAAAGTATTCTTGGACTAGAACAGAGAAAACAAGAGTTTTGACTTTGCATGTGAAAAGAGTGGTCTCATATGTCCGTCCTAAGTAAGATAAGTAAGAAGGTATTAATTGATATCAGAATATAATGCTCTACTATATTTCGTGCATAAAACTCGCTCTCTCACTTATTATTGCTGTTAGACAAGAACCAATATATGAGATCTATAGCAGGTGAAAGTAAAACAAACCTTCGAAGAACTAGATTATGAGCCGTGGGTAGGCACTAAAGTCGGCATAGAAATAGGGGGGAGTTAGTGCTACCCTTCAGCCAATCAAAGCCCAAGCATGCCACAGAATCACGTGTCAGCAATAACCACCATGGTGAATGTTGCACATGGCATTTCTTTGTTCGACCCTCTGCCAATCCGCAGAACGCTCAATCCCATCACTCACCACCCTTTCTTCCTCTCCAACAGACCCAACAAACATCTGAAATAATGGCAATCAAACAGCAAGCATCCGGCCTCATCGCCTACGCGCAATCCCTCGTCGACCGCATCATCAGCCCTTCTACACGCCAGAACCTGTACAACAGCAGCATCAGCTTTGCGAAAGAACAGCCTCTTTTAGCCGTATGTCTGTTCCTTTCTATTAATCTCAATCAATCAATCAATCAATCAATCACCAGTAATCTAATTATCTCTTCGTAAACAGTCCTTCCTAGCAATCCAACTATCCCTCTCCCTCACACCCCTCCTCCTCTTCACCTCCTTCGTGCTCGGCGTCCTCTCCCTCTCGCTCATAAGCGCGCTCCTCTTCTCGCTGTTCTGGATCGGTGTCGCGCTCCTCTTGCTCGTGCCGACGCTGTTTGTCACGGTGTCGCTGGGACTGATTGTGTGGATCTGGGCTGTGAGCAGTTTTGTGGTGGTCAGATGGGTATATAATCTTGTGCCGGTGAAGGGCGCCGGGAAGGTGGAGCTGGTTAATGGGAAGGTTGTCAAGGTTGAGAAGAGGGAGGGGGAGGCGCCGAGGGGGGAGGTGAAGAATGGGGAGTATTGAGGTTGGGGGAAGCGAGATACTTGAGATGTAGGAAAGGATGGAAGGGATAAAAAGGAGGGCGTGATGGATGGATGAAATGAATATACTTTTATGGAATGCGGGAAATGGGAATTGGGACGGCGCAGAGGAATATAACGTTGCTATTTCAACGGGCGTTCTTCACGGTATAAACGAACACGGTACTGGGAAAGGTAAGAAAATACACATCACAAGTAGTATTATGTCATCATTTCTTTACAGTACAATCAACTCGGAGCCCTGCAACACAGTTTCGTGCGTACGAAGTACAACCGGGTATGTTTTATCACCCCTGTTTTTTCATCATGTAACAAATTCATGTCAGCAGCCATGGGACATACGACATCAAACTCATTCATTCCTTATATATAGACATATATACAGCTTACCTTACCTTATACTATATATCAATTCCCTTAACAACCCCCCCCCCCTCTTTCAAGCAGAAACAAACAATTTCAAACCCCCAATAAATCGAGAACAAACAAACAAGCAAGCAACATGTCTGCCAGCAGAAACCCCGAATCCGTCAGCAACCAACCAGGGAGAATTCCACTCCAGCGTACGCCGCTCAGAGCCAATACGCATGACCACAAAAGGCGTAAGATTATCATCTCATGCTGCGTATCCAGGTCCCAACACGACCACCAGTTCAGCATGCTCCCGGCTTGAACGTCGGTAACGACGCCGCTCCCGAGTTCTCACTCAGCCCAGACGGGACAGTACTAGCACCAGCACCAGCGCCCCCAGAGAACACCTTCCAGCCCAATCCCCACACAGTGTTCAATCCCAGGGCAGGCCAAACAACCCCCGCATCTCGAAAGAGACTTGGACGTCAACCGAAGACAGCCCCTGGCCCTCAAACAAAACACGCTATATAAGACATACGGTCCCGGTCCTTGCTCACCGAAGTTCTACTGTAACCTACTTAGCGATAGGCAGGCAGCTTAAATCACACAATTGTAAATGATAAAAAAGGGGAGAGAAGAACTTACCTACTGTACAATCCATTGCAAGCCTCAATATAGAGTCAAAATCACGGATTCAAGCTAGCCGGTTAGTTGAAAGCCGACTTGAATAAAAAACTTATATTATTTCCCGCAAAGATCCTTTCTTTACTGTGCTAACAAACGTAATTGAAGACCTTTGATCGCGGGCCACCGCCTCCCTCCAACGCCGCAATAAATGCAATTTTCCCATTCTCCCATTCCAAACACAGCACCTAAACTAACCCAACCTAACCAGTCTTTGCCTTCTTCTTAGGCCTCTCCTCCTTATCACTGCCAGCCTCTTCCTCGTCGCTTCCCGAACTCGAATGATTGGAATCAAACTCTTCCGCGACGTCACTATCACTATCTGACTGGAAGTCCTCGTCCGCGCTCTCGCTGTCCTCATCCGCACTGCCTCTATCGGCGCGAGCAGCCACGACTTCCTCATCACTGCTGGCCAGCTCCTCTGCTCTCAGGGCTGCTTTCAGAATTGCAGAGCTATCTTCGTCCATCTCGTTCTTAACGCGTAGACCCTTGATTTTGAAGAAGTCCTCGAGGGGCTTCTGCTCTTCTCTGTTGATGTTGGAGAATTGCGACTCGCCTCCTTCTTTCATGTCGATCGTGATGTCGAAAGTGCGACTAGCAGAAACGGCACCGCCGACACGAGAGAAAATGACGGTTTTTACTTGCTCGTATGCGATGTAGGTTGCGGGCTTGGGGACGAACATGAAGGCTTTCTCTAGGCAGTAGAGGAAACCTTCGCTAGCCTTGATGGAGCACTTGATGCCGAATTGTTGGTGATGGCTAGGGTTTTGTTAGCTTTGCTATATGTAAAGTTGGGGATTTCTCACCTCAAGAAGTCCTTAGCAGGTTGGTTGACCTTCTTTCCTGCAAGACCACGGAATACTTGAGTGACAACTTGATGTAATGGCTGTTCGTAACGTGGCAGCAGCTTGTCCTTGTACTTCTCGTTCATCAACTCTTCCGTCATGTTCAGATCGATCGTAACCTCTTCGTCCTTCTTGAATTGCATGACCAAGAATGGATATCTCGTCTGACCTTGCCGCAGGGGAGGATCAAGACCAATACAGATCATAAAATGCAATTCGTCGGGCTTCGGGAGGATCATGAACTTCTTGATATGCTCGTACTGAATCTTGTAGTCGTATGTCTTACCACGCAATCGGAAGGAGTTTTCGTACATATCGATATCGAAACGGCCTCTGCGTCATGTCAGTAGATTCTAAGCATAGTCGAGAACCGTTAACGTACCTAGGAGTGAGATGCAGCACATCAAGGAAGGTAGCAAAGGTATCACCAGCAACTTCTCCGATCTCTGCCTTATCCATGAGAGTATCGTAGAATAGATTTGCCGCATTTTGCTCCTCCTCAGCTTCAGCATCACTAGGCGCATCCTCACCTTCCAAGGTCTCCTTTTTCGTCGTAGTACCAGGAATATAGAATCTCATCTCAACCAATTGATCCTTGCCGGCACCAGCCTTCTTGCCCTTTCCTCTTGCGCCACCCAATGCTCCATTGGTTCCCGTGTCGTCACCATTAGCTGGGAGTGAGAACTCAACCGCAACCTCGTTCTTGCCCGCTAAATTTGTATTCGAGATCTCAGAATAGGGGATTTCAAACGCGGGTCGGTTCTGGACGTTGAATGCAAGCTCTGCCTTTCCGAATTCACCTTTGCCCCAGTTCCAACCGCGAAGCGCATGCTCCTTGTGTTCGAGGTTCGTGCTGTACCAGTTCTTGAAGATTTTGCTCAGGCGATCGAAATCCTGCTTCTGTCAGATCCATATATGTAAAAAGTGGATTCGACTAACCTCTTGGGCGAACCCGTCGAGCTGAACGGTGCCTGAATTTCGAAGGAGAATCTTGACTTCATAGCCTTTCGCTGCTCGACTCCATGTTGCGCCACCGATGTTGCTGTGATCAAGGGTGAAGGTATCGCCGCCACCAGAAGGCTTCCATCCAAATCCCGAATCTGCGAATCGGCATTTACCTGACTCCTTGGATAGGTCAAGGTAGATATTGTCGAAGCTTTCCCTAGATGAAGCCATGGTGGTCAGCTTTTGATTTAAGTTGATGGACTTGGGTTTGCAGAAATAAGAAGAGATTAGGTCACAAAATTATAGTGTCTTACATTGTCATGGCGGTGAATTTAGCTGATTGAATGATATACTGGGTTTGAAGATGCGGGTTGCCGTCTAGAGGAAATGCGCGTAACAAAACGCGAGGTCTCTACGACACCGCGATTTTAGGCGTGGGAAGAGTGACTCTTGGCAGTGCATGTATAAAAACCACTTTATAATGTTACAACAAGCTACCCCACGACCTAACTTAACTAAATAGACTTACCAACTTATTTAGTTAAGTTAGTAAGTTAGGTAGTCAAAGATTTTGTTAATATAGAAAGAATCATAGTTTGCTTTAACCAAAATAACCCCCCCTGAAAGTTAGAGCCTTGTGCTTATTTCAGAGCTGGGATGTTTTCGCACAACAAGTCACAGTATTTCGCGGCGCTCCCAAAACCAGTCTAATAATGATATGGTTTGTTCAGATATAGGCATGCTATCATTAGTTTCTGCCGAATAATTACAGTTGGTCTGAACTCATCCATCACTCATGCGGTGGCATCACTCTCCCAATACTACATTCTCCACGGATCCCCGCATTGCCACTGCCACAAATCCAACACTCATCCCCCTCCATAAGCATGATCTCCCATCCACCCCGCCCAACAACCCGTCATCCAGCCCATAGATATTAAAAGAGAACAAGGATATTAAGAGACACGCTCTGCCTTGCCAGTAAAGCAATTGCCCAGTTCCTCCCATGAAAATGCACAATATCGTAACGCAAGGTAAATTTGAGACTAGCAAGCAAAGCAAGCTTGAAACATGATACCCACCCGAATCCCCAGAATGACGAGATCAATCCATTCATCCATTGTAATCATGCCGCTGAACTTTTCTTTTTGACCAAAAGGGAAATTGCATATAAAAGAGGAGAACGAGGTGTGACGAGAATGCATGCTGTGGGATGAACGGCAGCCGAAAATAGTAGGTAGAGTACAAGGTCTTGGTCTCGTGATGAAGAAAAAACCGTGGCCAAAGTATGTATGGTACATCGCCGAAGTCGCGGAATGGAAAACATGAGGGATGCATCGACGTTCTTGAGGATCGAGGGAAAAGATCACCAGGTTCATGCGGTTGCGACCTGACCCGCGCCTCGACCTCCTCGAGGAGTAGCAGCACCTCCACGACCACGGTTTTGTCCTCCAAAGTTTCCTCGTCCACCCTGGGATCCTTGTCGATCTTGGAATCCACCACGACCTCGTTGAGGGCCGCCACGTCCGCCAGCATAACCATTTCCACCATATGCATTGGCCTTTGGCTTGCGAGGCTCAACAAAGATGGCCTCCCCAGCGATTTGGTGTGGGTTGGCATTGGTTGCAGCTTGGTAGCCTTCGGGAGTCTGGTATTCAACAAAGGCACAGTTCTAGATGTATATTAGTCACTTTCAAATGAAATGGCACTGACTCTTTCTCACCTTTGTTCGGTTGATATCAAAGTAGATCAAGGCTCCATAGGCCTCCAAAGCAGATCGCAACTCCTCAGGCGAGAGCTTCTCGGTGACATTTCTGATGTAAGCCATTGTGCCTTCCTTCTCAGGTGGGCCCGAGATTGACTGAGGGCGGTTTTGTCTCTTGGCATTGTCACCAGCTGTTTGCCAGCCACCAGGAGCGGTATTCTCTTTGTCCTTCTCGGCTGCAGTAGCGGGAGCTGGTGTGGCTTGGGTAGCGGCGGGTTTAGTTGTGGAAGGGGCAGCCCGAGTCTGTGTAGGAGGCGTAGCGGTCTTGGGAGTAAGGGCGGGAACGGCAGGCTTTGGTGTGGAGGCAGCGGCAGCAGCAGCACGGTGGGCCCAACTCAATGGCTTCGATGGGGCTGCTTGAGCAGGTTTAGCGGCTGGCTGGGGTTTGGAGGCCACTGGCACTGGGCTTGGAAGTGGGTCTTTGGGCTTTTCTGGCTCTTTGATCTCCTCCTCAATGGCCTTCGAAGCATCTTCGGGTGTAGGAACTTCTTCAACCTTAGTAGGAGCAGCAACTGCGGCGTCTTTGGCCTCGGCAGTAGTCTCAGCAGTTCCATTGGTGGTTGGAACCGCCTTAGTAGGCTCCGTTTCGATTTTCTCCAATTTCTCGTCCACAACATCAGCGTCCAAGACAGCAGGCGCTGCCTCCTCAGCTGGAGCTTGCGCCTTCGGCATCTCAACATCTTCAACTAAAGGGCCAGCGGCAGCAGTCTCCTCTTGCGTTGCCTCAACTGGCTCCTCCTCGCCTTCCTCCTTGATGTATCGGAAAATGTCGTTGAGAACGAAGTATCCAGTTGGTTGTTGAGCGAGAACGAAGGTTTGACAGAACTTCTTGAGCTCGGCGGATTTGGTTGATGTTTCGCCGATGACTTGAATGACGATGCTATCCTCGGAAGCTTGGGAATCGACATTCGAGATACGGACCTTGCAGTCTTGGAAGTTGAGGTGGCGGATGCGCTCTTGGATAGCCTGAAAAAGTTAGATAAGTTGCAGTATGCAGAAGCTTTTCAAACTTACGGGTCGACCAACAGAGACGTTGGAGGTAACACCTTCAAGTCCTGAAACAAACTGGGAGCGCTTTCCATAGAAGAGCTATTACTTGTGAGCAGGAGGTGTTGGAATTGGGGCTTTAAACTTACATGAAGCTTCTCGGAAGATTTGCTCAAGGTGGTGTAGTATTGCTCGACAAAGTACCAGGCAACCTCTTCCTTGGGCAGATCATTGCCAGACGCATTGGAGTCAGCGGCACCCGAGGTAGCAGTATACTGCTCCTGCTGCGTGAAGTTGCCGTTGGTCGCCATGGTGGATGGAGGTCGGAGGGGGAAAGGTGACTTGAGAACAACCTCTGGAGGCGAATTGAAGGGTGGTAGAACCGGACGGAGAGACTTTGGCGCGCTATTCAGACAGAGGCGTGAAGATGCCGCTGCGAGATGAATCAAATGCAGGAAATCGGTCGTGAAAGAAATCGAGTCCTGTCACGGATATCGAACGCGTTTTCTGGGACCGAAGGAGAATACCGTGAGAAGCTCTAGAAGAGAGGGATGGGCAGTACCACTAAGGTCAAAATACAATAAGATTAGGAAGAGTGGAATATCGGAACTGAAATGAAGTTCTAGAGGAAGGATCAAGAGCTGAGGGGAAGAGTGAGGACAATTTGTGATGTTGAGAGGTCAGGGTGGACATCAGAGTTCAAAATTCATAAATCAAATAAAGTGGGTCATCCATCTAGCCACGTGACTGAAAGCAAAGTGGGGGCGTTAGTGTGCATCGTTGAAAAGTTGCAAGCTCTGTCTTGTGAAATCCAATATTAGAACTATGGTAATTTTAATAGGTAGGTTTTACTTTTGGGGAGAATGAGTTAAATTAACGTAGTCTTGGAGTTGCGAAACAAGCACCAGCAAGGTAAGAAAGAAAAGTTCAAGCAAAGCAAAGCTCTATATCTTAATAAGTATTCGCAGTCAGATCGCTTTAGACAACTTTTCACTAGAAAATATAGTATAAAGAGAACTACTTTTCATACAGGACTATAGATCATATAATTCAAAGTGTGTATATATACTTTGGTCTTTCGTATATCTTAAATGGATAAAAGACTAAGAAATGCCGAACGAAATAAGCTTTTAAGAGACGAATTACATGTCTAGACTTGATACAATCTGTAGACAATCGGTCAATTTGGTATTTACATGTAACTATTATTCAACCATCGCATCTAGATCTCTCAGCCCCTGAAGCTGATTCCAGTCAACTAGCCCTTCTTCCACAGCATCCGCTAGAATATCCCCAGCTTCCTTAGACTGCGCCTGTGCATCAGTCAATGGTTTTGCATTACCGCCAAGCGCCTTAGCTAATAATTCTTTTACTTTGGCTTGGGTATCCTCATTGTCGTACGCGACAGCTACTGTTGACAAGTTTACTGCACCGCGATAATGTTTTTCGGCATTCTTAAGCAGGACCGCTTTGTTTTTAGCTGCAACCTCGAGACCTCTCGGTGCCTGTCCCAATTGAAAACGCCAGAGTTCCACATCGCCTTTCTTGAGATGGATTTTTACAACATTGTTGTCGTCTTTGAAGCTGGAGGCAATGGTGAGGTCTTGGTTTGCAGCCGTGAGCAAGTCCCAACGCAGTTTGCTGCAGTCTAAGGAGTTGCCATTTCCGCTCAAGCGCAGGGTGTTGCTGCAGTTGATGTATGACTCTGCTCGGTCACAAAGTCCTTCGACGTGTGAGGCATTTGACGTTAGCTGGACGTCCTTCCAAGCCTGTAACATTTGATTAGCTATGAGCGCCACAAGGAGTGAGAGAAGTTCGCTTTCAGCAAATCTAAGTCATGCAGAATTTACATACCTGCTGCACTGATACAATATAACTCTGCATATCAAGCCCCATCAGGCGGAACTTCGCATCTGCCTCTGCGCTAACGTAACCAGCGAGAGTAATAGCTGCCTCCAAATCTTGACCAGTTTCGGTCATGTAGAACGGAAGCTTCTCGACGACAAGAGGCTGGGCATATGCCACGATAGATGGTATCAGCTTGTCACTTCGTAAAAGGCTATATAATGTAGACATTGTCTCTAACTGGGCCAGGATTGTGTCCAGGATCGAAGATTTCGAGACAGGAACTATCACGCTTGCCCATTGCTCTTGAACTTGATCTCCATCTTTGGCCTGGAGGTTCCCGGATGTGCTGGAGGTATTGGCAATCGTTGTGTCATCCAAAATAGCATCGGCAGGTTCGTTGTCATCACTGCGAAGTTGGTTTTGAAATGCTGAGTACGCTGCCTCTTGTTGCTTCAAGCATTGTGCAAAGATTTCCAGGGCCTCTTGAAGCAAAAGACTTGGCTGATCTGGATTGTAAGCCGCAGAACCTTGCTCGTTAATCGTATCCACAATACTGGTGAGGACTTGTGCCGTATTGCTAACCAGGTCAGCATAGGCTTAACGTGGCAGCTTCATAAAGGAAGAGTAGCACAACAGGTATGGAGCACCTCGTTGGAAGATTCTCAGTCTCGATTTTCCAAGAGTTTTCTTGGGACGAGAATGAGAGAAAATATGTAACTTTAGGTAACAATGAACTTGTAGGAAGATCAGACACAAGTCACTCACAATAAAGCATCCGGATCCTCTCCATTCAATGTTAGAGCATATTTACTTGACTCCAATGCGACTTGCAATAGATCCAGAAGACTGCCGGGTAGCTCCTTGAGCAACTTGGGATGTTGCGTAAGCTCGTATTGGAGTCGACCTCTGTAGGTAGTGAGTAGGCGAGGACGTTTCAAATGATGTCAAGGTCTACGCACCTATTATAAGCCAAATCAAATGAAGTTGGGAACTTCTTCAGTCCTTCATCATAGCAGTCGATAGCCCGCACAAAGAATCTTGTTGACTAAGGTAGGACGAGATTAGTGGTGTATCCTAGGTCCATAGTCGGAGGGGCAAAACCTTAGCCGCGTCGCCCGCTGCAGGAAAGCGAAGGGTCAGTTATGGATTTGAAGCAATGACGGACGCGGGCGAGCCGCTGCTCAAAAACATACCTCTCCACTTCTCACCAGCCTCTTCAAAATCAACCCCAGCTATTATTCTAGTCAGCTGTTGTTGCATTTCGCCGCTGATCCATTGTCATGGCCTACCCGCCAAGTACTCATCTGCAGTAGTGGGAACCTGTCCAAAGCCAAGTCTTGAAGTCAGCTCTCCATGCCCCTCATAGCCAAAATTGTAAAATTGTAATCGTCTGGTGGGGGGTGGGGGTGAGAGTCACCTGAGGAGCGTGCTTCGACTTCTTTTTGGATTCTTTCAGAAACTGCTTTGGTTTTGGCATATTACCGGTATTGGAGAGGTAAGGTAAGGTAAGGTAAGGTAAGGTAGGTCTCAATTGGGATAAGGAAGTCACTACCTAACCTAGTGGCTGTCTTTCTACTTCGACGTAGACGGTTGAAATGGCGTTGTTGTATTACGGAGTACGGTTACGGTGCACAAAGCATTGAGTTGAGATGATGCGGGTGCAGGCAGATTAGGTTTTTTGCCCTCGCACTCCACCAGCTTCTACCCGCCGATTTGATAATCATGTATGACTGTGCCTAGATCAGATGGGATGGGATGGCCACTTGCATGGCATGATCGCCCCACCTTACGAAGTACATCTTGATAGAAATCTCAAGATTCTTTTGAGTTTGGATTTGGATTTGTACATTTATTTCTCATGGTTTCCCATGGCGCCATGTGGTTTGGCATTACTCCGTATGATTGCCGAGAACTACCGTAATACTACTGCTAAAGGAAGGCAACCCCAACGACCAGAACATGGTTGAGCATTTGATGAACTACCGGGGTGTCGATGTAATGCCTGAAGCCCACGTTGTTTCATAAAGCAGAGCCACGTGGGACCGGGTGCTAATTTCTACCCTGGCGCACAATCCCTGGCTTTTCCCTCTGTGCCTCACTGCCTGTGTCTTTGGATTCCCGTATTGGTGCATAGGCCCACACGGGAGAAGGATCCCATTTGATGCATTGATCGGCCAGTCATCATCATCTGTCCTCCTGGTTTGACTACTCGAGTAGAACCGGAATCAAGGTCACTTGTTGGGTAGGATCAGCTATCTGGCCGAGGAAGAAGAACAGGAAGGGAAGTAGACTACTGAACAGTGTGGAGTGCGGAGGATTTTAGTACGGAGCATTCGGAGAAGGGTAGGGTAGTAGGGTAGTAGGGTAGTAGGGTAGTAGGGTAGGTACGAAGGTAGGTACGGGCGGGAAAGCAACTGCACTGCACTCACTGCACATGTGGATTCGTGCTATCTTTTCTTCTGCCGAGCCCAGTGACCTCTGCTACAGTACCGTACCGTACCTTATTACGCTCCCATGTTATTGACAAGGAGCCAACCACCATTCCAGCTGCCAATTCAAACATTCAAACCACGCCAGAAGACGAAAGAAAACAACTAGAAGAGATACTTCTTGCCTCCTCTCCTCTTGACGTATTACCGCACTACTTACTACAGCTCTTGTGTCCCCAAGACTAGATCACAAAGTTTATCTAAGACGGCACAGTGCGCAATCTCTATTCCTAGCCCTGACCCAAGCAGTGGAGCCTCCACTTCTTCTTGTTTTAGATTGAGACTTCTGGTGGTAACGAAACAAAACGAAGCACCCCCTCTGCTCTGACCGCTCAACATTTACGATCCTTTAAAGAAAAGAAAAACCCTTCTGTTGCGCATCAATCACACTTGCTCTCTCACGAACGTTACGAGAAACAAACCGTCAGCTTCAACCAAAACCTCATCTGCGACCGCCACAAGCATTCTCATCGCGACAGGTCAGCAGAGCGACTCACCGCATACAAATCTCAATAGCCAAACATGGGAGGCTCTCTCGAATCATCTCGTCCGATGATGGCTTCTAGTGTTAGTCCCAATACTACATCTCCTTCCCAGCTCCTCGCATCCGCGCCGTCTCGTTGAGCCAATGCTAACAATAATCTCCTGACAGGTAGGATCAAAACGCGCATCTGCCCGCTACAGCACCTACAGCACAGCACCCTCTGTTGCCAACACCGTCAAGACAACGCTCTCCTCCGCTTCCGCGACCCAAGAAATCAAAGACATTGAGGAAGGCCTGAATAAGCTTGAGAACAAGAAATTGGCCAGTCAGCGTTTCGTCCCTAGCCAAGAGAAGTCCGAGAGTCTGAGCAAGTTGGCATTGGGAGCGAAGTTGGAGAGAGCTCTGGGCCGACGAATGGGTAGCCAGGATGCCGTCATGAGAGACAGAAGGAAGACGGTTACGAACAAGGATGGGGAGCTGAGCGAGAAAACTGCCCTTGCTTGAATACCGTATGAATCGGATTGCTTAATTATGACACGACGGTCGATGTGAGAATTTGGGTCTCTTGGAAGGTGGAATATGGCCGACTCGGCTGTGAGATTCTGGATCGAGATGACTTTGGGCATACGAAGGCGTTATTCTCTCCCTCTAGTTATTTTGTTTTGCTTTACAGCACATCCCCTATTGGCCCTTTTTATACCATTTCCTTTTTCGCACAGCACAGCACTTTCTCTATATAGCTGAATGCCAACGTTGAGAGCTTTCATTACAGAGGTCTGTCAGGGTCAGGACTTGATCTGTCTGGTGATTCTTCTTTCTTCCTACAGGTCCATCGTTGGTGATATATATGCGATAAGAGTGCTGTAGACTCAAAAATATCATCTTCTGTTCTACAGGACTTGGCATGGTGGGCATCGTGAAGACTTTTTTCTCTATTTATAATGATTGACTTGAGATTAACCAAGGGCGGGCCGTAGTGGTGGTTCGTGTTCTTCAAGCTCTACTCATCCATCTATCGAAGGGGAGCCTCTCATCTTCCTACATTCGACAAGCCAATAGACATAGCATATGAATCTGAGGAACTATGTACCCTTCATCGAACGCTCAGATACATTGAGGAGGCTGAATCTATTGCCAATCCGGAATCAACTTTGATTGACTGGATTACAGGGAGGTAAGTTCAAGTCAACAAATTTATATCGGTTTAGCACTTGAAGCTAATACAAACACTATATCAGTCCTGTGCATACTATAGCACATCATTAGGTTCCCACCATGTGAAAGCGATGTGCAAAGCTTCATCTTATCTCGCCCGAATTGTTCATCCAATTCGCCAACACAGACTACCTTATACAACACATAATAACAGCCAGACTGCCTGGGTGCAATTTCAACGTACGATTCAAACCTCGTGCATCCACATCCACCTACACAAGGTCTTATCCGCCCGCATGCAAGCAGGTCATAGGATCACTGATAAGCGTGGGGTACACCACTTCAACCCCTCAGTTGCCTCACAACCCCCATATATAAGCTATCCGTTCAAGTTCTCCTCTCTCACAATTTCATTAATGTCTAAATATGCATCATAACAATGGCTAAAGAACCACAGATTCAAGATGCAGAGACATCAACACTCATAGATCCCTTCTTCACCCGCAACAACCTCACTCTTCAAGACCAGCACGAGTGCTACGCTATCGTTTCACAACTATACCCAAACCAAACCATCTCCCCAGCATCATGTCAGGGCTACTGCTCTTTCACCCTCTTCGTCGGCCCCTCAACCGTCATCCAATTTCGCCCCTCCCCTTACCGTCTAGACCTACTCGTCACTTCCCTCGCCTCATCTATACACAGCGTCCATGTCCCCAAGACATCCCACCGTGCCGTGCTACGCAGTTCAGGCCTAGAGGTTTACAGCATGAGCCGCATCCCCGGAGCCTCCCTCCGTGATTCCCGCTCCCACTCGCCCACCCTCGCTCGCTCCCCACAGTTCCTAGAGAACCTGTGTACGTCTCTCGCAGCCTTTCTGGTCCACTCATGGCACCGCCGCCCTCCTGCTCCTCCCACGCCCCGCGGCAAAATAGGCATATCTCTGTATGCGCGGCTCCAGCTCCTCACTACCGCCCTCCCGGCCCGCTTCCGCCCCATAGCAAGACAGCTCGTGGACAATATGCACAATATCACCAGTTTACCCTGGGTCCTCACGCACGGCGATCTCGTGCCGGGTAATATCATGCTTTCGCCTTCCTGCGGATACTTGACGGGGCTGGTGGATTGGGCAGAGGCAGAGGTGTTGCCGTTCGGACTGTGTCTCTATGGGCTGGAAGAGATACTGGGTGAAATGACGGAGGATGGTTGGGAGTATCATCCTGCTGCAGAGGGGTTGAGAGAGGTGTTTTGGAGGGAGTTGGGCGAGGGAGTTGGTGAGAAGGAGAGGAAGAGGGTGGAGATGGCGAGGATAGCCGGGATACTGCTTTGGTGGGGATTTGCCTGGGACGAGGGACGGATTGATAGGGTTGTGGAGGAGGGGAGGGACGAGATTGAGATTGCAAGGTTGGACGCCTTTCTCGGGCCGTTCGATGAAGCGGATTTGAGAGTTTCCAAGCTCTGAAAGAAGGGAGTTTTGTTGTCATTGTATCCCGATATCTCTCATGTAAGTCTATTTCTGGAATATTTATTTACCAAGCAGCCCGGTTTGCTTATTTGTTTTCCCTTCTCCTTCGGCAAATCTGCCCGGAAACAAAAGCGACGGGGTTGGAATCCTACTCGGCTTGCTTCCGGTCGGTACTCGTATAATGAGGAGCATCAGCACGTGATACGACGGGTTACTGTCTCGCTTATTCAATTGACGACCAGTTGACCCCTTTTGAGAAAGTCCAGCAATGAGAGTGAACTTTTGTCTTACAATTGTTATAAACTATGTTCCTGAGCGCCAAAACATAGATCTAAGAAAGATGACCGTTCCATAGAGCCTTACTCCTCCTACTCCCAATACTCAAAATCCCCTGCAATATCGACCGGTGCGAACTATACATAGCAACCTATACGCCACTCCATTACCGTATATGTGTATTAATCTATCAAAACACACAAGAAAACATCACACTCCCCAAGCACCGATGAACCTCCTCCTAACACCTCCCGCGGCTAATCCTCTACCCACTACCCCACTGAACCTCCTCAGTATACGACTTATCCGGAATCTGGCGGCCGTTAATAGTACTACGACGGCCCAGAGCACCAGGCCGCATTTGGTTTGTGTCCAAGTTGAAACATGCGTGAGTGGCTGTTTTCGAGCAGATTGGCCAGGTTAGTTTGGCTGCCATGGCGCAGAAGATGCCTTCGGCTAGAGATACCAAGTCTGGACCTGCGGCGTTGCTGTTGTTGCAGAGGTGCCTGGCTGTGTGCTGGGCGTAGGGGCTTTTGACGAGGGTGTTGCGCAGGAGAGGGAGGGAGGGAGGTGCTTGATGAAGCGGGGGCTATGGAGTTCAACGATGCAGTGCCGTTACTGTACGAGCTTCGTTTCTGGGCCTTCTCTGGCTCGTATGGAATATATACGTATGCGTCTTGTGCACGTGCGCGGTTTGATCTAGCTCTGCGTCTCTTGCTCAGTATCATTCCGTTGTTCTTGGTCACTGCCTTGAGGTTCGGATCACTGTTGTCGGTGTTATACGACAGCTTCGGCCAGAAGATGGGGATTTGGGTTTTTGCATGCATGGCCTTGTACATGTTGGACCTGGGAGCGTTGCTGCACATCGTCTCTGGGTTTGCGTGGTTTTGCTTCTCGCGGCCATCGTTGTACGAGTCTTTGGAGGAGCTGAAGTCCAGGAGGCGGATTCCTAATCCTTGGTAGCGGAGGCCGTTTGATCCGTTGCCGTCGAGCCAGACGCAGTTGGATGTTCGGTTTAGCAGGACTGGTATAGTGTGATCTTGCCATGGAAATATGTTTCTAAATAGCTTCAACATGGGTCAATATTCGCATCCGCCATTCCTTTGCCCAGGTAGTAGTACTTGGCAAAATAGATCCAGACTTTTGGTCAATTCGGGAGCAGAATAATACACAGAAATGGACACATAAGAGATGTGCTTCTATCTATCTTGAAAGCGATTCGTCACCCTTCTCCTATCATCAAAACTCTTCACCAAGTTGTGCTTTATCACCTTGTGCTTACCGAGAACTGTCTTTCCTCCTATTAGCGGGATACATTCAAGATGTATTTCAACCTGAAAACACTGTTGGCCGTGGCAGCAGCAGCACTTGCGGCCTTGCCTTCGATGGGCTCTGCTCCCATTGAAACGAACATTGATATTGGTGAAATCTAGTCCATCCTATCAATCAACCCCGTGTACTGATAGATCCTCAGCCTCTGAAAAGAGGAACAACAATGTTAACAATGCAGTCAAACGAGGCGTGCTGAACGATGTATACTCAGTCATAAATCAGCTTCGTGGTATTACACCAAAACCAAAGACGTCTCGACCGAAAGAAGCGCCCGATGCACCAAAGACAGGCAAGAACCCAGGTGACTCGGGAACCAATCCTGCAATTGCAAAATCCAGAAAATGTGCACGAGAGTTGAATGGGCGTTGTTCAGATGAAGAAGAGTCGGATTTAGAGTAAACAACACTTTTCTTGTTTCACCTCCTGGATGATTACGTTGGGCAGCTTCTGATCTGCATCTCAACCCTCTCGGCTGCTGCTCATTATTCTTTGGAATACGATACTAATTCGCTTCAGTATGGATGATGCCTCTGAACCAGACGACCCGCATCTCGGAGACTTGGGATGGACCGCATACAGTGAAAAGGGAAAGCAGGCAAGTGCCGATGCGAATGCGAAGATTGCAAAGGTCAAGAGTAACCCCGCAGGCAATCCAGATAAGACTCCACCAAAATGGAATGTTGATGAAGGTGGCTCATACAAAATGGAGGAACTTCCTAGCCAGACACCAGGCTGGGCCTACTTTGAGACCGTTCCAACCATCTTCAGAGACCTTGGTCTTGACAAAAGTAAGACGATCTATAAGGGCGTAAAGACTCGTGCGGTTGATTCTGGAGGGAACTCAAAACTTGTTGGGGAAAACTATATCTCAAGATCTGAAGATGCAGCATCAGCAGGGCAGGTACGTGCACTTCTAGATGAAGTCCAGGCCTACCTTACTCCCACAATTAGCCAATAAAGTATCTTACTGACTTTTGAGATACATATAGCCTGGTTCAATTGTTGCAAAATGGAATGATATGAAAGAGAACAACATTGCGACGAACAAAGTCCAGTGGACAGATCTGCAATTTGGGACATTGAACAAGGTTCGAGGGACTGATAACATGAAAGATATCAAGTACATAATCCGAGAAGCCATCGACAACGACGGCACTATAAATGTCATCAAGACCGCTCACCAAAGATACCCGAAGAATTTTAACGCAAATGGTAAAGGAACATTCGATCTCTCGGAGCCCAATGATGTAGATGCTGCCGTTACGATTGAAGGAACTAGGAATGGAAACGCAGCGCCGTTTTGGCTGAAAGACTATACGAAGGGATTTGGGACACAGGCAATAAAAAAAAGTGCATGTGTGGGACCAAGTCCCCGGCGGACCCAAATTTGATGGTGAAAAAACTTCGGGAATAGCTTTCGAGCTTGGACCAGCATAGGATGCAAACAAGGCGGGGCTCAAAGACTGCTTCCTGAGTTCTGCCATTTCTTGCACGTTCTTGTTAGCTAGATGGTGTGGATTGTGGTGTTTTGGGGGTGGGGGAAAGAGGGGAGGGGGGGTGATTAACTGTATATTCAGTGCTTTGGTTCATGAGAATGTCAAAACAAGTAGCGGTCGTTTACTCGTCAAATAAGGTGAAACTCCACCCAGGAATCAAGGATCATAGTACTTTGAAATAAGAAATACGCTCCATCATCCAGAGCTACTAGTTTCGAAGGGGGATCTCTCTTCAGACAAGATCTTACTCCGTAGATGGCATTATGAAGTGAAAGATTTACTTGGCATAATTTGTAAATCGACCTTAAGATTCATGATTGCATTCTTCATGTCCCCGGTTTAATGGTCGCAGTCAAGCAAGAGGAAATTCTCAGTGCTTGTCAAAATAAGGTTGTTGGTCTCGTGACCTGAAAGAGCATTTGTCACCATCAGAACCGTGATCCTGATCCTGATCCTACCTGTCTCTCCGACGAGAAGTCTATTGGTCCTTACAACTCTTCGGTTATGAAAGCTTGAATACCGTCATATCAACAATCTGTCCAGAGCTGGATGAGAGTTCAAATTTAGCATGCCAAGGTCCAGGCTGTGCACGACAATACAAATACCCAATACCCCACTGTGTACAGCCCAGATTTTGTATGAGACGAGTCCTACTCTGTATCTTCCGACTTCAAAATAGGAACCTCAATCGGAGAAATCTAATTGACCAGTATTTCGGCATTCTCAAGGCTACTGACAGCCATCAAATATTTCCCACCCGCGTTCCAATCTCTAATAACCATCTACGGAAAAAGTACCATGGATTTATTGGACTTACCTCTAGATCTCATCTCCAACATCATAGCTGTAACTGTAACATCTGGCCAGATTATAGACTGCTTATGGCTGCGTCAGGTAAACCGTATGAACCGCATGCCATCCAACTGTTGAGCTTCAACTAATTCTATGTGCTCCAGAGCTCTTTGATCGCGAAGTCACGAAACAACTGGCCAAAACTAGGCTTGCAGAGTTACGATCGCACTATGGTTACGATCAACGCAAGATTTCAGAGTCATTACAACTTCGGTTGATAGTAGAGAATGTTGGAATGCAATATCACGGACAGATTGCCATCAAAGTCGCTGTTCACGCTGTGGCTGATGAGCTGGTGTCTCGCATGATTGAATGTGAACACACCTTGGAACGGCTGGATGTCTTGCAATCCATTTGCAAAACAGCACTTGCCTGCCGTGGCTATTGGAAGTTGTTTTACGACCTAGAAGACGCGGATGAAGGTAGCATCCAGACGCCGGAAGAAAGCAGAAGCCAAGATATCCAAGCTTCTAGCTTCATTGTAGCATTAGCATCACGCTATACTGAGGTGCAGGCTGAATATCTACGACGTGGCTTTGATAGCAACGTTCAAACTAGGTATTTTGGCAGTCCGCTACAGATTGCTTCTCAATATGGATACTGTGACACGGTGGAGACACTTCTGGATTCAGGAGCAGATATCAACCAACTGGCGTATTCTACTCGATGGACTGCATTGGAAACAGCCGCGTGGCATGGGCATATCGATGTTGTTAGATTGCTTTTGCACCCAAAGTACAATCTGAGAACCTCTACACCCAACTTTGGAGAAGCAGCTTGTAAGGCTGTAAAGCGGAGGCACCCAGAAATCGCGTCAATTATACTGAACAGGAACGCGAAGATACCACTATATTCGCAGAAGGGACTTTGCTGGTTGGCTGCCAAACACGGGTACGACGAAATTGTAACCAAGATGTTGGATGCTGGGCTTGATCAGAACACAATTAATAACGGGGAAGGGACGGCGCTCTCGGGTGCCGCAGAAAATGGGCACTGCAGCACGGTGGCCCTCCTTCTAGACCGTGGTGCCAACGTGAGGCAATTCAGCCACGATGCATTCATATGTGCTGCCGAAGGTGGGCAGTTAGAAGTTCTTGACATGATGCTGAAGCGCGGCATAGACATGGAAGTTCGCAATCGGATGTTCCAAGCATTTGTTGCCGCCTCACATGCTGGTCAGATTCAAGCTGCAGATTTCCTCATAAACCACGGGCTTCATATTAAATCACCAGAATCAAAAGGATGGCGCTATTACGCTCTATGGAACGCGATGAAAATGAATCGCCTTGACATGGTTCGATGGCTATTTCTGACGCTTCGGCTTTGTCCTGACGGAGAAGCCGAGGTAGTTGATGGCGATCATTTGGGAACCTTTGCGAAAACTCCGCCGATGGTCTATGCTCTAGACGTTGGTACACTAGAAATGGTGTCACTCCTTTTAGAACTAGGGGCGAAGTCAGTTGATTTGAAGGAAGGAAGTCACTCATGAGCAAGCATCGTCGCATGAGCGGTGAGCAACAAGACGCTACGAAGTCATTGTTGTTGAGAGAAACTTTGTCGGGTTGTTTTTAATGCCTCGTTTTACGCGAGGATTGTGTGTGAATCCTTACCTTAGGTCTTTCCACGTGGTAGGATTTTTTTGTTTAAACTACTCAAGTGTTAAAACTGATCCAGCATTGGGAAAGTCTCCGGAGAGATGCGGAAAGCAAAGGTTCCACTTCGTATATACTAAAAGATCAATTGTCTTTCATGTCGATCTTGAATACCAACAATAAGTGGCTCGTAGGTTCGACAGCAGATACGAGCCCTAGCACAAGGCAGCAGAATCATATTCTACGAGTACAAGTATCCCTTGGACGGGAGACCGGCGAAATTAATTAATACCGAGCCACCGACATCGTCAGCCTTGTACCTGCATTGATGTTTATAGGTACTCGTCAACTGAAAACGACGCCAAGCATCCCCCTTGGAGTGAAGATCAACATCCTCGTATCCTCCATCGTATTTTGAGATCTTCCCCGCATTTTCCAAAAGGCCCTCAAAGAATTTAAGAATGAAGGTCACAACCAATGAGCCTTATGATACCTCTCCGCTCCTCTGATTTGCCACAATCACGAGGGAACGTTGCTGTGGTTGGTGCGAATGTTCGGTACCTGCACCTGCGTTGTTTACATGTATATGGATCATATGGATATGAATACGAAGTGCCAGCGTGCGCAGTGCCGACATAATCAGCTGACATGAAATTATATCCGCATGCATTAATCTTCATACTCTGGAGACTTGGCATTCGTCATTGGAATTCGTATTTGAGACCCCGGATTATCCTGGAGTGGAATTGTTCCTGAGAGGAAGGAGGTTGGCGATCTATACTCGCATCGAAAGAGCGAGGCAAGGGAAGGAACAAGTTCGCAAACGCGCCATCACTCTCATCTCGGGAGTACCGTAGCCAAAGAAAAAGGAAAGAGCGAAAGGGGGATTGTGTATAAGAGCGAGCACTTCCCTCTTCTTGTCTTCACTTCTAAACATTCAACAACATCTTCACTTGCACGCAACCACAACTCCAAACAATAAACACATCAATCAACAAACTCTTACACCCCAATCCATCTCATCCAACCGTCAACATGCAATTCACAGCAAGCACCCTCCTCCTTGCGGGAGCCACCTTCCTCGGCTCTGCATCTGCAGCAGGTATCTTTGCAATCAATGGAACCGCCCAAGTATTTTCCATCACTCTATAAGATGAGAGAAACTGCTAACACGATTCTCAGCCCGGCTCTTATGTCACTCTCACCGTCTTGAACGGCAACGTAGGCGATAACCCAACTTGCAAGGGCGTATGTTCCCTCCCCAAGCCTTGGTCGGATTCTGCTAACTGCTCTTCAGACCGCTACAATAGGCGATCTTCCTACCTCTGGCGATATCACTTGCAATGCCGGATACTCTCTCTCTTTCAGCTGGGACACCCAGAATAATGGTATCGCTGCGACATACGGAACTCCATCTGCAGCCCCCTTCACCTACAATGTCCCACCAATCTCGAATGATGGAACCACTTATTCGTTTGGTATGTTCCTCGCTCTTTCAGTCCTGAATGATTGATTATCCGACTAACGCGTCTGCAGGTTTTGAGGACGACTTCCCCGACGCGGAGGCTTCCAAGAAGTTCGTCGAGTTTCATGCTTAGATGATGGAGGTTGCTGGCATGTGCGACACCCTGGAATAACGGCCTAGGTTCTGTTTGTGGGAGGCGTTGTGTAATGTTTGCATCCTTGGGCTTGTAGCATGGTATTATGGTTTTTCATCGTACAAAAGCATTGCTTAGGTAGAGATGGAAGCTCTTCACGAGTAATCAATAATGGTATTCTTGTGTTGCGTCTGACCTCCTCGCTACCCCACTTCCTGTGGCTTGTGATCTAGTTTCAAAAGGTTCCGTATCCCAGTTTCTTGAACACTCACAATTCAAGAGATTGAAGGGGCAAGTTTGCTCTTGCATTTCTAGTGAAACCCGCCCATCCAAAGGCACATGAAGGTATCAGTAAACTACCGCATCCTCAGCCGTTCTACTTTCTTTTAACTTCGCCTTAAGAAGAACATTACCTCCAGCAGCTCTTTGCTCTTCATCATTCTCATCATCCTCGTCCTCGTCCCTGTCCCCGCCCCCATCCACACCATCATCACTACACGAAGGCAACAAAGCCTCACAATCCTCCATCCCCATTTCCTCAGCCTGACGCACCACACTCGCCCTCTCACTCCTCGACATACTCTTGACGTGCTTCTCCGAACCATTCCCTCTTGAACGCATCACCGTGCATATCCCACATCACGTCCGCTTCTTGGCCTTGCGTTTCCTGGTAGGCGTTGTATTCGTCGATTAGATCTGATGAGGGTGAGGCTGAGGGGGAAGACGAGAATTGAGATGAAGATGAAATGTTGCTTGCTGGGTTGTTCTTGGGAAGAGGGGGAAAGTTCGGGGTATCCCTGCTTCCTGGTTTTGGGTGGAGGTGGAGGGTTGGATCTCAGGGAGGTTTGAGTAGTTAGCTATTTTGAAGTCCGTTTATCTTCTTCTGCGGCTTTCTCATGCGCGAGTAATTTGGCCTATGCAGCTCTATGACCAGGCCCTCGCCCTCGCGGCGGTATTCTGTGGATAGCCTTTTGCGTTTGTACTTGTACAGTATTTCCATTCCTTGCAGAGTTGCACTGAGGTGATTATTTGATGATGACTTTTTACCTTGATACTACAATGCAGGGCTTTTCTTCAATAGACGGATAGATTTCATTTCGGGAAGATTGAAGCCAAGGTGGTGAGATACGATGAAAGAAAGGCAAGTCTAAGATGTGTTCCTTACACAGCGCTGAAATTGGTGGTCAAGAACTGTACTTCAGTGGTTTCGGCAAAAGATGTTTAGGGAAGCTGGAAGATTCTGCCTGTTACAAGATGAGCACATCTTTCATCGAGAACACATTTGAGAGGCGAAAGCAGCATGAAAGAAAGCATGGTATTTACTGGCTGACCACGACTTTATGTAAATCATGAGAAGTCTAAGCGAGTCCTTCCGTTGAATCGTTGAATGCAATACCCTCCTTAATCTAATCCATGCAATCCCAGACCCACGCAAGCAATGAAAAGCAAATAAGATGTATAGCCAGTGCCACCCAGGGGTATCAATCTCAAGCACCAACGCCTTTCGTTCATAAAAATGCCAATAGCTCCTCCCATATGTATGCGACCTTTTGCAAATGATGCCAGTAATGTGATATGACAAACGAAATGAGATATGGTACAGAAAGAAGCAAAATGTGCAAGGTATCATGTTCCTCGTGAAGATGAAGGACTCGCCATAGATGATGTGCGAGAGTGGTGACGGCGTGTTGAGCGGTTGGATTTCGCTTCGTCTATATCCTTCTGAGCCCAGCCGGGGAGTTGTGAAGGTGTTCTGTTCCCTGCACGCGTCCGTCTTGTGCTGATTCTTTGCAACTCTCGAGCATCGTCTTCTCGCATGGGTTTCCGACGACTCTTCTCAATCTGGACTGTGGGCGGTTTGATAGTGACTGGTACCGGTCGTCGGTTCATCGCGACGAACATGTTGGACTGGAGTTACTGTGTTAGCGCTTGAAGCCAGATGAATCAATGAATTGAGAACGCGCTAAATTGGAGTTTTTGATGAAGATAGTCGTCAATCGCCTGACATAGACGAATCGCCCATTGCAGTAGCAACAACGGCAGTTGACTGAGACGGCTCCCCTGTTGTTGATGGTTCACTATTTCATTCTTGATCCTTCATCGTTTGAGCAGACAACTCTTTCTGCTTAGCTTGACAACGTAGAATCAGCTCCTCCCTACTGCCTTCTTCGCTCAAGCCATGACTTCTTAGATACTCCTGTAGCTGGGAATACAACTGGAATTCCCAGCGCGGTACTGTAGACTGGGAGCCCACTTGGGACTTCGGGCTGTTAGGCCGTTGAGACTCCTTGTTCCCAGAAACTGTTGTCTTATTTGACCGTTGAGTCGTTTTGAATGGCAAAATAACAGAACTTGAAGGGTTTTGTGAAGCGCCTACTTTTGTTACCTCATCAATCTCCATATTGCTGCCAGGGCTTTCATCCGAGGCTAACATTTCTTGCACGAATGAATCTGGACTCATTTGCGCGCTTAGAAGAGCTTGGCACTTGATGCTGTCGCCTTGAAGTGCAACCCTGACCACATTTAGCGACAGTTTACATCCGGGACGACGTTCAATCGCTGCAGCAATTTGGTCAGAGAGCTTGCTAGCTGTTGCTAGAGTCTGCTCGGCTGTATTAGACCATACGTGCGACTTCTTCGCTGCTTCGACAAGCACGGAACGGATGCTCGCTAGACCTCGGTCAGGTGGAGGCGAAACATTTTTAATTCCTTTACTGGTGCGACTCACTCCTGTGTTGGAAGTGTTTGGGGAAGTCTGTTGAGTGGCAGCGCTTGCAGAATTACCAGCGGCTGAAGTGGGGTTTTGCTTTTGCGGTGGTCTGATGGCAGGGCTTTCTGCCTTCGCAGAGTTGGTAGAAGCTACCATGGGTTTTGATGGTGTCTGTATTAGAGTGTTTGTAAAGTTAGGTGGCGGTCTGATAGCGGGGCTTTCTACCGTCGCAGAGTTGGTAGAAGCCATCATGGGTTGTGAATAAGTCTGTATCGGAGTGTTTGTGAGGTTCGGTGGCGGTCTGATAGCAGGATGTACTATGGCTCCCTGATGCGTCATGGCTGGGGCTGCTTGAGAAACATACTGTTGCTGCACTGATCGGCCGGATTTTTGAAGTTGCAATTCATGCCAAGCTTGAGGGTTGAAGCGCTTTAGTTGTTGATCAACGAGTAGCTGCTTCACTTCTCTTTCTTCCTCGGCAGTGAGCTTGTCATCGTCATCAAGCTCAAATGTGTCACTTTGCACAATGGCTTTAATCGTACAAGCGGTGTGTTGAGGTTCCAATATACGGTCAAGAACCTTAGGATCCATTCCCTTCAGATTTGTCAAGTCTTGTTGTTCTACAATCCGGGGTTCGAAAAGGAAGTCCCCCACGTTTTTCTTTGCGTGCGCAACAGGGTTTTTCTTGTCGATAACTCTAGATGCTAATTGCATCTTAAAAATCGTCTTGTTGTGCACAGTGTTTTCAAAAGTGCCCCCAGTAACAAACCGATACACAAATGTCTCCTTCTGCTGGCCGATTCGGAAGGCTCTACCCACAGCCTGTTCTTCCATGATAGGATTGAATTTGAAATCGAAGATAACAACTCGATTAGCACTTGGCAAATTCAGTCCAAGACCACCGGCGGTAGTTGATATGAGATACAACTCATCGTTTCCGGTGTTGAAATCTTTCGTCGAACTCTGACGAGTGCTCATCTTGGTTTTACCGGTTAGCATGGCATACTTGCGGCCTTGCTTGATACAAAGCCTTTCCAAGAAGTCGAGTGTCGGGATGGATTGGGAGAAAACGAGAACCTTATCTTTGGCAGCTCTCGAGGCATCAAGGATCTGGCAAAGTATCTTAACCTTATTTGATAATTCGATCGACTGCATGTCCACACCTTCGGCCTCAAACAAGGCTGTTTCTGCTTGGATGAGCTCTTGCGAGACGCCTACTTTCCAGATCGACTCGTTGAACTTCTGGGCGATTTCTTCCCCGCGATCGGTAGGTTCTAAAGAAGTGGGGGCTTCTTCGACTCTTGCAGCTTCCATCTTCGCGTCCCCCTTGCGCTCGTTGAGCTTCTCATTAAAGCAATACGGGTGGTTGCAAAGCAATGAAAGAACTGCGAGCCAGTGCCAAAGTGTGCTCTGTCTTATTTCTCCATCTTTCGTAAGCGCATGTCCAGTTCCGGACAGCATAGACTTCACGTAAAGAGAATAAGCCTTCCTCTGCAGCTCCGTTAGAGGGACCGTGATGACGAATTCTTTCTTTGGAGGCAAGTCGTTGCGCAAAACTGAGACGTCTGCTCGGTGGACTTTCGGTGCAATGTCTTCCTTGAGGACGCCCAGCATCTTAAGACTCTTGCGGCGCTCGCTCGATGAACTATCTGACCACAAGCCAGCTTCTATTGGTCCAACGTACTTGCCCCTAAACTCCTTGGCAGGACCTAAGTAGTTAGGTGCAACCCAGTCAATCATGGTGTGGTATTCTTCGACATTGTTAGCCAGAGGGGAACCAGTTAGGGCAACGCGACTCGACGATTTGAACTGACTAGCAGCCTCAGTTATGCCAGCAGCCGCGTTCTTCATCTTGTGCGCTTCATCAGCAATGATAATGGTCGGACCCTCCAGAAGCTCCTTCTGGACTTGAGCGTGCGCTTCCTCATCGAGAGGAGCACGCCCAGATTTGGCTTTTTTGTTAAGAATGAGTTTCCGGAACATTTCGTAGCCGATGACAAGAACCCCACCGCGTTCGTACCATTGGGCGATATTCTGTAGCCGTTGTCCAAGTGAAAGTACTGAGGAGCTAACTTGCCAGAAGCCTCCGAGAATATTAATGCCCTCAGGGTCGTAAGGTGCCCAGATCATAAGCTCGTCCATCCAATTGTTGATAAGGCCCGGGGGACAGAGAATCAATGTCCGAGGTTTGTGAAGAATCTTCGGAACTTGAGATGATATTGTCTCGTCCTTCGACGCAGATGCCTCCGCGATTGTAACGAGGAGAGTGATACTAATTTTGAATCAGCGA